TGGCTCTATCCGAGCTAGCTCCCCCGTGGACGTTCGTCGCCCATCGCGTACGGATCGCAAGCGAGAGCTGGGGTTGGCGTTGAGTGAACTTGCTGAGTGTGCGTGGAGGGACAAGTCACAAAGGAGGGCTGGGCGAAGTATCCACGTACACGGATGATATTTCCGGTTGACGCCATCCTAGAGACCTCTACATGTCCAAGGCACTCGGTGAATGGTAAAGGAACATGTCGCTCCTTCGTTCCAACCTCTCCCTCAGCATAACCACATTTACTGATGAAACACCATCGGGTCTCTCTCGTCTCGCTTGATTCCCTCAAAACAAGCAGGTACGTACCATTGATACAGAACTCTATCATAGCGTTCATCAGTCTTTGACCCCCTCGATGACCAGGACCACCGCCTACTCCAACGAGCCTTGAGGTTGTCCAATGAGGCTGTATCGAGACCGCATCGAGCGAGAAGCGCTTTAGCTATCATCTGGTCCTTTGAGTCGGAGGCCTCAAAGCTGTGGTCTTCTAGCTGACCGTGCTGATGGATAGAGGAGATTTGTTTGCGCTGTGTTTCGGTTTGGACTAGATGCTCGATGGGGATTTCCGTCGCCAGCCAGTGTGCGTGCCCTTTTTTACTCTTCGTTCCCTGTGCCTCTGCAGGTGTATAGTTGACAAAGGTGGCTCCTCGCTTACTAGAAGCTGCCAAAGGCTTTGAAGGTGGAGTCATTGTGGTTGTATCAGGGTAGGATAGATGGGCAAAACGAGTGGGAGTGCTGAATGCTGAAGCCGAAAAGTACGAGTACACCCGCCCATATGTCTTGGCTTGACTCGATAAATTTGAAACTCTTCAGTACTAGTGGTCCTGCCTCACAGTTTCATGAGTATATACAACATACGCCACAGTCATACTCGGCAGGGGCACCAGGCACACGACGAGATGCGCCACAGTGGGCAACATCGACACTTATCAGAGAATTTAACTGCTCATTTCTGTCACCGGTTTGGGAAGACTGAGATATTGTTTAACAATGTTTTTCGTTGTTGCGCCCGAAGAGTACCCACCGTTCGAGGATCCTCCCCTCCCTCGCTGCGCTCGGGGGGTCCCCCAAGCCGGATCCTCTCAGGTGGGCACACTAAAGACTCGTTCGGGCATTTTTTTATGTTCGGCCTCGCTAACGCTCGGGGGGAACCTAACCCTAACTGAACCTAACTGAACCTAACTAACCTAACCAGAACCTAACCAGAACCTAACCAACCTAACCGGTGGATCGCACGCTCGATCCACCGAGATTTAATGCGAGAATAAACGAAAAAAGAATGTTTCTCTTGGGCGGGATAAGTCCTCGACAAGCAGACGCAGATGTGCCCAAAACGGAAGGTGGCGTAAGTTGTCCGTGCCTGGCGAGTGTGGGTATGGCGTATTTTGTCAACCCTCTTTCAGATGCCCTGCAAATGCCCAGAGAATTACTGATCCACGTCGACTGTGTTGCTCGCTAATCGCATGGTCTCCCGCACCACGACCTCAAAAACCCTCTTCTTCCCTCTGGTAGAATAGCAAGAGCTTTTTTACCGTTTCATCGTCTGGATTCTATGACGTCGTCCCTACGCCTTCGACTTTGAAACCGCTGGTCCAGTATGGTTTCATATTCTGCTGCCTCTCCGCTCGCTGCTTTGCGCAAGTTTCAGACATGGCCCGATAGCATATAAAAGACCTATGGGTGCGAGCAGGCTTCTCCACACTGACATCTCATTCCGAGCTATACCAAGCCGAATTGTGCTGCTCTCTTATATCTCTGTGCTCAGGCCTGGCGCCACACTCTGCGATAGCTTCACTCGATCTTCATTTATCAGTGCACTTCCTTCGATATGCCATCCCAAGCCTCAGCGGAGCCGACATTCACCGATCCTTTCAGCCAACCGACCACGCCGGTCGTAGGCTTTAACAGTGCATCGTCTGCCCCACCAGACGACTCCCGTCGCGGTTCCGACGATAGCGACAAAACCCTCTACGACGCGGACGCTCTTTACGATAAATCCAATGGCGTACTCACCAAACGCCGTGAGTCCGGTGTTAAGCCACCTCAACCGGCTGGGAGCAGTGCCTTCTTCTCTATCGAACCCGACGACCCGAGGCTCCAGTTCCCTGTTGAGCAGCTCATAAAGGATATCGATGAGGAGTTCATGAAAGAGGATAAGGAATTGCATCGTTTGAACAAAATGACCGGCAGGCAGAGGATGAAGGAATCGCTGAAGCTCAAAATTGTGAAACATATTACTTGTACGCTCTCCTTCTTGCTCTCATCTCACCCGGTAACATCTCATCTTACAATGCATTAGCCCATATCCATCGTCAGCGATTCCTCATGAAGCTCGCCAAAGCCTTGCTCAAATTTGGGTGCCCCACTCACGCCGCTATGGCTCTTCTTCACGATGCCGCCAATATTCTCAAAGTCCAAGTATCTTTCGTTACGCTTCCCAACACGATCATCGCATCCTTCGGTAATTGCGAAGAGATGACTTCCGAGATCGAGATGCTCAGTGGAGGTGGCGGCCTTGACCTCGGCCGCCTGCCAATGGTCCGCGTTGTCTATTACAATGTCGTTCACGACATCATCAGCGCGAAGGACGCTATTGACTGTCTCGACCAACTCATGGACGGCAAACCTATCCACGGCAAGCTCACGAAGTGCTTCTTCGCCTTCATGCTCTCCGCCCTCATCTGCGTGATGTCTTTCGGAGGGTCGTTTGTCGATATGTGGATCGCGGGCCTCGGATCAGCTACATTCTCAGCCGTCCGCTTGTTTGTGATACCCAAGGTCCACATGGGCTACGCTAGCGCGTACGAGTGAGTGTTTCTATCCTTTGTGCTAGCTTGGATAGTGGCCCTTACTATTGCTCGTAACAGAATCTCGATGACTATCGCTATTTCCTTCGTTTCCCGAGGTTTGAGCAGCATCAGAAGCGAGGTGTTCTGTTACAATGCGATCTCGTCCGCCGGCATCGTCTCCATCCTCCCCGGTTTCTTAATTCGTACGTCTAATTATATCATCTCTGTCCGAGTACGACCTCACTCAAATATGTCTTATAGTGACCAGTTCGCTCGAGCTAGCCTCGAAGAACATTCTCTGTGGTGCCGCCAAGATGATTTACGTCCTCGTCTTCGTCCTCTTCATCACATTCGGCCTTCAACTCGGATCCGATCTCTATCTCCTTCTGGACCGCGGGGCCCGTCACAAATTCGCTGAAGTCGCTGCTACCTACCTGAACCCTGTCCTCTACGTCGGGTCCTTCGTTTCGGATTCAATGAAGCTCGACGGCACCCCGATCTACGTCGGCACCTTCCAATTTCAGTCTCCTGCCATCCAACCGAAGGACATGCTTGTCGGCTGCCATCGACCGGCGGACTTCCCTTGGTACAAGCAACCTTTCGCATGGTGGTCTCTATTCTTCCTCGTCCCACTGTATACTCTCCTGAGCTCCATGGCGAACATGCAACCGGTCTTCAAGAGGACTCGCCAACAAAAGCGATACGCGGGCGCGGACGGCAAGTGGCAGACCACGACTGTCGAGCGTTGGACGTTGAGCGCCGACTTGGTGGTTATGGTGATGATTGCGATCTTGTCGTACACCTGTAACAAGATCGCGAAGATGTACATCTTCAACCAGTCGGATGTCGTTGCTGCTATCGGGGCCTTCACGGTGGGCGTGATGGGGAACACGTATCAGCGCTTGGCTGGCGGGACGGCGTTCACGTATATGGTCACTGGGGTCTGTTTCTTGGTTCCTGTGAGTTCACCGTCTCTCGCTGCTTGTCCTTCGTCGACTAATGATTTCCTTTGCCTGTTTTCAGTCGAGTTTCTCTCAGACTGGAGATAACTTCTCCGGGGATATCATTGATATTGGAACGGCCATGATCAGGATTAGTGTTGGTATTTCGGTTGGGCTGTTGATGGCGCGGTTCATTGTGTGCACGTTTGGGAAGCAGATGCGGAGTGGTAGTCTCACTTTTTGATTTCTGATGTTCAGCGCTCGATATCTGCAAAATATACATTCCTTCAACTTCAAGCTTACCTCTTTCATGGAGATTTTGACTGAACACACCTTGTCATTCAATAAGACTCGCAAACGCTCAGGCTCGTCGCTGTATTTGGGTGCGACGGGCCACAAAACGCCACACCGAGCGCCGAACCAGCGGTCCGTTCCCACCGGCATTGCTGCATCGAGGTGCTTCAGTGTGCGCGACCATGGCGATCCCGCACTACCACTTGTACTTGGACTGCATCTATCCTACACCTTGAGCTCTACATGAACCTGTAACGAAATGCTTCAAATATGTCGAGCAGAAGACGGCACAGTCCTTCAGGTACTGTTATTAGAGATATTGTCATGGCAGTTCCATTCATGACCTCTTACAGGTTAATGCCTCGCTGTGGGACATTGAACAGTGCGTGTAATGAACGCGTCGCGTGCCCTCATGCCTGACTTTGCTTTGATATAGACTGGGCAGTCTGGAACTTTTCTTGCAACAGGAGACAGGAGTAGATCAAGACGCTGTTGTAGCATATCTCTCGGACGGGAGGCTCTTGAGGAGTGACAACGTCAGAGAACTGGCTGGAGCGGCTGACCAGGTGCGTATTGTGAGAACATCTGGACCCTTCGCCACCGATTCTGACATCTCCAAAGTCTATATTTGTTTTCAATAAGTATTATCTTGATGAAGACCTGGATGAAGTTCTCCGTTCATTGAAGGTGGACCCGCCTCTGGAACCACCAATAGAGGGTAGGACATCTCCCTTCGTCACACAAATACCCCTGAGCAGTATTCAACTCGATGCCCCAGATCCTGTAGACGCCACCCCTCCTATTCGACTATCTCAATTAGGTGCTTCCTACCTTCGCGCGGCTCTCACACATCAGCAGACAATAAATCAATTAGTCCCAACTCTACATTATCAATATGCTGCCCTTCGAATAGCTCTCAGCCATCTCGACCACAACATCCTGACTATATCCGGAACCTTTGATGCCATAGCTATGAATGCTCAGCGTGAACTGGATAAACAGTCAACTTTGCTGGCTGGCGTCGATGCGGACCTCGAAATGATCAATCGTGTGTCAGTGCATAGAGACTTCGTTAGTCTGTCGGTCAGAAGGGCTATGGATGCAGGTGAACGGGGACGAACATTGGGTGACTACGTCTCAAAAGAAAAGATGAGACAGGTCGCGGAGGCGTGCTCAAGGAGTCATGGTGAGTGCTGCTCTTCAAGATCCTAATGCAATGGTTAGAAATGATGAAATGAAGACGATTTGAAGGAGCGATACCAGAATGCTAATGGCACCATGCAAAATCTCACGAACGGGGCGGCTGAGGTCAGAGATGTTCTGGCGGATACTCGGTTAGCATATCCAGTATTCTTCTAATGTCTGTGTTGTCTTATATGTCGCCTTAGACTCATTGATGCTGCTGAAACAGTGGCTCAACGCTCACGAGAGGCATATGATAAGATGGCGGAGGATGTGGCAGCTCTTGAAAGTGAGTTCATCCTCGCTCACACGCTTACTTACTCGACTCACTCTATACAGGACCAGTGACTGACTCCGATGGAGTGCTCCAAGGTAGGCTGCGTCCTCTTACATGTTCACAATCCCCTCAAACATTATTTTAGAGCTCCGCCAACTGGATGCCGATATACGCGAGTGCTTTTCTTCTGTGGCCGAGTTGAAGGTACGATTTTCGTGCAGCAGGCTTACGGTATGCTGAACGTGTGGCCCCATCTCAGAACGCACTCACCGAGCAATGCCTACGAGCGCTTCGGCAGATCAGCGTCCTGAACAAAGACCTCGTCCATCTCACATCGTCACTTGCTTCTCTACAGGCAAGTACCCGTGCAAAAACCAGCTTCCCACACATTCAGCGCCTGCACAATATGATACACGCATATGGTGCTACAGTCATTGAAGTTGTGCGGCGGAAGGAGTTCAGTGAGTTGTCATGCTACGACCTACTAGTTTCCTTAGTCCTGATGTGCAATGCAGCGAGATTCTTTTATCAGCGAGCCCAGACGATTCTGGAGGTCATGGCCAAACTCTCGTGAGTATATCGGCCGTCATATATTAGGTTTGTCAGAAGCTGATGTACTCGAGGTTATTCAGATCTTCGGAGAAAAAGCGACGACAGCTCTATCGCGGGGAGGTTCAAGGCCAGCTGCCTTTCGAGACTAGAGCGATGGGCGAAGTGGTACCCGCTATTGATTTCTCTCCCACGGGAGGTGGCGACCTCGAAAATGGCTATTCTCTGGAGAGAGATGATGTCGAAAGTATGGCTTCCGATATGTCGGTCGTGTCTCCTATTCTGATGTAAAGTCTGAATATAGACATGATGCGGGTCATGGATGAACTTGAGCAGTATGCTCGTTCTCTAGATGACGAAGACGTCGCTCTAAATATCATCCGTGAAACGAAGGCCAGCTTGGAGAAGTTGGTCGTGAAGATGGATGGCCTGGAGACAAATTTCGATCGAATAGCTGAGCGTTCCCGTACGTTTCTCTCAGAATTCCCTGGGTACTGTAGCTCTGACCACTCCTTTTCTATCAGTTATATCATCTTCGAGGCTAGCATTATCACGGCGACGTTGTGGGTATGACCTCTATACAGGCTTTTCAACTACGCTAACGTTGACATTCGCGTTTTAAGCTTCGGAAGTAGATGGCCAAGCCTACCAAGAACTTCTTGATCGTCTGCGAGTAACCCAACAAGCGAAGAACGAGCAGGAAGCTTCATTCAACACCGAACGCGCATCGATGCAGTCCGAGATTGCACGATTGAAAGCCCAGCTCAGTGAAGTTGACAACACTTCATCCGGCGAACAAGAACGTGCAGACCAGCTGGAGAGGGAGCTACATCATGCTCGCGGGCAGGTGGAGAGTGAAGCTGCTGGACGACGAATAATCGACGAGCGTCATCAACAACTTTTGTCGGAGGTGGCGTCACAAAAGCAAGAGCTGAGTAAGGCTTTGGCGGAGGCTACAAGTCAGACGAAGGCAGCGGAGATTCTGAGGCAGCAGCTTGCGCAGGCGAAGGCTGAATTCATCGAAGTCAAAGCGCTAGAGGCACGTAACGAGGAAAGGACGACCGCGCTGCTCAACGACCAAGCACAGAACTTGAAGCGTCTCGAGGATGCTCGATCGAGAGGGGAAGATCTGGAGGCGCAGATCCAAGCTGTGAGACAGGAGAGTGATGAGGTCAAGCAAGCTATAGAGGAGGCAAGGCGAGAGAAGGACAGGATGCTGAAGGCACAGGCCTCAGAACATGAGAGACAGATGCGAGACCATGTGGCGGAAGCGGATGGAGATCGTGCAGTATTGGAACACCAGTTCTCCGAGCTTCAGGCGGAGATGGAGGACATGGAGAGGCAGGTGAAGGAAGCCACGACTCAGGTAGAGATGAAGGAGGCCGATGTTAGCGGTCTGAAGGAGGAGTTGCAGAGGGTCGAGTGCGAGCTGAGGGACGCGCAACATATCGAGACGGTGCTACGGGAGGATCTTCGAGCGGGACGGGCGTCGCAATCTGATTTCGAGCACAAACTCGAGGAGAGCAATCGGCTCGTGGCCCAGTTGTTGGACATTGCCATGGTCTATCGGACGGCCGTCTTCAAGGCTTCCAGTCTGGTCCAGGCTGCGACTTCACATCCGCCAATGTCGAAATCCATCACGCATCTAGGCGACTCTGCGGCCTTTCCAACACTCATCCGGAACCCGACCCGCGAGCCCCTGGAAGAGCCGACTCCCATCGATCCTTCCGACCCAACTGCGGCCGTGGAGGCATTGAGGGCTTTCGACCACGACCAATTTTTGGAGATCATGTCGAAACCGGGCTCTACAATCCGCAAGTGGCAGAAACAGTGCAAAGAGTACCGCGAACGTGCGAAGGCGAAGATCTCTTTCCGGAACTTCACAAAAGGAGACCTCGCTCTATTCCTCCCGACTCGCAATTCAATCTCGAAACCGTGGGCGGCGTTCAATGGTGCGTAACTCAGTGTGTTTTGCGTGTTGGCGTGAGCTCTGAAGTCAGAGCATTCGTCGTGAATCCTCGACGATGACTCTCACGGTCCGTGGTAGCCGTACTGACCTCCGACTTTTCCTATCAGTTTCATTCCCGCACTACTTCCTCCAGCCTAACGATCATCTGAGCCAGTCTTTGAAGACAAGAGAGTGGATCGTGGCCAGAATAACCTCGATAACAGAGCGCGTCGTTGACCAAAAGGTATGGACTGTATCCTCATACAAGCAGCCTGCACTACGCTGATTCCTGTTGAAGGATCCTTCAAGTAACCCTTTCGGTCTTGGTGATGGTGTTAAATACTACCTTCTGCAAGTTGAAGACTGGACCCATACGGCCACGGCGGCCAGGAGAAGATCCTCAGCACCTCACAAGGTCTCCGCCGAGCCGACCGACGGCTCCACTGTGCCCTTGTCGCCGCCTGCAGAGTTGACACCAACCCTTCCACAAAATGAGGTCGAAGAGGCCTTCGAGGTCACTCGCGCCCCAAGCTCCCACCTTTTCCCTGTAGTCCGCTCAAGATCAAACTCTAGTCCGAGCGCTGGCCCTTCGTCGTTATCTAAACTACTTGCCCAGGCTGGACCAACCTCGGAACACCCAGCGCTTGACACCATCCCACCATCCCCGGATACACCTGTTCGTTCCCAATCCCCTGTGGCTATGTCACCGCCATCTGCAGTCGCCCCATCCCCTCCTCCTCACCCGCCACGGCCGAACTTGCCATCGCCACTTCGACCTGGCTCTCGAGCCTCCCGCCTCTCAACCTCCTCTTCACGCTTCTCAGCAGGCCGTTTACCCACGTTCGGAAGCGCTTCTTCTGGGACTTCTGCAGCAGCTGCCGTCAAAGCTGCACCTACCACGGCGCTCTCTGGTTCGCCTACTTCCCCCGGTGCCGCCGACGGTCAGGTCCAAACAGGCACGACAAACACGACCCCCTCGCCAGCGGAGTCTACAGGCGAGGGGCTCTCAAATATCTTCCTTCAACGCCGAAGGACGGCTTCATATCATGTTCAGCCTCGGTCTCCGCTATCCACCACAGCTACTACCACGAGCATTGCGACAATGAACAGGCCTACATCGGGGAGTGCTTTTGCGAGCTTGGCTAGTTGGGGCTCAGCGTTTGGGAGGAAGAAGAGGTCGGATTTGGCGTCAGACTTAGCACGGACCGGACAAGACGACGCGGACAACCCGGAGACGGAGAGGCGGGCCAGTGGGGAAGGGGGCTCATCAGCAAGGGAACTCTTACAGAGATTTTAGCACTACGTTTGCTCGCGTCGGTATCGTTCTTCGTGCCGTTGGTCCTTTCGTGACGATAGTGATGGTGGTGGTCATTGGGTGCTCTGTTGGGCATGTTCTTGGTTTATTCCTGCGATCGTGAGCTATTGTAACGGCGGTGAGAGTGGCGCGAAGGGGAGATTGCCCAAGCGAAACTAGAGTTTCTTTTAAATCTACTACACGACACTTATGTTTGGATGGTGTACATACATACGTTCTCTTTATCCTGCTTTCCAGTTCATATCGTTCTTCTAATCGCAGTCATTCATTCTTCCCATCATGTCCACAAGTGCCCGAAGTGTCCGTACGGACGAAATGAGACTCTCACTGAAGTCAAAATAGGCTCAACGTCCATGTCCTCATTCTACCCGGTATACCCATTCCTGCCACGATCCGCTCAGAGCCTCAACCCTCTCCCATTATTGATTATCGCTCCTTCATGCTATTGGAATGTACGTCTTCTGACCTGCTGCGTGTTCTGCTCTACTGTAAGTATAGCAGTTCCTTGGCGCGTCCGAAGCTATCGGATGAAGTATTCGTCCTGTTATCCTGAATTTTGAGCGAGCGTGAATAGACGTGGGAGGGAATTTGAGAAGAGCGGAGCTAAGACGCCCTCTGGGTCGAATGAGGGGAAAGCAAAGACTGAGATAGTTGCAAAGTGCCTGATGACGATAGTCATAAGAAGACAAGACCGTTAGGACGATGGTAGAGCAAGGCAGAGATGATATTTGTGGGCCGCCATCGCAGCCGGAAGAGCATTCTGGCAGCAACGGTACGCAATATGTCGGGAACTGGGCACAGGAGAAGAGGTGAATTCACAATACCGAAGACAAGCGGCGAGATTAGGAGGCAGGTCCGGGGACGGCATGACCTAGTCACGGGTGAGGACGACAGACAAATATCAGAGAAAAGACGACCAATATCCTGATCCGAGATGTCCTCGTTGACGGATCACTGTAGACGATGGAGATTCCGGAACATAATCGACGGGGCAAACGTGTCCGTGATATGTACATTCTGAGCACCATTCTAGACAATATGTTAGAATGAGAAGAGCCAAGAATGCGGAGAAACTCGAGGGAATGCCGACGATTGAGATGAGACGAGACCAACCGGATAGAAAGAAGGCTCGATTTGATGATCATGAGAATTCACTGATACCCTGTATCATCTTGGTGCACCCTCTGGGAATAACTCTGGAGCAATGCGCACCTAGTGTGTCGACCGCCCGCCGCAATCATCAGAATCCCAGGCCATCCCTGACCTATCCTCCGAGCGCCATAACGGCGATGTCTTGAGGGAAGACTCGATGGGCTTGTACGGTAAAACGTCGGGGCAGATATGCCAGAAATGTCTGGCTTGATCAGGTACATGGGTATTAGTGTAGAACGCCACACCTCACAAATCTAAAGGTGTCTGTAAGGAAAAACTGCTCTCAATAACCGCGTTGTCTCGTTAGACATAATCTCTCATCCGTAGCTTATTGTCGGAGCTTGGTGCACAAAAGATGCACGTTGCATTGGTTGGCAATCCAAGGACGTGTGTTCCCCAAGAGCTGAACGCGAGCGAGAATCAACTCCCAGAGTTCTAAAAAAAACACCTGTGTGTCGTCCCTCTCATAGATACAAATGACGACGCTTAGTTTGGGATGAAATTAGCAAGGCTCCATGCGGGCCGCATCAAGACGCTGAGAGAACTGGTTGATGGCCCGGAGCAAGGTCAGGTGCGTGGTCACACGGCCAGGCGAAACAATATGGTTCGACGGGTTCCGCTCAGTTACCGACCATTTACCTCGAAACTGAGTGTATTGACGTCGGCATCAGACAAGAAAGAGTCAAAACCCAAAGAGATTCTGCGATGCGCTGGCAGCGATGCTCGTGGAGGAGGAGAAGACGGTGGCAGTGAATGGCGGTTTAAGTTGAAGATTGTTAGAATGCGTCCGGCGCTTTCCACGTCGGAGTTTATACTAACTTCAATGCCAAGGCGCGCTCGTTGGATCGCCCGAGACCACCCGAGTTCACAACCTTTCTCTACGCGGCCCCAGATATGACCGATATCTTTTGCAGCATACCATCTTGAAAGCCGATTTCCATTGTATGTGGTAGCGGAGGAGCTTGATGATCGTATGGGACAGGTATTTCATACCGCAGCGCGTCCCGTGGGGCGCCAGATTTACCCCACACTGTCTTAGGTACCGCAAACGAGAACGAAGGGATGGCGCAAGGGACGTTGTTCAACGCTTGATGGCGCACAGTGCGGCGAAATAGCGCATATGGAGAATTCTTGGACAAACCCGTCGCTTGGTGCATGACCACGGCCTGGTCAGGCCCTTCCCTTTGCAACGGCATATATATACAGATCACTCGCTTCTCAACTTCCCGTCCCGTCTCTGTGACTTTTCCTCTTCCTTGCTTAGTCCCTTTCACCCGACTTGAAGGCCTACCATGGGTGCTGGTGCAATTGCTACACAAGCTGGCAGTGACACGGGCTACCACCATCTCATTGACCCCAAGAAGACGTGGTACAACAATAGGCGGTCAGTTGCTGCATTTTCTTCCAGGCCATTGAAGTTACTGACCCTTGTGTTGGTTTAGAATCATCACGCTCAATGCATGGCTTGTCTTGCTGTCCGTACATGCATGTTCTCGTCTGTTTTCCTGAGTACTGATATTCTCCCTTAGCCTTATCACCTCCTCTACGAATGGCTACGATGGGAGTATGATGAACGCTCTTCAGTCAGAGAAACAGTGGAACGCTTACTTCGGCACACCCGAAGGGAGCAAGCTCGGTCTCTTCAACGCCATCCAGGTCAGTACCAGACATGAGGGCCGTTGACTTCCTTTCCTGACACGCTCTCTAGAATATCGGTGCCTTGGCCGGCTACCCATTTGCTCCTTATTTGTCTGACGGAATCGGACGTCGCGGGAGCGTTTTCTTGGGCGCCGCCATCATGTGCGTCGCAGTAGCTATCCAGACTGCTGCTCAGTCCTTTGGAATGTTCATTGGTGCAAGGTCAGCGGGTTATCCGCCTCATGCTACAGGAGCGTCTGTTCTAATGTTGGGTATGCAGATTTTTGATTGGTTTCGGTCTCACATTTGCGGGTAAGTCACATTCACTTGATAGTTCAGTTAGCCTCTTGATCGATTGATGACCCCAATCTCAATTTAGCCAATGCCGCTCCCATGCTTGTCACCGAGCTTTCGTATCCCACCTACAGAGCTCCCATGACTTCGTTATACAACTCTCTCTGGTACTCTGGTTCTATCATGTGTGTATCGGTTTTATCCTCGCCAGCCATTGCCTGTAATATTGACAATCACATGGCGATTAGCGCTGCATGGACGACATTCGGTACACAGCACATCCCCAACGACTGGTCATGGCGTGTCCCGTCCCTTCTTCAGGGCCTTCCAGCTGTCCTCCAGGTGTTCCTAGTTTTCCTCATGCCCGAGAGCCCTCGTTGGCTCGTCAGCAAGGGTAGGGACGAACAGGCTCTTCGGACACTCGCATACTACCATGCAGACGGAAACGAGTAAGCAAACCACCCGTGTAACTATAACTGTTCTCTAGAAGCTATCTCACACTTTTGTGCAATAGGACTGACCCCCTGGTTGTCTACGAGTACGAAGAGATCAAGGCTGCCATTGACTTTGACAGATCAGGTATGTCTGCCATGTTAGGTCCTTTGCAATTTCTAGATTGACGCTCTTTAATAGTTGTCTCCAACATTGGTTACAAGTCGCTCTTCATGAACCCAGGAAACAGACGTCGTTTGCGCATTATCGTTGCCATCGCCTTCTTCTCCCAGTGGTCCGGTAACGGCCTCGTCTCTTACTACCTCAGCAAGGTATTTGACACCATCGGGATCACCGATCCTACCATTCAGGTATGCTGCCGCTGTTTCATTCGTGATGCATGACATTTACTCGGACGCACTACTGTAGCTCCTAATCAACGGCATTCTGCAAATCTGGAACCTGTTCTGGGCAATGTTCGCATCCTTCATGGTCGAACGCATCGGTCGTCGCATACTCTTCCTGGCCTCGGTCGCAGGCATGCTCCTCTTCTTCACCTTGCAAACCATTTGCTCCGCCCTCTTCGCCCAACACGGATCTTCCGCTGCAGCGCACTCCGTCATCGCATTCATCTTCCTGTTCTACGCATCATATGAGTACGTTATTTTCGCCTAACTCCAAGAATTGCATGATCCTGATGCATGATTATCTGACCGACGCTAGCCTTGCGTTCACACCATTGATCGTGTCATACACCGTCGAAATTTTGCCATTCGCCCTCCGTGCCAAGGGTTTCAACATCTTTAACTTTACCATCTCTGCCGCTCTCATCTTCAACCAGTATGTCAACCCAATCGCGCTCAGCGCCCTCGGCTGGAAGTACTACGTACGTGATTTTTCTGCCCGCCCTATGCATATCATCTTGACGTCGTCGATCTTACCTCCCTCGTTTTTCGTTTCCACAGATCGTGTACGTCTGCTGGCTCGCTTTCGAAGGCGTCTACTGCTACTTGTACATCATCGAGACGAAGGGTCTTTCCCTCGAGGAGACTGCTGCTCTCTTTGATGGCGAGGACGCGACTACACATATCGCTGCGCAAGGTGCTGTGGCTCAGGGATCACCTATTACCGATGAGAAGGCATCAGCCGATTCACTCCACGAGCACCATCTCACGAAGGACGCATGATCCATGACACCTCATATTTTGTTTATCCTCCTTGTCCCATGTCCTCTTACGCTCCGGATGTTATGTTTCTCTGAGGGTCGGTGGTCCGGTTGTATCAGTGGCTGTTCACGATGTTCACGCCTGTACTTTTAGTTTCTCTCGTTTTCGAGTCGATGCTGGGACTCCGCGTTTGGTACCTATCTCATCGTTAACGTGGTTTCATGCGTCTTGTTATATTAGTTATCATCTCCACCTCGGATCATTTTCAAGTATCTTATGTGCTACGCAATAAAACACATTACTCTCTCAAACATCCCAACATCTGTGGTCTCATGACCCTGTGCTATACCACGGCCCGCAGGTATTAGTATTGTGGCAGCCGGTACGCAGAACGATCATATGAGGCATTCCTTTGAGGAATAGCGTTTTGACGATAGGCAAGACGTCACAGGGGAAGCAAGAGGAGAAGGCAAGGCGGTCAAAGTTACTTGGAGGAGTTGGAAACGCTAATAGTTCGCTAATATTGGCGTTCGGATAACGACCTTCGCGAGCCCGTGCCATAGCAGGTGGGTGTCTGTGGAGTGAAGCATTAGTTGTAGTGAACACATGTCAGTTGGAAACGCCATAGCGGTTCCTACAATCCCAAAATATATCTGAATCTAAAAGGAACTCGCTCTGGAAGGGGGCCTTCATACTCAGACGGCCTTCCATTTTTCTCTTCTTCGACTTCCCAGAATAGCAGCAGGAACGGAGCCGCAGATCAACTTGTACTTAGACCAGATAGCGAGAAAACCACACTCGTTTTGTTCAGTCGCTGCTTCTTAAATAATACCACTGCACCCAAGTATCATACGCACCCAGACTCGAGTACTTACTCTGCTCCGCAATATTTAACGGCTTAAAATAAGCTTTGCGCCCGCGATATCCTTCGCTTCCTATCGAGTTTGGGACGTCCACTGCTACGGCCAAGCTACGGCGCACAACGCTATGTATCAGGCTTGCGAGCTAAGCTGAAGGACTTGCGACATGGAAGGAGGGAAGTAGTTCGAACTTTCCCCGTGCGCCGTACGGAGCCACCCGGAACTGCCACCGTCCCACGTTGCGGACCCACATAAGTTCGTCCACACGCCACTCTCCCGGTGGCAAGTCGATGTGGATATCTGATCACTGACCAAGACTCCGAGCTCTTAAACGACCCACATCTCCGCGCATTAGGAGTCACAACGAGCTCGCGGGGTTGAATGTGCGCCGGTAGTTCGGAAAGAGGAGGAGGAGAGAGATGAATATAAGTAGATCAAAAATAGTGACAGACAAAAACGAAAAAAAAATGAGCTAAAACGAGGGACATGCTGAATGAAAAGGAGGGAAAAAATGACAGTCCGCGTACATATGAAAGAAAGTATGAGAGAAAAAGAAGACTCAGAACAAACCGATCCAATTCCAGATCCCAAGAAGCTCAGAAAGGCCGCTACGGCCCTTCTCTCCCCTTACCCTTCGCACTCGCACCACCCGGCGGCATACTCAGCACTAAATCCGGGGTACTCATCATGCCCATGCCCATCGAGCCCTGGCCGAACATCATCTTCCCCGCCCCACCGCCACCTCCACCCAGGCCACTCCTATGCGGCGACAACGTCGGCGATCCGAAGCCACGCGCAGTAGGCGTCCCGGGCAACGACGTTTCCCTCCGTTGATGTGGAGAAGTAGGGGACGCCGCAGTACTACTAGTCATCCTATCTCCCGCATTCGCCTCCGTAAGCAAAAACTCCACCCAAAGCCTCGAAAACGACTCCGTCTCGTCCGTCTTCTCCAGCTCCACGTCTTTCCCACTGCCCAGACTCCCTGAGCTGCCCTTGGAGAAGAGTAGCCCGCTGGTGCTGGGGGAGACCGTGGCGCGCTGAAGGCCGGCTTTCATTCGTTCGTTTTCGTTCCAGGACAGGATGGTCGCGATGAGATTGAGCATTTCGAAGCGTTTGGGGTCGGCGCGAGGGGTGGATAGGAAGGAGAGGAGGACGTTGGTGACGAGGCGGCGGTCGACGTTTGTGTCAGAAGAGGAACGGCGCAGGCGACGGAGGGCTTCCATCAGGTGTTCGTTGATGATGACGGCTGTGAGTGGCGTGTGAGAAAAAGATAATGAGAAAGGAGGAGAAGAGTGATTGTGCGTAGGAGCGAACGTACCTTCGTGTCGGAGTTTACTGATGAGAAGGTTTTTCTCCTTGATCTCTTTCTCCAATTCAGACGTCCGTGAAGTGTTCGTCGTCGACTCTTCTAGTTGTAGCTAGACGTTCATTTGGTTGGTTACTGAGAGAGGTCGTAAACATGATACAGGATGGAGCATACCTCGGCTTGCAAAGCTCGATGCTTATACTCTGCTAGAGACTGTGTGACGTTGTTGAGTTGAGTCTCGTAGTCTTTCACGGCTACTCGGAGTTCGTGATCCTTTGCTATAAAGAATTGCCGAAATTGTTAGCGACCATTCCCAATGTTAAGTAGCGGCTGAGTAGACAAAGGATAGGTTCATGACAGTTGGCCATATTTCAGGCCTGCAAAGTTCACAACAATGGCCACGGATTGTGTCTGGCAGGGATCCGCACAGATAGGTTGTGTGACCGCCCGAAAGCCCGAAGACAACGGAAACATAGAGCTCACTCACCAGACTGGAAATCCTCCAACACCCCCTGCAAATTCGCCACCTTCTCCCTCTCTCCCTCCAATTCCTCCTGCACCCTCCCCACTCTCTCCCTCCCCCCCTCCACCTCCCTCCTCATCCCCTCCACCGCCACCCTCGCCTCCTCCCCCGCCACCCTCTCCTCCAAACACGCCCTCTCCCACTCGTCCCTCTCCATCCTACACCGCTCCAGCTCGACATCCCGATCCCGGAGCTCGCGCTCCCGGTCGTGCAAGGCCCGTTCGTGTTCGCGCAGGAGGGCGTCGGAGGAGGATTGTTGGATGGAGAGCGTGCGGAATTCGGAAAGTTCGGAGGAGAGGCGGTCGGATTCGCTGTGGGAGAGGGTTAGTTCGGATTTGAGGGTTTCGAGCGTGAGGGAGAGGTCTTCGTTTTGGGCTGTTAGGGATTGGATGGTTTGTTCTCTTCGGTCGAGTTCTTCCTACATGATACCAGCGATATACCACCAATGAACCAAACCAAACCACAACAAAATATGGTATCAAAGAAATGAACAAGTTCAGAAATTTGGTACGTGAGTTGGGGATAGTGAAACAACGTGAACATAAGAGGAGGTATGGGTGCAGAGAAGCCATGGAGATGAGACGTACGGCATCCTGCTTGAGCTTATTCCCCAAAGTCGAACGCATCGTGTTCAGCCTGGCCAGCAGATTTCGATACTGCGACGCGAACTCTTCTCTCTCCTGTCTCGTCCTCTCAAGCTCCTGTTGCAGCTTCTCGATAGGATCCACAACCAGCACTTCCTCTCCCTCCACTTCGCCCTCTCCCTCTCCCTCACCCCTCTCTCCACCATCTACAGCGCTAACGTCCCCATGACCATGTGCATCCCCATTCACCAGCCCATTCCCGTTGAGTCGTGGATGAGTGGTACTGTCTGTATATGCGGGCGGAGGCGGCGAGCCCAATCCGCTCGACTTTTCAGACTCGAAGGAGAGACGGCCCAGAGCGGCGTTTATAGTCTGTTGAGCCTGTGTGCCCGGGCTCGTTGCGCGCGAGGGGGGTTTAGTGGGACTGGTGGTGGCCGAGGACATCGTCGCAGTCTGAGTATTGTCGCAGTATCACAACTTCGCCAGTTATCCGAGCATATGAATATTGCCAAGATTTACAGAGAATGAGTGGTCTCAACAGTTGATAGAAGTGATAGTTAGGGCCTTGAAGCTTGAAGGATGCGGAGGTGCTATGTGGCAAGCCAAGAATACAGCAGCAACAGCAGGCAGGGAGACTGCTGGACTGTGCAATGACTGCAGTCTGTGCGGACGGAGAATTGGAAATGCCTGTTAGGTCCGGGTCCACGTCAACGTGTGTGGCGTGGGAACGACGATCAATGGTTCGCGGGTGTGGCGCAAGTACGTGTTTTGTGGCACGAAGCTTTGTCGGTGATTTCTATGGAGACATTGCTGGTGAGAAAGTGCAAACATATTATATCCAAAGATAGAGTCGTTTCGTTGAGGCTGAATGTTAGCCGTTCCGTCCCTCAAGTCTGTTCCGCTTTACACCTTCGGATTGTACGAGACGAAGTCGCCAGGAATGAGAGGGTCACCTCACTCACTTCAAATATTACTCATTTCGGCAGCGGTAGCAGTCTTACTCGTTAATGTTGGCACCGACTCACATACTTACGGAAGGGAAAGTCTTGAGCCTGGACGACATGTCGGAATATGTTCTGCAAGTCTCGGTGGCTGAAAGGACGATAATGCCACACTCATAACACAGACAACAAGGTACATCACCATACAGTGCTATGTACCAACCACGGAGACAATAAGTTCAACAATGTCACTGAATGTCACAGGATAATACGATGCTGCTAGACCGCGCATGAGACCTACTATCCACTGGTTGACGACGCTGTCGAGACGATAGATCCATCAAACGACTCAACTAATAAATCATACGTGCAAAAATGATTGAGACACAGCAACGGTGAACGCTAAGGCATAGCGTGATGGGCGTCGCATGAAAACAACAGCCTCTTCAGCTGCAACCTTGATAAATGAGTGATGGTGTGCATGGGACGCCACTCCTGTGATCAGCACCGAATCGATGGAGGGCATGCTGTAGCGGCGTGCGAACTCGTGTTGAGTGGCTCACTGATCGCCGAAAACATGTACAGAGATTGGAACCAGGTTCTCCAGCAGTGTTATAATGTATAGTGCCAGACACTGACTGGAACAGAAGCAAGCTCTAGAGACTATATTCGACGAGGCTTGGAAAAGGAACAACAGCGGCCGAAAGAGGCAGTCGAGGACTGATGTACATAGGCAGGGGCCGTAACAAGCCGGAGCCGGGAGATGGGCGCGACAAGTGAGACTGGCAGGCTCGTCGGATGCTCGCCCTCTGTCCTTCCCTCGACGACCACCGGCCCTCCTTTGTTCCCCATTCGCCCTATATAATATCCTTCGACCTCCAGATTCAGTATCCTCCTTGTTGGCAGATCCCCACAGGACTCTTCTGAATCCATCCCAACATCGTCCGTCGCCAACAGGGATATCCGAGCACCATGCCTCCCTCGCTGTCCCCACAGATCGCTAGTGCCCTTCCGGGAATCCTCGAGAAGATATCGAGTCATGCGGCGTCGAGGATGTTGTTCTCTCAGTTCCTGCTGCTACCGGTCGAACTCATATGCTGTACTTTGTCGTTTCTGGAGATGGACGATCTATTGGCTTGCATGCAGGTATGTCCTCCGTCTTTCGTCTCGGGCACCCTTTTCGACATAGCAGTGCGTCAGCGAGTGCGTAGTATGGGTGGCGGATGTATTAAGGAGAACTATACGATGAAATGGTGCCCATGATGGGCTGGTGTGCAGAAGTGTGCCCACAGAACGGGGTGATGTGTGCTCCCATGACAAATCCTCGATATATGCGTTGTGGGCAACCCAGCTGCAGACTTGGCCCTACCATTGTTTCTCACCATCGCTGCTCAACATGGGAGTCTCTTGTGCACCCTTCCTCTTGCTCTGCCGCGTCGACAGAGGACTCAGGGGTTGCTATGGAGTTAGTTATCCCCATCCTTCACTGTGGGCATTTCGCCTTCAGATGCCCACTCAAAGCACGTATCTCTCTTGAGGCCTTAAGATCACAATCTTGTACCATGGGTCTATTCTTGGAACACACATTCTCCCTGACCTAGGGAGCGAGGATACTTCCGTTCTATTTGATCGTGGGCCACAGTGGCGTGCCTGAGACAACTCTCACCCTGCTTCACCTCAAACCACTCGTTTACTCAACTGACTGCCCTGACTCTAGTGCTGCAAGACTCTTCAAGAGATAATCAAGACCACACCTAGACTACAGTACATCATCGAGCTCGCCTCAAATCAGCTTGTCTGCTCAGCTTCCGCATCGACCTCCCCAACCCTCTCCCTCACGCACACCTCTGCCACGCGTAACTCTCGTCAACTCTCACTCTTCGCTCGTCGTCGTCTCCTACTCTCCCGAATCGAGAACTGGTCCCGCCTCACCCCTGCCGCCAGGTTCTCCACCCCGATTCCGGCAGCAGGCTCGATCTACGAATTTGTAGGTGGTGTGTATGGGAACGGCCATGGAACGGGAGATGATAGGCGTGTGGCCGGCAGTATCACATTTTATAAACTGCCCTCGACTATGGACGATATCTCTCCTATGGAGGGATCTGGCTCTGGTATGGACGTGGACAGGTCGCAAGGAAGAGGGAGACGGATTCCGAAGTGGACGTTGAGCGGGTTCGATATGAATATCATCGATTTTAGCATGGACCCGGCGCAGGACCTGCTCGTCCTGATCGCTTCTGCTCCCCCTGGGTACGTCATCCCCTCTCCATTGTCTCGCGTGCGTGCATAAGGGCTAACTCTACGTGTTCTTACAGCTCCAAGTACAACTACCAGATCCATCTCCGCACACTCTCGACGAACGAGCCGCACCCACTGGCGCTTTCTCCGACACTCGACTGTAGACGTTATCCAGGCCCCGAAACGACCGACATGTGGACCTCGTTCCGGATACAGATTATGGACCAGTTCCTCGCCGTGTTGATCAAAGACGTCTTTCATACGAGCGCCGCGTTCATCGCAATTTGGAACTGGAGAGCCGGGGCTAAAGCCAGGGTAAGTATCCACAGTCCCCACCACCCCCTCTCTTTCTCTTTCCAAGCTCCCTGTCATTGTCAAATGCTAACTCTATTTGCATCGGTGGCGGTGGCGTCGCGTAAATCCACAGTGTACCATGGCGCTAGCAATGGGCGTCGACGACTTCTGCTTCCTCTCCCCGAACTACTTCATGATCGTCATCCCGCGCGGATACCTCGACGTCTACTCCTTCTCCGACCCCGCCATCTCGCGCGAATACCCTACCCTCAAACGCCGCTTCGGACTCCCGAGGCTCAAAGCGGGCTATTATTATTGGTATATCTCCGCCATGGCGAATCCGACGCCGGGGAGCAGCGTCCCTGGTGCTGCGGGGCCGTCTGTTGATGCGTTCAATCACAACTACAATTACAACGCGAATTCGGCGGACCCGGAAGCTCGGAACGAGAACGCGAATGGAAATCCTTCGAAGTATGAGAGGTTGAGGGAGGTGGAAAGGGAGAGGAGGAGGAAGGAGAAACAGCTCGAGAAGGAGCGGAGGCGGGCGAAGAAGTTACGGAAGTTGCGAGAAAGACAGTTCACGACGCATGAGGGGATGGAGGCTGCGGATGGACTCTCGACGGATTTCGGACAGGCGTTCACGTCTCTGGGCAGCGGGGCGGGACCCTCTTCGTCTTCCTCTTCCACATCATTCGGGCTCGGGCTCGGTTCGGGTGTGGGTCAAGCGTCGGGTGCGCTTTGGCCTGCTGTTGATGTGGACGAGGGAGAGGGAGGGAGTGGGAGCACGAGCGATGAGTATGATGGGAGTTCGAGTCAGGCGTTGGCTCATTCGGCGCATCAGAGCGGTTTGGTCGCTTTTGCGAATGCCGTATCACAGGCTTTTGGGCCCCCAGCTCCGCCTGCGCCTCCCATCATACCTGCCGCCATCCCCGACCCCGCCCCCACGCCTTCGACAAACGCAGACGATACCACGCCATCCAGTTCCTCGTCACGGCAGCAGCAGCAGCAGCAGCCACAACAACCACAACAACAGCCCTACCGTCCTCACAACGCTGTATCCGAAGTGCCGCAACTTCCGCCCCCGCAGCCATTCGGTCCCCGACCCGACGACGGGCTGATCGCTTGTTCGCTGGGTACCCTGAATCCGGCTGCTCAAGCTGCGGTGGATTGTTTTGTGTTTTTCGTGAGGGTTAGTACGTTGCTCGAGTTGGCGCAGGGTCCTGCCCCTAGCTCTGGTGCCAATTCCAATCCCAATTCCAATTCCAATGCAAACCCATCGCAGGCGCAGGCCAGCGTCGATCCTTCGCAGACTCAGACCAATGACGATCCCCCTCAAGCTCGGAACAAAGGAAAGGGGAAGGGAAAAGAGGAGAAGAAGCAAAAGAAGGACGAAGGGAAGATGAAGATGAAGGAGATGGGCAGCGAGAGGAGCATGACGGCGGTCGAGAAGATGAAAACGAACGGGACTTGGTCAATCGATCTCGATGAACGGCCGCTTCGTACGAGGGCGGAGGCCTTAGAGGAGACATCCACGTCATCTACACCTTCCCCTCCGGCCTCCTCCTCTTCGTCCGCTCTACCCTCTTCGCTTCCTGGATATCAGTTCGCTTCGGCGTTGGACTCGAGTTCGTTCTTGACTGCTCCTTCGACTTCGGTGGCTTCGTCTTGGGAGGATCTGGTCACGTCGGGGTGGTCCTCGTCTACGACGACTGGTGGGTGGGGGGACGTTTCGGCGACTGTGGGTGGTTGGGCGATACCGGCCACGGGACAAACACTTCCAATGCCCGTCGTACCTCCCAGTGCGCAGACTTCGAATACAAATAACACCCGATCGAGTGGTAAGACCAGGAGGAAGTCCTCATCGACGTCCACTGCCGCTACCGATGGGAGCTCCTCCATGTCCATGCCCCCTCCATCTTCGATGTTCACCCCAAACGCTTTCCTACCATCGTACACGTACACAACTCCGACCTCAACCTCGACCTCGGCCTCAGCTTCGACCCCGTACACCAGCTCGGGGACGCAGACCGACACCTTCTGGCCCAGCACTACTCCACACCGCTCCCACCCCACACCTTCAGGCAGGGTCAGCCACACGAAGAGTGTCTCGATACCGTGGGACAGTTGGGGCCCGCCCGCGACGAGGTGGTTCGGGGATATGTTGAGCAGCGATTGGCAGCATGCGGTCCATGGGTTTAGGACGGTGGAGAAGGTGCCTGTGCCGCAGACTGAGAGTGAGGCACAAACGCAGGAGGAAGGCGTGGCGAGTTCGGATTCGGATTCGACGGTGGCGAATGATGCGGATCGGGACGATGCGGAGGAGCAAAATGAGGAGGAGGTCGATGTTGAAGAGCATGTCGGGGCTCAGAGCGGGGCGAGCTCGAGCTCGATGTCGCAGGTTGGATTGGGGCAGTCGTTACCGGGCGTGGGTCCGAGCACGAGCACGAATGACGCCCCTGTGTTGCTCAGCGTCGGAAACTCGTTACTTCCACCTGGGTCCACGACAGCTATACCGACTCCCGCTAGCGCCAGCACCATCCCTCACTTCGCATATACTCCTACCCCCCAACAGCACCACACCCAGCCTCACGCAATCGTCGCTCCCCCGACCAACAACGCTGCCAACGCCGGGAATACGAATATAAACGCCAACGGCGCGACAATGCACAGGATCCGCATTCGGGATTGGAACCCATACACCATCCGGCGAGCCCAGGCCGCACTCGAACGTGAACAAGAGGAAGCTCGCCAGAAGGGCAAAGGCAAGGCCACGGCGATGGACACCGAAGCGGATTCGCAGGGAACAGCAGAAAGCGACGATTGGCGTGAATGTGGTATAGATGCGAGCGAGAGGGTGATGAGGGGTCGTTCGAGGCTCGTTACGAAGCCGTCGACGATAGCGGCTGGCGCGGCGTTCATTGAGGATATCGTTTCGTGGTTGCCGTATAGGGAGGTCGTCAGTGAGGAGGTGGTGGAGGTTAGCGATGTGATGATGGATGATTCGAGGGTGCTTTGTTTGAAGGTATGTTTCTCTTTGCTTCATCTTGCGCCTTGGTGTTTTTTTGGGGATGTGGCTGACTTATCGCTGTGCTTTGCAGAGAGAACAGAGCGGACAGCTGTATGCGATGGATGTGCTGACGTTCTGAACGCTGTGGAGGTCTTGCTTGGTGCTGATCTTTAACGGCCCATGTTCGGCCAACAACCGAACGAACGAGATAAAGCATGCTTTATACATACTTCGTTTACTTCCACCCTCTGTTGCATGTTTCCTTTTGCTGGCTTCCGTGTTTTTACGTTATCATATGCTGTATAACATTCAATCCGTTGACAATGCAACCACCAAACGCCCATAGCTCGTGAAAGAAAGCCCATCGTTCCACTACGCCCTTTCCACTTAGCATACTCACGCAGCCGCTAATCCCCTCTTGCTTTCGTTCTATTCAACACGACCAAATCCCGTCCTCTTCATTGACATACTAACGATGTTATGACTTTTCCTGGCATGTTCGAAGGTAGTCGCCTGTAGGTAGTTGGGACTACTATGTATGATTCCAAAGGCCACTATTTAGGTCGTACAAGAAGTGGGGGTACGTCTCTGATCCCGTAAGTACGTACTCAATAAAACATCATCTACACTTCGAACTGCTTCAGACAAAGGAGCGCTGAGGCCTGAGTTGATGGGCTTGATGAAGGCTTGCACGTATCATCACGCAGATGTTGTGAGATCAGCAGAGGCTAGTGCGGCCCAAAGACTAAAAGGTAGAGACTGGATATAGATCTCATACGAGTACAATACAAGGGAGAATACATATGAAAGGCAACAGGAAACGAGTAGAAGCCGAGTGAATAAACAGATCGAAAGAAGATCGGGGAGACAGAACAATCCACGTCGCATGCGACCACAACGCAACTACCACCAACAAGTAACCGAAGCCATAGCCAATTTACTTGGCAGCTGCGCTCGAATACTAGACATACGAGGACCGTTGAACACATATTACACCCATGAAGCGTAAGAGTAGGACAGACCTTGGTGACAGACTTGGTACCCTCGGAGATAGCGTGCTTCGAGAGTTCACCAGGGAGGATGAGGCGGACAGCGGTTTGGATTTCACGAGAAGAGATGGTAGACTTCTTGGAGTATGCGGCAAGCTTGGAAGCCTCGGTCGCGATACGCTCGAAGATATCAGAGACGAAGCTACGCGAGCGATAAGGTGGCGTATAAGAGACCCGACCGCCACATATTTGTTTACAAATAAAACGCACCTGTTCAGGATAGCCATAGCCTTGTTGGAGATACCAGTATCGGGGTGCACTTGCTTGAGCACTAAATTTTCGTATAAGGGTCGTCGAAGGCGTTAGTCGATAAGCTTTAGACAGCAATACATGCAAAGTGAAGACGAAACGATACGCACCCTTGTAGATGTAAGAAGAGTAGGTCTCCTTGCGGACCTTGCGCCTCTTCTTCTTCTCGCCAGGCTCCCCGGTGGAGGCAGCGGTTTTAGAGGTCTTCTTCGCGGCCTTGGTGCCCTCAGTCGACTTGGCTGGAGCCTTGGAAGCAGTAGAAGCAGGGGCCTTGCCGGCAGTGGAAGCGGGTTTGGGTGCCATTGTATGAGGTTAGAGAGTTGGGCGAGTTAGGTGGGTAGGTCGAGAGGACGGGCAAGGAAGAAGGTCGAGGTAGCGGTGAGAGAGGGATGGAACGCTTGCGCCCGAGAAGGGGGCCCTTATATAGAGGCGCGCCGGACTCGAAGGGCTTGTTTATGCACTCACGTGATCTTGTTTACTGCCTTCGATCGCAGCGTGACGCGCCTCCGAAAACATATAAGTAGCCGCCACTCTCACTCGCAAACGCCCACCGTCTCTCTTCACCCATCCACTACCACCGTCCCCCGCCTATCTCACTCTCAACCCTTCTCTACTATTCCAATGTCTTCTCACGGCAAAGTTGGCGGCAAGTCCAAGTCCGGAGGCAAGGCTTCTGGCGGAGAGTCCAAGTCCCAATCTCGCTCGGCCAAGGCTGGCTTGCAGTTCCCTGTTGGTCGTGTCCACAGGCTGTTGAAGAGGGGCAACTACGCTCAGCGTGTTGGTGCAGGTGCTCCAGGTGCGTCATTGCTCACTGTCATCTAGTCTGCCCACCTTTCTGGGTGGGTTCGGTACCCTACTCCAAGTTGCTGATTCGTCAATCAATTTTCACTGATAGTCTATCTCGCCGCCGTCCTCGAATACCTTGCTGCCGAAATTCTTGAGCTTGCTGGCAACGCAGCACGAGACAACAAGAAGCAGCGCATCGTTCCTCGCCACTTGCAGCTTGCCATCCGTAACGATGAAGAGTGCGTCTTCTTCCACTCAAACACTGTTGTCCATCGTCTAATCTTCTGTTACAATTATTCAATCAGGCTGAACAGGCTTCTTGGTGACGTCGTTATCTCGCAAGGTGGTGTTGTACCCTTCATCAACCCTGAGGTGCGTTGTGCTTCTTTCCATTACTGCTCGTCGCTCACTTTCTTACCTTCATATCTTTAGCTCCTCCCCAACAAGACAGCGAAGGGCAAGAAGGGCGAGTCACAGGAGGTCTAATCATCTCACATCCATCTTCTTTCGTGATATGTTCTGGTTTTGTCTGTTGGATGTATTGTGATCTGTATTTCTATCCTATTTTATCTCCATCGTTATCCTCTGCACACCTTTGCCCTGTCTGGTCTTGAGAAGCCTCAGATTGCTCATTGGTAGCAATCCTCAAGGTCTTGACTTGTACCTCCAAGGTATGTGCCCTCGTCAGCATATTGTCCCTGGTCGTTATGGTTGAACTTGGTACAACTTCAAATAATTCTGACCCGTACGCATCAGTGGTAACATTGGGTCTTCCCATGGCCTAGCTCCGGGTTGGACTCCCGGCATCCTTCCAAGTTGCATTTTGATTCACTGTCTAATAAGCTGGGTACTTGGACTCATTAGTCAGTCAGCGCTTTCACGTGGACGCACCGGGAAAGGCGAAAAGGCTGTAAGTTTCTCGACATAAGGCAGTATAATCATAAATAGCCTGCACTCTTGTGGCGTTCAACGTGTCCTTTCAAAAGATCAATCGTGTCTTACGGGTCGTCTCGAAATCCAGATGAGGACCTCTGTCTATAGAGGGCATGGACGCCCATCGATCCGGACAAAATTTGGATGTTTGGTGGTGGAAGGCCGTCCGTAGGACGGACAAATGTTGGCGCTTTTGGGGATAGGCCGTCTGCCAGTCCGGACAAAAACCCGCCAAGGCTATGTGTTTCGGTCCACCACCGGCATCGGGTCTTGCATCAGCATCAATAAGGATCAACAATGGGGATATCGAATGGGTGAGCTCTTACAAGTACGTCAGGATCATCCTCCGCAGTACCGCCCCCAACATCTTCACTTACTTCCTTCCTTCCTTCCTTCCTTCCTTCCGAGAACTACACATCGAGGGCGCTGGCTGCCCAACGAGTCGCGAACGTCACTCTCGCATGCGAATCCGTACTGGGGAGCCTTCCGCCGAAGGAAGGCTGCATCTTGTACAAGGCTCACTGATAGATCCCCTCGTCACCGACAACCTTGCCCTCTATGGACAGGGGTCCTTCCAGACGCTGACTGAAAGATGGATGAAGACAATCAACCGTGCATCTTTACTAGAGATCTTACGGACGCACTTTGCCGCGCTCAAGGAACACGTTCACTGCCCTCGGCGGCATCTGCCACTTTGAGCTGTTTCTTTTGTTCAACTTCTATAGAGTCACCGCTTTGTGCTCCCTAGATACATAAGACCATATGCCTCTTTACAAGGTACTCTCTTGTCTCCGGCTGGCCATCACTGCCTACACTCTCGTACTTGTCATCTGCTTGGCTCTGAGTCCTACTTCAGCGCTAATCTTGACAGCTCCGACTCGAACGTCGCAACGACAGCTGCAGAAATGGATTCTGAAACGATACGATATTGGGACCGAGTGATTGACAAGGATCCGGTGCGCGTAGTGGCTGCGATTCGCGATCGAGTTCAAAAACTGGTTCGTACATAGGATTTCTTTTGTCGACTTGCTTTAGCTTACTGTTTCCAATTATTTGTCGGCACTTTTCTGTGTCTACAGTCTTTCCCATACTTTTTGCTGCGATCCGTAACTCAGGCTGCTATGGCGCCTGCTGGAGCCGGGCATCAATGGCGAGGTCTGGTCCGAGCGGGTATCATCGAAGCTCTTTGTGAGGGCTTGCTCGTGGCACCCGAGAATCCACCCATGTCAGTCGGACTGGACAAGGTAAATGGAAATTTTATTATACTGTTGTCTGGTCTAACAACCCTACAGCAGTGTTCAGCATTTTATCCCTATATCAACATTTTGGAATGCTGGGATAAAAGTCATCTCGACGGTCCCGATCGTGAGCGGTATCTGGCCGCTATGAGACAATATTGGAGCAGAATTGTGCAGCGTGCAAGTCAATTCAACTGTCTCGATTTTACCGGACACTAACATCTGCCGGTTCAGGTCTGGGACAAGCCAGGATCCTCATTAGACAGGCGGCGTTTCGACGAACGCAAAGGATTCTGCCATCTTATAAAGGACTTGCACATGATGGATGAAACATTCACGCAGTACGTAACTGGTCATATTTTGCTTTTTATCATCGTTCGAAAATTCACGATGGCCCAGCATTTTCTTTACGCCGGGAGATCTTACTGTATCCGTGATCAGTCGGTTCATGACAGCCTGCACGCGAGCTGATGAGCTCAATGATTGCATTGTTGTTCTAGTCGGCACCCTTGAAGCCAATACACAGCAGGTACGAGATGCTGGCCAGCAACCTCCCGGGATTCTTGGTCGCATCCTGCGTGGAACAGGGTCTTGGGACGCTTTGTTGCTCAGGTACACAAGTTGTGTCTCATCTTCTGTGTCGCTCGTGTCAGACCTCGGCATAGGTCTACTACATTTTCTTCTCCGGAATATGCGAGAGGACTTAACGCCAGATATGGGCTTTTTCAGCGCCCTGATACAGTCCCAGACCCTATTCACCCAGTTGATCGCGTCCCTCGCTCCAGATGGCGAAATTCGTTCTCCGTTACACGGTCGATACCCACCCGGCGGATGGCAGAAATATCTTATACAGGTTACGGCACTGTTGGAAACTTGCTCGGATATAATCCTCAACAAAGTCGAGGACAAATTGGCGAAGGCGCAGTACACTGTAGGCTTTGTGCGGACCTGCATGAACACGAATCTCCTCGAGGTATTGGAAACTCTACTCAGACGTGAAAGAGGGGACGTCGCATTTATATGTAGGTCTCCTCAGTCTACCTGAATTTGGTCTATACTGATATGACGGATCGAAATCTCAACGCTAGATTGTGTTTCTGGTTTCATCCAAAATTTGACGATACTCGTCCTCGACGTACCATCCGTAATACCCTTGGTCCGTCCACACATGCCCCGCCCTCGCTTAATGCGAGAATATCTGGATATCATGTTTTCGCCCAACGACATCTTTAGAGCGCGTGCCCCAGCTGGATCTGACAGCCTGGAACCCAGCAGGGCTCTATTTCTCTTAGCAGTAAGCCGCGCGTCGACCGTATGGATGGCGATGGATGCACTAGACTACACGTGCCAGATCACTGGACAGTGCATGCGACGAGGATGTACGAGACGGAGGGTATCCCGCTGCAAGGCCTGCAAAACCACAGAGTACTGCGATATTCAGTGTCAACGCCTGTACGTTTCGATTTTCACTGTTTTTCCTCGTTCTTGGAATGAATGTGAAATTTATCGCTGTTATACCTAGGGATTGGCAAGAGCATAGATGGGTTTGTGGATACTCGAATTGTTCGGACCTAATAGAAGTGCATCCCGAAGGTAAAGCTGAGAAGCCGGACGCTCTGCCAAAGAGATTCCCCTTTCGATTTGGAGAGGTCGAGCCGTTAAAGATTGAAGAACTTATGGAAGTGTCGGCCTAATATGAAGTGAGTTGATGACAGTCTCGTTCGATTGCACGGAAAGACACTGACCTGGCTACTTTCTCCCTCGACTTCATATAAAGCATACATAGTGTATAATGTGAATTTCGAAGGACCCGACGTTGTTTGTTTAGCGGCAGAGATGACTTAGCTCGTTGACTCCCTTATGTCGTGACAATGATTCAATCGCTATGAGTCGTATTCCAGACCGATGAGACAGGGCGCCGGTCTTGTACGACGCAAAGAAATACGAAGCTCGTTTCATTCGGAGGTAGTCAAGACTAGCACTGGCATTGACATTAGCTAACCGGCTAATACCACCATACCGCTTGTCCAAACCGGAAGGGGAATCTCTCCGGTGGTGAAAGGTCAGAGGCGCAATGTCTCTCAACAGGTCTCCCTCCAGGAACATCCCGAAACCCACAGATCATCCGGTGTTCTGGCCAATCTCTGCAACAAAAGGTCCAAGTTAAACTCTGTCATTGTTCTCATGCAGACCGACACACAAATGATGAAAAACGCACTGATTCTGACATGCCACACTGCAGTATTCTGCCATCTGACAGTCTTTACATCTTGCACGACGTCGGTTCGCGCACCCTCTACGCATGCACCGACGGTTCACATGGCATCGACGATGGAGAGCATCTAAGAAGATCCATCCTGCTCGTGTTGCCCGTGCCGGCTCATGACTATCCTGATAGTCTTGGCGAAATTGTAGATCCTGACCGAATTCTACTTCCAATAATGCTCGCAAGAGAAGAGGACGCGGGAGTCGGCGGCGAATGGATGGTAGCACGGATGGGGCTTCCCCAATGCGGTAGTAAAACTCCTTCACGAGATCTGAGATTATGTCTTGAAAGAAATGTTGAGCCCATGGCGACTTCTGTTGAAATGATATCTGCTCACCAGGTGCATCTTTGATTATCTCGCGATGATGAACGAGTACACGCTCGAAAGCTTCGAATAAACCCGCATGGCAGCAAGTCTCCATGAATGCCTTTGTTTCGCGGGAGGTCGCTCCTCTGTCACCTAGTCGATCCATACACACCAGAGTAAGCTGCATGCTGTCCATGAACAGCGAATCTATCTCTTCGCCAGGTTGTATTGAGCCGGTGTCTTCATCATACGTAAATCTTGAAAACAGGGCGGAGAACAATGTTTTCGAATGAACCAGTGCATCGAGGAATTCTCTATCAGGACGTGGGCCCCAGCGCGTTCGTCTGCAAATTATCCAGAGCAGGCCGATGCCTTCAAGCAACATATCGATGGGAAGCACTTCAACCATGGTGGCAAAGCGGTCCATGAACAAAACGAAGGACCGGTTGGGAACTCCGCACACCAGGCGCTCTAACATGTCCGGAGCTCTTTCGTCTGCTCGTCCATTAGGCAGGCCGACAAGCTTCGTTAGGCAGATTGAACAGAACTTGAAGTCCAATGGGTCCCGAGAGCGCATGAGAAAATATGATATGAGCGAGACGGTCCGATCATCTGGTGCGTTTACGATTCTGGAGGTCCATCAATAGAAAGCATAGTTTTATGGAGGACGGTCACAGACCTTGAGAATTCGGAGTCTTCTCCGATGAAACGAAGTATCAAGTTCACAAAGACCATACGCTGATTGAGGGGCACGTTGATCTTCAGGAGAAGTTCTTCCCATAGCTAGGGTCAAATCCAGGCAACACAATTGTTTTAAGTCGGTTGGCACGGAGGAGGGAGTCAGTAGTGAGGTAGCACCCACTCACACGGATTGTGAGCCTTGTCCAGAACTCCTTCATGCTGACAAAGCCGTCCTTCAAGATAGTAGGCTCGTAAGCATCTGGGGCCCTGCTGAACCCGAACACTAATGGCAGTATAAAGAAAAAGAACGTTCCTGGCGACTGGTATCATCTGGTCAGCGGGCCTGAGAGCATATGTGCGCAGAGGCTTACATCGTTCTCGCCGGGACGTAGGTGTGAACTGTAAGGTGCGTGGAGGGCACATTCACAAAGCTCTTGGACAATGCCTGCTTGCACAAGACGAGGCCATGGCGAGCCTGGTACGCTTTCGGCAGTGTCTGAAACAGCAAAAGTAACTGCAGCAAGTGCCTATAAAGTCGAAACCCACGAGCTGTTAGTATCCTTGAGACAATATCATATCGGTGCGTCTAGTATGCGACTGGCCTCCAGACTCTGGCCAACAGGAGTGCGTTCTCTTGAATCCCGGAAATGTGTGACAACACGAGCTGGGTTCTGGTCGATGACGCGTCTCCAGTAGGATATAGCCGAATAACTCATCGTCGTGGATGTGTCGCGAATGGGTATAAGGAACAGGAGCAAGCTAGGATAGAATCTTTGAGAGGAGCGGCGTGTATTTCCTTTCCTTTCCAGTTCGGACGGACCTCGCCGAAGCGTTCTAACACTTGCCGGCTATAGCCGGTGACTGTGGCGGGGTTCACGTTCAACGTTCAAGGCTCGCCGCTCATACGCTTTTGTAGTTCAGACCTATAGGATCGGAAGACAGTCGTTCCCTTGCGAGTTCACCCAAGCAAAGAGTAAACAGCTCAGGTGGATTCTATCGTAAATAAGAGGATACAAACAAAGAGACATCCATAATATATCATGTCGAATACATATGCAACTTCATCACGAATTCTTTAACACTTCAGGCGCCGTAAACGCGATGGTTCTTCTCGTCAGCGAAGGCGGCACCGCTGAATCCTCACTCGACCTCGCGAGATCAAAGTCTTGCTGCGTCGTCGGACTTTCCGTTCTATAATCTACATCTAGTTGAAACCCGGGCATGATGGACATCTCGTCGGACTCCCGGGGTGTTGCTGCTCCAGATACCGGACGAGACGATCGTGGGGAGTACGTGCCATCACCAGTGATCGTGGGGTCAGATTTTGGATGTGTCCATATTCGTACGCCACCATCGTGGCTTCCAGTGGCGAAGATGAAAGGGTCAGCGACGGGGTTCCAGGCAATGCACGTCAAGTCACCACCCAGAGCCTGTGAGCGAATATGATGTAACAATGACCCGGATTCGCGATCCCAAACGTGGATGTCGCCAGCTATGCACATCACAGAGTACGTGGATGTCAGAATGCACTGTTTACAGAATGAAGGTGATGTACTAACCTTTACCGGCGCATAGTACGAGTTGATCGTCCTTTCCACCAAAGTAACTGTGTCCAGCGAAGTCCACGGGGTACTTCGGGAAGTATGTATGTCGAAGGGACAGTCGTGTCGTAGAGTTTGGGACCGAATTATCGTTTTGGGTTTGTCTACTCCGATCTTTGACGGTTTCCAGTTTCCATAGTTGTGGTGGTGCCTATTAAAAAATTATTATATACAACGAGCTACATGCGGAATGACAAAGGGAGCGAACCTGATACTCGTAGCTGACGAGAGCGAATTGACCGTTGCGTGCTAAAGTAATATCTCGAATGTCATGTAAGACTGGTACTTGGCTATTGCTGGTGATTAGAGGTGTAGTACTCCGGGAAACAGAATGAAAGCTTACTTTTCGATCTCCTTTTTGTCTAGGTTATACGCTGATAGACTGAGGGTAAGCCATAGATCCTGCCAGCATTGAAAGAGAATACGAACAAATGATCTGCTTCTCAGCCTGACATTTGCTGGGTTGTAAGCCATCTAACGATGACTGCAGCGTACCAACACCCAGCAGGCGCTGTCCATCTGGTGTGACCGTGACATCGTGGATAGTCAGGCGGTCGAAATGATATGTATCTAACACCTTTCCGGTCAGATCCTGTTAACCAAGGTCACGTCATAGTCAGCGAAAGCGGCAAGAGCGGCAAGCCGAAGTTCGTACTAGTTTGACGACATCGCCACCTTCCACTGACATGAATGCTAGGAGCGAAGCAAAGTCAGCCGTGCGAACTCTTCACGTGAAATAGAAAAAAGTACCTTCACCGCCTGGCATCCAACATATGGACTGTACAGATCGATGACGGTCGATCGTCTTCGTACACACTCCCGACTGAACAAAAAAAGACAGTTCAATAATAACACAACCGACGACTCACTGAAATGAACATACCACAGTCCAAACTTTGATGGCCCGAGTCAGCTTGGTGAGAAGCATGTTGCCGCTCGGCGACCTAGACATCCAGCTATAAGCGAGATGGCAGAGGAAAAGATGAGCGGAGAGCGAACCATGCAACTTGACTGACAAAGCCTTGGGGATGTGCAAGTGTTCGATGTGGCGTGAATGGATCCTAAGTGGGTGGTTAGATGAATACACCGACATGATGAATTCGGATGAATACCATACTCCCACATTGAAAATGACGGATGTTCTATCCCAACTACGGAAGCGAACCCGTCAACACTTTATATATATATCAAGCAACGCAAAGCAGCTCACCTAGATGTCGCCAAAAACTTCCCATCCGGCGAGAACTGTAAATGCCTAACCAACGCCGAATGCGCCGCCAAATCCTGCGTCGTCTCCATCACCCTCAACTTCGGCACCAGACTCGCCACCCTCGAGCTCCTTACCGGCAAATGGCTCGTCATCCTCCTCTCCTTTCTCCGCACATACCCGTCCGAGCCCGACGCGGAGTTCGACATCGTCCTCTGGTGTCTCGAGTCTAGCCCGCTGGCACCGGTCATAGTGCGCATCATCATGACGTTTCGAACGGCGTTGGCGAACCGAGTGCGACCCGGGCTCATAGGTGTAGCAGGAGGACTGGACGGACCGGGGCTGGGTGACTTTTCGGATACGAATTCGAGGGTGGAGGAGATGGTGGGCGAGGTCGGCGAAGTGGGTGATTTGGGATCGAAGGTGAGGCTCGTATTTCCGCCCAGTGTGGTGGTGAATTGTGTGGTTCCGGAACCGCGGCGACTGCGCATAGAGTTCAAGACGGGGTCGGGTACGTGTCCTGCGCTGGGCAGAGAGGTCTCGGATGCGGTCATGGTGAGGTTTGGTGAGGATGATGACCGGGAGAAGAGATTAGCGACGGCTGAACGCGTTGTGAGGGCTCCGTCTCGCGTTTGATGGGCTAATGTGATGAGGGAGTAGGATATCTTAGAATAGACAGTGAGGAGGATGGTATACAACCACGAGAACGGGGGCATAGTGGTGAATCTCTCCCATATGTCGTCGAGGGAATCTTGCAGCCACTTCTGACCCTTGTGGCGACTAAAAATCCATCGTTCGGAGGCGAACCAGACGGACACGGCTGCCAGGCCGAAGCTACTGCAAGCGGTAAATACGGTCGTAATAGTACAGACGACAGGGTTCTGCACGACATCGATCAGCCATCTTCCTCTACCGAAAGCGTAGTGTAGAACTTACCTGTCCGGAAGAATACGAGAATAGGACGAGTCCCACTGAGAAACAAGCGACGGATAGGACCAGAAAGACCAGTGGCGAGCGCTTGATCCAAATGAGAACCCACCAGGGGACGCGGTGTCCAGGAGACCGACTGTGATAAAGCATTAGCTGCTGCATCTGTCAGCTTACACTATGTACGTACTACATGGCCTGTTTCCAGGTCAATCCCAGCAAACTATTGACGGCAGCCGCGATACTGAAAACCATCGATGTGAACCAGAAGGCCTAATGAGAGTTAGTCCCGCCTCAGACGCGCCCACGAGATTTCCACATACATTGACGAGGTCTTGCCTGTGAAATCAATCAACATTACACCTTTAGTCTCTCGGTCAAGAACCTGGAATGGAGTGGATTGAATGTGTACAAGGGTTCGCCGACGGAGGCATACGAGAATTGGAGCGTCGTGGCTGTGACGGCTGAGAAGAATGTGGCGACTGTCGATAGGTTGAGCAGGTTGCTGGCCCCGTGTTTTTGTGCAAATCGGATGGTCGGAACGCCTGTTATGTGGTATGAGCGAGCTACTTCATTGCCCACGGAGTGTGCGGTAAACGTACCAATCTCAATAAACATAGACAATGATGTTGTGATGGAATCGATGTGGTCCCCGATCTCTGAAGATAAATCGTGAAGATATCGTTGAACTGCAGGATACCGAAATTGTCCTGCAAAGCACAACGTGAATATCGCTTGGCGCAGAAACAGCCTTTGCGAACGAGCAGACCTTCATACGCCTTCAAACATGATGCCCAATACTTCCATACGACGTCAGTTTTTTTTGGAGAAAGGCAAATAAACCCCTTGGAATCGTCATACCTTCAAGTCGCCCTCAAACGCCACAATAGACGCATTCACCGCCTCATCCGTAAACTCCGGAAACTCATTCAAGCAATGCAAAAACGTGATCACATCATGCGCCAGCTTCCCAATCTGCGTCGGAAACTCCTCAGGGTCCAACTTATCGAACACCATCGGTCTCCGCACATGTGGCGGCGCCTTACTCTTCCTCCTCGTGTGTCTGTGGGGGATCGCACCGTTCTTCATGCTGAGCGCATCCTTCTGTTGATGCGAGATTTTGCGAGGGAAGAGGTCGGCTGCGTTTTCGCGGAAGAGGTAGGAGATTTGGGTGAGGCGCTCGCGGAGGTGGAAGGCGGAGGAGAGGATGCCGACGGAGCTGCCTAGTTGGCGAGCGGCGTTGGAGAAGTTTCGGAGCTGCGGATGTGTGGTAAGAGCGAGCTACGCGTGTAAGATAGTGTTCAGAAGCGGTATACGGACCTCTTTGTCCAACGTGTTGATTTTTCTGAGCCCCAATTGAACGCGTGAATATCCTCATTCTGTCCAAATCCAGAAGAGGAAACTCGAAAGACACACCTCTGAAACCGATGAAAAGCTTCCGCACCAACTTTTTGCAAGTGCTCGTCGACAGTCGCTGCCCAACCTGATATCAACACCAAGCACACCTCCTTCGATGTCCAAGACAATTGGCAGTGGCACTTACGGACGTCATGATCTCCCTCAAAGTTTGGTTGTTGATTCGCTTCTACGGAAGCAAAATGAAACCGCACACCGATCGGACCCAAGCCAACCATAACGGAAACAACAAAGCAGCAGCAAGACGCACCATGTGTCCCATCCACCAACGAATCCTCCCTACTCAGCTCCTGCAGCGCATCCAACAACGTCAACAACGTCTGTCTCCTCTTCGCGTTCGTGTTCGTCGCGACCGGCGGGGCAGTCACTGGGTCGTCCGGTGCCGCCGTTACGTCGTTTGGGTACGCGGCTGTTTCTACTCGAACACCTCCAAGAATGAACACAATCTGTATGGGTGTCCGTGAGGGTTGAAGCACTCACCGCGCGGCATAATAATTTCTTGATAATCTCCTCTAATTCGTTAGGTTGTGTGCGTATCGGCAAGTCGTTCACAAAGTCGTACAGCGTCTAAATACCCGGCGTTCGTCGTTATTGATGGTGGCAGTCGAAGAATTTTGATCCGTGCTGCGTTCTATCTAAGCATAGACCAGCGCTGGCCAATCAACTCAAGTCCTCTTAATCTCCCAAGTAGATGCACAAAAGAAAGCGAAAGGAACAAAGATGAGCGTGCCGCAGATGATAGAAGTTCAAGTTGAAGAGTCGTGAGCGCGAAACTATAGATTAGCTATAAGAAGGTCTCCGAAGAAAACGAGGCAATTGAGGCGAGGCGAGGCGAGGAGTGCCAGTGCGTGGCGGGGTCTTGCCAATGGGCTGCTGTAAAGGACAAAAGGGGTCGCAAGTACGTTACGGCGAGCAAGGCCGACGATAGCTTTGGCGATCACACCTCGACTCGACACTCCTGCTACTGCTACTAAACGCGCGGCACGGACACGGACATTGACGAGTCCCTGTTGACGTTGATTGTCCGACTCCGGTGCGTGGATTTCGAATTTGTGCGACAATTACGTCCGAGTCCTTAGCGCCGCCGCGAGGCTTTCCAGAAAATGCCGACGGTCTCGAATCGGTAAGTATCTCGGAGGCAAGGGGGAGCTGAGGAGAGCATCGTACGGGGGCATGCAGTGGAAGTGAAGTGAGGATGAGGAGCGGTGGGACGATTGTCAAGGCCACCGGCACAGGATCGACTCGGAAATAGGTTTCATTCCAAGCGAGGGGGAGGACAAATGCAATTATAAGTAACAGCAACAGCGTGTACATTCTACACAACATATGGCAAGCAGGCAAAGCAGCAGTCTCGATCTCATCTCATCTCATCGCTATGACGCCTGTAGCAATGGCATGACGGAACACAGCGACATAATTAAATAATTTAGCATGCAATTGTTTACGAGCCCTCCGAGAGTGCAAGTCGAGTCAGCCGGACCTGGAGAAATGAACGAAAAAAAACAAACAAAAAATCGATAATTTAGATGCATACACACTCTTTCCCTTTCACATCCCCACTGGCACCTTCGACTCTCACTCCCCTTCCGACCCAATAATCCCCTTCGGCACCTTCTTCAACTCAATCTCCATCACCTTCTTCACATCATCCAACGACATATCTCCCGAAGCCTTCACCAATATGCTCAGCTCCTCGTGCCCGTCCACCGACGGTCGCTGGCTTATGGCCTTCGCGACGGGTCCGGATGTCGCTGTGAACATGGAGCGGGAGGCGGTCGTGGGGTTTCGGGCGAGGTATTCGTCGAGGGGGAGCATGGAGACGCGACGTTGGAGGAATTCGAGGAGGCGGAGTCGGAGGGCTGTGGTCAAAACGAGACGGGATGAGAGGCGGCGGGGTGAGTATGGTCAGAGAGAGAAAGGGTAACATAACGATGGAACGTACGATACGGATTGGCTTTGATTGAGGACTGTTTGAAGACCGTGAGTAAGCGTGCACGACGGGTAGGAGTGGGTATATTGATCTTCTACTCACCCATAGATGTGCTGGCGCCTGCCAAGGGTCCTCCGGGTGCTTAGCGTTGTGTTCGTTCAGTTGTTCCAATATACGGTGTAGCATGGCCATGAACGAGTATGTCGACCGGTCCTCCATTTCACCCCAGTCGAAAAAGGAAACCGTGAGCCAGTTCAGCGTGCGCTCTACACCGCACGAAATATAAAAATTAGTAAAATATCTCGGGGACGAGATACGAAAGGAACATACCCTTGACCGACCAGTCCAACATCCAAACCCCACATAAAATCGAATGCTCCGGAATAAACGCATTCGTCCGTTTCGTATTAAACGCGATCCTACACGAGCCTTACTTAACGTTGTCCGACAAAGCGATCAAATGACTAAGAACACGCACCATTCCTCCGCGGTCTTGTCCACAGACCTCTCCTTCGTCCACTCCGGCTTCGACTTATCCCGCCTCGCTCGTGCGCGCGCCCAGGTGAGTGCGACGAAGGGTTTATGATGCGGGGACATTGGTGGGTCGCGGAAGAGGTTGCGTGCTGTGAAGCCCATGGAGATGATTTTGCGTTCGATGTCTTCGTACGTGCTTAGGCCTTTTCTCAAAAAAAAAAAAATCACGATTGATGAATTTGTGAGCAACGCAGAGGGTCGATGAGACTGACCTGGCGAGTGTTCGAGAACCTGGCCATTGTGTCAGTCGGTGGCTGCTTATATGTTGAAGGGACTGAAGAGGAGGAGACTGACCTCTGGGATAGCCAGTTTCGCGAGTTGATGCTCTTTCCAGAAATTATTGATCACTTCCAGGAGTTCCGGGAGTTCCGGACGGCCTTGCACGTCCTGCGGGAGCTCCCAAACCGCCATCTCCATATCTCTCGCTCCAAGGCTGCATATGAGGTTTATTAGCAGGGGTAAGAAGAAGAAGAAGACTGGCAAAACAAGAACACGAACCTGACATGGGACAGCTTGCACGTCTTTCTGTTCTCTTGGAAGAGTTCCTTGCATCGCCACTTGCCGATACCTAATCTCGTTGAGCCCCCGCCACAGTTCGAGCACCTAAAAGGGAAGCGAGATCGGTGTTCAGAATCACAGTTCAGCGTCCCGCGGGGGGCGAGTTGGCGAAAGAGCGGACGGGAATGTGTATGCCAGCGTACATACCGTTTATATTTCTGCGAGCAGGGCACACAAATAACCTAAACACGACCACGACATCCGTGAGAACACTTGCAAGTGTACACTTCAAGCCGAGGGAAGTCAACCCTGCGGTGCCAGGGCTTCGTCCACACAACCGTGGACCAGGTCGCCTTTCCAGAATAAATAGGTAGAGTATAAAGGACGCGAAGAGGCATACCTCGACCGTGAAGCTCAGTTGGCCCCTATTCTTCGCCAAAAATCCGCCCTGACCCCTAACCCTTGTGCAGACGCTGCACGTCGTCGGCAACGTCGTGTCCTCCACCTGATTCGTCCTCTTCCTGCTCGCCGTCCGCGGGAACACCGAGACGCAGTCGCTGCATTCGAAGTGCATCTGGTAGGGTACGTCGAGCTCGGTGCGGTTCCCTCGGAGGATGAGTTTGACCATGACTTTGGAGCAGTGGCGACATTTCGCGTCGTGTTCTTCGACGATTAGGGCCTCTTTCTTGGGCTTCGTTTTCGCGCTTTTACGGGGCGTGGATGTGGATGTTTTGGGTGTCGTCGTCGAGGCAGAGGCGGCAGCAGGAGGTGAGTCGGAAGGAGCGTCGGGTGTGCTCGCGGGCGAAGCGCTCGTCGTAGCGCCCATGGGGGAGATCGCTGAGGACGGGAACAAGTCGAATATACTGCCGAGGGATTGCGACTGCGACTGCGGGGTGAATGCGGTGGGTAGGGTGGGTAAAGAGGACGATGAGGCGGGTGGGGAGATTTGATTCTGAGCGGGATGGGCATGGGGATGCATCCCCAGCTGTGCCAATGCGAGCTCTGCCTCCCGTTGCTTTCGAAGTTCCTCCTCCGTCCGCCGTCGTTCCTCAGCGATCGAGAGCTCTAGCTCTCTGATCCGACGTGTCTCTCGCAGGACCTCGAGTTGGATGGAGGCATCTGAGCCACTGCTCTTGTATTGTTGGTGCGTCTGCTCTGTAGGACCTGCATCGTGTTGAGCTAACGATCCAGGAAAACCCGCATGCCCATTTACGGAGGGGTCAGAGTGGGGAGCGCCCTCGAGGAAACGCATGACGTCCGTGGGGTCGAGAGAAGAGGGAGTCGAGTATGTCGAAGTCCATGAGGGATCATGATGTTGACTCTGCTGGATAATAGCGGGATTGTTGTCGAGGTTTGTTGTTTCTCCCGGCTGCGAAGGAAGGAGAGACTGCCAGTGGTCGTAGTTGAGGTTGACGTCGGGCTCGGGATGGGTGTGGGATTGCGGCCGTTGGTTCGTGTTGAAGGATTGCTGAGAATAGTAGTCGAAGTGGTTCATTGTAACAGCGGCCGGCCAGGGGTCGTAGTGCACGCGCACGGGCTCGGGCTGCACGGCAAGGTAGTAGTGTTTTGGTCAAGGACGTAGTAGCCTTCGAAGGGTAAAGGTTGTAGGCTGCAGACAAAGGCCACGATGAGTTTCAAAATTCAAGTCATCCGACGACTTCCTTCATCCTCTACTCTGACCACCGTACACACGGCCGTCCCTGCCCGGCGGTACTTGCAACGCAAGCGCATCATGCCGATCATACCGTAAATCTTTGTCTTCCCCGACGTTGTTCACCGCGGCGAACGACTCATATCAAGCATGGCCTTTTCGTACAGAAAATAAAAAGGTTTTTGTGCTATTTTCTAAGTCGGGTGATCCGAATTTCGCTCACCGAGTTGGTGTAAAAGCGCGCGCTTTGCTAAGTATGACACGTTCTTCCAGCTCACCTTTGGAAATATGATGAGATTACAGTCGTTTGCATGTCATTCTGGAACCGCGGCGCGAGAACAGTTGTTTGGTCTGAACAAATACGTGACTGTCGGCCACCGGCCCGGATGTGTATCCCTGCAAGACGACTGGGCTCACTCAGTCCTTCCCTCAACCAACGTCCACACTATCCATACTGATACACACCATTCTATTTTGTGTTAATCTTCACACACAATCACCTGCTGCTTGACCTCTCCAATTCATCCTACGCCTGCTAGGGACATACACTGGGTAAATCGGCTGGACGATATATTGGGCCACCCTTCCTCTTCGATCGCAGTCTCAACCGACAATTCCGCTTCGTTACTATCATCCTAACAGTCCCAGGCAACGCAAAATTGGCGACACGAGGAGCAGCCTCAATGGTCGCCAACGCTGTGTGGTAGAAGATGTGAATGCATAGGAGGGATGTTCGTGCGCTAGAACTTGGGTTGACGAGAGGGACATGATACGTGGGTACGTTGCCCTTTGTGTGGGAGTGAGCGGCGAGATGTTGAAACAAACGTGAGCGGGGGAAGGACTCTGAGAGGAGTGTAGCCGTGTCCCTCCGCTGAGGTTGTTTCAGCTCTGGTTCATATCCTCGGGTGCGTTTCTTGCTTTTGGAGCACAGCAACTTCCCTTCCTCCTAGCTGTACCGACCAACACTGCTCTCAATCTCTACTCGCCAAGTTAACCCTCCAAACAAGCTTGTCAAAGCCGAATCACCAACATATGTTCCTAATGTAACACGGGCAAAGATCTGCTCTTCTCCAGCTATATCTCCGTCCCATTCAGTCTCGAGGAAAGTTCTCGTTCGTGTCGAGATAACACTCCTGTTTGTTGACTTCGAGAGCTTCCCATCTGTCTGCCTCTCTTCTCTCTCGTGTACCCGCGTTCATTCCGTGCACAGTTGCCGTCTGTACTTGATTCTTTGACTCGATTTCTGTCATGCGAGGATATGCTGTGCGTCCGAAAACATCTGCCCCGCCGTAGTGTTTTATGTAGAAATATATTCCTCTTATCGTTCCTCATCTCTGAGTCATCCTCACAAGTTCTCAACCCGCAAGCACTATGATTGCAAGGCAAGTAGAAACATGAATGCTCGAGCATGGCAGTCACTTCAAACAACGCGCCACTGTGGCGCCCAGTGACCTACCGTGACTGTTTGGTCAGACCAAACAACATTTCTCGCGAGGCGAATCCAGAATGACATGCAAACGACTGTAGGAGGCTTCTGAAGCTTCTCAATCAATTAAATCCAAGGATATACCTTGTTGCTAACAAAGCCGGTCTACTACGAAGCATCCTGGCAGCGTTGAAATGGACGCGGCCAGGGGGCACAGCGCTGCGACTCACCGGGCCGCTGGATTCCGGCCCTGCACTGCACTGGCTGCCGTACCTGTTCTGTTCCTCCAAACACCGATACCCTTTGCTCTCGCCCCCCTTTTTCGTTCCCGAAATTCACGCTGATACTGGGCTTTGTTACTGCCCACTCTTTCTCTAATTTCTTTTCATGGCGACATTGACGAGGGTGAAGAGCGAGTCTCCTCACCACGATCAGCCATCTACGTTATCGGGCACTATCCCCGCTCCGTTCTCTCTCGAGGAACGCGCTCGAATCCTCGGCCAGCACACTTCCGAAGGACAACATGAACCACAAACCTCGTTCCGAGAGGATGCGCAAACGACAGTCGAAGATCAGCCGCTCGCATCGTCCAGCAGCACGACTCAAGTCAGTCTCGCTTCCTCGCTCTCCTCTACCCAATTAAACATTCAGACCCCCATATTCCAAAGGACGTGATCCCCTCGATAGCGTACGTACAAAATTCGGCCCTCATGACGCTCAACGACCTACTCTCTTCCTCACCCGAATGGCGCACCATCGTCCCAGACCGCCGACACTCCGTCCCCGCTCACGCGAGCTCGTCAAAGTCCAAGTCTGCCCCACTCGACTCGATACAGCCCAAAGCCGCGCTCGAGACCCTGCTTTCTAACCTGCGCAGTCGCGAGATGGAGGGTGGTGATGGTGGCGGAGAGATGGTGGAATCACGGATGCCGACGGATGAGGCCGGTATGCTATACGAACTCCAACACCGAATCGATACCCTCGTTCCGTCCCTCTCAGCCGAGAACGCAGAACTCGCCGTAACACTAACATCCCTCCTATCCCACCTAAACCGCCTGTCCGCCATCGACCTCTCACCCACATCGTCTCCACCCCCATCATCGGGATCATTCCACGACTCTGATTTCTCGGCTGATGTGTTCGACACGCTTTCGAGACAACTGAGCGACTTTCAATTCCAGAGACTTGCTGCTCAAAGAACTGATGTGCCCGAAGAAGGTCTGCCGCCTGTCGTTGCTGTGGAGAAGGCGCTGTTGTGGACGAGGGTGGACGAGAATCTCGAGACTGTGCTTAGGCTTTGCAGGCAGCGGACGGAGGGTATTCCTCGTCAGGATTATCTACCCCCGCAGTACGATATCGGAGACTACGAACTCGATTCGGAGGGTCCGCCGGAGTACGACTATGGGAGTGCGATAGCATATCAGGAGAAAGAGAAGGTACAGGCATCGTCTTCGACGGCGCCGCCACAGCAGGACTCGAACACGAAAGATTTGAGCGAGAAGATGCGGTTGGATTTGGACGCGGTTACGATGGCTATCGATCGGCTGTATCTCGTCGCTCCGCAACTGCATAATCAACGCGTCGAATTACGGTCGTCGAAGCGGGAGGAGCTGGAGAGAGCGGCGAGGTCTGCGGGGCCTTCGTCGCATGATTTGCAGAAGAGGAAGGAGAGGGAGTTGGACGACTTGCTTGGGAAGATCGGAAAGGCGTCGGAGAGGAAACTCGTGAATCAGACGGTTGTGCTGGAGGGTGGGATGAAGATGCAGATGGAGAGGGCCCGTCAGCGAGACGTGCAGAAGGTACTTTGATTATTCCTCCCATCGAAGGATGATATCAATCTCTGTACTGACCACTGCAATAGCGCCAAGAATTCGTAGAGAAGCTCATGGAACACTCCGCCGGTGGTCGTCTGAACTCACAAGACGCAACATTCACCCTCCCGAAAGTCAAAGACCCACACGCCCTCCTCACCCTCCCAGAATTCATCCGCGAATCCGTCCCCAAGTCGATGGAAGCCCCTCCCGATCCACAACAGATGATGACTCTCCCCGAATTCGTGCGAGATTCGCAGCCGAGTACGAGTAGCAGCAGTCCGCCTTCGTCAGCAGTGCCCGAGCGTCTGTCTCGTCGCAAGTCGAGCAAAGGCCTCCGGAGCAGGAGTATGTCTGCGCCAGCTCTAAATTGGTTGAGGCCACGGACGTCTTCTGAAGCTACCCGGCCAAAGTCCAACCACCAGAGTCGACCCACATCCAGTTCATCACGGCCAACAGGTACGTATCTCCGCTGCTGAAACCAAATGAAACCGTCGTTTTTGACCTTGTGTTCCCGTAGAGCTGGACGTCGTCTATGTTGCAGAGCACCACGACAACCTTCACCATATCCTCGCATTCCTGACCGTCTCCGGTACAACCCCCGGTGTCCCCCTCGAAGCCGAAGTCCTCGACTCTTCACCACCCCGCCTCATCCTCCGCTCTTCTTCCACCATCTCACCTCCCCTGTCTCTCCCTGCCCACTGCCCACCCGGTCCACGCGAAGTCAGAGCCCACGAAACACACTACGAAATCAAACTCTCCACCGCCGCCACCGTCCACACCCCTACCACCCCCTCCGCCTCCGCCCCCTCTTCCCTCCCCCTCATCGACGCAACCCAACTCCTCTCCACCTCCCCCACCTCCTTCATCTGCGCCTCCTGCTCGCTCCCGCTCGTCCAAAGCGCGAAAATAACGCGGTACGACGACCTCCCGAGCGAACATTGGGGCGAACTCGTCGATGCGTGGATGTGTCATGCGGATCAGGGGTTGAACGAGCAGGTCGCGAGGCATGCGAAGGGGGGCTTTTGGCCGGAGAGGGGGCAGGCGCTTGTTGGGGGGAGTTATATACTTTTTGAGGAAGGTGCGGTGATGAGGAGTAATTTGTGGACGGCGGGGAATGTTAAGGTACGTAGATTTCTCCTCCTTTCGTTTCTTCCACGACTTTCTCTACATCTTGGATTTCTGGTTACGACTACGCTACACAACGAGTGGCGCACGGACGAAAAGAAGGCCGGCGTTGGGTTTCCTACCAACGGCCGTTCGTCCACCTTCGTCAGACCGTCCTCGAGCCCTTACCAGAGCCCGTAGCAGGTTCTGTTCGGTGTTCTTGGGGACGTTTGTCTGACGAAGTGTTGGGCGACGGCAAGCTCTGCTTCTGGCTGATACAAAGTGTCCAAGATTGATTGGAGGAGAGGGTGTCTCGGCATCTCTACTACTCTGGTGTCTCGTCTAACAACTCTCGTGCTGCTGAGGTACACGTCTGCGGGAGCTACGCGCGAGGAAACAGATTTACTTTTCGGGTTTCGTTTTCGTTTTCGTTTATACTTTCACGTTTCGGTTCCGGCTTTGTTATGATTTAGTTTTCGTTTCGAAGATGTGCGCGTGAGCTGACTTGGATCTGTTTGTGGGTGTGGCTTTAGCATGAAGAAGACTGGAAGTCCGTGCGATGCATATGTGGATCGTATGCCGGGCGCTGTCAGGACTACACGAACACGGAGGGCGAGAAAGTCGTCGTGTACAGGCTCGTCAAGTATGCTATCCGGCCTGTAAGCCTTTCGGCCGAGTACGTCTCGTTTTCCACCCATGCCTTACGTCTCATCTTCCTCCCGTGCTTTACCATCCATGTCCATCTGAAGTTGACTTTGGCTATGATCTTGGTAATAGGTTGAAACGTATACCGCTATCTGCGTTCATCGTAGAAGATATGATGGAGTATGTGCAGGCGCATGCGACATATCGGTTCTACGTCGTGGATGAGGAAGAGGAAAAGCCAAGATTACTCGTTCGTGTTTCTCGCGCTTTCTTCTGATTTGTTTCATATAATAGTACTAAGTATACCGGTAATGATTGTAGGTGTGGCTCTTCAAACCGAATATCCGACTCTCCTATCTCGCTCCTTCGTCATATTCCATTCCTAGGAGGGGGACCATCCAGGCTGCGAAAGTCCTCTTCAAGATATTGGGTCCAAGTCCTAGTTCACTTGATATATCTACGTGCGTTCTGTGTCTTGTTTCTTTCGTCTTTGTGTTTTGTCATTTGTAACATCGCTGAAACGAAACCTACGTGTTCATAAACTAGTGTCTTGGAGGAATTCCCCGGATTTCCACAAGCAGAGCAGTTGCTATATCCCATGGAAGTCTGCCGGAGGCTCGCGATTGTTCTCCGGGAGAGCAATAAGTGTTATCCAGAGCCGATGAGGACGATGACGGGGCTTGATGTTGGGTGGTTGCTTCGCGCGTGAAGTCTTGGGAATCTGTACTGGGTACGGTCGTCCTTCTTGACGTTGGATCCCTCGTTTGTCGTGCACCTTTTTTTGCCCTTTCCTTTGGTTGACGGTTAGACGGAGGGGTATACGTATAATTCGGTAGAAAATATGCAGTATACAGTGTTGCTCTCAGAGTCTGATCCAGCTTCCCTCCTTATCGATTCCTTCCCCTGGACCTATACCGCCTGACCTTTGAATTCGCCGTACACTCTACAACTCATTGTTCTTTCCCCTTTTTCTTGTCACATCTAGGTATTTATCACAATTTCTTATGTCTGCTTGCTCACTTTTACTTCCTCTGAACCTCCCCGTGCTAACGGTGCCAGACGGGGGAGAGTGATTTCCGAACGTTGCATCTTCAAGTGATGGTGGCTGACGAGCGTGCAGGTCGCGAGGTAGATGTATCCGCACTTCGCCTATGCGCACAGCCCATCGTTCTTGTTTGCTCAACTCTTTTATCTCTTTTAGGGTTAGGCTGCGAGACGATTGGACGGCGTGCCCAACAGAAATACTAGCATGGCTTGATGGTGTCGATGTCGCGCATCAACTAACTGTGCTCTGCCCTCATTCGTCCCCCAACTACCTCAGTGATGCGATTCGAGGTTCTGGTCCGTGATGCGGCCTCTATTTTGTGCTATATGCATGCTTAGGGCCGTACACCCCTACTCGCACCAAGTGCATGGTGACCACATATATAAACGCTCGGGTTAAAAATAGTTATCGGTGCACGCTTGCGACGAATTTAAGCACTGTTGTGGCTGTTCCGCCCCTACGATCGACATGATGCACTGGCTCACTTTGTTTGTGGAGGGGCAATTGAAGTTTTGTCGCACTTGACCTTTAGTGTACTCCTCCGTTTGATGCATCACCTTATTCTCTTCACTATCGAATGGAATCCTGTGCAGATAGTTTGGGCCATATAAACTGAAGGATGAGACTGGCTGGATAATTCGCCAACATGGTTCGCTCACTTTTAGGTCTTGCATTCCTCGGTCTCCCCCTTGGCTCCCTTGCAGTCACTCTCAGCGGGAACTATGCTCCAACTTACATCCAGGTGCGTCCTGCTCTCCCGTTGCCTCTGACACGAATGTTTCTGATGTGGCGGTCAATTATAGTGCCCGTCAGGGGAGAGTTATCTGCGCCCCGCGTCCGCAGGGCTCTCGACAGAAGAAGCCACTTGGCTTGCAAAGCGCAAAGAAAATGTCGTCGAGGGGCTCGCGTCCTACCTCACCACCGTCGGTATCCAGGGCTTTGACGTGAATGGATACATTTCCGCTTTGAACAGCACGAAGGAGGCGATTCCTACGATAGGTTTCACCTTGTCTGGTGGTGGAACGTCAGTCCTTTTTTGGATTCTCTTTCTGTGAGGGACCCGAGGCTCATAACTTGCATTGTTCAACCAGGCGAGCGGAGTCCTCTGCTTACGGTATGCTTCGCGCATTCGATGGTAGAACTTCGCAATCAGTGAGTTATCGTACGGGTGGACTTTTGCAGGCGACCACGTACATCTCAGGACGTAAGTCATACAACCCTTCCTTATCCTCCCTTGCCAATATGAATTACATGTTGAACTCTTTGACCCGAGAAGTTAGTGGGGGCGCGACTTCCTTGGGAATGGTGGCTATGTCCGATTATCTGGACATGGACAGCAGTCTGCAAGATGGCCTACTGCTAGGCAATTATTCCACGTCTGACTTCGATGTCATTGCCTACAAAGCCGAACAAGGCTTCAACATCACCATCTCTGACATCTTTGCCGTCGTGCGTTACCTTTTACTATTTTGTTCTTCCCGCCGGCAGGCTGTTTAATGGGCGTCATCTCCCTTTTCGTCCACTATTTTTAGGCCAATGGCATTAACGCGTTGCGGGTGCCGTCGAACCTATCCGTGGACCCTCTTTCTCGGTTATGGAGCGACATTCCCTCTTTCGCCAACTTCTCCCAAGGCAAAAGCCCAATGACGATATTGATGCTCAACGAGGTCATTCCTGCTGGCTTGCCTGGTTCCAACTCCTTCGCAGGGGCCTTGATACCGGCGGACAATGCGAACACGAACGGTACCATCTATGAGCTCACGCCATTCGAGGTCAGTTTACCGATGACCATAACTCTGTCAGCTCATTTCTCACGTACTTGTCTGCAACAGTTTGGGAGCTGGCAAGGACGCGCACAGGCCTTCATCAAGACTCAGTATATCGGCACAACGTTTGCTAATGGGCAGCCTGTCAACGATACTACTTGTGTGCAAGGCTTCGACACGGCAGCCTTTATGGTCGGATCTGCCGACGCCGCTATGAACATCTGTACGTGCCATTCATCTCTATTCATTATGCTGTTAGTCTACGTAGCATCGCTGACATCGAGTAACTGCTACAGGGTATACCGAGGCCCAATCGAATGGAACGGTAGGACAATTCGCCAAGCGAGACACCGTGAAGGCGCCATACCCGCCAAACGAGGACAAAATCGAGCAGGAGAGGGTGGAAGCGCAGACCGGGGTAGAAGAGTCCAATCTGGGATATTTCTTGGAGCTTCTGGGAAATCAAACCCTCGAACAGAGCGTCTGTTAGTAACCACTCTTTTCTGACCTTTCCTCTCGAATCGTGTGGCTGATTCTTCCGCGAGTAGACGGATTGTGGCCTAACCCGTTCGCTGGTCTCAATGAGTCCGACGTGAACCTTCAAAAGCAAGGATTCCTTTACCTCGTCGATGGATCCGAGTACGGGCAGGTCAGTTATCGTCGGATCCCCTCTTGAGCTATTTTCTGACTCGACGACGGCACTTGCTGGTCATGAACATAGGAGAACCCCATTGTTCCTCAGATTCAGGCAGCCCGCTCCTCGGACTTCTTGGTAGTGAACGATGCCGGTGGAACCGACTTGAGCGTAAGTCTTCAGTGAGATGCAGAAGTATGTGTTCCATAGACTAACGAATGTCGTTGTTTATTAGAGCGGATGGTCGAACGGTACGACTTTCATCAACACCGCCAAATGGTACGCTCTTTGAATCAGACTTGATGTCTCTCGCACCTGCTTACTTTCCGAAAACGACAAATAGGGCGAAGGCACAAAACCTTTCGTTCCCCACAGTCCCCAGCACCAATACCATGCTGAACCTCAACCATACTCTCTTCCCCACGTTTTATGGTTGCTACGAAGAGGATGTTCCTCTCGTTCTGTGCGTCGATCAGCTCATCGGTGGTCTACTTCCTCCTGACGATGTTCCATTACCCAGGTACGCCGCCGACGCTCCGTACACAGAGTACTCGAACATCACTGCTCTTGGCGAGTAAGTTGTGCCTCTCCCTTCAAGTCGTGGTCTAAATATACTGATCTGCAACATATCTCCAAAAGCCTTGACAGCACTCAGTACACAAGGCTCTGGAACAACAGCATCTCCCTGTACAGTCAGATTGATTCTCCCAACGCCAACGCGACGACAGACTGGCCAACCTGCATTGCATGTGGTGCGATCTACCGCTCACTGCAACGACTGAATGCGACGATCCCAGAAGTGTGCGGGGCGTGCTTCGAGGAACATTGTTGGGGCGGCGAGGTCGACGACAGTCAACCAGGCTTCTTGGCTCCTGCACCTCTTCTCAACCCGAGTTTGACATTTGCGGAGTGGAACACGTCATTCTACGGCAACAGTACGGACTAGAGCCATTATAAGGAAAGTGGCTACGCATTTTTCTGTTAATCTTTTGGTGTTCGTCCGCATCTTATTCTTCACTACTATATCCTCCACTGCTATACCACGAATTAATTCTTCTCTATGGACATGCGCATTGGGACACACATTGGCACTCGCGCGCTCATAATTTATGGTTACCACGATCCTGTTAAAGCATTTAATCTCTTCTGATGTTCGAATACTGGTAGAACAGTAGGCTGTGGTGATGACCGCTGATGGCAGCGTGCCACTCGTGTGGCGAGACTGGGTCGGAAGAGTAGGGAAGAGTCCGGCACTTAGTCAGCGTCGTGCTTCGCAGACTCGTGAGTTTTTTCTGTTCATCGGCGACCTCCATTCACTGCATCACCAGGGATATGTGTTGTCTCGTCTGCCATTCTTTATCCCCGTTTTTTTTTACGCTTTGACGCAGGATCTTCTTGAGCTTTGCTCGGTCATGCGAAGTGATAGTGGGCCACAACGCATGTGTAGGCCATGAACAGCAGTCTTGACTATCATGATCATATACTATTCTGCTCGCGGAGCCGAACGTCCACTCGCTTTCCATGGCCAATCTTCATAAACGGTCCTCCTGCTTGATCGATATTTCTGGCCTGCTATTCCGCGGCTTTTGTATGGGCTGGATGCTCGAGTTCACCGCTGGGTGCACATCTCGGCATGCCTACCTGAAACATGCTTTCTGATGCACTAGTATAAAACGCCTCCGGACGATTGGATACGCCCACTGAAAACGCAACTATTATTTGATTGTAAATGTGCCGCATCAAAGGCTGCGATCCCTGTTTCCATTTCGTCGTCCCCCTGTCATCTTAACAATGATGCCTGCTGATGCTGATCGTGATGGTATATGCACCAACAGTACACCCGCACGGACACCCTACTCGTGGTAAGGCAGTGAAAAGTTATGTCGACAGTGACTGGGCGAGGTCAAGTTCAATGCCAGTACTAAAAATAACCTTCGGTGCACGACATTAGGGCCGTCTACGTCATGGAGACTGTTCTCCACCTGCGGGTGACTTTTGCGGTGAGTCCTGTTGGGTTGATTCGTTTACCGCATATTTTGCACGAGATACGCAGCACCATCCAAATTTGATGCATCAACTCGCCCTTTGCGAATTGGGTTGACTTTATATACTGGATGAGGAGGACGTCTAGCCGGAACGGCTCGCAACCATGGCTCGCTCACTCCTGGCTCTCGCCCTCCTTGGTGCCCCCCTTGGCTCTCTCGCCGTTACGCTCAGCGGAAACTATACTCCAACGTTTATCCAAGTGCGTTCCACGACCAATCCTCTGCAGTTTGCATTCGATCTGACGTGGTCGTCTGTTTTTAGTGTCCCACTGGAGAGACATATTTGCGCCCTGCATCCGAGGGTCTCTCACCAGATGAATCCGCCTGGCTTGAAAAACGCAAGGAGTATGTTGTCGAGGGACTCGCATCCTACCTCACTACTGTCGGCATCGAGGGCTTCGACGTAAATGGGTACATCTCCGCTCTCAACAGCTCGAAAGATGCTATTCCTTCGATTGGCCTCACGCTTTCTGGTGGTGGCACGTCAGTCCTCTCTCTTTTCTTCTGCTAAGGGACTAGAGGCTTATTACTTTCCACACCAATAGACGAGCGGAGGCCTCGGGCTACGGTATGCTCCGAACTTTCGATGGCAGGATCTCAGATTCTGTAAGCTATCGTACGGGTGGGCTTTTGCAGGCAGCCACATACGTTTCTGGACGTAAGTCATACAGCTCGTGGTGGGTAAGAATGAACAAGATGCTAAAAATTTTGATCTTCACAGTTAGCGGAGGTGCAACTGCCATGGGAATGGTAGCGATGTCCGATTACCTAGACATGGACAGCGCCCTAGAGGCCGACCTCCTACTCAGCAACTATTCGACCTCCGATTTTGCAGTGATCGCCAACAAAGCTGAACTGGGCTTTAACGTCACGATTTCAGATATATTTGCCATCGTGCGTCTCTCAATCTCAGTCCAGACTTGTATCCTCGTCACTGAATGCAGCCTTGTTTTTCACTTCCGCTCATCTTAATTTATAGGCCACTGGGGCGAACTCCATGCGAGTGCCGTCGAATTCGTCCGTTGACGCGCTCTCTCGCCTATGGAGCGATATCCCCTCTTTCGCCAACTTCTCCGAGGGCAAGAGCCCCATGACGATACTGATGTACAACGAGGTCGTCCCTGCTGGCCTGCCCGGTTCCAACTCCTTTGATGGGGCTTTGATACCCGCGGACGATGCGAATACGACCGGTACCATCTATGAACTCACGCCCTTCGAAGTGAGTCGGATTTAACTCTGGATTCACTGAATTGTTACGAATACACCTCCATTACTCTAGTTTGGCAGCTGGCAAGGACGTGCACAGGCCTTCGTCAAGGTTCCATACATTGGTACAAGCTTTAACAATGGGCAGCCTCTCAATTATTGTGTCCAAGGTTACGACACAGCAGCCTTCTTGGTCGGCTCTGCTGACGCTGCTATGAACATTTGTGCGTGCACTTTATCTCTACTCACCACACTCTCAAAGTGTGCGGTGCAGCGTCGCTGACAATCCGTTGTTTCTCAGGGTATACTGAAGCCGAGTCGAACGGAACTGTCGGACAATTTTCCAAACGGGACAAGATGCCATACCCGGAGAACGAGGATGTAATCGAGGAGGAGAGGGTGGAGGCGCAGGTCGGGGTGCGAGAGGCCTATCTAACGGAATATATGGAGCTTCTGGGGAACCAAACTCTCGAGGAGACAGTGTGTAAGTCTCTGTGCTACTCGTCAATCAGTGCCGTCAGAATCGCATGGCTGATTCTTGCCCAAATAGATGGATTGTGGCCCAATCCATTCACCGGTCTCAACGTTTCCGACGCCAACTTGCAATCGCAAAAGCTCATCTACCTTGTTGACGGATCTGAGTACGGACAGGTCAGGAAATCTTTTTTTCTCCTCGAAATGTGTGCTGACTTGTCGACGGCGCTTGCTGGTTGTGTACATAGGAAAACCCGATCGTCCCGCTGATCCAGGAAACTCGCTTCTCAGACTTCCTGGTCGTGAACGATGCTAGCGGGACCGAACTGAGTGTAAGTTTTCCATGGAGTCCAATACCATATATAATACAGGCTGATCAAAAATGTTTTTGGCCGACAGAGCGGATGGTTAAATGGCACTAACTTCATCAATACCGCTATCTGGTGCGTTATTTTTGTTGATTCCGTTGCATTTGACGCTTATTTTCTCCAACAAAATCTAGGGCGAAGGCACAGAACCTTTCCTTCCCCAAGCTTCCAAGCGTCAACACCATGTTGAACCTCAACTATACTCTGTACCCCACATTCTATGGTTGCTACGAAGAGGATGTACCCATCGTCTTGTACGCCAACTTCGAATATGTTTTCATATTATTCCCCAAGCTGATCGACTTTCATGACCCAGGTATGCGGCTGACGCTCCGTACACAGAGTACTCGAACATTACCGCTCTTAGCGAGTAAGTAATCGCTCTACGCTCCATATGTGGTTCATGTATACTTACCTGCATCTTAAACTTTCACAGCCTGGACAGCACTCAGTACGGAAGGCTCTGGAACAACAGTCTTTCCCTATACTCTCAGGCCGATTCTCCCAATGTCAACTCGACGACGGATTGGCCTACCTGCATTGCCTGCGCCGCAATCCACCGATCTTTGCAACGGCTGAACGCGACCATCCCGGATGTTTGTGGGACGTGCTTCGCTGAGCATTGTTGGGCTGGGGAGGTTGACGATAGCCAGCCGGGCTTCTTGGCTCCTACGCCTCTTCTCAAGCCAGGACTGACCTTTACGGAGTGGAACACATCGTTCTACAGTAACAGTACGGCTTAGTGCGTTGTTTGGGAAAAGGGCGGTCACAATTCTTATTGCCTTTCTCAATATTTTCCTCTGTCTCCAATTGTTTACCATATCATCACCTAACTTCACCCCTCATACTGATGGACTTTCATGCGCACGAACTCAACCATTTATTTATACTATTGCTCCTACTCTGTTATGGCATTGTATTACTTCTCGTGATACCTTAAAACATCCAATCGAGATTCGTTCGATGCTTGTGACAAGCTCATACCAATAATGAGATCGATGCTAGGTTGGTTCAAGGATGGGTCGGACGCCACACCCCGGCCTCATAACGGCCCCTGGAGGTAGTAATCTCTCTCGAGTTCAGATACACTGGCACGGAGAAATTATATCATTGTAGACGGTAGATAGTATTTCGGAGCAGTTTCACTGGAAACGATGCGAGCTTAGAACTCTCTGCTCTCCCAGGGGGGACGCCACACCAACCTGCTAATGGGCCACACCGTGACCAAGGATGTCGCAAGTTTTGCCATTGCACTCCGTCCAAATACACTTGTCTTCTTGTTCGATATCCAGCAAAATTGCTTTTCTCGCCTTACCAAGGTTCCGATCGGTTCCGTGCTTCAGGGCAACATTCAGAACAACTCCCAAAATCTTCGCTACTCGTTATAACTATTCTCAAGCCCGTACAACCATGTCCATCACACCAAGTGCCGCATCTGTATCCTCCGTAAAGACGGTATCGGTAGCTATAGTCGGCGTAGGCCTCGTCGGCAGCGAGTTCATCTCCCAACTCCTTTCCTTCCCCAAACCAAACCACTTCCGCATCGTCAGCATCTCCTCTTCCAAAATCAACGCCTTCGACCCATTCGGTTTCGACTTCAGCTCTCACTCCGATTGGCAATCGTACCTCACATCCTCACCCAGCCGTCTCAACATCCACGAACTCATCCGCGAGCTCTCGAACCTTGTCCACCCGGGATCCGACGTTATACTCGTTGACAACACGTCCTCTGACGATGTGGCGGGGCTTTACCCTACTTTCCTGAGAGCGGGTATCAACGTTATTACGCCAAACAAGAAAGCGTTTTCTTCGGATTGGGATCTTTATGAGAAGATTCTGGCGGCTAGTTTGGAGAGTGGTTCGAGGTTCCTGAACGAATCGACAGTTGGTGCTGGATTACCCATCATCTCGACACTGAAGGATCTGGTCGCCACTGGTGACAAGGTGCGTTCATGGTATATCATTCCTCAAGAGCACCCTGTACTAACGTACAACCTAAGGTTACCAAAATCGAGGGTGTGTTCTCGGGGACGATGAGCTACATCTTCAACAACTTCTCTACCGGGGAGCCAGGCGGACCTAGCTTTTCGGATGTAGTAAGTGTGGCGCGCGAAAAGGGCTACACGGTGCGTCCTCTCAGGTTCTTCCTGCAGTCCTCTTTATACGCCAAATACTTAATTGTCAACTATAATCCCAGGAGCCTCACCCCGCAGATGACCTGAACGGTGCCGACGTTGCTCGCAAACTCACCATCCTCTCCCGCACTATTCCTGCTCTGCGCGCCGCCCTTCCCGAAGGCTACAAATCCGTCCAAACCACTTCTCTCATCCCCGCTGAACTCGAGGGCATCAAGACCGGCGACGAGTTCCTTGCAAAACTTCCCGAGTTCGATGCTCGTTTCGATAAGATGAGGGCTGAAGCAGCGCAGGAGAAGCAGGTTCTGCGATATGTCGGCGTCATTGATGTGGCGTCAGGGTTGATCAAGGCTGACTTGGAGAAGTATGTGTTTCATATGCATTGTTCTTTTTCCACTTTCGGGTCGCCGCTAATGACTGTATCTACTAGATACCCCGTCACTCATCCGTTCGCCACATCCCTCGGCGGATCGGACAACATCGTTATGTTCCACACCGAGCGGTACGGTGCCAGGCCACTGATCGTGCAAGGCGCTGGAGCAGGAGCTGCTGTGACTGCGATGGGTGTTATGAGTGATTTGCTCAAACTTGTGTAAAGGTATGGATGCACACGAATATAAGAAAGGAGAACGAATGTATCGCTATTGTAACTCCAATCTGTATAGATGAATTTAGGGGTCAAATAAGACGCGTTATTGCCAAGATGTGTACGAATCGACGTGATGTGGCCTACAGTATAGTTCGTAGGGGTATGCTAATGGAACAGAGTCCAAACTAATAAGTAACACAGTAACGTACAACAAAACATGCAAACAGCTGTTCATGACTTGCAATAGTCTGGACAAGACCCTCGCAACTGTACGTGTTCCTTCACGCCTCACGAGCTTGGACCCGGGAGCTGACTACTCTTTACGATATACACCTGCGCGGTCAAAATACCACAGCCCACAGACATCGCGATAGCTATGATCGGCAAATTAATCCGAGCGAAATCGAGCCTGTGCAGGCGTATGTATTTTCGTCGGAGGATGTCGCGCCACAAGAGACCGGCGAGCGAGGCGTTGAAAGTGGCGCTGAAAGCACCGTAGTTCACGCCGAGGGCAAGTGCGTATATCTGTACGATTGGCCGAATTGAGGGTCAGAGAGAGGCTAGCCATGGAAGTTTGGAAGAGATACATACAGCGGCCTCCCGCATGCGGTCTGAGATGGTGTCGGGATAATTTTCGAACCAGTTTTGAAGAACGCGGGACAGGAGAATACTTGCACCGATATTCGTTCCCGAGAACTAGAAATACGCAGCGAAATCAGTACCTACATCCTGACATACTTCAATGTCACCCAGTGCGGGCAAGAACTCACGTTACACATGCAGACTGAGACGAACCCCATGCCTCCTATCGCCCCAACTACTCCAGTTCTGGCGATCCACGCAGCCCAACCCTTAGCAAGAAGCGCCACCCAGCCTTTAGTGACGAGCCCTTGAACAAGGATGAACATACTGAAGGCGAAGGGTAGGAGCGCAAATGGAAGGTGGGTAAGGACGGCGCAGACAGTGGGAAACATGTTTTGTGCGTAACGTGTAGTCCTATTCCAGAGGACGTATGGCTTTGGAAAGTATACCTTCCGGGCTCGACTCATTGCTGGAGGTGCAGGTGCGGAGGTGGCCTCTTTCGACGGTGGAATCGACGCTTTCGTGATGGTCGGTCCCGGCTGTATCTTCGACAACGATGCCCGCAGGAGTTGATCTGGCTGAGGAGTGATATGTCCTGAGCTTGAAGAACCTGGGGGCAGTGTATTCGGGTCGGTAGGAAGAGTTTTGAGGGATGGCATCTCGCTCGTCGGCGGCACATAAGGGTCGTTCTCTCCGTCAGAGTATAGGGACAGGGCATTGCTCTGTCCAGATGCTACGCTTTTTGACATGGAGGGATGACGATGGTGGACGTCCGGTGGAAGGGAGAGGGGATCCGGCGTAGCAGATCGTGATGCCGGACAAGCTTTCTCTGCATCATCGTCCATGTTATTCCTCTCCGCCTCGGTTTCGTGGGTTTTTACCTGTCTCGCTGCGATTTTTCGTCCAGACACAGATCGTTGGTGATCGCTTCTGTCCCCTAGTGTATCCATCGTAATCGACTCTTTGTTCGTCTCCTCCGCATTTCGAGCGTCAGAAGACATCTCGTCTTCGCCCTTCATCCTTGCGTCCAAACGATCTTGGTCGTTTCTATGTCTCCAGTCGTAAACGACATCACGGCAGAGCATGACGAACGCTGCAGGGGTCGTGATCTCGGCAACCTTGACCTCCAGTCCAGCAGCATTGGTAGCCAAAATCGTGACAAGAGTGACCGTGATGAGCATACCGCCAAAGAGAGCACCAGGCTTGTCCAAGAATGGATTGATGATATCCTTCAGAGGTAGGGCGAGGCGTTCTTCGGCTTCAGCATCAAGCTCCATTTTGGGCTTGGGAGCGGGCTGCTGAACCCCAAGGCCTGGTCGTCTATCAGTGGAGGTAACTGGACGCGGGAGTGAGGGGCCGTGCACATCGGCGTCTAGAGGCTCGTCCTCGGGTAATGTGTGCATTTCGATCCTGAGGGGTATAAGATCCGTCGAGGGGAAGATGATGTATAACAAAAATGGGAAAAGGACGATAACAGTGACGACTACTGGGACTATCATGTTTGCCGTGTATGTCCTTAAGCAGAGTATGGCGTTAGCTTCGTGCATGAATGAGGAAGGGCGGGATCACATACAGGAAGCGAATGTTGAAAGCGCCTGCCAGAACAAGGTTTGTGGGGTTCGAAGACACGAGTATCGCTGACGCTGTAGCGCAGAATCAGATTGTCAGAATCTGGAAGTGGATCCTATGTCCTTTCTTACATATATTTGCAATCGCGAACTGCGAATAGATCCAGGCTCGAGGATGCTTGATGTTCGCCGCTACACGGGTGAGGTATGCAAGGAACGCAGTTCCCGAGAGAATAATAGGATCCTGTATCCAGGAGGCGTAAACAGTATGTTCCGGTCGACCATGCTTAGTATCCTAATATTACTCACATTGCCTATGAATGATCCCAAGAAGAAGAAGAACGTGTATAGAAAGAAATAGAGTCGATGTCCGACCTCGCCGCCTTTCTTGAGGACCCAGAACGCTGAGAAACGGATGAGACCCGTGGCGTCTAGCGAAATAGCCAGGTATGCGTTTAAACGAATGTAGGTGTCAGCATTCAACATATTGGACGTGTATCAGGGAGACCGACGAGGGTAATAAAAAATCCTAGGATATTCAAAGGCTCTATGCTGAACGTATGCTCGCTGGTTAGACATCTGTCTATAGAGAATCAAGATCACACCTAACTGGTTAGCACCAAGGATACCTTGACAAACTTCAGCTCGGCCTATAACTTGTATCGCAAGTAAGAATATCGCGCCGATGAGCGGGGCGGTAACGAAATTGATCGGGAAAATGAGTCTGTAAGGTTTGTGCTTGTCGTCTCGAGAGGTGGTTAAGCTCTCGGATTGTGGGGGAAGTATACCCAACTTTACCAGACATTTTCGCGTGAGTTTTACCACACCAGGGGACAGCGGGACTGGAATATTACCTTGCTTGCAAGGTCTCTCCCACCCCGGTAATTGTGGCTGAGCGACTTTTTCGCACACAAAGCCAAACAGTTTGCGTAAGCTTTTCTCACATCTCTGTGACACCCCTCACTCAATGCAATCGCGCACTTGATTACCATCATCAGGACGGAGCAATTTCTATTTGCCCTGGCTATACAGTTTTTGTACATGCCCAGCATGTTTCGCGAAAGTATGCTCGATATCTGCGCAGCGCGCTCAGGCCTGAAGGGCTATCGACGCCACAATGAATCAGGCCGATGCTTCTCCTGAGGCCTACGTACGCTTCGAGGCCTTTCGAGGCGCTGCTGCGGTCAGCGAAGCAAGAAACCTGACATCAGTGGCCATCGGAACGTGGATGTATTGTGTAGATTTAAAGGCTGCCTCTAATACGAGTTGAATACGAGTTTGCGAGCCAAGAAGAACTATCTGTGGCGCGACTCTTGCGTGACCATCCAGAAGTAATTTCCGGCCCTGAATACTCTGCAGTATCGCTAACAAAGTTGCTACTGCAAATAAAGTGCACATAAATATTGAGCATTGGTAGATATGCCATTGTCAGAAGAGGTCTCTCAAGCAAGGTCAGTGCCGCAGCATGTGGAGCTTCCCTAGTTAAGAGGAAATACGACAAAAGCGTCTGTCCCGCCGCCGGGAATGAGCGATTCTTCGCGGGGAAACACGTGTGGCGCAAGAACTCACTGGCCAACAGAAATACGATAAGGGAGGCGATGCTCTTGAACGACGCCACGTCTGAATCCGCCGAGTTTCTGCTCGTTGGGCATGCCATTGCGGCGGGAGCAGGCTCTTTTGGGGCTCTTGGTTGTCGAAGGTAAGGCGAAAGGTAGGTCCCCGATTAGCTCTGACACTCGTTCCCCACGATGCGAATACTAATAGACATTTATAAATCTCTAGCAAGCGCTCAGCTGGTAGTCTCCCACAGTCAGACCTATAGGACGGGAAGTCAGTTATCAGCTGGAGCACGCGCCTAAGTGTTGCGCTCGATGCCCTTCGGAACTTACGACACAGCTGTCAGGTTGACGCTGGAATATCTCCACTGGAGAGTCGTATACATATATTCAGAATCGCGTGGTGCGTGGACGAAGCCATCCACCGACTCGGACGAAGCGGTGTTTCTGCGGGTGTCCCTTGGACGTCGACTATGGAGTTCGCGCTGACCATCAATTCTCCAGCCATATAACTTCTCACTGCATCTACATACTAACTTCCACCATACCTCGGGTTTAAATGTCCGCCCAGACTTTCGACGCTGTGTTCGAAGTTGTTTGCGCCTGGCCACTCAGTGGTCAGTATGGCGTCGGCTCTCGCCTATTATATTACGCCCTCGTATTCATGTGCATCGTCGGAGTGAGAAAGGCATGGATGAGGGACGTGAGTATGGCAGCAGCGTTGATACTCCCTGCGGTAGCCGCCGTGCATGCTATCGTCGTCACGGCCTATTCGACACACGCCCATGGTATGCAATCTTTCTGGTCTTTTCTTTTTCCAGTTTTACCTGACGGTTTTAAACAGGTGCCATCGACTTGGATTTATTCGGAGTCTTCCAGTTTGTCTCCATCGCAGTCCTGGCCGCTCCAGTCACACTTCGTTATTCACGAACGTACTGGCTCACCCCAGGCCGCAATTTAGTATTCTTGTGGACGATCTTGCAGCTCGCAGGTAATCATACTGTTTCTTGAACGCCTTCATCAGCTAATTTCCTTTTTGATTCTAGGCTTGTTGAGTCTCGCGGTCGGTTTTGATCGTGCGAATCCAGTTCCATGCCTTAACCAATACGAAAATAATAGCCCTTTCAACGATACCATCTCCGACAATCAAGACAGCGACATCTGCCACCAAGGATGCTTCGGTCTGAAGACTGGCATCCGTCAGGACCCACAAAATCCAAGTCAATATGTTCTCAATATGCATCGTGGCATCACTATCAACACCGGGCTTGGTCTCAGCGTAGGATGTTGCGTCCCCGCCGTCCTCTCAATGGCATCCATCTGGCTCAAGCTTGTCCGGGAAAAACTGGCCGGACTTGCTACGTATCTTCCGAACTGGAATAGTGACAACTCCGTATCGCAGTCCAACATGGCAGCTGCCTCGACCGACGAGATACGGCGGAATGAACATATAACTCCTGAGGAGAAGGAAAGACACGAGGATAAGAAGAGGGACGATGTTATCCGCCAAGGATTAGGGCTGGTTGAGCGTGTTGTGTTTTCTGCAGTCATCGTGGCGATTGTCATTCTCGGTGAAAGAAACTTCTGGAGTGTAGAGATGAGGGCTGGTGTCGAGCCTATGTCGTCGGTCGGTGAGTTCATTGACATCATCACTATGTTCACTTTCTTCTGCTGTGTACTCACAACGTATTTCTCAGGTCAATGGGCTCCCATTCTAGGAGCTGTCATTGGCGCTCTGGGCTCCTGGTATACATCAAGTTCGGACTCGAGCACGGCGACGTTACCAGTCCATCAGCCTCACGATTCTATTGGCAAGTCGACCTGGGAGCATATTGAACACTTCGCCGGAGAAGTATCACAGACGTCTACCTTTGCCATGGACGAATTGCTCCACCCGGAACCCGCACATCGTCTACACCGCCATTCATCCTCATCCAGCCATCCCTTGGCGTCTGAAGCTACTGAAGTACACAGTCACCGAACCAGAGTCAACAATGCTGTCCACCGTCTTGGCATTTGGCTGACGCCAGCGCTTGATCGGCTCGCCGACGATATAGAAAAGACCCCAGGTAGCGACCGGTATCGAGAATATCCTCATACACCTGGAGAAGAGTTCAAAAATCCTCACCTTTCGGAGCATGACAGGTTGCATCGGATGAGCGTGCAGAGTTTCGCTGCGAGGTCTTCGCCACCGGAAACCCTCGGGCTTGGAGAGCCAGGCCCATCGAGACACCGTGCTCCCCTCTAACACCTACTGGTGACTATCTGACAGTCCCTTTGCAACACCAGCGCTCTCCCCCTCACCGTCACTTGTCATTACCGCCAGATGGCGATGATACGAGTCCACCCGCCGAATCAGTGTCCCCGGTGAAGATCGTGGTCACTACTCCGGACGTTGAAGATCTAGCATGAGTGGTTCTGATTCCTTGTCTGCTTATTTGCTGTGAGCTGTAAGTTCTCTGCCTTCATTATCTCTTGTATGGTCACGGTGTTGGACCTTTGCCGTCTTATTCGACACTGCTTTCTTAGTTTTTTTTTGTCTTTGTGTTCTCTAGCATAATTCCGTACCGTACAACCGTCATACCCTGCTTATACTGTCTCGTTATCTGTACCAAGTTATCGCCATCCGGTCATCTGTTGTCTGCTTCATCATACTTACTCGCACTTTTTTCGCTCATCTCGGATACCTCAGCTGCGGTCCATATCCATCTTGTAAGTCTATATATCACCGTCGTACAATAGCATCTCTTCAGTCCCTCTACTGTAATCCGTTAGTGATCCATGTACGGACACTGATAAATTTAAAGACCCTACTGAAAGGCTCGCCTTTTTTGCACAAATAAGAACTCGTAATGTATCGTGTTACGACAGTTGCCTTATCCTCACAAAGGTTAGAACGAGATGTACTCCTTCCAGTCGTCGTATGATAGCATCTCTTCAGTCCCTATACTGTAATTCGTTAGTAATTCATGCACGGACACTGATAAAGACCCTGCTGGATGGCACGAACAGGTCAGTATAAGTAAACCCTCAGGTGAAATGTCAGGTTCCTGCTTCGAGACCTCGTCAGTCTCAAAGTGTCGCCATAGGTCTCACATAGTTCACCTCTGAAATCCAGTCGACGTTGATCAATATTTGACAATATGTTGCGATTGACTGGAGGTTCTTCCCGCTTCAACTGGAATTACACTCCAACCAAGGCACATATGTCCTCAATCAAGATGAGAAAGTGTATTACCAGGCGCGGAATACATAAATTGATGTATTGCACACAACTCGCACCCCCCATGTCGCATGTCTCTCCAAAGAGACCCGGACGGCAGAGCTTGTCGTCCATGATTGTGAACGATCACAGAAACGTATTTCAGGTCCCAAAGTATTATACACCCTGGCCAAACAGCTGTAGAATTGGCGACATTAAGATTGTGTTGTGAGCTGTCATTTCGTGATGTTGGTAGACGCCTCCTTGATACGATACTCCCAGTACCTAGAAGACAGAAAAAGGCCAACAACAACATGATCAGTACCAGCTAGCCAAGTGCACCGAGAGCATGGACTTACTTCTTCCGAATCTTGTCGTGTTCATTCGCAAGAGACTTCCAAAGCTATCAAAAACAAGACGGTTAGAGTACGAACGATCTATAGAAACCCCACGAAGACGTACCTCCACCGACTTCGACAATCCACCAGCGCCCTCCGCCTCGTAAGCATCTGCGAGGAACTCAATGGCGGCCGGACATGGAAGTTGTGCTCCTTTCGAAGGCAAAGGGTTCTCCAGGTCAACCACATCGTCGTCGTTCGAGGGTGGTGAAGCAGAGGTGTAGGGTTCAACGAAGGATATCAAGGTCGGGTATGGGACGTGTGCGTGGCCTAGGACGCCACGGAGGTAATTCCACGCCGACATGTTGTTAGGTGCAAGAGCGATCTTCTGTTTCGTATAGCTGCTCACATCCAACCCCAGTCAGATCGCCGGGCCCTAAACGATATTCCCAAGCAAACGTAGAAACAACTCACACAAGTTCCCTCTTGACCACATCCTCATCTACACCTCCCTCCTTCGCCTTCCTCTCAAACACCACAAAAAACCGATGATGCCACGCCGAATTATTCCTCACATCCTCCTCCACCAGCCTCTCCAAAAACGGCACCTCACTCTCCCACATCTCCTCCCTATCGAAATGACTCAACAACCACTGCCTATAACTCCACGTATGATAGTTCTTCGCGTCGATCCCTAGGATGGTCTCGATGAAGGGGAGCTCAGGCGTGGGGTCGTTGAGGGCGGTGACAAGCAGTCTACGATGGTGCCATACTTGATAGGTCTTGAGGTAGGCTCTGGTGAGGTCGTTAGTAAGTTCGAGTTCCGGTCCGAGAGGGGTTTGGAGGTGGATGAGGGTTTGGTAGCGGTATGTCCTGTCGAGGTCACGGAACGCAACTCAGGCGCATAATTCATGATAAGTGAGAAAGTCAAATGAATGCGTACCATGCAGAGTAGTGTGCTGGGTTCATGCGAATGATCTGTTCCGTGAGATCCAGTACCCGGGGGCTCATCTCCCCAGTTTTCAATATCCCTCGAAAGTAATCAGTGGCATCCTTGTCTAGAGACGTCGCACGAGACCAACAACAGATATAAGACGTTATATGAGCAAGTCAAGTCTACTCGAGCAGCGCACGACGCACATTCGTTGCTGTAGAATATGGGCGCCAGAGGAGTGATGTTCTCGTACTGTGCTATGGGTGTAACGTCCTCCCATTCCGGACGCTCGCAGAACAATGTGGGACCTTCAACGTCAACAGCGGGCATCACTTCAGAGTCTCAGGATGGTGTTCAGTGGATCTAGCAAGAGGTCTGTTGTTGGGTTGGGAGAGCGAAACAGACGGGTGATTGCATTTAGGGTTGAACGCCACACGATGTTATTGTTCTGCTCAAAGACGTATTACTGATCGGGTACCCCGATCGCGCGGTCTATATTAGGTGCCCAAAGGTCCTCGATATATTCTGGGTTACAAGCCACACGACGGGTATACAACCTGCCGGACCAGACCATGATTTGAAGATATGTTACTGAGAGGTTAGGTGTGATCAAACGAGCCAGGAGAGTAGGTAAAGTACAGAAAACAGAAGCCGTAACCGACCACAAGAAAGAGTAAGCATGGATGCAAAAATATCGCTCAAACTACTGGAAATGATGACGAGTCCATATAAGACTAAGAAATTAAGCGGCAGTGGCAGCAGCGGGTGCCGCGGTACCATTGCTAGCGGTGTAGTCCTAGAAGAAAGGTGAAATCAGCCTAGGGCGTTCAAGGTGAAGGACGAGTCACGGGCTAACCTCCATCTCGGCATCGAGGTCGGCGACACTCTTGGGGGTACGCTCACCCTTGGGGCGGCCTCCCCTTCCTCCGCCACGGCGACCACCACGGCCTCCAGCAGGACGCCTGAAAGAATAACGGGAAATAAGGAGGATCAGACTTGCTTCGCGAACGGCACAGGAGGTTTGACCGACCTGCCGGGAGCAGCGACGACAGGAGCGACAGCCTTGGGGGCGGGTGCCACACGGGAAGCGAGGGACGGTACGGGGGGAAGGCGGGAGGGGTCGACAACGACTTCGATCTTCATGGGACGTTCTGTACATGTCGGGTGATGCACGGAGTAATGGAGCGAGGTGGGATAAGGAAAGAAGCAGATTTGTTTGGTCAGTCGGGCGTTCAGGTTAGGGCGATGCAAGAGTCAAACGGAGGAATTTGAAGACGAGAAGCGCGAGCAGCAGTTGAGGCGAGCTGAAAACTAAAATGCCCTCCACCAAGACTCATCCATACAAGAGCTCCAAGTCGAGGGCGTCCGTTGCTGTTCAGCCTCGTTCTACCCGAATTCCTCCGAGAACAGTCATGTTGGGCCCCCCGCAATCAGATGCAGCACGTCCTCCAAGCGACTCCAAGAGACGGTTCCAAGCGGACCGAACTAGAAGGGCGTTGTCGGTGCCTACAACTTCTCTCCACTCTCGTCTACAAACGCCAAACCCCTTCCCCATCCGAGAATCCACCCTAAAATCCGCAAAGAAACCATGCTCGGCTCGACCTGCCTGTCGGCTGGGAACCCCTGCAAGGCCTCTCCTGTCCTCCGCCGGGTAGCCAGGGAAAAGCACACGAGGTTGATCAGACCACGGCGCCTGAGGCATACCATATCGGGGATTGAAGGACAGGGCTACATCTCCACGCAAAATCGAATCGAAACGATAGGATACGCTAGGAAGGATATTCAGGTCTTCAGCGAAACACCCCGGTCGAATGATCCGGGAGTGACCTCGTCCGTCATGAAGGAAATCCAAGCGAATATGGCCCAACGATGATGATGACCGGATTGTCCCGAGGAGACAGCAACGGAACCCTCCGAGCGCAGGACGAATCAAGATGAAGGGCATGATGGTCGCAGCTGAAGCAACGCGAACGCTGGAAGAGAAATGTCTGAAAGAGGTAAAGCGGCCAATACTAACTGCCATCGATGAGCCGATTGTTGTAAGTCTGGTATGCTTTTGTGCCATCACCGCGCTTCTGGAAGTGCACCGAGGCGACACCCTTGGAACGACCGGCGGCGTCATAATGAAGAGTAACGTCACGAAGGGGGCCGACGGTGGAGTGGAATAGGTCCTGTAAAGCCCGCCAGTGATTTAAATGAGTATGGGTGCACCGAAGGGGAGAGAATAATATTGGACAAACCTTGACTTGTGCCTCGTTCACATCCGGGGGAAGATTGGAGACGATGATTTTGTCGGCAGCGGGTTGGGTGGCGGCGGCGGAGGGGACGACGACTGGCGTTGTCTTGACGGCGGCGACGCGAGCGCGGGCGACCGGAGATGGAACTGGGGCAGTCCCAACGATTTGCGAGCGGGGATTGCGGCGAGCCGAGGTACGACGACCACCCCTGCCGGTGCGGTTGGTGGCGACGATCTTTGTTCACCGATGATAAGGGTGTCGTCCTCAACAAGGGCGAAATTCATGTTAAATACGCACCTCATCAAGGGACTTGTCCATTATTCTTGATTTGTGGGGGTCTTGAAAGCGCGAAAAGTGCGGTTTGAGAGCGACGGGGACGACGACGACGGCAGGCGAGGATGGGGGCGGGTGGGAAGAGCGTGGGTCGCGGCGCGTCGCGTTTTGTCCCTTGCTGAATTTGGCCTTGTTTGGCTACCATATTATTCGCACCCTTCGCCTCACTGTGTACAGCACTGCCCAGCCTATTCCAAACTTCTTCAAATGTCGAGAGGTGGTCGCGGCGGAGGTCGCGGGGGATTTGGAGGCGGTGGGAGGGGCGGTTTTGGTGCAGGGAATCTTCCCCCACTGGGCCTAACTTTCGCTGACATCCAGTCCATGTCCAGGGAGCAAAGCGAAGCTTATCCGGTATGTTTTATTTGCTCATAGAAAATCTGGCCATAAATACTAACAGTCATATCTTATGACCTCAGTCCATGGATGTGCTTCCAGTTCTTACTGAATTCTCTGAAGAGGACAGGGCTATATGTGAGCATCAAGTCGGCTTTGCCACCCGTCTACGCCGGTCAGCGTACTACGTGACTGAACCCACGAAATCTACAGGTACATTCCATTCCCATTCTTTATATTTTGGTCGAAGCTGACATGGTTATGAGGAGCCTAGAGCTTGAACGGTACTCAGATAAATACCGACCCTCTGCCGCAGCGCAGCCTTCGCTCAAGCGCAAAGACCTGCACCAGCCATTCTTCCCTCAGGAGGTATTTGAGGCCTATTTCAATCCCAAGAAAAAGCGTAAAGGTTTGTAATGTTTGGTCTATCGACATAAATATACGTTTTGCTGAACAAATACTGCAGTTGAGAAGAAGGCCTCTTCCAAGAAACTCAATCTCGATGATTTGGCCGACGACGAAGAGGATCTCGAAAAGTCAGATGAGGGTCGCTCAGACGAGGGCTCGCAAGTCGCCGACGAAGACTACGATGTCGACGAAGAGTATGACAACGATTATGCAGAGAACTACTTCGACAATGGGGAGGGAGACGACAACGATGATCTGGGTGGCGGTGGCGGCGGCGATGAAGGCGGAGGTACGATCCCTCCACATATTTTATTTCACTGGCACAAACTGACTGTTCAATTACTCATCGCAGGTTATGATTATGACTGAGTTCTATCTTATAGTATCCCCATACTCTGGTTGTATTCTATCCTGTTTTCCTTCTGTTGCTGGGTCGGCGTGAGCGCTCAAGAGCAGCACACGTGGTACTTATGGTTCCGTTCTCGTTCTCCGTTCCGTTGTTTGTCTGTCGCATCTCAAGTTCGACTCGATCTGAATCGGCTCCTGAGGTTTAAATCAAGTTCGAATGCACGCCAGCCTCTTTCACCCAGTCTCTCTCTTTCCTTTCCTCCTTTCTTCCCCCACGCTCACTCGCAGTCCACCCTTCGTCGCAATGCTCTCCTTCAAACTCCCTCTACTTCTTCTACTAGCAGTGCCGGCCACTGTCTTAGCGTGCGAAGGCGAATGCATCGTCAGCATCACAAACGCCTGGCGGGGCAACTATACCGCCCGCCTCGACTCCGTCTTCCACAACCTCGTACGCATCTTTTACCTCTTCCCTCTTCCCTCTCGCCCGCCCGCCAACTCGTCCTCCGACATCTTTACTAACCATATCACGTAAATCACCCACAGGCCTCCGAAATCTCATCCACCCTTCTTCCCTCCCACCAAGATGCCCTCCCGCTCCTCCAACCCTTCATCACGTCCTACCAAAACGCCTCCTACAACTCCCTAGAAAACGCCATTTTCCCCTCCTTCTTCCACGGCAAATGTCAAGCCGCACCATCGTACACCGTCGAACCCCCCGGTTGCCCGAACCCAGACTGTCCCGTCGTCTGTGGCACGCCAGGGTCCCTTGTACACTTTTTCGCAAAGTTGAGGTTCATTGCGTGGAACGATACCAGTGAGCTTCTGAGCGGGCTGATGACGCCTGGAAGTGGGGTTTATGAGGATGTGGAGACGGCGGTTGTGCAGGCGGCGAGGGAGGGTCAGAGGAGGTCGAGGACGAAGACGAGGCCGCGGACCTTGTTGGGCTCGAGCTACGACACCGGCTTAGAGACCGAAACCGAAACCGAGACGGACACGGACACGGATTTGGATAGCGGTCTGCAGACTAGATGGGGAAGGTTCGCGAGGGCGCTCAGGAGGGCGAACGACGATAATGTGAAGGCGGGTCTGAAGACGACTCTTGCGAAGTTTTCGGACATGTTGACGCAGACGTGTGGTGGGGACGCGTCGGATGACGAGAAGGCTTTGCCGCAATGCAGTTGGGAGACGGAAATGAAGCAGTATATTCTGAGCTTCCCTTAGTGGGCCGAGTCTCGCGTCTGCTGCTGAAGAGTGGATATGTTTTCTCTCTGGGACTGGGACTTTTCTTCTTCTTTGTGACTGGCTACGCTACTACTCATACCCTGTCTTTTCCTCGTGTTGTATCCAACGTTACGTCGCATGCTATATCACAATGCTATCCGAATTTAATACCGCCATATATCTACTTGCAGTCTGTGGCGGTGGCACTCAACATACCTGACCTCCAAAAAGTACCAAGCCAGTTCGATCACGAGGGATTTCAAATTTGTCGAGAAGAATATCGCATTCAAACCAGAGACCAAAGAGAGGCCAGTCATTCAGTACAAACCCAAGGATACAACTTGTTTCTGCTATATATATAAGGATACGTATAAGGAGCGAGTCAAAAGACTGGATTCCATCACGAAAGCGTTCGCTAAGAGCAGTGTTTGGTAAACATACTGAAAAAATCAAACAAAATGATTCAGCTCCTGTACTGGCAGAGATACAGAGACCAAAGACGGTATGACCCACAATTCATGATCATTCGAAGGCTCGCGCCCTGTGGCCTCACTGGTAAGAGACGGTCACAGACGACGAGTCCGCCGAAGCACTCGCGACCACATTTCCACTGTCATCCACCATGTCGATGATGGTCGAACCGTCTGGTCCCACGGTGCCACTGCCAGTGGTCGCCGTCGCACCAGTGAACGTCACCGTTCCGAAGTCGGCAAGCGGGACGAGCCCACCGTTCTCCTCGTAGTCCTCCACGATCCACTCGGCGTTGGTTTCGCAGAGGGCAGATGTGGACGTAAGGTCTTTGGTGACCTTCTGTCCGGTGGTGGTGTTCTCGATGACAGCTGTGCCGGAAGTCGTGGAGGACGCGGTGACGGTGACGGTGACTGAGTCGCCGGCGGAGAACGAGATGCCAGTGAAGTCATGGGCAGAGTCGGGAAGCCACTCGTACCACGCTGAAGAGCAAAAAAGTAAGAATCAATTGTCAATTAATGTAAGAGTATAGCAGAGACCATGAACCTACCATCATAGGAAACGTCCCCGTCAGAACCTACGGTGAAATCGAGGCCGGTTTGTAGGATGGCGGTGGAGCAGGTATCTCCATCGATGCCGACCCATGCAGAAGAGGAGAACGACGAGCCGGACTGCCCGGAGGGGACAGAGGGAGTGGGAACGGTGAAGCTGCCGGTAACCGAAGTGTAAGTCTACTCAAGATGTTCGAATTAGTTCGTGCTCCATAGTCGGAAAATAAGACACTAGACATACCGCAGAGTCAGCGATCAAGACAGCGCCCGACCAGTTGGTGCTCTGCTCGGCATGGGTGGTGTTGGTGGCATCAATTTGGGCGTTGGTGGAGGAGCTTGACAACTCCAAAGGGCGTGAGAGATGGGAAGCCTCGCGACGACGAGCAATACGACCAGCCAGCCCGTTAGCACGGGGTGCGGCGAGAGCAGCGCCGGCTAGGAGAATCTGGCTGAGGAGAGCGGTGGTAGCGACCATGATGAACTTGAGGGGAAGTGATATAGATGAAGCTCGTGAGGAGATGAGGGAGGATGAGGGGCTAGCCGGAAGCGAGACCTGTTGACCTGCTGAAGGTCCTGCTGCCTCTCACAGACCTTTATATATGAACGGGGTGCACCCTGTTTCGGTCGACAGGCTGTTGGTTCGAAGAAGCTTTCAGATAACACGAGGAGACAGCGCTGAGCAGCACAGTAAAACTGCCTGCCGAACAACAGAAGCGATGATGTTCTGCGGTTGAGAATGAGAACAACCTTCAACTGCGACGGCAGGTTGCACATGATCCGCTCGAGCCTGTCCATACGATGATGTCGGTTGTTATGAAGCGAAGATAGTACACGGGTACTGCGTTCATCGACAACAATGTGCTTACATCCAGACCTTCACAAATAAGGTGCGTTCATCCATCTAAAAATGGAGCACAGTCTTCCATCTGTCTATCAGAACGCAGGTAAGAGCGGTATCACTTTTCAAACGGTTAGGAGACGCTAAGATACGTTCAGATAACCTGAGTGTCTTCGGCAGGCATATCTATATTGCCTACGTCACCGTAGTCTTCTCGTCTTGTGATGAGATCCCGAAATTCTGAGATAGAGGCAGACTGCTCTCAAAATTAGGGTAGACAAGGCGTAGAGGTGTTTGCAACACAAGCTTGTGTAAGACTACGACATCTGTTCTGACCGAGTGTCGGCATGGGACACCGCTCGCCGAAGCGATGATGATCATCGTACATATGCACCTGTAAACAGAGACTCCGAGGAGACCGCACTGGTGTATTCGGGAAGCAAACAGAAACACGGCGTGGTAACCTGAGGATGAGCTGTCGAAGGTGAATCGTTGAGAGGACGGGTGTCTGAGTGAAACACCCGAGTCCTACACACCAGTCGCATGAGTCTTTGTTGCGAGATCCCAAAGCTGAATGGAAGACAAAGACCCTCATGGCCCTCTTGAAACGGATCATATCCTCCATAAGATGCTACTTATCTTCGGAATTCTGGGGTAGATAAAATTAGACTAAACACCGGAGAAGCGTGTACGTGCGAGCTACATCCACCCGAATCGTCTTCGATGGCAGAAGTGGCACGCGGAAATTGTAGTGATACGATGCGTATGTGGCGTAAGAACAGTTGCGAACAGCTGGTCGACCGTCAGACGATGGTACACCCGAATGTTCCTCAGCGTTGTAGGGAGAGCAACGAACATCTGGGGTACTCATAGCACAAGATTAGGAGGGGTCTTTTCGCACAGTGGGCGTAACATCTCCGTTGCGAAGCAGACCGACAATCCCTGTGCACTCGTCTTTCACGATGTCATTCCGAAGGGGATTGCACAGGATTGCTCAAGGGCTTTGCAAATGTGACTGTAGAGTATCACGGGCCATTCATTGAATGGGCGAGCATACAAGTATGACGATCTCATGAGACAAAAATATAAGATGATGAAAATCCATCGGCTCTGAGAATGATAGCCCCACCTTCGTTGCATAAGTATTAGTTGAGCACTGAAGGCGAACGTTTTGATCTGTGGAAGGTAGGTGAGCGGTACGGGCTTGAAATGGGTTAGTGCGCACCGCTGTCTCTAATTATAAGGTAGAGCTGTCAGTCTATGAGATGTTTACCTTGCATGACTGGGTCTTGGTGGCGAAGCCGAAGACGCAGCTATAGCCAAGTTCGGTCTTGCAACATGAACTGCTGAGCCGGGAAATCCCGAAAGCTCAAAGCGGCGCTTGTTTTTATTCAGAGGTTTTGCGACGCCCATGATAACGCCTATTGTGAAGTGGACCTGTATTAGCTGCTGTATCGCATCGAAGGTGCTGCTACAAGTTCTAGTCTGGTCTATTGTCGTACATCGCCCTGCATCGCCTGCCTGAGCTGTTGCCGGCTAGCTATGCTTTTCCCACTGGCATCGGAGTCATTCCAGACCATCACCGCTCATACTCTCATCTCACAGGCTCACCTCGGCGCACTTCTATTCTACGCCACTACCTATGTCTACAGTGCGAATGCTAATGTGCAGACACCATTCGCGTTACCAGTCATCGATGAGAAGTCTGCTCTGACTATCAACGACTTCATATCTGACATTAGTCTCGGAGGACTATCACTTTCCCAAGATGGTTCTCGTGTGGCGTATCACGCAGGCCCGCAATACAGGGCAGGGCCCTCCCCCTCGTCTTCTATATGGATCGCGGATACTTCGCTGGAAGACAGCACGACGCAAGTTACTTTCGGTTCGTTCCATGATCATAGCCCCCAGTTTCCTGGGCCCAACAGCGACGTGTTGTACTTCCTATCCGATCGACATGCGCCTGGCCAAGCCAACGATATATTCCGTCTCCTGGTCTCTGGACCCCTCGACGAGTCTACGAACCTTCTCCCGGTTGCTGTCACTTCTACCCAATTCGATGGCGATGTTTTAGACTTTGCGGTCTCTCCTGATGCCCAACTGCTCGCTTTTGTGAGTGTTGAGGTGGATGACAACGACCAGTCCGGTATGCCGGAGGCCTGGAATGATAAGAAGGAGCTGGGTCGTTTGCTCCTCTTGAACCTCACAGACCCTGCCGCTAGGTATGATAATACCTCCCTTCCATCTCGTTCATTTCTAGAGTCACAAAGTTGGGCCCTGTTATAGCCCACGCACACTCGTCTCCCTTGACGAGAATGTTGCCTCCTTTTCTTGGAGCCCGGACAGTTCTCATATCGTCTACCGGACTACCAGGCACCCCGCACTCGAATATCACTATCTTGCTGGCTCAGACCACATCGTATCTGTCCTCGACGGTTCGTCGAAACTCTTACGCGACTGGCCAAATCCCCCGCAGATGCCTGCGATCTGGACACAAAATGACACATTTCTCTACCATCATGGTTACGTCCTTGACCGTCACTCCTCATCCGGTGCTCTATGGCGTCTGTCAGCTTCTGACGATCGCTTCGAGCGCATCGCGTTCGGGGAATCCGACGACTTGGTTCAAATGCGCAGCGTGGGGTCTACCTCCCAGATAGCCGTTGAGGTCGCCTTCGGGCTCAACACACGCATCTCAATCATGGACTCGTCCTCGGACCAGGAATCTATCCTGTTTCAAACCGAAGAGGACGCGATTTTGTCATGGGATGTGAAGCTTACTGATTTGGCGGTAGAAGAATACACATTCGTCGCCCTCCGTAGCTCAGGTATCCGCGGGGAGCCTGAGGAAGTTTGGGCTGGTTTGACGGCGGGAGGGAAGGAGGGAAAGCTCACCACGAGGCTTTCGGCGCATAGGCAATGGGTCTCGGAGAAGCAGCTTCCTGTTATGCGGCCCTTCAACTGGACTGGCGTAGATGGGGAGATCTTGGAAGGACTAGCGCTATATCCACCGGCTGGACCTTCCTCGAACCTCCCCACCGTCATCAAACCGCACGGAGGCCCGTATTCGTAGGTGTTTCTCCATGGTTATGTGGACAACATTGATGAAACAGTTGTTCGACACAGACGCGATGTACCCGGACTTGCCTTTGGTAAGCAGACGAATATTTTCACGAGAGGCCAATCTGCTAACACGCAAAGCAGACTACATGGCATGGCATATTTCCCTCGCCTCACAAGGTTGCTTAGTTCTCATGCCGAACTATCGAGGCAGTATGTTCATTTCGAGTATTTCTCCAGGGACACATTTGATAATTCGGGTTTATTAGGCATGGGACGCGGAGACGCATTCGCAGGTAACGCAAACGGAGGGATGGGTACTCTGGACTGGGCAGACACCAAAACAATGCTGGACGAAGCAGTCTTGCTGGGCATCGCTGACCCGTCCAGACTTGCCATAGCTGGAAAATCGCAAGGAGGTTTTCTCACCGCTTGGGGAGTCACACGTCCCGACAGTCTTTTCAAGGCGGGGATCATGATCGACGGCGTTTCTGACTGGGGAAGCTTGGTTCTGTCGTCAGACCTCCCGGATTTCGAGGTGCGTGAGGTTCCTCCCTTCACACAGTTAAGTGTCCCCGCTAACGACGTGCGCTTGTGCTTCAAGGCTGACCTTGCAGGTGGTGCTCCTTGGAACGAAAGTACGACCCACTTCCTCAGCGGTAGTCCTATCCGCGAAGCTAAGAACGTCAAAGCTCATCTCCTCATCATTCACGGCAAAGAGGACAAGCGGACTCCTCTTTCGCAGGCGGTCGGTTTCTTCCGTGGTATTCTACGTGAATCGGCATACCCAGAGAGGGTCGAGATGGTTATGTATCCGAATGAAGGGCATACTTTCCAAGAGAAGGATCATGCGCGAGACGTGATGGAACGAGTTTTGGCCCACTTTACGAAGTATCTTCTGTGATTAAGGATGGTGAATCCGACAGGGGATGGTGTGTGAGTAAGGGAATGTATGTTTGCCTCGATCTTCTATCTTATTCTTCATCACAGAGATACGCGCTGGGAAATGCATGAGCATCAGTGGTACTCGTTGTCTGTAGAGGATCAACGTAAACCTTGTGTAGAATACTTACTATACGTGATAAAATACGGCTTGTGAATAGTTTCCACAATGCTTTTGACGCGTGGATAATGTGGCCTCAAGCAATAGGTTTGCGCCCGATGGCCACGGGAGTCCGTTGCCACATAATCGCCATATTGACAAAAGATCTCGAGACCTTGTTCAATTAACCTTCAGGTGGAGGCTGACAAGTAACGACGTCGTCATTCTATATGAATATGGTGATTCCGAAGGCGACAGCAAATCTTATACATTGTTTGAATACTCTTCCAGAGTGTAAGACGGGGTGAAGAAGTGTATTACATCTCCTTCGCTCTGAGGATGACTTCTCCAGCCGTATCTCTCTGGTCGACCACAGGCGACAATGACATTCTGACACGGAGAACAAACGGATCACGTGCGTGGCGCGTTGGCCACAATGCTATTGAAGCCCGTTTGCTTCCGTCGACGCGTTCTGTTCATTGCTCCTGGCCACTTCAGTCCAACGAGGACGAAGCACGGACACGCAGGACAACCCCTTCCTCCCGCCCGCCCACTTACACCCACACCTCCCTGGCTCCCTCTCCACACCTAGCACACTTTCACCAAGTCTCAATCAACCAAGCTGTGTCACCAGTAAATTATACAGCGGCTTCGCAGACGACCATGATGGAGAGTTTTGGAGCTGGCAGCTTGAGAAACGTCGTCACCGCCTCGAAGGAGGCTCCCGTCTACGGATTCAACTCTTTGATCAAATCATTCTTTACTACACCGTCCACACCGACCTCTCCGTCTTCTAATGACAGTGACGCTCTCGATTTCAGCAGCAATGCCGCCGCCGCCCGCCCGCCGTGTTACCCAAGGCGTCCGGGTCAAAGCAACAGCAAGAACCAAACCCTGGACCGCTCACATCCTGCTATTCGCCGCCGTCGCGTGTCCCGCCGCTGGGAGACCCCACCTATCCTCGAGACGAAAGAGCCCAATTCTAGATCCGCGGGCAGCGAAGAATCCGACATCTCCACCTCAGACGAATGCTCGTTGTCAGACGACTCTTCAGAGGCTGCTGACACCATCTATTACTCAACGATCGCCGGCGCCCCACGTAGTCCTCCCAAACCTTCTAGGCCGAGACTGTGTCGAACGCCTAACGGCTTGCAGCCTGTGGCTTCCCGAGCTCTCGCTGTCCCAGTTATCCCTGAAACCTCCGACACTGCAGACACCGATGCTGAGAGCAGCGACGCCCAGTCAGAACCTGACTCTGACTCTGATTCTGAACTGCCTAACTCATTCGCCGACTTCCCCGCACCACCAGGTCTTCCCGAAACCTTCCCATCCGTCGCATCCGTTCCATGTCGTCCATATCCCGCAGCTCGATTCTTCAACCACGGATATTCCAGGAGCGCGTTGAACTGTATCAAGATCGCGTGGGATAACCGTCGACAGATATGGGAGAGACACGAAGAAGAACTTGCTCAACGGACGACGGATGCGGAGAACAACTCTGCATACTCTGCCATCGAATCCCCTGAGGTCGGGACACCGAATTCGCCTCCCAGCACTTTCAGACCACCTGCCTGGACGGTTCCTATACTGGAGAGAGACAGAGAGGGTGAGCATGACATGGAGGATCCCAGTCCGCTGATGTTTCCTCGTATGGGGAGCTTCTCGCCGCTACGAGACGAGGACTCGAGGAGGGCCGTGATCTGTTTCGACCGCACGTTCAGGAACTTTCCGCTGTCGCAGATCCGGAGAATCCTCTACGTGGCCGACATGACTTCGCGGCTGGACCTGCAACGCGAGAAGAAGGAGAGGAGGGCCAGGGAGTCTAGGCTGAGCGAGAGCCGTCGGCGGGATGGTGTGAGCCCGGATGAAGAGGCGGAGGAGGGAAATAGCTTCGTTTCGATCGGCCTAACGACTAATACGCACAAGTCGTCAGACCCCGCTAACCTCACCTCGGACTCGACACTGATCAACCCTCTTCAGCACGACCACTCAATTGACGACTCAGGTGCCGACAAGGACGCCGAGGGATCGTCCTGGGGAATCGACGGGGATGCCCTCGATTGGGAGAACAATTGGCGCGTCCGCTGGAACACGTTCTCCTCCATTATCCGCGAGTCTTCGACCGTGCTCGAGGAATACAACCTCGACACCACCGTGCATCCTACCTCGTCATTGAACATGCCCATTCTCGCCCGCCAACTCGAGCATCCCTATGTGTCCTTCCTGTTCCCCGAAGAAGGTACAACGCTGGGCGAACAGAGATTCACCATCCCAGAGGAGTTTTCTGACTCGGACGTGGATACGTCGTTCGTCGTGGAGCATGACGACGATCCGACGAGACCGGAAACGCCTACGTTAGGGAGAAGGTCGAAGTTCCTCTTAGGGAGTAATGATGGAGGTAGTGACGACGAAGAGGACTTTGGGTTCGGCCATGACGAGGACGAGGACGAAGAGGAAGATTATGGGGAGTTGGTCGTTGATTCTAGGGCGCTATTTGCGAGGCCGGTAAAGGTGGAGATCATCGAGGTCAATTTCAACGACGAGGATGACACGTGAGTCAGTGAGGCTTGAGGATGGAGGGAAAGACTTGCCCATATTAGATTACCTTGGGGAGTACGAGGATAGTCTTCTTCGTCTCCTAGATTGGCCATGGTACTATCTCATGCTATATCACTGACCATACTCTCGCATTGAAGCAAGGATGTTGTAGGACTATACCCTTGTTACCTGACATACCGCACTGTAGCCACATACTATATTTTCTGTACTCTCGGTTTGTTTTGCTATGGTTGTATATATCGTTTTGCATCTCGTCCTGATATCGAAAGACGCTTGTATTAAGAAGAGATGAAAAGTGAGTTAGAGAAGAGAAACATGCCTTCCCCGTTCGTCGTCGCACGTTGCATGTTTCGTGGAGGCCTCTGACGCTTCGAGCTATCGATTTACATACATCTTGCGCGATCAACCGTCTTTCAAATTTCAACAACCCTGGTCTAGGAAAAGACATGTCGATGAGCCATTGGTCGGAGCTTCACGAAAGACTGAGAAAAAGAAGACGAACATACCTCGAATTTGTACTTCCACACGAGCTTTCAAGTTACTTGGACACATATGAGAATAAAAAGGGAACGACCACGATACTATCCCTCGCACGCAGAGGCCGTCCAACTCAAATAGAAAACCCCCATAAGACCAACATGGATAAAGATAGAATGTCTGATACAAGATCTAAAGAGCTACAACCTGAAGTATACTTCGTCATCTATTCATTTCCTTCCACACCACTTATGATAGTCCCGAAACCGCCATCAAAGGTCGTCTAAGCGTCTAAGCATAAACTCATGCCTTCGGCTTTCCAATCGCTCTACCCATGAATCCCCATTCGATCTGCCTAGCCGAACGCACTTTGACATCCAGATCGTCCGCAAACGCCCAGACGAGGCCTGCATTCGTTGAACGAGACCCAAGGGGAGAGAAAATCATCAGTCATCACTCACGCACACCATTCACTACAAAGAAATAAAGAGAAAAGCAGAGAAACTCACCCGGATTCTTCTGGAACGCCCTCCCAACAAGGACCGCATCCGCCTGTCCCTTGTCCAAGATCTCCTGAGCTATCTTCCCAGTCGTAATCATGCCCACGCTGCCCACCAATATCTTATCCCCATGCTCCTTCTTCACTGCCTCAGCAAATGGAGCCTGATACTGGCCCTTACCGTTGATCTTTTGCGCGGGGTGGTTTCCGCCTGAGGAGACATCGAGGAAGTCGACGCCGTGGTCTGCGAGGATGCCGGCGAGGCGGACGGTGTCGGAGACGGTCCAGGAGGGTTCGTTGGGGAAGACTTCTTCGAGCCAGTCGGTGGCGGAGATGCTGAATATCGACCGTGGTAATCATAGAGGTGACCAGAAAGTGAAAGAGGTCAGCGGTGGGCGAATAGAAGGCGTCAAGGAGTATAGAAGCACGTACCGGAGGAAGAGAGGCATCTCAGCGGGGATGGTGGCACGGACAGCATCGACGATCTCAAGGGTCAACCTGATCCTGTTCTCGAAACTCCCTGCAACCCAGCTTCAGCCTCAACTCATGGATAGGGCTAAGAAGACATACCTCCGTACTCGTCCGTGCGCTTGTTGCTGATCGGACTCAGGAACTCGTGAAGCAAATATCCATGGGCATTATGGATCTCGATGACATCTGAGCCATAGATATGGTATAGAAGTTAAATAAATGCAAGAAGTAGGTTAAGATTGGTGGTACGCACCAAACCCGACTTTCAACGCTCTCTTCGCGGCAGCTACGAATGCGGCCACGATGTTCTTGATGCCTTCCTTCGTCAACTCCTTGGGAACAGCGAACTTGTCGTTGTGAGCGATAGCAGAGGGAGCCCAGACGTCGTCGGGCCAGCCACCAGCTGTCGCAGTAGCCGCTAGACCCATGTCCAACCACGGCGCCACAGTGGAAGCCTTGCGACCAGCTAATGGGAATGCAACGTAATGTGATGCAAATGTCAGCTCGGTGAGTATTTGATGAACATGATGGACGGACCATGGGCGAGCTGGATGGCGATCTTCTGGCTCTGCGAGTGTGCGAATTGAACGATCTGACGGAGAGGCTCCTCCTGAGCTTCATTCCAGAGACCGGAATCTTCAGGCGTGATGCGGCCTTGAGGGACGACGGCTGTGGCTTCTATGATAGTCAAGCCAGGACCGCGCGTGAAGATGCCTCCAACTGGGGGAAAAACGCGTCAAATACTCGCATGATCAGTTCCAAGGATGGCGTGAACGTACGATGAGCCAAATGCCACGGAGTGAGGACGCCATCCTCGGCAGAGTATTGGCATAGAGGCGAAAGCTGGAGATCACTGTTTGTTAGGACTTTGTGTCCAAGGATCACGCAGAAATATGGTGAGCGTACAAATATACGGTTCTGGAATTCAAGGCCCCTAATCTTGAGAGGTTTGAATAGCGTCGGAATAGGTTTTCCATCTGGTTGCGGGTCAACAGCCGTACCCGAAGGAGGCACCTGTGCCGGCGTGAAGTATGGCGTCGCAGGTGCAGGCTTGTTCACGACATTGGGGATGTTGGAAGCCATGGTGTGTTGGTGTAGGAAGGCAGTGGTGGTTGAGAAGGATGTCAAGCTTCCCGACCATCGCATGTGTGTATATAAAAGTGCATGAATAAGCAACTAGATTACTACTGCATCCACTTGGGCCGATCTTCCCAAGCCCGTATCCCGAGGCTGGCGAATAATCGAGAGTATTCCGAGAATTTCGTAGTGACTCGGGTTCGGGGAGGATGACGTCTTCCGGGGATGTCGACCGTGGCTGGTCGGGGATGGTCTGAATTGCTTATCGATCCCATGCATTTCCGTAAATAGAAAGGGGATACTATCACTCCAGCAGTGTTCGGTAATGAAATCGCAAAAATATTCCCTGCGTCTCGTATGGCGCTCTAAAAAACCAAGACTTGGTACGGACAGTGGCAAACACTGACGCTACCTGCCTGTGAGATTGGATCAGTCGAAAATACAGCCTTTCGTTGAGCGGAACGTTTCCGGTGGTTTTGAGGGGTGTTCGGTAATTTCTCCGCACGATGGTCACGACAGTGTCACGAAGCCGCGGCTGCCGCGTTCCAACTCCGACCTTCGCAGTGCCAGAAACATGGCTCCGGAGGAGAGTTCGGTAGTCTCTTGGGCCACAGTGCGAAGTGCTACGTTGTCCGTTTGGCGGCGATCATCGATCAGCCTGCAAGTCTCTCGAGTTATGATTGAAGGAAATACCACCGAAGAGTCTGCAGACCACTGGTACTGACTGCAGTATTATATATTGCTTGTAATGAAGATAAGTATCTACTGGTAAGTACTGTAAGAAGAATCAACTGGCGAAAGGATTAGCTGGGTCATGTACGAGTGAAGGTGGATATTCTACAGACTGAGAAGCAAACATATTAGGTGTCAGTCTCGATGACAATGTATTATTGTAAGATGTAGGATCGTGGTAATTATTCTGTGTAGTGCGATGAGTGGAGGAGAAAGGGTAAGAAAGCTCAGAGTGGAAATGTGTCGCAGGGGGAGGCATAAAGTCCGGGCGAGCAAGTAGAGGAGCTGTGTCCTCAAATCTGCGAATGCGGTTCGAATGCGGAGAATAACGGTGGCCAGTAAGAGGTGAACGAGTCGTGGAAGAGGGGCTAGGTTGTGCGATAGGAGGATATTGGTGGCGTGGCGATTGTGTGCCAAAATTTGAGTCTGGATGTGAGTGCAAGTGCCGCGAAGAGCCTGCGGTAGACTGGAGGTCGGAATGTGGGAGGTGCAGATCTGTTTCCATAGACTGTTCAAAGTCAAAGCGTAGTCGCTGGGTAGGTGGCTCCTGTGTCGCCACATCGTCGACAGGGCGCGCGCGCTTCTTGTATAAACCCGCAAACCTGGGATCGACCTCGAGGATGTTGCGTTTCGAATCGAGAAAAGCTTGAAGGTCAGCCTTGAGCCCAATGACCGTACGTTTCTTAGCGTAGTCGCTCCTGTGGTCGAATCCGAGACCAAGCAAACCGAACGCCCAAGCGATGTCTCTCAGGTCCTCCTTGGGCTTGCTCGTGAGAACTCCCGAGAAGCGCATCGTGTGGCCCTCCTGCTCCCGTCTCTGCTGTCTCTCGTTCTCTTTTGCCTCCCTCGCACCCTTCACTTCGCTCTTTCTACGCTCTTCTTCTGCCCTCTCAGCCTCCTGCGCCTCAAATTCCGCCATCCCTTCTCTACCGTTGAGGAGGCGGGCCTCTGTGACGAGGTTTCTGGTGGTGCGTTTGGTCTTCTTCGTCTCCAACCTCTTCCTCAACTTCTCGTTCTCTCCAAACATAAGCTTACCATGCGCCTCCACCCTCTTCACCTCGCGCTCCATCTGCTTGACTCTCTCCTCCAGGGCATGGCTTTTCTCTTCAAGACGAGCATTCTCAGCGATGATAACGGCCTTTGGACGACGTTCGATCATGGGTCCTTTTCTATAACGGCCTCGCGTGCTCCGGGTGAGAGATCGCATTGAGGAGGGTGTGGAGGACGAAGAGGGAGTAGACATCTGAGATATGCGGTGTTCCTGGCTCGTTTGGGAGCGAAGTCGGGGGAGGATTTCGTGTGTGTTTGATTCCGGTGCGTCTGTTGTCTCATCGGATATGCTCGCCACCTCATCGTCTGTCGCTCTTCTTTCTGCACCTTCGAAACGAACCTGGCCCACAGTAACACCATCAAGATCTTCGGTAACGTCCCCGTCATGCCCCTCCAATCGCGTCTCCACCTCGCCACTCCCTTCACCACTCCCTTCGCCACCCACCTCCACCTCTCGTCGCTGTGCTGCTGAAGTATGAAGACTTTCGCCCGCCCTCTCAACAGAGCACACATCCTCAGCACCTCCAGACCCGCCTCCAGTGCCCTGCTCCGAAGAAACAATGTCGATCTCATGCTGTATGTCCAGGCCGTTCTCGTCGAACCAAGGGTTGTAGACTGGATATGACGAAGGTGCGTGCCCGATCGTCGATGTGTTCTCGCTTGGGGCAAAATCAACGTCCGTGAAGACGTTCGAGTTGAATGGATAAATGCCACACTTCCGAAATGCTTTGCGGACAGTTTCCGGGTCGAAGCATCGTTCTCGAACATCAAGGTATTCCTTGACGATGTCCGCACGCGGCATTTCCTCTCCAGACTCGGCGAGAACCTTCGCGCAGCGGGCCAACCAGCTGGTCTGAACGCCTCCAAAGACACCGACATCCAAGGGTTGCAACTTGTGTGTGGTGTGTGGTGGTAGGCAGAATAACAGGATGTTGTGTTCATTGGCGAGAAGGCGCATCTCGCCTGTGACGTGAGATCCGTGGCCGTCGATGATGAGAAGAATTGGTGCGTCGGATACTCTATGTTTGGTCGCAGACGGGATGAACGACTTCTTGAACCACTCAGCGCACAAGAAGTCGTCCGTCCAACCAGTCTCGGACGTGGCGACACTTTACATGGCAGGAGACACCGTCAGTGCCGAATCACCACACAGGTACGTTGTCACTCACGAAATGTCATCCACAAACCACTCCGGCATGAACTCCTTCCCTGCAAAGACGAAACCTGGAGGAATTGACTTCCCATCGGCTGATATGCACTCGATGAGGGTGAACAGCTCGAGATTTGCGCTTCGAAGCTTGTATCGCGGTCGTCGTCCTCTGGGCACAAAGTACTTTGTTTTCTGCAGTTTCCGCCCCCCTCCTCGCTGACACCCCTTCTCGTCCATATTCCAGATATGCTCCGGCGGTATACCGTGTTCCTGCAAAATGTCGCACAGCTTCTGAAAGTAGTCCTGAACAGTCTTGCGATTGAAAGCTTGTGCACGCTTTGGATCGATGCCGGACGGTTTGCCGAGAACAACGTGAGGGTTTCGTCCCAGAAAGGCTTCGATCCAGGTGTATGACGGGCGGGTGCCACACATCTCCTCGACAACACTAAGTAACCCTTCCTTGTCCAGTGGTTTACCAATGTCTGACAGGTACTCCATCCAGTCAGCCAACACAGTCTCCGTGACATGATCGAGAAGTTGTTGGTCTTCGTGTGCGCAAGGAGCGGATTGGTGGAGGTCTTTGTACCGGCCTCGAAAGGTCTCATATGGGATCTTGAACATGTTGGCAATAGCATAGAGGGATGTGTCGGTGTGGCTGTCTGCGTAGTTACACGCTTCCTGCATGTCTTCTTCGGTGTACGTTTTAGGCTTGCGAACATGTTTTGATTTTGATTTAGGTTGTGGCTTCGACGTGTGGCGCCTCCCTCCGCGGATTTGAGCTGGTCCATGGGAGGTCTTTGGCATGCAAGATGTGGGAATGTGAGCTCGTGAAGACGAGAGAAGACGCTCTCAAGCTGAGGACGTGGCAATTCGGTGATAAAAAAGCACATGCTCGTAAATTGCACTGACTCGAAGTCAGTGCCACCCAAGAACAAAAGGGGATTATGTTGCTTTCATTCTCTGGATATTCCCGAACGGGCCGCTAGCGGAGATTGAACCAAGTTCCTAATTCGTCAAGCGTGACTGTGCTGTAGCGGTCGACGAGGAGGACAGTCTGCAGTTCAGTGACGACACTGGATCTGTACCTCGGAGAAATTTGCCCAGCGTAGATACATCTCATGTGAACCCAAATAAATATATTCATGTAAATCGGACAAGATTGGCTGGCTCAAGGGAGTAAACCGATTTAAAGTTCATTTACCGAACAGGTATTCCTCAAAGCATCTCTCCCTCTGCAAACCTCTCAGCTCCAGCTTTTTTCTGGGACCTCGCTATGACTATCCAAACAACCTGCAGAAATTTTGAAGAGGATCCGTTGAGAACTCGTCGCTCCTCGAGCTATTACCGAACACCCCTAGATTACCGAACACTATTTTAGTGATAGTAATATCGAGAGCTAGAGAGGGGGGGCACCGAATGGATAGACGTCGACTTGTAATCGTGGTCTAATGTTCGAGCCCATATCTCAGCGAAACGTTAACGGTTGCCGTCCCTTACCAGGCCTAGGTCGCAAGTCGAACGTCCTATGTGGCGCAAAAAAGTCCGGCAGTCTCCGAGTAGCGAAGTTGAACGAACTTCAGCCTTGCGCGAGGGACAGCTTTCCTACTTACCACGGTGACACGCCTGACTAATTCTTTTGTTCTCCCCAGCTTATCAGCGGCCCTGCTTCTCTGCTTTTATTGACTTCTATCTCACCGTGATACTAACCTCATGCTTCCGCTTTGAGCTTCGAAGCGCATGGTCCGCTGGGGACAAAGCGAAGTCTGCTTCCAAACTCGGCACAAGGACAAAATGATGGTGTCCTGGTGTGCAAAGCATTGCACCTGCGTTATCGATATCAGATTCGACGCTAGACAGTATTTATCTATAAAAGCAAGCGAGTTCGTCGTTGTTGCATCGTTACACCGCTCTCGCATCCCACCAGTGGCATCTGCAGCTTCGCACACTCCTGCCTTACATTTATCAGTGCCGCCTTATCCACCTACACCGTGCCTTTCTCCATATCTCTGGCCGGACTCTCATCGATGTCTACTATGACCTTGCCTGACTCAACCACGCTTCATTCCTCTCAGCAGTCGATCCCTCCTGTTGAAACTCCTGGAGGCACGTCTAGTATTCCGGATGGACCATTTACCTTTCGGCCCATGAAGCCTCTGCCATTTCGCGAAGCTACCAACACTAGGACTAGGGCCAGGACCAAGATCAACCCCGACACCATCACTGACGCATCGTCTCAAGCCCAAAAATCTACACCTCGCGATGCTCGCGTCGATGTCTCAACTATCAGTCGTGCCAAGGGGCCAGCCGACGTGCAGGAGGAAGAAGACGAACAGGCCAGTTCAAAGCGTCGACGAACCGCCTCTTCTCCGGACGCCCCAGACACGCCTCAAACTAAAGCCTCCCAAGGACAAAAAATCATAATCGTAGGCGGAGACGACGCCATCTCGAGAACGGTCGTCATCACTCTAGCCTCCGTCATCCCGCCCACGTCCGTTCTGCAATGGAACTTCAAACCATCCTCCCGGACGGCCTTCACCCGCTCCTCCCCTTCCTCTTCCTCTTTCTCTTCCACATCCTCGTTCTCATCCTCGTTCTCGCTCTTCCCGGCATCCTCATACTTATACTCAGACCTCCCAAGCAACGCCGACAAATCCGTCGCCACCGCCGCCAGCGTCGCACTCACTACACTCAAGAACAAACAGCGAATAGCGCAATGGGCACGATTCGGCAGCCTTGCGAAAGCGGCGGCGCAGGGGGCCTTAGTAGCCCAACCTCAACCACAACCTCAGCCTCAGTCTCCAGCTCAATCTCAATCTCAATCTCAGTCGCAGTCTCAATCCCAATCTCAGCCTCAAGCTCGATCTCAGTCGCAGTCTGAGGAAAGAAGAAAGGAGTCCTCGGCCGTGCCACACAGCTCGACGTCGTTAGCAATCGCATCGATCGTAGCGGCCCTAGAGCTCGAGGTATCCGAATCGCCCTATTGGACTCGCTCGAAGTATCCCCTTGATCTGGATTCGGAATCATCGGAAGAAGAGGACGAGCCTTGAGTTTGGACCTTCGTTACATGTAAATGAGTCAGAGGAACGGAACGGAGTGGAATAGACTCGGTTTTCTGGGGAAGGTCTTTGGTACCCATCTTACTGCCTTCCCGTGTCTTGTCTATGTACCGCTCTACAAAATACTTATGCTACGAATATGTTCTTCTTTCGTATCCTGAATTCGCATGTCCCATCCCAATGCGAATCAGAATGAAGCCGATACCGCGATGAAAACAGTACGCACAGAGACATTGAGATGAACGTGACTTTGGTCATATGTACGCAACGGTATAGACAAACGACGTTTCCTGAACGTTCCGGAAGTTCTTCACCCCATCGTTCGTCACGAGTCGCGACCACGTCTTTAAACATACTACCTCAGACGCGCGCGACAAATAATGGCTAATCAACATTTTTGAATTTCATACGAATGTATACGACTACACAACCTCAAACGACGACAAACTTCAATCACCTCAACATCCACCCATCTCTACTCCACACCAGCACCTCCACCAAGCCAAAACCCCCCAAATATACCCAACTCTCAAAGCCAAAGCAAAAAAAGAGTCCATCCGAAAACCACGACCATCCCAACGACACCACCACAAAGCCTATGCACACGAACGAACCGCACACGTCGCATTCCCCCATCAACTCAACTCCTTTTTCCCTCCATCGCTCTCTCAAACCTCCCTCGCTAACCCAACCCAACCCAACGACCCACGAACTCCAAAAGTACAAAGTAGCGCGTAGGATATGAAAGGAAAGGAGAGGAAGCGAAGGTCGAAAGAGAAATAATGATGATGATGATGATGATGATGTTGATGATTGACGGAATAAGATATGCGATGCCGATAATGATGCCGATGATGATTGGTGTGTGAGATGGTTGAAATGCTGTCGAGACGAAGTAGAAATGGATGCAACGATGCTTGTGTTGAAACGAATACACTTGAATTTCGATTGGATTGTATTGAGGCTCGGATATGCCTTTTGGGTGGGAAGGTGGATGATCAATTGTCCATCGAATCGAGGAAGCGAGGTAAGGGAAAAGTAGAAGGCGAAGTGGTGTTCGCGGTCAAGCGGCATAACCGAGCAGATAAGGAAAAGAAATAGAGTCTAGGCTGTGAAGGAGTGTCGGTCGTCCAGAATCGAGAAGCGGACGAAATGATGGAAAATTGGATTGAATATTGATTTATACAATTGACGGGGGGGCGAGCTGAGAGCGTCGAGCCCATGGATGGATGAGAGGTGGTGGTCGCAGGCTCGGGGGGGAGGGTATGCGTCGGGCTATATACAGCATGGCTGGTCCACAAGTCACGATACACTTCTACAAGCAAACTCGTGGCGGAAAGGTGGCGGATGAACCAGCGAAGCCTGCGCGAACACCGGGGGATGAGAAGTCGGGTGGATGTGGGGGATAGAGTTGGATGATAATGCACGTCCTGAACGATGACACAAGGAACTCTACGAACGAATAAAACACATCAGTTATGAGAAAGATATAAGGATATGAATAAGATGCACCCACAGGAAACAGCCAGCATCTTACAGGCCCTCGTACCATCAAACGAAGAGAACTACCTCCACAAGGCGGCGAAAGCAGACATTGGCGAGACACCCGACCGAGACGGCCGGGCGAATCGCACAAAGTCCACCTGCTGCGAAGAAAGACGAAACATATCTACAACAAAGGGAGCAGGGCCAAAAACCAAATGGGAAGCCGAACCACAGACCCGTCTCCTACAACCTAAAAGTACCAAAGTATGTGTATGTATAGACACTAGTGCACAGAAGGAAAATTGACGGACTAGGAGGGCGATAAGTTCTTCGAAACGTGAATGAGAACAAAGAACAAAAGAAGAAAAAAATCGTGAGGCGTGAAGACATCAGCGTGCATCTAAATGCCGCACTGACGTACCGTGACCAGAAGAAGTGAACAAATGCGAGAAGTAGAAGGAAAAAGGCAGGAAGACGCTAGTGAGGAAGAAGAATGGATATCTGATCGATACTTGATACACAGAAGAGCAACCAGAACCGAGACAAAAAAAGTGAAAAAGAGATAAAAGATAGAGAAGTCGTTAAAAAGGGCAACAATGCGGCACTAACCCCCTGCACCCGCATGAGACAACGGCGCGGACGGAGAGGGCGTGAGTTAGATTATAGAGGTGCGGTGGAAGGAGGTAGGGGTAGATGCAGTGAAGAGAACAAAAATAACAATCACAAGTAAAAAGAGAAGTCCGTAGCCAGATAAATTCCAAGAACACACGTCAAGGCCAAGCAAATACGACACAATGTTGGGGACCATGGAAGAAAAGTAACACCCCGGAGTAGTGGTGCGCGCGCGGCGATCCAAACACTCGGGCTCGTTGAGAGGGCGAGGGCGGAAGGTACGGCGTCGGCGCGGGGTGGAGTGTTAAATAAGCAGGCCGATACCACGAGGACAACCGGAAATTTGAGGCGACGTAATATATAGATGCGAGAGCGTTGAGAAAGACTCGAGGACGAAGGCGGAACGGGTACGATGCGTGTTGGGATTTTAAAATATTTTTGTGGTGGTCGTTTCGTCCGAGTCGAATCTTTTGTTACACCCCCGGATGCCCCGATCTAATGGATGTCGGGTTTCCGAGGAAAGAGAGTTGCCAATGCGGAATGCGAGAGCATGCGAATGTGACGATAGTGAAACAATGGGGAGAGTCGAGAAATTGAGTCGAGAGTGGACAGAAAACGACGAGACTGTGACGAAAACGTGTGGCGGGCGGAAGCCGCGGGTCCGGCGAGTCCAGCGGAGGGAAGGGAGGACTCGACGAAGAACGAGGGCGGGACCGAGTGGTGCTTCCAAACGACGACCGTGGTATGAATAACGGTGTCGAGCCCGAAAAAAAAAGCGCGAGGGTGTCCTGAACGTGGGGCCAAACCGGGGATTATGTCCGAAGTTGATTAAACAGGGTAGAGAGGTCTAACGGGGAGTCCAACGGGACAACCCAGAAAGCAAATAACCAGCAAAAACACAAAGCCAAAACGTCGAATAATGATATCGTCAATAATCCAAATCGCCCGACGCGTCAACGTCGAGGACCCAAAATCAGAAAAGAGTGAATCATGCGTCGACGCAGACGAGATGGTGGTGGGGAGACGACCTCACGAAGAGCCGCACGGCCAGCCGATAAATCTGTCGATGAGAGGCTTAGGACAAACCATATGCAAGAGGAGAGAGCAAACTTTACCTCTACACTGATAACGAGTGGATGAAACGCAATCAAAACCCGAACGCCGGGGGAGGCAAGTCGTCGGGGCTGGGAGAGTTTTGGAAGTTCGAGCTAGCGAAGAACCCGGGCTTGTTCACCGACTTGCTCAACCCGACAGGAGTCGACGCAGCCGAAGCGTGGCGCCTCCTAGGAAGAAGTCCCATGAGGGCCTTGAGTTCGTCAGACGCATCCGACGACGACGAAGTGCTCTCGTCCATGGACATGTCGAAGATACCTTCGCTGGGAGACCTCACGTGCTGCCTCTTGTGTGGAGAGGGGGTAGACGTCGTGGGGAAGAAGGGGGACCCAGCGAAGGTGGAGGCGAGAGGCGCCGTACGAGGGCCATCGTCGACGAGAGACTGCTGCCAGGTGCCCTTGGCCGACTTCTCCTTGGTGGGGGTCGCGGGAGGAGACGGGACATCATCATCTTCGTCCTCCGTCAGGTCATCACAGATGGGGAAGGCACCGAGCCCGATGGACATGGAGTGCGACAAGCCCGGACGAGCTGGAATGGCCGACGTGACGGGGTCGGAGCGAGAGAGGTTGAGAGCGCCCTTGGGCTCGCGCGTGCGCTGTTTGCCGCCGCGAGGCACAGGCACCGACTTGGAAGGTGGCGGCGTCGGGGTTCCGGAAGTTTCCGGGCCGGTCTGGCGCCGACGTGCGAGTTTGCCCGAGGGGCGGGCGGAAAGCCTGGGAGTCGCCGCCTTCGACGGCTGGGACTTCGGCGAGCCATTGGAGTTTGCCTGGGTGGGGCGAGGTGCCTCAGAGGCGGAGTTCTCGCTGTCAGAGGCTAGGAAGGGGTCGAAAGCGTTTGCGTTGGGGTTACGAGAGCGAGAGTTGTGCGAGTGAGAGCGAGTAAAAGCGGTGCGGTCGGAAGAAGTGTGGACCTCTGCCTGCGAGGGTATCTGGGAAGGAAGAGGAGGGGAGCCCTGGTGGTGGGGGTGACGCCGAGGATTGATACGAGCCAAGTTCGGGGATGAGCTCCTACACGAGGTGAGTGAAGAAGGCAAATGTCAATCCCACGATGAGTCACCAGGTATGAACAAGATATGAGGAAAGAAAAAAAAATGATGTACGTATGCGAGGGGGCACTAAGGTACGTATGGTAGAAAGAGTGTATGAACGATGAAGCACCTTGGAACATTCTTCTCTTTGGTCTGTTTGCCGTTCTGACGTCCCTGGTTGGACTTCTCTGACGGCGAGGACGTGGCCGCAAGGTTCTGAACCTTGTGGGCGGCTGCACTGTCGTGCGTGGCGACGGCAGACTTGGCGGCTGGATGAGCCTGAGCATTGGCAACCTCCGGGGAGCCGTTGACGGACGCCTTGCCCGACTTGTTCAGCTTCTGGGCGGCGCGAGGACGAGCGCCTTGTTGGCGAAGCTGTGGGCGTGGGGATGGAGCGGGCTTTGAGAGGGAAAGGAGCCCTGGCGTCCGTGTGGGCTGCACGAGGACCGTGGGGGGAGCTGAGGGCATCCTGCGATGGTGGGAAGCGGGGGACGAGAGGATGTGAGCAGGCTTCTGGACCATGATCATGGTGCTGGCGTGTGTACGAGAATGGCGAGCAAATTTGTGGAGATATTGTTGGGAATTATGGTGGACTCGAGGGCGATGTTGACGACGGCGAGAGGGCTATGGAACGGAGGGTGGAGATGGGATGGGGGATGTGGCAGGGGAGTAGCGTAGAGGAACGTGGGGGCAGCAAAGGGAGATCAGGAGAGGAGACGGACGGGCGGGTGGGCATCTGCTTTTGTACGGCGGTTGCCTTCGCGGCTCGCTAGACTGTGGCTCCCTTTTCGAGCTCCGCCAGATCTCCGTGCCATCCTTTTCGGGCATCGCTTTGCGCCACCCGCTTTGCCTATTCGGGCAGGCGTCTGGCCCTCGCAGCGTTCCCAGCGGACGCACTCTGACACGCTCACGAGGCCAGCGAGCCCACAAAAGACACGCTTCTTCCCCACCGCGTCCTCTGCGCCCAGTCCATTCCGACGGTCAAAGCTTCTCCACTCTTCCCCTTATCACTCTCCCATATCTCCCGCCCCTCCTCTCACCCGACGACCGTCGCTCGCAGAATATCATGTACCGTAAAACAATACCAGACATCCCTTTCTCCATTCTAATCAATGCTCCCCCGCACCGCCAACGACAAGAAAAGAATAATAAAAACGTCATCCTTACGCCGCACCCGTAATCAGCCGACTCGGACGAAGAAGCTTCCACCGTGACCAAAAAAATAAATAAGAGAATCGCGAACCTGAGATACGTATGCCGGACCCGGCCGTTTATCACGCAACCATAAAAAGAAGAACAATTGTTCCATCGTGAAGGTTCATGGGTGTGCTCTTACGCAAGACACCCCAATTAATCCCGGAGGGGCGGTCAATGCACAAGCGAAAAGCGGAACGCTCTACACATGGTCTAGTGGCTTGACACAGGCTCCGTGTCAGACATCACAGGACACACCAGGCTAAAACCCGAGCACAATCACAAAAATCCTTTTGAAGTCCCTTCGTGTCACTAGTACTGTGCAACGACAGTCACAGAACCTTCGCCTAGATAAGACTCCCGTCACGTACTGGATCCAGACCCTACTCGTGCCCCACCCCAGAGCACGCAAGCGGGAGTGTTCCAATTTAGGAATCAGGAAGCCCCGAGCCAAACCTGGCTGGCTGGCCATCCTCACGCAAAGAGACGCAAGACAAAAAGATAGCTGAACAACTTACGAGAGGGACACATATCACATATCAAACGCACCTGAACGGCGTGGGCTGAGGGAAGTCGATTCCAACCGCAGCATTGGCAAAACTTCCTCTGGTGTCTGGATACAGATATCCAAACGCGAGATAAAGTAGGTGGGCCACACGCAGATCACGAAAGCATCCCCAATGAAGTCAAAGCATAGCAAGATCTGGGCTTGGACGAACACGCGAACACAAGCACTGAGAAGTAATTGAAAGCTCACTCACTGAATTTCAACACTGCGACACCAAAGCCAGGAAAACGCATACAAATCAACCGAAACGCGTCAAGACGCGTGTCATGGTCAGTCGAATGCGTACGGGCATCAAACGTGCATACAAAGGATCGAAAAGGATGAACATGCATGCAGGATACGTTACTGAAGATCACAGCCAGTGGTTTGGACTGTGAAATGCAGTAAAAGCAGCCTGAGTATGCAGTGTGCACGCAGGGTGTGAATCCAGAAAACGTGAGGGAGCGGGGAGGACGTTGTGGTAGCCTGAGGAGGAGAAACTCGACGCGACGCGTGCTGACACGAACGCGACCAGCAAAGACGCGTCCCAACAGTCTCACGCTGAGTCTGAGTCTCAAATCCGAAAACAAAGCAACACAACTTCAACTCAGCGACACAAAGAACAAAGGAAGGATTCAGACTCAGAGCCTGTAGCCAGTTCCAGAGCGTCACCAGTTGTGTCGACGTTTGTCCGTGCCTAGACATACATACGCGATCGATATACATCGTCCGACATCGATATCCCATCGTCCATGTAATCGTCAAAGCTGAACGTATGCCGTCCTAAAACAGGCGGACAAAGGAAGAGACGGACGACGGCGCCACCCGTGGGAATAGTCGCCACCTGACGGGTGCGTACGTATGCACTTCCCGCCACACACATGTTGCATTTTTTTCCCCTCGATCCTTCTTCAGGACAAAATCACGAACTAGTACTGAGGCCCAGTATATGTATATATGTCCAGGCAATCTCTCATATGAAAGCAAGGACTAAGACTTGTGATTATAGCTGACTCGGACAAAGTTTCTCAGAACGTGAAAAGAAAAATCAAAAGGTCAAAACAAAAGGACACATCATGTAACTTATGTACGGCACAACAACCGCCCCCAGCCTCAGTCCACACACGCACACACACCACAGAGCGACAAGAGTCCACACTGAGCATCTCAGAATTGTAGAATGAACCGACACGTATACGGTATATATTCGACCGACCACAGCAGCGACAGAGACAAACCACGACGCTTCCCCTTCATAGCGTCCGCCTTCACGCCTACATGCACCAGTTGGCTGGATCGCGCAGGACCTCGAGCGATCAAGCGAGGAGCATCTTCCTCGGGTCTTCGATGTACTCCTTGACTTTCACTACACAAAGCAAAGTAAAGCAAAAGCATCATCAGTCAGCCGACGCTCGTGATCCGCATGCAACAGTAAGGAAAACAACAAAAGAAAAGTAGAAGAGGAAGCAATGAATTGAATAGATCCGGCAGGGAACAAAGCAACGGGAGACGGTCCGTGAGATGTTGTATATTTGCATGCGACGTCCCAATCAACGACACCGCCACACCACGCCACACCAATTGTTCACAGCAAATCTTGGTCGGCGTAACGCCGATCAGGATCAAACTTATCCTCCCCAACTATCAAACCGGGTAGACAAGCTACAAGGTTTAGTTCTCGTATATCCAGCAACCGTAGTCATCCGCCCATTTCGTCCATTCTGTTCTCTTCTGCATCAGAAGGCATCCCATCGAGACAACAGCTTGAAGTCTAGCTTCGTTCGACCACCCCACTGCCCACACCAAGCGACCCTCCCACTCATAGGTACTTGGGGTAGCAAGGCGCAAGAGGACAACCTTCCAAGCGGATCATAATGCGGATACATGCAGTGCTGCCCCAAAACAAGCCCATTGCGACTGGATGGGCAAGCCACCGCATGCGCTATTTCGAGCTCGAACGCGACAGTCACACGACACGCATGAGTGGCAGTGAGAGCGTGACATCGACAGGTTCGTTCGTCAGGCCTCTACACGGTCGGCGTCCCCGTAAGGAGAACGTCGGAGAGTGCATGCCCTCAGAAGGATGAGTTACGCAGTGTGAAGCAAAACTGGAGTGCCAGCAGAAAAGTATCCATGCGTCCGCTGTTAGGTGATCAATGATTACGATGGATACATAGAAGCATGCGAGCTTTGAGTTTGCTTCTCAAAACGAGCAACGATCCCGTGTCGCCCTGCGCAATGCCAGCGCCACTCAAGCGCCACACCAACGGCAGTTCGAACCACCAAAAATTTGAAAAAGAACCAGAACCAAAACCCAAACCACAAAAGAACGCCGAAAACCCGAAAATGAGCCACAGATCGAAAATAAGACGCACCAAGGAAAGTAACAGCCTCCCGTCCATCCAACAACCGATGATCATACGTGAGAGCGACCACCATAATCGGACGAATGACGATCTGGCCATTAACCACGACCGGTCGTTCCTTGATCGAGTGCATGCCTATCGTGCCGCAACGTCCAACATTCAGCATCCAACATCCGACCCAAAAAAAGAGGTGGATGTCGAAGGGTTTCGAGTGGATCCGCGGTCAGGTTCAAGGGTGAGTTGGAGCCATGGTGTAGATAGAGGATGTTTTCAGTTTCAGGTCGATTGGTCCCGCGACGCGCATGGATCGAGTAGTCGATTGAGAGGTGAGACCGGGATGTTTGGATGCGGAGTAGTCGATAATGTGCGGATAGCAGTCACAGTTGGTTATTCCGAGACGGGTGCGATCGAGACCGAACGATTGTGGCCGGGTAAGACGCGCGCAAAGGGTTGGTCGTAGGTCGTCGATGGCAGGCGAAACATTGGACGTAAGACATCGTCAGGAGTCAAGGAGGCGGATGTGACGATCGCAAGGTCCAGATTGGTACACAATTCAACAATTGGATGAGTGACGAGCGTTCACGATTGAGGGGCAGGAGGAAACAAGCATGGAAGAGAAAACGCGTTAGTGCACGATCGTGGCCAGGGGATCAAACAAAAGCAGAAAGGCGCGTCAACTTCGAGGCAAAGCCAAACGGATCACGAGGAACCAACACCGAACAACTCGCGCAAAACACGAGGTGAGTACAATGATTGATAGTGGGTTGATGATCGAAGATGGGGTGTAGACGCAAACAACGCTGGTTCGCCCTAACAAGGCGAGATCACTCGCCCCAAAAGGGAACGTAGAACGAGCGAGAACGGCGTGTTTGCCGGCCGTGGGAAGTGACGATGTGCTCGAGGGAAAGACGCTCGGATATGAACGTAAGAAACAAGAACGCACCGAGAACAGCAGCCTGAGGCAGGTTGATGATAGGGGTTCCATATAGCGAGCCAAACACGCCACCGTTGGAACTATGGAGGTGGGTTCACATCAGCAGCGAAAGATATGGAGTCAAACGAGATGTGGATACGCACATGGTGAACGAACCACCAGCCATATCCTCCAAGGTCAGCTTTCCATCCCTTGCCTAATGTTTCATTTCGCAACGAGCAGCGAACGAAGATCAACCACAGTGAGTATGGGGTTAGGGTTTCTCTACAATCCAGGCGACTGACCTTCTTGCCGAGAGAAACAATCTCCTTCTCGACGTCAAGGAAAGACATGGACTCCGCGTTCCTGACGACGGGCGTGACGAGACCTTTGGGAGTGGCGACCGCCACGCTCAAGTCGACATAGTCGCGGTATACGATCTCGTCGCCCTAAACGACCAAAACGCCGACCGAAAACGTAAGAACCATCAGCCTTCCATCGTCTCCAACGTGTAAAAGCGCAGTCATACAGACGACGACTGCTGGAGTGAAAGGGGGAGAGGACTAGGCTGCGGGAAGACGCACCTCGATAGAAGCGTTCGCAGATGGGATCTCCTTGAGAGCCAAACATGAAGCCTTCGCGAACGCACTCATGAACCCAAGCTTGACATCGTGCTCCTTCAGGATCTGGTCCTTGTACTTCTTCCTCATATCCATCAACGACGACATATCGATCTCATTGAACGTCGTGAGCGAGGCTGCAGCATTCTGGGACTCCTTCAGACGCTCGGCAATACGCAGGCGCATGCGGTTCATCTTGACCTATTCACCCTCTAAAGTGAGCTCGAACCACACACAGATAAAGGGGATGAAGACGGACCCTAGTCTCATTGCGGCTTCCAGCAACGGGAGGTGTCGATGGCTTCTCTTCCTTCGCTTTCGGTTTACTCTCCTTCTTCTCAGGCGCAGGTTTTGAAGTCTCCTTCACGTCCTTCTTGCTCTCACCCGCGTCCGATGGCCTACCACCTTGTGCGCCACCCTGTGGCGCGGGAGGAGGAGGCGTGTCTTTGTCGACTTGTTGGTCTTTAGGTTCGGCTTCATCGGCTTTCTCCTGTTTAGGCTGCTCAGAAGAAGGAGGGGAGGGTGTAGGGTCGGTTGGGGCTGATCGAACACGGATATAAGGGGGACATTGAACAATGTCATGAGCTGTTGTCCATCATCGGCCGAAGTGGAGTTTTGATTGGGAGAGGGAGACGAATGGGGATAGTGAGAACAATAATAAAGCACATACCGTCCCCAGCTGCACCAGGCTCGAACTTGAAGAGATCCTGACCGACGGTGACGGTGTCCTCCTCGTTCGCAAGGTGTTCTATGATCTTGCCAGCAGCGGGGGCGTTCACTGATATGTCGATCTGATGAACATCACCGCATCGACATGGGCATGAAAGGATGAACACGAGAGGTTAATACAAGCCAGAAAAATACTGTGCGATATAGGACTGACCTTGTCGGTCTCGATGGTGGCAACCTCCTCATCCGCCTCGACTGCTTCACCTGGTTTCTTCAGCCACGACTTAAGAGTGCCCTCCGATATGGACTCCGCCATTTGTGGGACCTTCACGACCTCATCTGCAGGCAGAAAGATATGACGACAAAAACGTAGTCAGCACACGCGATATTTGAGATGCGATGGGCACAATTCGCGTCCGTACCCTGAAGAAGGTTGGTACTGTGGAATTGTGCGCGTCTTGTATATGAACTTGCAGCCTCCCTATACACAAAGTAGATTCTTGTTCAACAACGCCCATTGACTCGCACAATCGTACATACCATCCGCGCGATAGAGGAACAGCGTTTTTCGAAAGAGTCGCAGTTGCCCTTCCGCGAGCAAGCGCGACGACGCGTTTTGACAACATTATGTCGTAAAGCAAATAGAGATGACAAGCCCGAGTGTGATGGGGTCGAAGCCGGTATAGAGGAGGATAAGATACAGTTGCTGATGGTTGTGGTCAAGAGTAAGTCGAAGTTCAGCGAGCGAGCTGAACGGATATGGATACGGAGGAGAACGGTGACGGTATGCTCGATTCCTATTTGTCCGTCGCGCGAGATGACGTCCGGGACAAAGCCGGTCCGACTTTGATTTCTTCGCTCTCTCACTCGCTCGACGTTGTCGACGACGCTCTTCGCTCTCCTCCCCCGCATTGTTCTTAATATGCTGGCTAGTTTTCTGTGTGCTGCCACGACATCCCATTCAACTTCCATCTCACTCGCAAATTGTCGTAGGGTCCGGCGTCTGCTGGCAGTCCAAGATATGACGTCGTCGCGGCGTCACGCCGAACGCGAGAGCCTCGGAGCAACGGGCAACCACCTTGTCCCGACCAATGCGGCGTTGCCGACTTGTGGCGAACTTCAACGACGTCCTCCGGGTCGGTGTGGAAGTTTGATGGAGGGCCCGCCGACACTGCCTTCTCTCCTCTGCAGTCCAGGATACGCAATTCGTGTGAACCGCTTACACCTTGGGTTTTTGATTGTTGCTGAGCGATTTTTCCTAGAATAACGCTGACTAACGGAGGCCCTTTATGACCAAAAATATTCGCTTCACCCTATCTCAGGAAAGCTTAGACTTTCAAACTACTTATTGTTTCCCATTCTCGTAGACCGTCTTCTCGATTAGGACATCGTTGAGGCATTCTGCCTTTTAGACTTTCGGCGCAAGGCAACCTGCGGCCCAACGAGTCTAGAGACGCGACCTAACGGTGAGTTCACAGTCGAGAAAAGATAACTCATCCACAATAGGGCATATATGTAGTGATTCACATCGTGTTTTGGCGATGTGAATTAAACCCGTGACGGGTTCAACAGTTCGCAATATTGTCCCGTTGGAGCGTCAAAGCTCAATTCACATTCAGCGTAAACCTGACGCGAGAGTGGCGTCCCTCCTACCTCTGCCTGTTCGTTGTCGTGCTTCAAAACGGCACAGACACTGTCGCAGGAGGCCCAGGTACAGTAGCATCCAGAAAAATCGAGGCATCAGAGGTCATCAGTAAGGGAGAAGGGAATGCGAGCAGGAATAGATCCGTCTCGAGTACTCAAACTCAGTGTGAACTGAGTATTATATCTAGCACCACATCCGAGATTTCGAGTTCACACTTTTCGCTCTCAGCATGATGAACGAAACTGATGTGAACCACTACATATATGCCCTAATTCCTTCCTTCTAGCAACCCTCGTGTACAGCAGGAGAGTTTGTCGCTCCAACAGAAGCTCGCCAGTTCCACAGTCGCTTTTCTCTTACAGTAACTCTAGTTCCCACTTTTGCGTGCGTTGTGACAGCTTCATCAAGTTGGCTTCTAAGTTTTTTCACGAACTTTTCGGCACGGCTAATGGGTTTTGGGCGGGACTAAGTACACAATTACACCACTGTCCGAACCGACGTGAGAATGTTCGTCGTAGATGGGCCTTGCGTGCATTTTATACCTTATGTGGCTCCTGTGGTGACTCAAGAATATTTCTATCTTCCATTTATCTTGCCGTAGCTGTCGGTTCGCTACGCTTGATGGTGATGGCGCTGTGACCAGAGCTGCCAATCACTGGGACTCGAAATTATAGTTGCGCAGTGGCGATTATACCACAAGTCCTCATATGCTCTGACCATCGAGTTCCACAACGTGTATGGCAACTCAACGCACGTAGTTAGTTGCATAGTACTTACTCTACCCAGCGCCCCTAGCTCTCGCCGGCGCATTTGATTCAAAAAGAAATTACACCACGAATTATTCTCTATATAACATTCCGTTAATGGAATCATGCTTTCAACTTCAGTCAGATTCTTCACCGCATGAAAACGTTCGAGAGTGCAGACGACGGCTGCGTCCAGTAAGAACGGAAGAAGAATCCTTTGTTACTTGTGTGATTGAACGTAGTAAGATTTTCCACGTGGCTGCGCCAAACCCACGGCGAATCGCGCAGAGACTTGAGAGTCGAACGCGTTCCCTCTTTTCCACCAGCAACTTCAGCCATCACATTTCCAAAAGGCCGATATCATGGACGAACCATCAAGCCCAGCAGGTCCCTATGTCGTGGACCGTGAAAAGGTCGGTATCTTTCTACTGGCTTTCATGGACTAATACTGACTAGACTCGTAACATCTACTTCGCCTGGTCTTCCACCTTGATCGTGTTGCTTCTGCGTGTCATTGAACATCGGATGTGAACGCTCCCAGACCGCGCCCTTTCTCATTCGTGCATTTGTGAAAGTGAACGGATTCCACCGACCACAACAATTCGAAGACGGACCGTTGCCAGTAGCCGACGAACAACAGCTCTTCACTTGGTATGCATGATACCTCTTTCCCTCCTCCCCCATCCCCTCCTTCCTCCGTTTCGAATCCCCTCTTTTCTGCACGAACAACAATATCATGCAATCACTGACATCTCAAATAAACAGGAAAGACGCAACCCTAACCGAAGTCCTCACAACCCTCCGCAACATAGCCCCCCTAACCCCCGAATACCGGCACCCCCTCGCGCGCTACTCCTTCCGCGCCATCTTCGCAGACCCGACCGCCCGCGGCCGTTTCTCCTTCAAAGACCTCGGCACGGTCTACTCACGCGACATCCTCGGCGAACCCGGCACACTCGATTCCACCGCCCCCCGCCTGCTCAAAGATTCTGACGGTGAGAGGACGACGGATGGAGTCGAACCGCAGCCGCAGGTGGAATCGGGCGCTGGTGGAGGAGGGTCGGCGGAGAGGGAGAGGGAGAGGAGGGCGGAGGTGAGGACGTTGGATGAGTTGAGGTTCGTTCCGGGGGATTATATGTCCGTTAGTGTCATTCTCCCCAAGAACGCGACGGTCGTACCGGGCGAGCTCTCTATCAAAGGATCTGCAGGAAGTGGAGCTCCACCTCCGTCGAATGGATGGAAAGGCGCGAATGCGGTGGGATTGGGGTCTGGTACGGGTAGTGGAGGTGGTGGAGGGTTCGGTGGCGGTGTGGCGCCTGGCAGGGGAGGTGGACATTGGAGGGGTGGGTCGGATGCACCTGTGGGTGGTGGAGGAGGAGGTGGTGGATTTGGATCTGGAAGAGGACGTGGAAGAGGGGCAGGCATGGGTCTGGATGATAGGGATCGGAGAGGCCCGCCACCTCTTGGGAGGAGGAGGGAGTCGCCACCACCGAGGGGTGGAGGAGGATGGGGAGATCGGGGCAGGGATAGAGGAGATAGGGATCGGTTGGGCAGGGAGAGACGTTCGAGGTCGAGGTCGCCCAGGAGGAGCAGGAGATAGGTGACGGTGAGCGGAGTGATCTTTTGGTGTGAGTATATGAGCGAATATGTTGTGCTCATCTAGCCGACGTCTCACTTGTGTTAGCAGTGTCGAACAGTTCTCATGCTTTTATGCACGATCTATGTATGGCGATCGTTATGTCTTGCTGCTTGTTATCCCTCTACTGTTGGTGTCGACTTCGTTGGGCCAGTACCCCTCATTCTCGTAACTTCTCACCTGCTATCAAACAAGAACAAACTCCCATCCGAAGGTATGATGGCGCAGGTAACTGCAGCCGCTGATCTCGACCTGCGTGTACATGGCTGCGACTTGCGCGGTATAATGTTATCACAACGATCCTCCCAAGTCGAAGATTAAACCACCACCGACGAGGTGGCCATCGTGCTATCCTGAGAACGCTGAACTTCACATCAAAACAGGTTGCTCATCGCGGACATGCATAGTCTTATCCCAAGTCTCAAACTCCATTAACAATAGGAGCTCTAGGAAGAGCGCCCATGAATCTCAGACTACACTTCCCTAAACTCCAAATCCACACTCTCATAATGGTCCAAGAAACCCTGAAAGATCAACACCCCAAGCCCGGGGTCCAAGCTCCCCGTCGTCGCCCTCACACTATGCATACTCAACTGCGGAATCCCCGCATCGATCGCCCTCATCCCCATCGCCGAGCTCAACATCGGGCCCACCGTCCCCCCACTCCTCGAATCATTCCTAATCTGGAAAACCTGCAGCCTCTGCCCGCACTTCTCCGCAACGCGCTGCATCAGCGCCGTCGACACCGAATCGGTCGTCATATGCCCGTTCGAGTCCGCCGAGACGACGAGACCGGTGTTGAGTCGGGGCGAGTGGTTCGATAGGTAGACGTTCAGGAAGTTCGGGTTGACGGCGTGGATGACGTCGGAGGAGACGAGGAAGGAGTTGGCGTAGGTCTGCGAGAGGAGGGACGAGGTTGGTTCGAGGCCGTGTGCGAAGGAGTCTGTGATACGTTGGAGGACGGAGGGGAGGAAGTTGCCTTTTGCGCCCTGGCGGAGTTGACTGCCGATTTCCTCGTCGTCGAACAGGCCGACGACTTTGAGGATACTGGAAGGAGCGGAGGAGGCGGCGGAGGAGGAGGAAGAAGAAGAGGTGCTGTTGAGGAGAGCTTGGACGGCGGCCCAGGAGCAGAGTTTGTCGTCGATGCGACCGGCGAAGATGAATTCCTTGTCGATACCGCCGACTTGGGCAGGTTGGATGTCGAAGAGCTCGAGTTCCCAGTTGACGATCGTGCTGTAGTCCGTGATGCCGAGTTCTTTCGCGATCGCTTTGACGAGCCGGTCGGGCTGGGTGTTAACGAAGGAACGTTCACCGCCGTATTGACCTTGGTAACTTTCCGTCTTGATCGTGCTGGCACCGTTGACATCACTGTTGTCGAGACCGATAATAGGGACCATTTGAGTCTCCTGGTTGAAAGGCCCTTGAGAGGGAGCACCGAAATGAGGCGCAAGGGTAGGCACACGAGCAACTATACACATAGTATCAGTAACACGACCGAATGAATGCGCGTCAATATGTATGGAACTCACTCGGCCAGCCCAACTTCACCAACTTACTCACCACCTTCCCCCCCTCCCTAACCAACACCTTCCCCCCAATGCCCAAATCCCTATCCCACCACGTACTATTCAACGCCCCCGCATACGGCGCGACGGCCAACTGCTCATAGCCCGCCTTCACCTCCAACCTCGGCACGGGCTTCAGCCTCGCCGTCAACGCATCAATATGTCCCGCGATCACCGCGGCTCCATTCCCGGGCTCGAACGCCTCGCCGACAGCAAAGGCGATGAGCGCGCTCCCGTTGCGCTCGACGTAGTATTTCCCGCCCTGGACGAGGGACCAGGTGTCTCGCTCGGAGAGAGGTTGGTAGCCTGCGGCGCGGAGAGAAGAGGCGACGGTGGAGACGGCGTGGAAGATTGTGGGGTTTTCGGTCATGAAGTCGCAGTAGGGCTGGGTGTAGTCCTCTGGGTTAGAGGAGGCGGTGCGGTTGGTGGCAGTCATGGTGGACGCGACGGCGAGTATTAGATGCGACGGTGAGCGTTAGATGCGACACTGGCTCAGTGCTAGAGGCGACGTAGTGAAGTGCCAGCTGAGAGGAAGCAGGGAACGGTATAAGTAGAGGGGTGTGCCGAGCAGGACGATGGCGAGAGCACGACGTGGAATGATTGCATGCGGGGATTCGTCGACATGTTGCGCGTTTGCGGATAGCTCCGCTTGGACGATAAGACGGGAAATATGTCGTAAAATAACATTTCACTCATAGGGGGGCCCGTTATCCGGCTGCTGTATATTTGGAAGATTTAGACATGTTGAGAATCGAGGTGAGAGACGAGGACGCGGGTGTCCTGAAGAAGAAGAAGAGCGTGGTCACAAAAACATTGATCAAGATCAACATGTGGCCCAGATGTTCACACCGCTGACCGCTCCAGCTCGGGTCTGAACACGGATTGCAACTTTTCTGTTCCCGGTAGATATGTACAAAGGCAAATCGAGAGAGTACGACGTGTGCGTGCAAACGAAATGGAATAAAACCCTCTATAGTAGTACCGTTAACGACCCCAAGAAAAGAAAACAAGAGATATATGTATGCACTGTGACCTCGTCGTGAAAGGTGGGTAGAACTAAAACTATCATGATACGAGTACGTGGAAGTGGAATGGAGGTGGGAGGAAAGGAAGGAGGGAGGAAGGAAGGAGATATATGTGTATGTGTGTATGTGTGGAAAGCCAGGTAGTAGTAGGTACAAATTTCAACGTCCGCTCGTCCATATTTCTGTTTTCGTAGTCTAAACTTCTGCCCAATATAAACGTACAAAGCACCCCCGTGTGACGACAAGCAACGTCCCCATTCTAGTAGCATCAAATCAATATCAATAAACACCACCTCACTCACCGACCGACCATCCCCCACGCTCACTCACCAGCGCAGCTCAAAGCTTCGCCTCCCCCTCCTCCTGCTTATGCGCCTCCTTCTCCTCCTCCTCCTTCAACGCCCCATCCCTCTCCACCTTCCCCTCCACACACTCCCTCTCCACCTTCCCCTCCACACACTCCCTCGCCTTCTCCTCATTCCCTTCCGCCAACTGCGTCAACTCCTCAATCACCTCCATCGGCGTCGTCACATGCCACCGCGCCAGAGTCCGCTTACTCGGATGTCCCACCGCCGTCGTGAATATCGCCTCGGGCACCAGCGCCAGCTCCCTCGCTTTGAATTCCACCTCCGCACCGGCGTTATGCGTCACGACGGACGGGTCCTTCAGCGTCGTCACCGAGATCGGCGGTTCCATGACCAGAGGCAGTTCGGTCTCGGAGAACGCGAGCGCGCGGAACATGTCCTCGTCCGTCTTGTCGTCGCCTGCGCAGAAGACGAATTCGGCGTCGGGGTTGTTGTACAAAATCCGTTTCACGATCTCGCCCTTGTTGACGGCTATCGGGCGCACTTCCAGGTTCTTCTTCCCGACGAGGACTGGAGGTAGAGTAACAACGTGATCAGCCGCTCGTAAAAAGGGAGGATTGAATGGGATGAATTATTACCTTCGATGGGACGCTTGTGAGCGACGTTGTTCTCCAACAGATCCTGGCACTGGCGACACTGGAACTGTCTAAAAACACACAAATCAAACCATCAGCTCACCTCAATTTCCCCTAGTCACAAGAAACCACTCACCCCCACTCCGGATCCGCCCCCCTATAATGCCACGTAATACTGCTCTTCTTCACCTCAATATGGCTCCCCGTCGTCCTCTCCGTATAATACCTAAACACCTCCAACACCTCCCCCATCCACTCCATATCCAAACTCTCCGTAAAATTCGTCCACCCCTTCTCCCCTTCCTCCCTAATGAACCCGCCATGCTCCGCACTCATCCCCAATCCCCCAATATGCCCCAAATGCGTCTCGAGGAACTGCTGATCCCGCCCCGAAATAATATACACAAGGTTCTTCGGATCCGCAGCGAGCGCCGTGAGCACGTTCAGCGCCGCGTCGCTCGGCACGGCCATGCTCGGCGTCTTCACGATCGGCGTCAAAGTCCCGTCGTAATCGCACATGAACAGCCGCTTGCTCGCGGACTTGTATCGCTGGAGCATGTCCACCGTGGGCAGGACGGGGGTTTGCCGGGCCATGTTCTGTCCGCCCATGACGCCGAGCAGGGTCTTGACGAGCATCGCGGCCCAGGTGTGCGAGGTCTGGGTGGTGACGACTTGCAGCAGCTTCGCGTTGCGGTCTTCTTTCTCGGCTTGGGACATCGTCAGCCCGCGGTTCATCGCCGCCGCGACTTCCTATAATGGATTCCGGAGTCGGCGTGGCGTGGCGTAGCGTGAGCGAGCGAGCAAGCGAGTAAGTGAGTGAGTGAGCGAGCGAGTAAGTCGGTCAGTCAGTTAAAGAGCAAGTACGGTCGTAGAAGGAGGGAAACACAAAACGCACCCCAAGATTCCACGGATTAATCTGCAGCGCATCCGCCATATTGCTCGAGATGCCCATAAACTCGCTCAACAACAACGGCGACTTCTTCGTCCTCGCCTGCGCGATCACGAACTCCATGCTCGTCGTGTTCATCCCGTCCCGCAGCGGGGTGATCACGCCGAGGTCTGCGGCGGACAGGAGAGCGTAGAACTCGTCTTTGCCGATCGTTTGGTGGCTGTAAAGCAAATGCCAGCGTCAGTGTCAGTGTTCAGTGTCGGGTTCAGAACACCATCAAGGGCGAAGGCGAAGGAAGGAAGGATGGGGAAGGAAGACATACTAATGATGCACAGGAATAAAATCCAACCCTCCAAACTCCCCATTAATCGAGCTCACCAACTCGCTAATCTGTCTCTCCAGCTTTGGACTATCGCTCAACGCAGGGCTCGTCACCTGTATCAACACAACATTGCCGATCCACTCCGGGTAGTCCTGGAGCAGCTTCGCGAACGCGCGTAACTTTTGCACGACGCCTTTCACGACGTCGAGCTTGTCCCGCCCGATGATGATCTTTTTGCCGGAGTAGAGCTTGAGGAGGGCGGAGAGTTTGGGTTGGATGTCGGGGCGAGATCTGTGATACGTTCATATTTACATAACGTTTCGACGATTAGCTTAGGTCCACGACGAGGGGAGGCTAGAGTGAGGGTGGGAAGGGAGATAGGAACGTACAAATCATTCTGCACCCTCTCCGCATCGACACCGACAGGACAATGCTTCACCGCCGTCACATGCCCCTGCACGTCGATCCCCCTCGCGGCAATCTCGTACCCGCAGACCCTGACGCACGAAGACGTGAAATGGCGAGAGTACGAGTACGTCTGGAAGCAGACGAGGTTTGCGCCAAGCATGCCGTCCAGGATCTCCTTGCGTCCTGTATCGACAATCGCAGTCAGTCAAATGTCCCCGCAAGTAAATGATGTCGAAAGAACCGGATTCGAATGACCGAAAGTGAAGAGGAGGAGGAGGAAGAGGAGGAGGAGGAGGAAAAAAGAAACTCACTAGGCAAGCACCTAAACACTTCCGAGCTCGGCCACGGCGTATGCACAAACAACCCCACGCACACATCCGGCGCGCTCATCCTCAGCAGCTTCGGGACCAACAACAAATGATAATCGTGCACCCAGATGAGATCACCGGGCTGGTAGACGGAGAGGACGGCGCGGGTGAAGGCCGCGTTGGCTTGTTCGTACGGCGGCCAGTGGGTGTCTGCGGAGGCGGCGGAGGAGGAGAGAGATGCGGTGCCGTTGGTGGCACCGCCGACGTCTTGCCAGAGGAGGTAGTGGAAGAGGGGCCAGAGGGCTGTTTAGGATAGAAGAAGATGGGTTAGAGATGGAAGGGATGGACGATGAGGGATGGAGTGAACGTACTCTGTTTGCAGTAACCATCGTAATGACCATGTGCGACCTTGTCGTCGAGCCAGACTGGGACGTAGGTCGTCTTGCCATCGTCTTCATCCGTCTTGTAATTCGCGATATCTTCCTCGAGCGCAGCCTTGTCCTCTTCAGTGAGCGAATTAGCGGGGATCTTGATCTTCTCGCCGGCTACGGAGTAAGTACTTGGTTAGCGAACCACATCAAGACGTCGAGACTCCGATCGGTGAAACCAGGCGAGACGAGACCGGAGAGACGAAATCAGATAGATCATCGAGGGACATATTCAGTTCTCGCTGCAAACGGCGAAGAGCCTCTGCGAACAAGGAGCATAATCTAAACTTGGTGAAAGCAGGAACCGAAGGCACGGGGTCATCCGATATAAGCCCGGACCGCAGAAATAGAAGCATGAGCCCGAACACACGAGCGCACGATGCAAACAAACATGGCAGGGGTGGAGAACTTCGATTTACATGTACAGTGCTTAATCTCGGCTGTCTGCGACGGGTGCAATCTGGCGTGGTTGGCCATACAAGGTAGATCAGAACCACTATCAATCGCTCCGTGCTCTTTCGAACGAAAAACCGAGACCCACGGAAAATTTGACGAGGCTCATCGGATTGCAGGTCGCATACAGAGGGAAGGAAGGAAGGATAGATGGAAGGAATGAATGGATGTGAGCATACCTGGTGAAGTCTGCGGGGACTCGATGTCGCCCGTCCAGCCGACGATGACCTGTTCGTGCGTGCCAGAGAGAGACTTGATACCACTGATCATAGCAGCATGTCCCTGTCTCGCACCAAGACTCCATTTCGGCCTGGGTCTCTGCTCGTCGTCTGCAGCAGCGGTAGGAACAGCAGCCGGAGGCTCGGAGGCCGCATCAGATGGTATGTCGGACGGCTGGACGGGGGGAGTGGCTGGTGGACTGAGGATACCGGGCTTGGAGGAGGAATGGAGAGTAGCGGTGAGGGGGAGGTAGTGGCAGACGTGGAGGACTCGACCGGAGAGGGGGATGCCCTTTGCGCGGTGCTCCTCCTCGCGGGCTTTAATAGTCGCACGGACTTCTTCTATGTGGATGGGCTCGAGGGGACGGCGGGGCTCGTGGAAGCTGTCCATTGTCTAGGTAGAGCGTGTGGTTGTGGTGGATGGGAGAAAGGGGGAAAGGAGCGGGGAGGTTAGAGACGAGGCGGGAGGAGTTATATATGGCAAGTCAGAAAGTGTAGAGATCTGCGCGATCGGGTTATCGCCTATGGCTGATCTCGCCTCCCCGCTCTGACCAGGCCGAGTCCTTTGCAGCTTGATTCGGCCCAGGTTCGCCTCTTGGCTTTGCCCTCTCTTCCGCTCGTCCACGCTCCCCGTTCTGCCCATTCTTTACCTCAACGACGTAGTTCATTCCGCTTGCCACCTCCTTCTATCCATCCATCCATCGTCCCGACGTCCTGTCTATTTCCAGAACATCCTCGAATCCTTTCTCTCTCTCAACTCGTCCTTACCCGCAGTCTCGAATTTTCTCGCTTTTGTGTGCGTCATGCAAACATTTCCAGAGCGTCATGTGGTTACATCATTCTTCGCTCTCCACAAAATGCAAATTTCATTTTCGTTGCTGCTCGAAGTCGTCTTGATCTTATCTATAATCCTTCCGGAGCCGAAAGAAAAGCCAATCATTGTGGGCATTTGGCAATATACACCGTTCCCGACGTCGTTCAACATACATACCGCTCCACCTCACTTGCTCGCTCAGTCTCTGCGTCAAACCCTGTAACAACGCTCTTCTTCTCCATGTACACGTCGGATTCGTATGGCTCGCGCAGAATTTGTAGTACATATAGACACGCGCATGGGTGTTGTACCTCTAGTACTACAGTACCACACGGGCAACCGCTGGACCACCGCGACCCGCTTTGTCGCATTCACAAGCCTTCGGGCTTCACATATGGCTGGCACTGGGAATCTCGCAGACCTGCAGACCATTCGCTGTGCCTTGTGATCTTTCTGAGCGGGTATGGCATCCCTATCATTTGCTACGGTTGCTAGATTGTTGACTTAGGCTCCCTGTTTCGTTTCGTGTCGTGTCGTGTCATATCGTACATATGATCTCGGTACGGCTTGTCGACAGGATATTTTCTAGTCGTTAGATTATGTTCCAGTCAGCTTTCTGTACCTCGATTCCCGCCCATACCAATTCCCCGTACCGGTTGGGGTAACTCACCAACTCGCCCCTATATGAAGTCCTACATAGAAACATCCCTCCAACCCCCAATTCGAGCAACATCCCTCCCCGGGCCCCATACCCGGCTCGGACTCATCGCACGGTTCAATCTCGCTGATCGTCCTAAGATCCGCTGGGTCTTGGTCTTCCTCGAGCTCTTATTCTCACCAGCTTCAGGGCCCGAGTACCGTACCGATCTCTCCCAGGTGGGAGATGTTACTACTAGTGAGGCAAGCACTGCTATATCATTACTACTACCGGGATCGTGTTGACAGGTATTCTCATCACACAGCTGTCCCATCCTGGCCAATGTCACTGGTGAGGAAAGTACTGTCATCACTAATACTACCGGGACCGCGTTAGCCGGTATCGTTGAGCGTTCAAGCACTAGTGACCGATTCAGCCTGTCCGTCTACCGATATAGTACATGGACGACGACCTCCCGGTCCGCGATGTCACCGAGGTTCTTTCGATGCTCTCAATTCAACCTCCGTTTTGAGACCTCGGCATTCAGATAACACGGTTGGAGGACGTTATGTCCTGCACATTCGAGTAACGGGTACGGGTCCTTGTGATCGTCGGATCGCGAGCCTGAGACCTAAGTAGGAAAACTCAGAATCAGATAGGGACTCTTCAACTTCAAAGGTTGCATGGATGGATCTCGTTGTGACCTCGGACGGGCCTGTGCGGGACGGAAGGGTGAGGGGATGGATGTTACCGTGGAGACGTCCGTTTCGTGTAGTATCCTTCTTCTCCTCGTGCTAACGTACTGAGTCCCTCCAGGTCATTCCAGTCTTGCTTCAGAAGTAGGTACTTTCATGGAACAGGTATAATTGAAACGCCCTCCCTCAAGTGGTTGGATATAGTATCTTCAAGTTGGCGTAGACTTCTCTCTTTCCAATGAGTATCAATCTCTGCTCCTGACAACGGATGCTTACATTGAAGCCCTCAGGAAGAAAGCCGAAGACGCATACGACATACAAACCCGAGGGGTAATGATGATCAACCATGGCATGCAAGTACCCACACTTTCTACATCTGTCTCTTCCCGAGTCGGATTTCTCGCTCTTCTTCTCCCCATGCTAACGTATTTTGAAAGCCGTAGCAATCACAGCCCTACCTCGCCACTGGCATATATTCTCCCGAGTCATTCCAGAGCACATTACAACGCCTCCTTGGTAACTTATATTTAGCTGGACACAACATCTTCAAGTTGGCGCTGCCTTCTCCCGAGAAGAACACCGGAGACGTATAGTATTAGTATAGCATACAAAACCAAGATCATCCCGCGGTACGGTTTCAACGAAACGTTGTGAGTGAGCCATCTATGAGACCCATTTTACGGTCATACGTGCCATGATACTCCGCCACTCTACTAGGTAATAGGTGTGGCACCTCCGAGCTAAGTTCAATATCACCAGCGTAATAAATGCACGAAACCAGTCGCGGTCCACTCGGCATTGCGAAGCGACCTTCACGAGATCTGAGGCTGCTACTGTGCCGGTGGAGCTCGACCCCGGTCAGTGTCAAATCCGGCGACTTTTTGAAGTACCTTGACCCCGGCTAAAGGTCGAGCATCAACGCTGTTCACCACGACTCGCTGCGTTGACAATCTCGGTTCGTTCACCCTTTCGCCATATCGTCATACAGACTCAGCGGATTCAACTCCTGCCCGAAGTATTTTGACGCTAGGAAACCTGAAGCCCGATCTCCAGCAGGACCTTCCTACCTTCTTTCGTCCAATGGTTCGCGGTATGTAGAGTATCTGCCTCCCTTCCACATGTGCTTTCACGTTCCGCTCTGAAGGTCATGCTTCTTGCATTACAACTGCTGCCAGGTCGCTGACGCGCCTATCCTCTATCTCTCATACATATATCTACAGGACCATCTCGTGCTCTACCCCGTATAGCGCTTTAACTTGGTACAGTTGTCCATGATTCATAGAAAGTATCACTCAGTCCCCTCGGCGAGGTTGAACCCTCTCCTAGACAATCCCCTTCGCATTGACTAGAGATACCCCAGCTCTCCTTTCTTGCTCCTTTCACCTCAGGCTTCTGTCATAGGCCTCGAAGTATCTTCGAATCCTGATCAGAGCTCGCAATGGTATCTCACGACTCAACTCTTTCATCTTTCGACAAGAACTAAGAACTATTGGTTCAAGCATACCACTCCGCCGAACCCGTCATTCAACTTGAAACAGGGGAGCTACAGCACAAAGTCTGTGGAGTATAAAGGCAAGGTAATATCGACCTTCTTTCCTTCTTTCTTTCTTTCTTTCTCTTTTCTCCTTTCCCTTTCATGTACAAACACATCACCCACGTTCTCTCTTCCGATTCATCCGCCTTGGTTCATCCCCATACAGCCGCCAACTTCATTCTTGACTGTAGCGTCGGAGCCGGACTCTAGTTCCTAGCCCCCTACCCAGCCGCTATATCTGGGATCATGAATATAGAAATTCACTGATATAACGTCCGCGGCTCGGTGCTCAAAACCTGTACACCAAAGCTCCGGAGTTGCGAGAGAAGTACGGGCTTGTTTGGAAGGGGCTTGTGACGGGTATTACCACCATCACTGTCCCTTCGTTCGGACAATGTGGACTGCAAAAAAAAAATCAGCTCGAGTTCTCTTGCCATAACACATGGCACACGGAGTGCCCTCTATTCGAGCTACATTCTCATGTACTTTTGTTATGCATTTCTCAAGAGGAAGGTCATTGTCCAAAGGGTGGGAACGTTGTTCGGACAGCCGCGCCCGCCAAAGTGTCCGAGACGCCCCACCTCCCCGCTCGACGTCCCGCTGTTATTATTGTTCCCAAACGACTTCGAAAATGGTCTAGGAATGATTCGCCAAGATTTATGAGAGCTCGAACGTTGAGAAACGCTGGGAAATTTGGTGTGTTCTCGCACTGTCTGAACGACGGTTTTGTCTGAACGAAGGACTACTGAGAAGTAGTAGCGAGTAGGGTGTATTCATGGGAGCTGGATGTATGCGATGAACATTCAATTCATGAGCTATAAGCATGCTCTAACACGTGGATGCATTGGCTTCTTTCTTGCAGATAGCTGGATGGTGAGGATCAGCTCATGACTGCTCGTAAAGATCAATAGATGTAGCCACTGGCAGCCCCCTGTGACAAGTCTCCACAGCGCACAGCCTCAGGATCTGTGTCTCCATTTCCTCTCCAGTCCCACAGGCTTACCAAAAATCACCACTGATGAGTATTTCCTCCTCAGCGTCCCTCAGCGGTCTTTCAACTGTAACCTTCCCTGTTGTGGTCTTCACGTCGAACCCCCTGGCCGTATAAACATGCAGGAGAACATCAATGAAGTGGGCCATAATCAAGCCAAGTCCATCGCTCAACCAAAGCGAATACATATAAGCAGAAGACTCGGAAAGGTCACCACCAATTGTGACGGCTCGTGGTCACGGTACGTTCACTGAACGACCTAGCAAACAAGGTCACTGTTGATCTGTATACACACGTGTATATCGACGCGTACTGTTACACCTGAACACTCTGTCGCAGCTCTCGTAACACCAAGGAACTATCCAAACACCTACGCCTTACAACGTTTCTTGTGCTCCTCCCAATTGAACTTCTGACACTCAACCGAACAATACCTTACCTTCCTACACCCCTTACACTCCATCAACTTCGGGTTACCCTTCCCTCTGCACGCAAAACACTTCCTCGCCTCCGGATCGCGAATGACCGTCTCGAGGTACGAAACTGCAAACAAAGGCGAAAGCGCCAGCCTCGTAACATGTGGCGCGAACGGCCGCCACAGTTCGACCTTCTGCATCCCCTCGACGTCCTTCCCTCTCCCACAGCTACACAGCGGGACCTTCTCCATGTCGGTAGACAGTGGAATACGTCCTGCGGATTTGTACTCGCAGTTGGGTCCGTGCGTCCACGACGCGCGCGATCGCTCGACGAGGGCGGGCAAGAGCCGTTTCCACAGCTGCATCTCCGCCGGATGGATCGTCACTGTGGTATTTATATTCTGCGGCGGTCCACCACGGAGGAGCTTGACAAAGTCGGGTTCGATCCTGTTCATCAGCTCGTGCTGGAGCGGAAGCACGAAGGCGTCGCAAATGACGGTATGGCACGGCAGATCGAACCTCAGCTCATCGACGAAGAGGAGCATGTCGCAGTTGTTCTTCCCTGTTTTGGGGTCCTGCAGAGCCAGACTGAAGACGCATTTTCCGGTGGCGGGGCCGCTCAGGCTCCCAGACGGCGACGGTAAGCATGCAGAACGCATGATTATCCCGTGGAGGCGTATTTTGAGAGCCGCGAGCGGATCCTGCTGTGCGAGGTTGTTTTGTGTTTTATTTTTCTTCTCCTTGTTTGCGTTCTTCTCTGTACTGTTGTGGAGAGCGCGTTCGCGTTGCGAGAGTTGAGAGCCGACGTGAGGGTTGAGCCATTCTTCGAGGTTAGAGGCGTTGGATATGTTGAGGATCGGGAGACGTTTCAAGTTGACTCGGTGGATATTCCATGGGCTGATGCCCTGTGGCCGGTTGAAGACGCAGAATGGATCGAGCTTCATGCCTTCTGTTTGGAATGGACGAAAGACGGGGACGACCACCTAGGATGCGAACAGCGGAAGAGTGAGCGAAATTGAAATAAATAAAAAATCAGAGGAGATATTTCATACCTCGAGATAATGTGAAGTTCTCGCGAGACGAAGCTTTCGAGATTCGCTCATGATAGGGAAAGGGTACACGATATCCTGACTTGACGAGCCAATGGCCACGTTCAACGCGGAAGGCGAGATCTGCGTCACTCGTGGAGTGGAGGTGCGGAAGAGCTCCTGCAAGGCCTCGCCCTCCACAGACAACTTGACAGTCAACGACTGAACCGCCTCGCAGTCTTCGTCAAGGCGAACAAAAGCAGGCGTCGATGTTCCGATAGCGCCACAAGACTCGATTGTGGAGGAGGTAGGCGCCACGCGAACAGCACCGACGGAACGCTGCTCGGGAACGATATAGACACGCGATTGATCCGTAAGGGGTGCGCGGAAGACAGTGAGATGACCGTCTAAATCACCGAAAAATGTCCCGGATCCCACGGTCGATCGGAGCGCGAACCCAGCGCTGAGCGTATTGGGATGTTCGAAGGAAGTCAAGTACGTGGTAGCTATCGTGAATGAGACGACGAGAGGCGCGTCTCCCCGTAGGCCTGCGGGATCCTCTATGAATTGAACGGAAGGTCTCCTTCGTGTTCCCGTGCGAGTAATGCGTCCCCACATAGGATGCAGTCCTGCGAAGATATTATGTATGCTCTTGCCTTTGATGTCGCATTGCAAAAGTGGTGAATGGGCAGGATATTTGCGGAAAATAGCTAAGCTCTCGCGAGGGACGACGAGGAAAATTCGGACCATGGTGGGTAAAACGTCCCATTCTGAAAACGGACCTATCTTGAGCGGGGGCGAAGATACGTAGGCGGGCGGGTCGTGGACTCCGTGGCGCCAGAGCTGACCATGTAAGTCCTGGCAGTTGTTCAGATCCATGGGCATGGATCGATCGGCGTCCAAGATTCCCAAGAAACGTTCCAGGACGTCGCCCCACTGCGCCGGCGAGAGCCTCAGTCTGTCTCTGACCATCTTCAGGAACAGGACAAAGCTCTCGCGGGAATAGTGATCACGGTTAGCGTGAGTGAGGGCTCCGAGAAGGTTTCTACGCGCGCCGTTTCGCTGAAACCATGTGCGGCTGTCCTCCTCCTCGAACATGCGATGGTACATGTCGTAAAGATGGGTCCCAAGCTCCACAGGGTCGAACACAGGCGGTCGACTGGCTTGCTTCCAGATCGATGAATCGGACTCGATCGTCGGTGGCGACTTCCATGTGGTAACTTGATGGAATTGGGTGGCGGTCCGCTTTAAGGCGATCTCGTAGGCCATGAGCTCGTGCGTATTGGAACGTGTTGTGAACCCGGACACGTAGTCCACGGGACAGACACCGATGAGCATGTTCATGAGCGTGACATCCGAATACAGACGATCGATGAAGTCTTTGGTGGCATTCTTCTCTTTGGATATGAGTGACTCGGTGTACATGACACTCGCGTGGGGGTATGCGGAAAGCATTGGGATCGCGGCGGTCAGGACGTTCAAAACACCTGGACATCGTCAGTAATGAACGACGTCGGAAACACCGGCGTGCATACATACCAATATGGTCGACCAAGTTCGAAGTGTCGATTACGTTGAATAGCGGCGGGGGTATACCCTCGATGTCGCGACGCAAAGCACTAGAAACGTCTCCCTCGCTCAGAACAAGCAACTGAGACTTCCACGGTGCGACGGGGATGGAGGAGGCTGGTGAGCCTGTTTCAACGAAAAGCTGCAACGAACGGGACACGGCTGTAGCTTCGCCCACAATGAATCGGACGACCGGGTTCGTCGGTTTTGTAGGGGAGGTAGAAGCTTTGAAGCTCGTGCACCAGTCCTTGAACTGGATTTTGGCAACCTCGACGAGGTCATGAGGTCGAACAGAGTGCGGACTGTTGTTGAACGCGAGCGCGAGATGGAAAGGGGTCACCGGATCGGTCCCGTAATGAACATTACACCCTTCTCCGCCTAGTGAATATACCAGGGTAGGATTCAACTTCATGGCAGCAGTGTCAAGCGCATCGTCAAAGAACGTTGTCCCGGTCTTCCAGTAGTGGTCTTCCAGCTTTGCTGCAGCATCGAACGCGTGAATCATGAAAAGGCCTGCCGATCTGGCTCCATTCCCGAGCGTTTTAGACGGTCGAGACTTAGCCACGGCCTTGAACGCTTCGCGGATGGCTTTGATGCGCTTGTCAGGCAGAGTTTTCATTTCAACATAAAGTCTCCAGTGGCGCCGTACTTCTTCGAGAGTGTAAGCTGTACACATCTTGATATAGCGCCCATACGGAGAGTTTCGCCAGCCCTGTATGGTCTCGGAGTGATTGATGAGTTTGGAGCAATGCTCGACAAGTGTCGCGTGAGATTTGTCGTCAAGATGCATGTGGATGTATACGTTCCAAATGACGGTGGAGGGTGAGTGTCCATCTGCGGCCATTGTGAGCAAGATTATGTTGCGCGCTATCACGAGGGATGAGTTCGAATCGTTTGAAACAGAAGCGGAGCCAAAATCATTGCATGCATACCTAAAACGGCTGGGTCGATATCACAACAAGTGAAGTCCAAAGGACGAGTGACTGTAGTCGTGATTGAGCAACAACACGCACAGGGAGAACAAACTACGCACTCTCGTCGGATTCGCAGAAGATCGTATACATCACATTCCTAGGATCCCCGCATCCCAGCAGAAGTATATTCGCGGATTCCTCCGGGGCCAGGTCTCTGATAAGACATACAGCAGACGTATTTCCTATGGGATAGAAGAAATATGTTTCGGGCCAACAGAGCAAATGCACCATATTGAAGGAGGATGGAAGGACGGGGTGTTGGGGTGTTGCAGGGCGAAAAGTCTGGTCGACGTAGATATGGCCTAGGAGCCAGTCATTACACCCACGCCACACTAATAAGAGCCTCGAGTGCATAACACGTTGAGGACAGAAGGTTCAGTGATCGAGCGAGCACTCTTCCTGTTCAAGCTAGTCTGTAGCGTCTGCGCTACAAGCCTGCAGTCACAGTATTTGAGGCGCAAGAGGGGTATTGGTGGCCATACAAGCGGTTGATGTACGTTCCAACATCTTGGGACACATATATTCGGCTGCGCCGGTCGACCTCGTACGGGAAGAGACCGTGAAAATGGTTCTTTCGTAGACAGATACTGTGGTTATAGATTCAGCGGGCGAACAACCACTAAATTGCGTAAAAAAAGACAGACCTCCATTCCAGAAACTCTGTTCTCCCCCCTGTCTGTCTGTCGCCTGTCACGGGCGCACGACTTCCTGATCGACAAAACTTGCGCAAGGATAATTGCTCTTGAGACAAACTCACGATACCGTATCGTTCAACACTGCCGGGCGCTGCATGCATGACCCGGCCATACTTATCAAGAGGAATATAACATTTTTGGCGAGTATGACGAGACAGTGCGGCTATCCGAAGCTCGACACTGTGAAGTATGAGGACTTATCACTTTTGGGTAAACCGGTCAACTTCACAGGAAGTCATCGAAATCTTGTTTGAGAAGATGAATCAATTCGACGTACTTTGCGTATTATTGCTACCTCAATATTTGCTCATGTTGAGAACATAACACACTGCGCCTTTGCATCGCTGTCAGCGCTGAAGGGACAAGTCAAACCCCACGGTTTGATGCTATAATCATGTCAAAGCGAGTGAACTAATGGACAGGCGCGTCGTGGCAGGTACCATCGCATTCACTCCTTTGCCGATTCTTCCATTCTTTTCCTCTTTGCCTTTATATTAGCTTTTGCTATGGACCATCCGCCCCAAGCTACGGCAACCATGCCCGCCCATCCCCACATCTGAGGGTGACAGCGAGGCAAAAGAAGAGACGAATTTCGGGGTACTTGTTAGTATGACATCGACTGTAAGACCTATGTAGTGAGAGAAGAGAGAGCATTACCATGCGTCTTGGAGTGTTCAACTTGAACATAAATGTCTGTGGCGCCGCACTCTGGAGAACTGTTGATGAGTACGAGTGATAGGTTCACTGTAGGCGCCGATCTCGTCGGTTGTAGGGTCTGCTGAATAATTCGCTGAATTCCAGGTTCTATGGCCGCGGGGTTGAAATGACAAAGTCCCTAGGCGTCCAAAGTCTCGTGTAGGGGATAATGATAATACTAGTTTTTGGTAGCGTACACAAAGAAGTCAAAAGAAATAAAAAAATACGTAGATCGTCGACTTCCGTTTATCTCCGGCGGCCAATGCCGAAGCGCCCAAGTCGCCGCGACCGGATGCCTCGTTGCGTAGGACTCCTCTCCAACAAGTGAATCTGTCCCATTCCAACAATACTCAATCCGTTGGTCTCGTGAACACAACAGTGAGATTAGCAATACAGCCATCTTTCACTTGAGTCAAGATCTAACAGAAGACCTCGATCAGGCAGGTCGACTGTAGCGCACCAGGCGGGATCGACGCGAGGTCTTGTCCAACAACCCGTCACTAGCCTCAGTCCAACGAGCGTGCACGACGGAACCCTACATCGTTGTACGGTAAGGTGATTTCAGATTTTTCTGTGGCATAGTTACATGGGATACATTCATAACCCGAAATATATCAGCGGTCCCTTGCGGAATATCGGCAACCGCCCTCATAGAACACCGTGACGAAGGCAACCACTCGAGGTTGCAGCAATGGATGCCCAGGGGTTCGTTCCTAATTTTATCTCTATCATGACGGTAACTTGACCTAAATCTGCTCCAGTGAACAAGCTTGGAACGTCTTTTTAGCCTCCAGACTTGTCGCGTCAGGCCAGTCGCCCCCAACAAATAACGCTCATATCCACTTCCTCGACGTCGAAATCGAACGGTCCCACCGCCTTACTAGTTCTCTAATTGCAAACAGAAATGCCCTAGTACCTATTATCCGCGTTCCATCCGAAATTTTAGCCCACATATTCGAAATAATCATCACCGCCGACTGGGATGACTTCGCCGATATCGAAGATTCTGATGAAGCCGACGCGCTCTACCCATCGCTACCTAGATTTCGGCAGCCATTTGTCGTGCTTGTGACCGCTACACACGTATGTCGTCGCTTCCGCGATGTTGCGCTCGATACTCCATCATTGTGGCGAAACATTATCTGGGAGAGATCGAATTGGGCCCAGGAGATGCTTCTCCGTGTGAAGCAGACCGCACTCGACATTCGTGCGATCGACGTGGACCCAGATGCGACGGGCTTACACAGCTTTCCTACGGACCAATCTACGACCATCGCAAGGACCGCGCTACCATACTTGGCTCGTGCGCGGTCACTTTGCCTTGAGGGACCTGCGCCGGAGACATCTGTCTTGGTCGAGCTTCTCTCTAGGCCAGCGCCATTATTGGAGTCGGCTAGACTGGAGTATCAATACTTTGGAGGAAATGAGCAGGAACCGTCGGGTCAACAAATTTATCCCGACATTTTGTTTGGGAAGCACGCCCCACGTCTTCGGCATCTCTCGCTCTGCGGAGATATTCAGCCCTCCTTGTGGTCTTCTCCTATCATGTCGGGACTGAAATCGTTGACAATGATGGCAGCACCACACGAGTCTATTCACCTCCGTGAGCGGGCTTGCATACCTCCGTCTCTCCATGAACTGATGCAGGCCCTCGAGCGTATGCAACAGCTGTGGAGTCTGACTGTTCACCAATGGTACCTCCCTCTCCTACCTCAAGGAGTTCAAGCGTTGCCCGAAGTCACCCAAATCATTCATCTTCCTCAACTCAAGCACCTATCCCTCATCGCACCGTTCGCAGATTGTCTCAATCTATCACAACGTCTCACCATCCATCCCAACGCTTCGCTTTCATATGGTCTAGCCAACCGTGGAATGCCCATGACACATCTGGCTGATACTTCCACCGGAGATATGTTCACCTCTCTTCTCAAACCATGCTCTATAACTCCCTCGACGTTCACACATCTCACACTATCCTGCAAATCCAAACAAGGTTACACACTACAAGGCTGGGACGAAGTCTCTGGCCCTCCCCGTTCACCTTCTCTCACCATTAGTTCTGATCCACAGCCGGATCCCTACATCACCGTCAAGCCCCGTCTTAACCTCGACATCGTCGGCAAGAATGAAGTCATCTACCCCAATCTCCTCCCTTCCGTACTCCAAACCTATCGTTTCCCCGCCATCCGCACGTTCACTTGCGCGCTCTGTCGACCTCTCGACGCTCCTTTGGAAGTGCGGCGTCTCTTCCTTCCTCTCAAAACAGTCGAAGAGGTTATTGTAGACGGCCACTCCCAGCCTTTCAAAGAACCTAAACTGTCATCTCCTCTCCTACACGCCTTGGCCGATGGTTCCACCGATCTCATCAACGACAACGACGACGTCCTTTTCCCAAAAATGCGCACCCTCTCACTCGTAGAATTTTCCTTCCTTAAGGCCGACGGCCCGACTTTCGAACACGAAGTTGTTGACGTCCTCAGGCGCATCATCGGTCGCAAACGAGCTTCCGTTACGCTTCAGAGCCTACACATCGAGAATTGCGAGATAACGGAGGGACAGGTCGATGTGCTCAGACCGCTCATTCCGGATTTCAGATGGGATGGAAAGGTGGAAAAGCGGCGGTGGGAATGGACCCGAATCAATTTTTGAGGCATTCCTTATGGCGAGACTCTAAAGAGAACGCGGGGTTGATTTGGTGGCTGCGAAATTTTTTCATGTACCCTGACCACATCGCTTATACGCACAATTTTTCTTGGTGTAAAGAAGTGTTGTAAGCAGGCAGCCCAGATGTGCGAGCTCATTTTGCACTCGACAGAACGTCACGACAGTAAATCATCAAAAATTGTCGCCTTGAGAACTAGGCAGTCAACGAATAATTATTACATGCGGCAGGAGTGCGAACAAGAAACAGGTCGGTCAAAGAACGCGCGAACAGCGCACATACGACATATAAGACATTTTTTATGCGGGAATGGAGTTCTCAGGAAACAAGAGGATGAAGGCATAGCCCTCAAGGGTAAAGCACCGGTGAAGGACGACAGGACGGCAACAGAGACCAAAGGCAATAGACAACGAAGGCGACAAATGGGGGAAGGCGATCTCAAATCAGTCGGTCGCTTGGTTGAAGGGGCTGGCTGAAGTGAGATCACGAGAACGAAAGGCGAACGCTCAAGCGCTCGAGATAAGACAGCTCTTCACGCAGCTTCGGCCACCATGGGGGCTGTTTGGCCTCCCTTGGCCGCCGTAGGCGTGAAAGTATGCCAGCGGTCGTTGAAGCGTACGTCTAGGTAAAGCAACGTCAACCGAAGGCGATAAGGAAGAGATAAAACAGTATGGACGTACCGAGAGGTCGTCCACCGTACATATATTGCTGGAATTTTGCTGTGAATACGAATATCAGAAAATTATGCCAAACAGTGAGGAGCGCGTGACAGCGTACCGATGGCAGTCTCCGCCTCAGTGATAGCAGCGAATTGCACGACACCGGCGCCTTTGGATCTAGAACCCTCGTACAGAATCTCTGCAAGTTCGACTTGTCCAGTCGTCTCGAACAACTCTACCAAGTCCTCGTTTGCCGTAGACCATGGCAGCTACAGTTCATGAACCTCGTCAGCAAACAATCATAGAAAGTAATGAGAAGATGCGTACATTGCGAACCATGATCTGCTGGCTCGGTTCAGCGTCAAATCCAGCGGCCCCGAACGCAGGACCAGTAGGAGCGCCGAACGCGCCAGCGCCAGCCCCGCCGCTGCCATAACTGTCCATCCTCAGTCCAGTGCCCGACTGTTGATCGGGGCCAGAATAGTCGGCGTACAGATCTTGGTTGGAGAAATCGCGACCTCCAGCAGCATGAGCACCAGCAAACCCACCACGGAACCCACCACGGAATCCACCACGAAGACCGCGAAGGCCACCCCTGAATCCACCACGCAGGCCGCCACGGAAGGCACCCGGGCCCGAAAGACCTGCGAAGCGATCCTAGAATATGTTTGAAATATAAGCAACGTCTTTCAGAATCATTGGCGACGATTCGACAATTCACCTCGCGGACTTCGAGCATACGGCCATACCAGTTGTGGCCATTGAACATGTCTGATGATAGACGTCAGAAAAGGCTGAATGTCATGTACGATGAAGACATACTGATAGCCGATTGAGCGTCTTTCGCTGTCTCATAAATGACAGTTCCGCTGCCTTTGGGCCTCCCATCGGCGCCGATGTTGATGTCAGCGCGAACAATATTTCCAGCCTCGCGGAACAAGTCTTTCAAGTCTTGCCATCCGGCTTGATACGGGAGCTAGACAAAGAGACAACGGTTAGTCAGGTAAAACGACGAATAAGAGCACTCAGTGACCTCACATTGCCAACGTAAAGCTGATTGCCAGGGTTGTGTCCGGCGCCTCCAAAAGTGTTGTGGAAGGCAGGCCGAGGAGGTGGCGCAGCATGCAAGCCTTGCCCAGCCATAGCCATGCCGATCTTACCTGGCACTGGCGTGGCACCAAAGCGAGATTCGTTCTCACGATCCTGGATGCGAAGCAGGTAAGAGTGATAAAGTCGTCAGAAAGAAAGTTCAGCATACCTCACGAATGAAGACAGGCCGTCCAAGAAGAGGGCTTTCAGAAAGCTCCTTGACGGCACGCATGGCATCTTCGTGAGAGGCAAATTCGACGATACTGTAAAGCGAGTAGGAATAGAATGTCAATGATGGTACCCTGAAGTAGAGGGAAAAACAACATACCCGCATCCTTTCGAGATACCAGTCGGTGTAATAAGGACTTCGGCGAACAGGACCTCACCAGCTAACAATCCCAAAACAAAACTCCTGTCAATAAGACCGTCCTCTCATCTCGAGTTCCCATCAATAAGACCAGAAAGCTGAAAAGGTTCTGCCGGCCCCGCCACTTGTGCCCCTGCCCTCGAGGTTGCGAAAGCGCCGACCCCATCCACTTCGCCAAGAGCCTACGTCCGCTGCCACTCCTGACGCCAATGCCAATGCTTCTGCCAGCTATTGATGAGCCTGCCACCAACGAGGGGCATCGAGAACGATTCGCCGAAGACTCCGCTCTATCCATCTAACCGTGCCTTAGCTCCGGGCAAGACTTCGTCCCCATTATCCTCGTCATCTTCCTCTGGCATCTCTTCCCCCGGGGCGTAACAAGGACCAGACTCAAACCAAAACCAACGCCACGCCCAGAACCAAAACGACGACCGAAACCAAAACCAACGACAGCTAATCTGAAATGCCCCCACCCACCTCCCCTCATGAATTCCATCAGGTCCCTGTACTTGACGTCGTAGCTGAGGTTGCCGACATAGACCCGGTTTTCACGCTTGCTTTGTTTGGCGAACTCGACGGCTTCCTCGTGCGGGGCGTTCATGGGTCCACCGAGAGAGCGCGGGAACGGCTCGGCCGGCTTGCGGTCCCTGGAACGAGATCGCGGGCTGCGCGAACGCGAGTGTGATCCCGAACGAGAGCGAGAACGGCGCGAACGCCTGCGGGGCGACGCGGAACGACGACGCGAACGCGACCGGGAACGTGAGCGACGACGGCGCTATAAAGCAAAAGATTTATGGCGTTAAGCTACATTGGCGGGCTGAGTGCTGCTTGATCCACATACCTCAGGTTCCCAGTGATCTCCTCTGCCCGACCCGCGAGTGCGACCTGCAAGCGATTGTCAACATGGGGACCTCCACGCCTCGCAAGAGCAACGCTGTCATCGTCGAAAACATACCTGAATCACGGCGGTCACGATCCCTGCCCGAGTCTCTCCTGCTGCTCTCCCTATCCTTGTCCCGTTCGCGGTCCCTGTCGCGCTCGTACTCCTTATCCTTCTCGCGCTTGTCGTCGACGTCCTCTTTTACCTTCATATCAACGTCCATTTCGGTCTGATCTGTGAAGCTGTAAGTAGACGGTCGTAATGAGGGGTGGTGGACGCTTGAGAGATAAGCTCGACGAGTTTTTTTGGGGAGTGAGTGGGCTGTCGCCGCCGTCGCACGCGATTACAAACCCCGCTTTGTCGGAGTTTGAACCTTCTGGCCTTCTTGTACGAAAGTGGCGCAGCGCTTGTTGCACTCCTGGATTTGTAGATCCCGGCACAACGCCTACGAGGTTTATGGACTTAATGAGTCAATTCAAGCACACAATTGCACCGGCCATATGAGAAGAGTTTCCAGTTCATTTTATCCAATTTATTCAGAACGAGAGACTACCGCTCCGTGCTTTTGTGCCAAATGCATAGACTACAGCGCGTGCCATCAACAAGCCAACTATGGAGGTAGAAGAGAACACGATGGATGTGAGCTTGGAGAGATACCGAAAGTAAAAGAGAAATACTTACCGACAATGCCGATAGAAACTTGGATGACCGAAATGCCTAAATCAATAGGATCTCCGGAAAAGATGTCTCCAGTCTCCGACAAACCTGACTATAGCGTGATAGTAAAGGGGACTAGATGAGTAACTATAACACACCATTGAATATTGTCAGACATACTGGGACCAGGAAAAGAACACCAGGCACCATGGCTGTAAACGCTGTGCCACCCGTAAGCCGCTGATATCCATTCCCAAGAATACCAACCGTGAATGCACCGATGGCCGAGACGACATCCGAGTGGTGAAAAATGTAGCGAGTCGCGACCTTGTTGGCGGTGTAAGCTGCGCAAGCGAATACAACTTGAACCAACATCTCAGAGCTGAGCGTAAAGCTAGTGCGCCTTCTGCTGCGAGCCCGCTGCTCTTCCGCGTCTACCATACCAAGCTTCTTGAAGACCGGTTGCATGTTTGACATAGAGATGATCAGACAGAACAGAGGTACTATGATGATCTGCGTCCACGATGGAAAGGGTAGCATGTACCACGGAGCATTCGGGGGTCGATGACAGCCAGAGACGACATTGTCGACCGAGATCGCGGGCGGGTTCTTGAATAAAAACGTCCCAACGAATTCTGGGATGCCGTTGATGATGTTGTCGGATACGAATGTCCCTGTGTACAAAACAGGGTTTCCGTAGGTGGATGCGATTTTCGCGGATCGGTAGCGGGCGTGGAAATCGAATAAGAGGTAGAGGTCTGATCCAATTTGGAGACCGAGGCAGATGAAGAGGGAGAAGATTAGAGCATAGACCATCTTGACGGAACCGCAAAGCATATTTCTGGAGGCTAGTTCAAGTGAGCTGGTCACTATGCATGCACGACGATAAGCTCAAGGAGATTCTGGTCGTAAGACAGGACATACGTACCAATCAAGAACCCTGGGAGTATACCGACAATGGACGCCGATGATATCGCATTATAACAGAAGAGCTCCGTTCGGATACTGCCCAGAGCCCGAGCGATGAGAGAGATGATAACGGTCGTGGCGATCCTTTCAGTGATCTGTTAGTCTCCGACTCACATTACAAGATAAATAGTGGAGCTCACTGATAAACGTTGGTATAGAATACGTTGTTCTTGGTGATCATGTAGAGTTCGACAGCACATAAGGCAGCAGCACCAAGGCCTGCAATCCACATATCCAGAAAGGAGCCACCAAATGCCAAGGGACAGATCAAAGCAGACCCGCACAACGCCAGAAGGCACTTCATGGGTCTTCCATGAATCTCGTCCTCGTCCATAAGCTGATCCAAGCACTGGCCGCCTATCTTTGCGCTGATACAGTCGTGGGTGACGTTGTAGTAGACGATCCGGACTTTTGGTAGGCGCCCGAGGTCAAGACTTCCATTGGACTTGAGCAGCTCGATTTGCGAAGTCAGCTCGCAGACGTCGCCGAATGACGCGAGGTTAACTCCCGGTAGCATGACGAATTTGGCTTCGACACCAAGGATCTTCGCGGAATCGGAGAGAAGAGAGTCGATGGCGTGAGTGGGTGCGCCAAACTTCATCAACGCTTTCGCGAGTTTCATGATGAACCGCTGTCGGTTAATCTCGGCTGAAAGTGTCGCAAATACGCAATGGAGCCATGACGCGAGTTCAGCTTCAGCAGGTGCGGAAAGTTAGAAGAGCAAACGTACATGTTACATGCTTGACTATTTTCAACCTTCGTCGCTCCTTACGCTTCTGCTTCTCACTCAGCTTGAGCAATCGTCTCCTCTCGTCGAACTCCTTTGTCGTTAGATCCATATCCTCATCCCTCAACAGCTCGTCTAAGGGGACCGCCAGCCTCGGGTCGTCGGAATCGATGGTCAACCAGTTGTCGTTCTGTGTGCACTGTGACTTTTGCAGCGGCGGATGGAGTAGGGTGTCGTCTTTGCAATCCTCGTAGTCGTATATTCCGTACTTGTGTGCGTTGGTTTGTGATGAACGTCTGGAATCGGATGAATCAAGGAGGGTTCGATTGCTATCCAGAGAATTTTGCCGTGCGTCTCTCAAGGTGGTATCAACGAAGCGTGAACCAGAGGATAGTCCATGATGGCTGCCGTTCGCGAGGACCGTATTTGTGTCGCGGTCTTGCGTTGATAGAGATGAAGCAGTAGCATATGGGTATGATGGTGAGTCGTGGTGCGAAGGACGGAGGCTTGTTCTTCGAGAGTTGAAAGACATGCTAAATGAATTGCCGATCGAAGGAGGACCGAGGCAATGGTTCAGAAAGAGAGAAGTGACCTAGAATCAGAAGGAAAATCGGCTAGGAAACACAGAAAGCAATCTAGATGGGGGAATGGTAGGCGCTCCGAGCGTCAGACGGAGAATATGAGCATTTTATAGGCATAGGTTCGCATTGAGACTGCTGGTTTGGATCGTCCTGTAAGGACGTGCGAGTATTGATACATAGAGACGGTCTAGGCCAGGGAATAGCGAGCATAGGCCGGTCAGCACCGAGAGGGACGAAGTGGTACAGGCTGTCTCACTGGCTGGTTTTGCCTCCTAGTATGTGTCTCAAGTGATCGATAAGCATTGAGAACATGGTCAGTGGTGTGGCGCCTTCGGCGGCTTGCCCAGGGCCCTCTGTCTTCCTCTGTCGTGTCTGACGATCTGCGTCCCACTGGCACAACTGAGTACCGACCAAAACAGTGGAAGTGGAACTCGGCCCGGGTTCCTCCGGCCCAGGCACGCGAGTTCCACTGCCACTTTCACTGAGTTGTCAGACCAGCGACGTGCCCTTAAGTGGTGACTTCACCACTGTCGTGCATTTCACGTTCACATCGTTCGCTCGCTCATCATGAGCCGTCACGGCCTGAGATCGGGTGGGGGGCATGTAGACAGTAAACAAAGCACTGTACATGTACTTCATTTTCGAATACTTAGGGGGTGATACCAGTGATGTGTGTATGAAGCAGAGCGAGTTTGTGTGTACGACATGTAATAATAATGCAGAAGTTTATCGTCACCTATCAGATCATTGTTTGAATAGCCAGGAGGTTTATGTAGCAGCAGGGATAAGTGCAGTGAGATCTTTCAAACATGGTGTCAGCTGCGCATTCACGCCCGACGCGGCTTTGACCATTGGTGTGGCGGCAGCTGAAGGCGTGCGTGGTGTCTGAGTCGAATGGAGAAGATGGAGGGTGGTTGGGGATTGAATTAGATGTCAAATTCTGCGAGGCTGATGGTTTGGGCAAGCAAGGACGCAAAGGGGTCGAATGTGTTCAACTGCTGGAAGTGGCCCGTTTCTTCTGAAGACAGTGGCTTGAACTCACTGACACCAGACGAGTGGACCATCGAGAACGCAGCCGTCTGGATCGGAGGCAGCTCTACAAGACCGGGTAAAAATATATGTGCATGCATATGAGTTCTCGAGGTGGGGAGCCATGTTGAGGAAACAGAGAGCACCCGGCACGACGACACGATCGTCAACGTGACACCTCTCGCCACAGTGGAAAGGCGCATGGCATATGCTGGGCGAGGTCCAATCCTAGTGTGGACAATTTTGGGCCAAAAACTGGTCTCATGTTTGATCATAGTGCGCACATTTTCGGCCTCCGAAGGACCCCAGGTCCGATCCCAAACGAGACAAAAGTGGTGAACTTGTGACAAGGTCCGATCCTACCATGGCCTACAGTGCGCACAAAGGTTGCACAAGAGAGATAAGATGACTCGCGAGAGAGCCTCTTCAGACACTCGCCGACGAGGTGCGTACATAATGGCGAATAATGCGCATATTTTTGAGCTCTATGCTGGGCAATGCCCGATACAGAATGTGTACCAAACGTCCTCCAAAACAGGACACCCGATCCGAGTGCGCACATTTTGCTCCCAAATCGGTCCGGACAAAAAGGGCAAAATTCGGCGGTTTTGGATCGGACCTCCCTAGGCATACTACAGCGTACCCAGATGTGCAAATTTTGCGGCGCTCGAGCTACTGTACTCTTTTAACATGCACCAATGCTAATCTAAGTACACAGGTTGGTGGCAAAAACCATAAACTACGCTTGACGATTTTATCGGGATTTTTTACTAGTAAGCTATGCTGTCGTCGACGTCGAGCGCGTCGACGAGTGCTTGCACCCAGTAATGCAAATGTTCACTTTTGGCGGGCCGGAAGCCTTCCGACGCGCGTCGCAAGTCGAAAGTGCATACTTTCGACATTTTCGAGCATTTTGATGGGACACGCTCGATTTGCGCCAAACAAAGTACCCAGGGACGATAGTATGCTGTATTTACATGTTGAGGAATATTTCCAGGGGGAACGGGGGAGAACTCGAAGAGTAAAGTCAAAATTTGCACTTCTGTAAGATTTGCACATCTGGGTACGGGGTAGTATGCCATGCGCCTCAGTGGAACTCACGCATCGGAGCTTGCCGGTTGAGTTCCACTTCCACTATTTTAGTATATACTCGGCACAACTGACGCAGGGTCTCACCACGTAGCGAATCAGGCTTTGAGCTGTATAGAAAGGCCCCTAGAACGTAGCACAGAAACTTCAACTTAAAAGCTCTCAGCAGAAGCGTTAGAAAAGAAAATCCCGGTGGCGGCGCCAACAGACTTGTTTGGTTGTTTGGTTTAGAGGCTATAGCCAAACAATGATTGCAAATTCATCCTCGCTTCCCAACGGTGAATTCGACACCAGCACTGCCACCTACTGTCCATTAGTTTTCCCAAGCTCACACTCTCTGGATACCTGTGCGTGTGTAAAGGCTTATACATCTCCGCAATAGTACTGGCTAGCCACCTCTTTACACACCACTATCCAACACAACGCCACTCAGCTTTGGGCTCAACGAGATCGTCGTCAGCCACAGTCAGCGTCCTCACCATGAATCCTCCTCCTCTCCGGCTAGACATACCTTCGGCTTGGTATCCTACACATTTACCAAATAACCCGAGCCCTTCTCATCGTGCTTTGTATGGACGCGATCTCCATGACAGCCCTGCCTTGATGGCTAACTTCAAGGCAGTCGGCGATCAGCCGAACGACGAGGACCTCATTGTTTCCGCCATATATGCTGGGCAGCTCAAAGGCTTAAACACGAATCAAGCCCTTGATGGACTCCACACGGTTGGTATACAAATCTACGTCTCACTATTTTTGACAAGATGTGCGGGTTAACTATCGCTGCCTCCGTATATAGACAAACGAGCATACTGCCTACCAGTGGAGGGAATACTACTTGGCTCACAGAAGCGCAATTTTTCGTCGTGTGGAAAGTCTTGGAGCAAAGTCTTCGACCAAACGGACCACGGCAGAAACGACCAAACCACGATTTGCCCCCGACTCTTCTGTCTCAACCCCATCTACATCTAACAAAAGAAGGAAAACCAACCCTGTAAGGGGAAGCATTCCGAATGCACCATCCGAAGAACCCACCCCTTCGATTCATAATTCGGGCAAATACACACAAGGGGACGTCAATTACATGGTGAAATTGTTCGCGTACGAGCTCAACAAAGACTCCACGGCTACCCGGGCTGAGATATGCGCCAAGCTTGGCAAGAAGGTTTGTCCGTCTCCAACTAAAACGATCCATGATCGCCTCTTATGCATCGTCTCTTGTCCGTTTGTATCACATCCTAGGCGCCACAACACAGCCCTGCATCTTGGAAAAACTACTCCCTTCAATTCCTCATAATCGACAAGATGCTCAGACGTGCGGGCGGCGAGGCAATTCCAGTTCATGAATTCGACTTCGATAATGCTAGCGACAGCGAGGATGATGTCTCGAAACGCCCTCAGAAACATGTCAGAGGACACGCTCGCAGCGATTTGGACAGAAAGCCCGAATGGACTATGAAGAACGAGGGGCCAGGAGTGGAATCGTCGGACGAGGATGAGGGTGATGTCGGGCGCTATGGGGACCGCTACACCATGACGGAGTTGCGAATTATGGCGAAGTGGATATCGAGGTGCAGTGCGTCGGAATGGGCGGAGATGACGCCAACACAGCAATGGGAACCTTTCACTCAAATCGTGAGTCGCATGAACAAAACAACTCGTCTTGGGCGAAATAATTGGAAGGAATATCAGTTGACGTTAGATTCTTGTGTCTACCCAGCTTCCTATGAGGACCTTGAACTCACTGAAGACACGATACAGTAACGACGAGAATAGTACGGACCTCATTTTCATCTGTCAAATCGCGTTAGTCTTACACTATGTCCCCTTCCTAGAGTTTCTCCTTCTGGCCAAACGCTATCGCACGAGGCGGCAGCAACACAAAGGCGCGCCGTCTCGGCATTGAGATCCTCATGGTGAAATTTTTCCCGTCTTTCTTCCTCTCGTCACGTTTTGCCATGACTTACGCGGTGCATCCAAAGTCGGAATTGTTGACGGTGATGCTCCCGATTGGCCTTGCCGGGGTATCAGGCCGCGACTTTATCAGTCCGAATGCTCTTCTTATTCCTCTTCATCATGTCTCATCGTCTTCTTGCACCTTACGCTACTCGGGATCTCTTGCCGACTGTGTGTAGAACAGCGTATAACTTATCAATTTAAGTGCGGTCTCGAACAGCGCAGGGCAACTATCCACATCGCAGTATGAACCATATGGTGCCCGATACGACATGGGTCGCCCGTGATCAAGTGTCCTGGGGCCGAATACAAATGTGGGAGTATATACTATAGTATTACTAGCGACCAGAAAATACGAATACAGCCGTTTACAAGAGGGCAACAAATGAGCTTGGACTTCGAAAGCTACAAATCAAATACGACATATATGTACCTCCTGATCATGCAGGCGCATCAGTAGCCTCATCAGTAGGCTCGGAGACAATCAGAGAAGAAAGTGGCAAGACTTCCTCTAGCCGGAAGGGGAATCTCTGCGGAAGAGGTATTCCATGTGAGTGTACGACGGTTCCTGACAGTGGAATGCCTATAAAGCCACAGCGTAGACGGTGTTCGGGCCAGTCTCTATTGCCGCCGTGTCCCACAAGCGGGGTGTCAAGTGAGCACGAATGCTTTTCATGGCAAATGCTTGTGCATGAGCGAAAGACCCCTCGGACGTACCTCGATTGGCACTCAACTCCACAATAACCCACGTCTTTACAAGCTCTGCATCTTCCGATGTGTCGATTGCGACATCCCCGTCTCGAACACTGACGGTCAATGGAAGACACGCGTTCGAGAAAATCGACGATGATCCACACTTCATCCATCGAGGTGATATTCCTAGGGATAATCACATCCATCTCTCGGGAAACGGTGTCCTTGTGGAGAAAAGCTATGTCGAGACATGCTCTGAACAGGCGCGGGCGTGGGAAGTTACGGCGGATGGGAGAGAGGAGGGATGGATTGAGCCGGACGATGAGAAAGATATCCCCGAAGATGGCGCCAACCCAGGCTATAAGCAGTGAGAAATGTTTTCGATGTGTGAGTATAAAGATTTATACAGATTATCGAGGACAGAGATATTCAGAATGGGGGGAGGGAACGCTTACTGTATACGCCGTGGACGATACCACCATGCTGTACCCACACTGCCTCTAATACGTCGAACACGCCCTCACAGAGCCAAGTCCGCATGAGATTCTCGCCTTCATTGCTCTCTACATCAATGGCGCTCTCGGTGCATCGTTTCATCAACATCAGGATGGGCAGAATCAACCGCTCCCCGGGCTCGAAATTAGCCTGCTTTAATACGTGCTCCGGACTCGACAAAAGCCGGAACAGAATCGAGAACATGGTGGTATGGCCAAACAAATCATGGAGAAAGTCTCTGTCGGATGGAGAACTCCATAGAGCACAGTTGATAAGTGCCCATATGAGATGCATGCAATGATTTATGTAGGTCGTGTTTAAGAAGGGAAAATTTCCGGTGTAATGCGTGAATAAAGAGGCGAAGGACTGGTCTGGGATCCCCTGTCGCATACGAGCGATGAAATTCTTGGGTCGGCGGTTATGGAATATGGCTTCTGGAGGATCGGCGAGCCGCGCTAATGCCCTGACGCATTTGCAGAACTCGATGATTCCAACTGAATGCATGAGACATCGCATGATCAGAGGGACGGTCAGATCGTTGGGTGCATCCACCCTATGAACATTCGGTGTGAGTGGCACATCATGCCAGGACAGGATCGCCGTAGAAGGAGAAGTATACTGACAAAGCGCAGGTCGGTTCTATCTCTAGGATACCCATAACTAGCTCTGAGACGAAAATTCGCTCTGATGCGTAGTTTTCGTGCGGTTCGAACATGTGATGAGGTCTGATCCAAAGCTGTCAGTAACGAGTGTGAATCAGTGCTACCAGCGCAGTAAGGTGTCAAGCTTAGGGCATACTCGTAGGACGATTTCACTCCAGTTCTCGACCAGGGATTCAACGAATATAGTCCTGGTAGGAACAGGGGATCGTTTGACGTTGGGCAGTCCTAGTACTAGAAGCTCTATAAAGGGGGCGAAATACGATGATGTCTACATCCAGAAGTTCATCGTGATCAATGGTCATGCTGAAAATGATATCGCGAGTTTCGTAGCACTAGAGCTCACATTATTATCACCGCTGCAATCCGCCCCCAAGTCTGAGGAGTGCTCGATCACGCATTTGCATAAGGCATCCGTTATGCCTGCGTCTACGAGGCGCTGCCACCGAGCACAAGAATCCTTAGATTCTGCAGCGGCGCGTATAGCTTTCCTCAGGGCCATATCGTTCTTCACATCGATCGTAAGCACATAAGTGATAGAATGTTCGGACAATACACAGTATCAGTCGCGAACATACCTCAAAGCTGATTGGATTTCCCTGCCAAGTCCCGGTGTTGAAAACCGTGACGATACGAGCTGGCTTCGAATCGATGACATTCTTCCAGTATGCTTTAGAGTATCGCATTTTTAATTTGATAAATAACACTGTTTGATCTCGTATACCGTCGGTATCAAGGCTTCAATGCAAGGAGGTCTGTCCAGCGATCATCGCAGTCACGGTCAACAACAGATCGCGATCGAGCGAGATGATGGTAGAAGGACTTCGGCGATCTCCGGCGACACTCAACCCAAACAAAGAAACATCCCTTTCCTTGCAATTGCTTGCTTGTTATTAGCCTTTAGGGCCCTTCGGGGCCTTCATTTGGCTTTCATACTTCCGGAATCGAAGCTGAAAAGGCATAAGTTTTGAAAGTACGGTGGCGGAGCAGTTGAAAGTTGAGGAGGAAGTGCAAATTGTCATGTAAAAGTACTGTAAGATCGAGGGCAGGGCACCACAGCTGAGTAAAACAAATAAGAAACAAGCACCGTGAGTATTGTGTGTATACAATGCATGATCCAAAGGTAAAATCAAAAAGATGCAGAATGAACAAGTAGAGCAGAACGTTAACTGTAACAGAACGCGACCAAAACTCAAAACGAAAAAGACGAAAGACAAAAGGCAGGTACACTTTATGTAGTATGGCAAAGCGGATAGTATGTGAATGCAATGAGCAGCGTGAAGGATGTGCGTACATGTGCGTGCATGGTCATGACAGATGTTGTGTAATGGGGGGTAAAAAAAGTATATAGGCTGAAAAACCAAGAGTCACTAGTCCACAATGAAGGGAATCATACAATACTTGTAGTACAAACAGATATCGAGAGCAGGAGCCACAGCCCCTACGGATGTATATGCCGTTCGAGAGGTCACGTCACGACGGCAGGATTGCGAGTAGCTGCTGCAGTAGAATCCGTATTGGACGCCCCCTGAGCATTATTGGCACTACCCGCACCGTTAGCGTTCCCAGTCGCAGGCCGTCTTCTACGGCGACGTCTGTATGCACAAACAAAAAAGAAAGAACACCGTCAGACACTTTACAAAACCAACCACAACAAATCCATCCAGCTCGTACCTGGGAAACATCGGCCCCTTCGGCATCGGCCTCTCGTCCAAATCCAACGCAATATTCGCCGCCGCCTGGAACCCCTCTATCCAATCAACGACGGCGCCCACATCCGGCGCCTGGAGCAAAAACTGCTCGCCCTCCATCCTCAACCTGATCACGTTCCTCCTCTTATGATAATCGCTCCCGAGACCGCTCTCCGCGCCTTGCAAGGAATAAGCCTTGATCAGATCTTTCGCGTCCGGTTGGGGCACGTCTGGAGAGTCGTGGAAGAGACCGCCCGCGTCGTTCGTGCTGTTGCTGTTGGAGTGGGAGTGGGAGCCTCGTGAAGATCGGCGGCGGGTACGAGGGGGACTAGGTGGGGGTGCGAAGACGCCTGGGGAGTGGGGTGCAGGGGTGGCGGTGGCGACGGTGAGTGGGGAGGAAGATGGTGCGGAGGTGGTGCTAGGTGGTGAAGCAGTCCGTGATGCACCAGAAGACGACACAGATGCATTCGACGAAGACGAAGGATTTCCTCTCGACACCGAAGCAGACAACCGACCGGGACTCGAAGGTTGTCCATGTCCAGAAGACGACGTCGCCGAACTACCAGTCGCATTCGCGTTCACACCCGAGCTAGACCCAGAGCCAGACAACGAAGGTCTCAACCCTGAGAACGATCGTCTCCCCCTCGCACCGCTCTCCGTACTCGTACTCGTCCTTATCGCAACATCCAACAACCCCCCACTCACCGCCCGATCCCTACTCTCGCTTCTCCTCCCTTCCGCCTCACTATTCAAGCTCAACTTCGACCCGCCCGTCACGCTCCTCAAAAATCCACTACCCAACAACTTCGACTTCGTCGACGTCTGCGCTGGCGGCTGCTGCTGCAACGAAGCCGGCACATCCTCCGGCCGTGTCACAGGGACCGTCACATCCACATTCGCCTCCCTTCCCAATCCCAACCCCATCCCAGGCAACAAAGGCCTCGGATCCGCCAATGCGCTCTGCCTCGCCCCCGTCGCCTGCGCTAAAACCGACTCTGTCCCCGCCGGCGCACCCACACCACCCGACGAGCTCCTCGGACTCTTCGCCTCCTCCGACGACTTCCCCACAGCACCCACAGCCCCACTCATCCCCAACGCCGTCCTCTCCCTCTCCCTCTCTCTCTCCGCCGCCCTCTTCGCCCCCTGCACCGTCACCGTCACCGGCTCCTCCGCAATATCCCCCGCTCCCCCTATTTTCTCCCACAATCCACCCAGCACACCAACGGGGCCCGCACCCCTCACACTAGCAGGCAACTTATAGATCTTAAACGCCGTACCCTCGAGCACGCACACCACCCGTCTCCATTTCCTGTCTTTCGCCTGTACGCCCGGCGAGGAGAACTCCATCTTCCGGGGAAGGATGGCGCGGAGGTATATCGAGTTGGAGTAGCCTGGTAGACGTTCGGAGCCTTCGTCTTCGCGTGGAACGATCCTAGCCTCGGGCGGGACTCCGAACACACGCTGGCGTTCTGCGTTCGGATCGCCGTTGCGCGAGGGGAAGTGGAAGGTGGGATAGGGCGGCGGTGGGGAGGTAGGCGACGAGAACGTCGGCATGGAACGCTGGCGACGGAGTGTGGCGCTACCGTGACCGTGAGCGTGGTCGGCGTGAGGTGTTGGCGGGAAGGGAGGGGGTGCGCCGGGTGTGGGATGTTTTATAGATATGGGCGAAGAGGACGCGTTGAGGACTTCTGTCGTCGTCATAACCGGTGGCGTCGCATCCCCCCTCTCCGCTCCTGTTGCTCTCTCGACTACCGCAATTTCACCAGCACCAGCACCAGCACCAGCCCTCCCCCTCGCATGCTCCGAAATCTCGATCATACTCCTCGACGCATGCGTATACAACGAAGGCCTCCCGCCAAGGCTCGGACTGTTCAAAGGCGAAGACGGCGGCATGGGCACGATCCTGGGCGAATTCCTCAGCTGATGCTGCCACTCCGGGACCACACCAAATGCGTGCCCTCGGGGCGTCGACGGGTTCGTAGTCGATTCCGGGACGACCTTGGACGAGAAATAATCCATCGATTCCTTACCCCTCAACGTCCGCGCTCCCACCCCCGCGAGCGGCGTCATATCCTCCCTATTCCCATTACCGTTGGCCGCGGTCGTCCCAGGAGCTGCACCGACATCGGTGGTGGTAATGGTGGTGGTAGTCGTCCGAGCGGTTCCCTTCGGCCCCGAGCGCAGATACGATTCCAAGAATCCCGTCCCAGGCGACGTTCCCTTCCAATTAAAACTCGGCAACGCCAGACTTGGTTTACCCCCCTCTCTCTGTCTCCCGCTGATCGACCCCGGCATCGTCAACAACGACAACGGAGGTCTATCCGTCCCTGTCCCCCTCTCTGCCATAGTCGCCCCATGACTTTCCGAAGACTCGACCTCCCCGTCCTCTTCATCGCTCCCCGTCCCCGTCATCATCGTCATCGGCGTCTCCGACCTACTCATCCTCCTCGATCTCGTCCCATCCGTCTCGTCTCCTTCTCCCTGCTCTTCCCCTTCTCCGTCCCCATTCTCATGCTCATGCTCATGCTCGTGCTCATCCCCTTCCAACTCATCCCCCTCCTCCTCATCCTCCTCCAAATCATCCAACAAATCGCTATTCTCATGATCCGCGCCCTCCACCTCCCGCTCATCTCTCCCCGAATGCGGCAGCGCAGGCATACTCCGCAAACTATGTTTCCTCTCCCTTAATGCCTGTCTCTGTCCCTCACCACCACCACCACTACTACTACTACTACTTCCCGGTGCAGAATTATTGCCTCCAACACCCGGCTGCACGCCCGATGAGGACGCAGACCCAGACGCAGAAGCTGACCCCGACCTTGCCCCAATAACCGGCAAAGGCGGCAACGCGTAAATCGGATGCGCCGGCTCCCTCGTGATAATCGCAGGCGAAAGTCTCGCCCCTCCACCTGGCACGGTGAACTGCGAGGCGAGCTGGAAACGAGAGGTGAAGGAGGGGAGGGTGGTTAAGTGCGGGACGTTCGGGCGGGACGAGAGCGTGCGCGGGGAGGGAGGTGGATTTGCGTTGGAGGTGGATGTGGAGGCGGCGGAGGAGGATGTGGATGTGAATGTGGAGGATGTGGATGTGGAAGAAGGGGGAAGTCCCGCACGGAGTGATTGTGGGATGATTCGTGGGGTGGTCGAAGTCGAGGTGAGCGTCGGGGTCGAGGAGGAGGAGGAGGAGGGAGCAACTCCACTCTGATTCTGACTCGACATATAAGTGGGCGGCATACAGTTAGGCGCAGGCGCGGGAGGGTACCCAAAAGAAGTCGAAGTCGAAGTAGCGGCAGGAAGCCTAGGAGGGGACGTGACAGCAAAGGAAGACGAAGAAGAAGCGCTAGATGCGATCTTGTCGGACGTGGGCGCCGATGCCAATACCGACGACGACGACGGTCTCGCCGTTCCTGAGAGAGCACTAGTCGCCACAGGTATTTGGATGGGCAGAATATCTCGACTGTGGGTATTGGCGTCGGGTTTGTCAACGGTGGAAAGGGAAGAGCGTAACGCCGTCGAAGAAGAGGACGCCGCAGCCGCTAACCGCGCGCTCTTCAAAACATCGTCCGCGAGAGGCGAACACGATATCCGCGCGTCAATATGCACATCCGTGCTCCCATTCCCACTCCCGAAACCGGTGCTGGCGAACGGTTTCGGGGGAGGTTTCGGTGTCGTGTCCGGTTCGACGGAGGTCGTAGGACGATTATTATTATCATTGCTGTTTTTGCCAGAAGGACTTGGACTTGAACTTGGACTTGAATGCGAGGGTGCCGTGGCGCTCGAATTCTTAAGTTTGTGCCCCGCGTGCGCCTGCTGCAAAAGAGTAAGAGTAAGCGTAAGCGCGATTCGCGAAAGATAGGGGCAATCGCAACATTAATCAAAGCGAAATCATGAGCATGGCAGAACACTTTAGTTTTCCCCACATCCACACAGAGATAACCGCGATTGAATTGGAGTCTAGAAGGTTGAACACGACTTACCTTCGCCGGAGGGGAAGTACCCGAACCCGAACCCAGACTCGGACTCGGACTCGTGCTTGGGGACTTTCCCTTACCACCTTTGCTACTACTTCCACTGCTACTCCCACTATTGTTCTCCTTGTGATTCGCCTTAAACTGGAGCAAGGGACTGCCGTTGTTGTTGCGGAATGGATTGGCAGACCGGCGACTTTCTGGGGGATGATTGTTGGATGTCGATGCAGTGCCAGTGTGGTGGGGGCCTGGAAGAGGAAGACACAGAATTCATTGGGTCAGCGTTGCAAGACTCCTAGGGGGATGCTGGCGTGCAAAGAGTAGGCTGAGCGCGCTAGTTCTCGTGCTCGGCTCGGCGTGTCACTGGGATCGTGGGATCATGATAAACGCGCTATGCACTCTCCGACCTCTTCCGCCACATTGAACAACAGACCATCGCCAGTCGTACACAGCTTTTGAGTCAGCGATACGAATTCCAAGAACTCTTAGGAGCATTTCTGTCTCATTCTCAAGCTCGGCACGTCACGGTGTCAGTAAGATAGAACGACCACCGCGACCTCTTCCGCCCCAGAGAACATTGAACGGTAATGGAATGGATCGGTAGTCGTGTGCACACGAATACCCACCCAAATACGGGCAAAAGAATGGAAAGTGTAATCTTCCATTGGGCCCACTAGTACTACTGCACAGAGTAGAAAGGGGTCTGGACGACAGACACAGCATTTGGGTCAACGTTGCAAGAGCTCCCAAGCATTCCTGACGTGCCATCCTCGTTCTCGGGCTCGGCGCGTCACCGTGTTGTAGGATCGTCATAAACGCGCTGCGCAAGGACCCCTGCATCTCCGCCACAGATAATCGTGCGAGCAGAACTTTCCACCCATACTTATACGGCCAAATGAAAGTTTACATCTACTGCACGGAAGCAAAAACGCAACGCAAACGAGTGATTCTTCCATGCATTGGCTCCAATTGCAATGCACAGAAGCTGATGTGACGTCTATAAAAAGACGCAAGAGACGGGACGGGGCCGAGGCGAGGCAGCAGGATCCATCCTCGCAGAGAACCGACAACAGGCGGCGAATGCGAAAGGAGTTCCTGTGCGCAGCGGTTGTGTTTCCCAGTAATGCTTGTTCGAACTAACGCCTTCGCACGAAGTTCGCCTATGCCAGCGAGTGCGGGAAGGCACCGACGAGCGAGAATTCCCAAGGATCCCATTCGTCGCCGGTTGCAAAGATAGAGGGCAAAGATAGAGGAGCACAAACGCGGAACGAAACGAAAATAGAAATAGGAATGAAAATGACGATGCTAAGAAAAACACACCTGCGGACGAGGAAGAGGAGGACGCTTGGGGTACTTCGGGACGCGGAGGGGGTGCAGGGCTGTGTGGCGCAGCGTTCTCGGCCGGTCTTGGCTGCTGCTGCATGAATGCTGAGACTGAGCTCAATTGAAGCGGGGTCGACACGGCCTTGCGATGGCCCTTTGCGGGGGGCAGCGAAGAGTCGCGTCGATGTGAGGGCTGGGTAATAGACTGGGAGAGGGGTCTGTTGGAGGATCGGTCTGCGGCGTCAGAGGTGCGAGGAGAGCTGGAGGTGGAGATGGAGCGGAAGGAGCCGTCGGTGTCTGGGTTGGTGAAGGCGGGGTTGGGTGGGAGGGTGAGCATCGGCTGGGACATGAACGGTTTGGGGCCGTCGGTCGGGCCTGTGGTGTTCGAGCGTGAGTGTGAGGAGCGGAGGTAGTTGGACGAGGTCTTCTTGTCGCTGCCTGCGAAGTGGCGGACGAAGGAGAGGTGTTTGACGAAGAAGTGGCTCGCTTTCGCCTTGGAGGAGACGGGGGTGAGGATGAGGAGAGCAAGGTAAGCGACGGAGAGCTACGTACGGAGAACGGCGGACGCGGCTCTGGCGCTGTGCACTCCATCCAATTCCACTGCGCGACGCTGTTGGCGGTCTGCTTTGACACTGACAGCGACGGTCAGACTCAGAGCACGAATGATCGACCACCCGATGAGCTCACTCCCGCTCAGGCCATGCCCTTCCCTTTTTCTACGCGACTTCCCACAATTCCTCCCCCCGGCATACCCCGCCCGACGTCATCCCAAAACCTCCCCGCGACCCCGTGGCTCGCCCCGACATCTCCCTCTCGTCCTCCGTCCCATATCCTCCGTTTTTTTTTTCCATGGGCTCAAATTTCGCTGTTTATCATTGACTCTTCACCGTCCGAATCTTCGCGCAAATTTCAAAGCTGGCTTCCATCGGGCATGACGTCGGACCCATCGGCTCTCCTTTGGACCACGTTCCGAGCAAACCCACGCTTGGCTATAAATAAACCCTAGCACTCGCGGCCTTCTCCATCGTCGCAAACGTTTGAGATTGATACGCTTTGGACATGCTCGAGCTCTGGCCATCTCTTCCCGGTTACTCCCGTCTCAAAGGTTTAACTTTGAACTCGGCTTTCTCTGCTCTTTCTTGACCCACTCAGCATTCTCGGCGGACTTACGTAGGAGCTCACCTCTCACACTTCATGGTCTGCGTAGGCACTAGTGTGTATCCACTCGCGCAGTTTCTCTTGCATCACCTCCGTGGCTCCCAACTGTGGCTCCCAGCGTATGTATGTACGAAACACTTCGCCGTGCCTATGATACATACATACATAACGGAACTCGCTCCATGACTCGTTGCTCGGAGCGATATTTGTTCGACGCGTGCTGCTGCTGATCCGCCTGCCCTCGCCCTGGCCTAGTACTGGTAAGTATTCCCGGCGGTGACACAGTGGGTGGAGCATCAGCAAATTAAACCCAAAATGCGTGAATCGTGGATGGTGGATGAGTGGAGTGAGACTTGAATCATCGACGTGCGTCAGTAGTGATTTGAGTGTGCTAGTCCCTGCTAGTCCTGATGATGTTTAGTGGAACTTGTCATTGACAGTACTAGTGATTTATTTTTAGGACGTACTGTGGTGTCTTTATTTTTAGCTTCTTATTCTGTCTTTCGTTGGGTCGTTGTCAGCGTTCGGTTTTGGTACACGGGTGACGAGCGTATGCACGAGCTCCTCGAACGGACTAAGTTCGTCCACATTGCGTGACACATCGACCCCAGCGGCCAGGCGCTGAGCGAGCAGTTAAGTACCTGGTACGCATACATGACATACGAGCCCACTGTGCTCTCCCTTCCGTAGGTCCATGGGGATCGACATTCTCATTATGTTCTACTGGGTTTCTACATGCCAGTGGGAGGGACTTGACATAATACGACCGGAAAACCGAAAATCCAACAACTTACTTATCCCCACGAATTCGAGCCTCCGAGTCTAAGTCAGCAAATAAGTACTCCGCAACTTCCGTTTTGCCACTTCCTCTTCTTCCCTCTGGTCAGTGGCCCAAAATACAGTAACTTCAACTCGCTCATATGCATATGCATTTCACAGAGGCCCTTGTGTTGTGTTGTGTTGTGTTGTCTTGTCTTGTCCTGTCTTGTCTTGTATCGTCCCGGGATGCTGGTGGTGGCGGTACAACATACCTTAGTAGGGTCACTCTAAAGCCCCATCCGAACCCTCGTAAGTGCAAAGTGCATGTTCGAACCTCGGTCCTCGAGCCACATAATAATTGATTGAACTTAGTACGTTGCAGAACCGCGTGAGTCTAAGCTTGCTCCTGTATACCACAGTGACGGTGACAATTTGCGGCATACTACTTAATACTAAATAGACACCACCATCTAGATGTGCCAGTGCACGTCGCGCCCCCGACTGCCGCTGCGCCCACCACCACACTTCATCTATGTACCTCCTCCTCTCCAATCGGGCCCTCGCGGTCACTGCAAAGTGGACGCGGATCTATAGACTATGCGAGGGGATAATAATACTTACTCAGGCCCTCGGGCTATGGTGCTGGTGCTGGCACCGTAACCTGAACACTGGCCCGGGCAGTCGCAGAGGGGCTTAGAACTTGTCCGAGTCCATAGAGCCATATTTCTGCCGTTTGCGCAACTCGACATGACTCGGGTCCTAGCCAGCAGCCTGGTCCTTCGAAACGGTGTTGAGTAGGACCGTCACGACTCACGGTAAGTATCCGCCCAGCCCCAACACCCAACAATGCCAGTCATAACCTGAACGGGCCTCTTGCACCGCTTCGACCTGCCAGAGCCTCCGGTGACCGTAACGCGGCCTTGCTAGCGCTACTACATAGTGTCCCGGGCCAGATAACTTGGATGTGCGACTTTCTCCACTGAGACTTGAGTGGTGTCTCTCATAGTACTTGCTCGATATCCTTAATAAATGCGATCCCAGAGCTCCCTGAGGGGCCAAGGTCATTAATATTGAGACTGCCAGTCTTCCAATCCGTCCAATTTTTTTGTGTTGTGATGAACGTCAACAAGTGTCAAGGATAGATGATTGCGACAACAAACTGAATAGCACGGAACACGTTTGAACAAAGCATGTACATAACTTGAAAACTTATATACACAACAAAGCAAGTAAGATCAAAAACCACTTCTGAGCTCACACGCTGTACAACCCACTCTCTACCCTCGAGCGTACAGACAGACAGACAGACGGACGGTACAACAGGGGTGTTGGGAGGGAGTACATGCGCGGGGCTCTTGGATACTGAGACACACAGACAACAGACACGGACATGGACGATAAATACATACAGAGATACGACGATGGAGGATGGGGGGTAGCCGGGAGAGATCAAAGGGAGGTGTCGCGATGGAAGACTAATAAATAGATACAGACATACGATGCGAGAACGGGGAGAGCAAGGTGGAGGGGGGTAGCCAGCGGGAATAAGGAGTGAAGGTATCGCGATGGAATAGATAGCATATTCAAAAGACACGGCCGACGAGCAAGCAAGCAAGCAAAGAGAAGAAGAAAGAAGCACAGACCCAGAGCAGAGCAAAAAACAGGCCACACGCATCGATTCCAGAAGACGGGCCAGCCACGAAACAAAGTCATCCACGCTCTATGTGCGTATCGTTTGTTGGTCGGTCGGGGGTCCATCGGCCTTAGTTTTGCTGCTGCTGCTGGCCCTCCGGCACGGGAGTGACGGGCCTCGTGTTGGGTTGACGGGCGGTCGTGGACGAGATCGCGCGCCAGACCTGTTGGTAGCTTGGCTGGAGGGGAGGGGAAAGAGAAGATGTGGTGTCAGCGTGGTGTACGACACGACGTAGAGTGGAATGAAAGGGAGACGGGTGGGGTGGTGGGGAGAGGCAGGACAAGGGAATAGCTCATCCACTTGCTCGGCAGTCCAAGACAGTCCAAGAGGAACACCGACGTGACAGATCCCTGAGCCCTAGCCTTGAACAAAAGTCCAACTCACACCCCCTCGAGATCCACGACCCCGCCCGCAAAAAAACGACGGCCCAAAAGAAAAGCACAGAAAGAGGAAGAAAAAAAAATCAAGAAGAAAAAAAAACTCACATGCGTCACCATCGAACTCTCATGCGTCTCCAAACACTCATAAACGACCCACTGCACCGTCTTCTCATACCGCACAATACAATGCGACGTCCTATGGAACACGACGCCCGGCATCCACAGCGTCGTCGACACCTGCAGGCCTTCTTTCCCGACGCGTTCTTCGGGGAGTACGTGCCGCGGGTGCGGGCGGATGTGGGTGATGGGTTTGGGCTGGAAGGTGCCGGTGGAGGAGGGGTAGGCGGCGGCCATTGTTTGTTCTTTTTTCAAAAGGAGGGTGGGGTTGGGTAGGGTAGGGTAAGGTGGGAGTGGGAGTGATATTGGTGGGGTGGTTAGTTTTTGGTTTTTCGGTCGTGTGTGGGATCGATAGTAAGGAAGGGCAGGCCAATAGTCAAGGAGAGCGGCTAGGATGTAGAAGGTAGAAGGCAAGGAGCGAAGATATCAGGCTCGAGTTTGAGGCTGTCGACGTTGGTGTCGTTGTTGTGGTCTACGCCGCGGCTATTGACGTCGGATACGAACGTACACGACAAGTATCTTTTTCAAGATCGGGTAATCAGATATCGGCCCAGGCGCGTGTAATTTCGGGATCCAGTTCCAGGTTCGGGTCCGGGTCCGGGTCCAGGAGTCTTCAAGTAGGGCAGGCTTGTCGCGTGAGGGCACGGGGGATCGTATCGCCGCGGCGGGGGTGGAGAGAAGAAGGGGGAGAAGAGAGAGGATGGGGAGGATGGAAAAGACGGGATGTGGATTGTGGGAGAGAAGAGAGAGGGGATGTCGGAAGAACTCCGAAAAGTGGACGGGCTTTTATAGGCGGGGGACGCGCGGACTTTGGAAAAGAAGCTGACACACAAGGGTTGGCAGGGTAGCGAACGTGTTTACGTGTCTATACCATGGGAACGTAGGGTCTAATAATGAGGTAATGAGGTAAGTGAGCCAGATACGAGAACACTAGAACAGGATCTGCACTGTGCTCGTAAAACAGCGATGTTTGAAACAGGGAAAAAAACGTACCAGAGGTTGTGGGGTATGTATTCAAGGGTCTAGATGTAGCACTTATGAGGGTATTCTTGAGGGCTAGATGGGCAATGGGAGAGACGGAGTGGCAACTCAATCCTTTCTTTCTTTGACGAACAATGGGACGTTCATCTATGGTCGGCGCGTCCGCTCGATACCGCTACTCAAAATCCGAAAAATTACGTACGTCTTCCAGCCACATGAGGCCTTCGGTAAAATTTTCCACTGCCTCGAGGTCGTCGCGGATTGGCCGCCGCCATCCTGAGTCGCACGGGGCGATTGAACAGGCAAGCAGGCAAAGAGGCAGCCTAATAGGGATTTATGTATACGACGGTAAGCTTCGTTCCATGAGGGTAGTGTGGGATTGACCTATTTGCTCAACGATGTCGCCTAATGTACGACCATACGAGCATTCATCCATGAATATCCTGCGCGAATCCTGCGAGTCGAGCACGCTCAGTTGGAAGGCCTTTATGCGCTGGGCCTAGACCACCCTCACAGGTTGCCCTCGACTGAGGCTAGGGAAATTTATTTACGTACTTCGCTAATGAAGGGGAACAAGAGGCGTCGCAAACTGCGATGGCTCGATCGAGACCGAGGACAAAGGCTGGCTAAAAGCGGCATGGAAACGTCGGAGCCTCCCGGAATCTCGTGATTTTGATTCAGCGTTTTGGTTTAGGTGGCGTACTATATGTGGCCCCGAGAGTGAAGTGAAAATGTTGAGGTTGAGCCCATTGAGAGTGCGAGATGTGGATCAACCTCGAGCCTGCACGTTACATATCATCATCCTTCTGTGTTTACGAGGAGGTATATTGACCAGCCAGCCACTGCGACGCAGCATAGTCGTCAGCACTGTACGACGCTTTATGGGTGAACCTAACGCTAACTGAACTTTGGGTCAATCACATCTCCGAGTCTGCTCACTGTATCCTTAGCAGGCCCCGTCTGACCCCTTCATTGGTCTCGTTAATGCTTGTATTAACGCATATTCTCATATATACCTAAGAATTCCATGATTTAAGGCGGAGGCCCTACACCTTGACAGCTAGTTGGAGAATATGTGGAATAGGATGAGAAGAGAGCAGTGAAAGCGGACAATTCTATTGCATGGATATCTAGAATGGTAGCTTGGTCCTGCCCAAGCCTGAAGCGGGACGAAGTGGGTTAGGCTTCCTCCTCAAGCGTTGCTATAAGAGGATTGGTTAGAAAAATCGTCAGTATATCGCCTTCAACGATCGCCAGAAAACAACCAGACAAGGTAAAGGGCCCCGGGAGAAACGGAGAAGAGTCAGAGAAAGAAGGAATGGTACGTACCCCCTTGTACTTCGCGACCCTCGCCGGCATGAACCTCAACATCCTGGCCTGCATCTTCATCCTCTCTCCCCTCACTCTCTCCCACTTGTGTCCCTTGAACATCCTCCTCTTACCCGCATACAGCCTATTACCCACGTCCGCACCCTTGACCTCCTTCGCCTTCAGCTCTCCACCCCACCTAATCTCGCGATCCCACCCTCTGACATGCGTCCTGAACAGCAAATTCCACGTGACCACTGGACGACCGAGCCTTAACCTCTTCTGCCGCCTACTCAGCGTCGACACGACTTTCGTGAGCCCCGAAACGTTCGTCGTCGTCGTCGCGGACGCGCCTCCGGTCGCAGATGGCGCGTCTGTGGTCGATTTGCGCGCGGCTCTGACGGCGAGAGCAGCCTGCATCTCCCCGACCAGAATCTTATCCTTCAACCTCTGACCCTCCGGATTGAATTTCGGCCCTGGTGGCAGAAGATGCAACGTCCCGCTCTTCCTCGCGTTCTTGACCAGATCCGCCTGTCTTCTCAGCGAATACTTCGCAGGGGCCCATCGGCCGGTCGATGGATTCTTGAGGGGGATGAAAGGGTTCAAGGCGCTGACCGGAGTGGTGTAATGCGGGTACATTGGCTCGTTTGCTTGTTGTTTCCCTTTCGTGGACTTTGAGCCTTTAGTAAAGAAGTCTGTATATGTCGTTTGAGAGGCAGGAGGGATGTGAGGGACGCCAGGCTGTATTAGGCGAGGTAAGGTGGTGAGCTCGCGCATTCGGAAGCGTTTGACGGCTTGGAGCGCCATGGTCGTCGACTTCCGACTTTCGATGCCTCGTACGCGCAAAGACGAGACACTTTGAGCGGAGGAGTTGGTGCAGGAGTTCGACTTGCAAATTGGCGAGGACAGCGCGATTCCGGACCGGCCCGACGAGTTTGCGGGGGCCACAGTGGCACCTGCACCCCCGTTGAGGAGCAGAATTGGACCAGCCCTGTCGTTTCACAGCTGGCAGATATGTACAACTGCTCAAGGCGATACTAGAAGTCATGTTTCTCGCAAGATGCTACATGTATAGGTACTTGCTTCAAAAGATCAATCCAACAACACTGATACTCCTACGCTACGGACACAGACCTCAAAACCTCAGACAGGGCCGAACAAAACAGTGCGAACTTGAACAACTTGAACAAACAACAGGGCCGAAAAATAAGTAACTTAGGTAGTGACAGTCTATTGCATGAACCATTGAACACAAGGGCGAATAACACCCGACCCGAGCAGACCAGACCAGACCGTCCGAGATGTTTCCAAGACGTTGACACGAAGCAACACTAGAGAGAGAGATAGAGTAAGTAAGACGAATGGAGGAAAACGAATGTAAGTGAGAGAGCAAAGTGAATGGAGTGACTAACAGGTGAGAGTGAAGACAGATGCAGATGAGAGTGACTATAAAAAGCGAGGAGTGTGGATGAAACAGTGTCAAGATAATTTATACTACAAGAAAGTGGATCGTGAGAGATAGCCCTTGAAACCGCGAGTATTGGGAAGAGCGGAGATGATGCGTGATGAAAGAAAAGACGAGTTGAGATGGATAAAATAAGATCGTGCGTCAGTACAGAAAGATATGGAGAGATCGTCATGATATAAAGTTCAACGCAGGACGCAAGAATAAAAAAATACGTTATAACAGATCGGGGATGAGTCGACGAAACAGCAGACGGTTACTACCTCAGAGCCGAGGACACCCAAAAATCACCTCGCCGCACTCTTCCAAAACTTCCACCGCGAACTCGTACCTGAACTCACCCTCTTCACCTGTTTCTCCCCCACATGTCCTTCATTCACGTCACCCTCGCCTCTCGCTCTCGCCTTGTGCAACACCCTCCTCTTCCCACCATCCGAACTGATCTCCTCTGACCCTGCTCCAGGGACACGATACACGTCCTCCTCAAACCTGATAGACGCCTTCTCCTTCTCCTGTGAATGACGATCCGCGTGTACCGTCGCGCTCTCGTCTGAATCTGGCGGCGTAGGAGGGGCCGCCACAATCCTCCTCGACCCCTCCACGCGTCTCAAAGACCGCTTGGCTCCTATACCCGCCGCCGACACCGGTTCTTCGCTCCTAACATCGACCAACGTCGTGGTCGAAGGCATAGGGACCACAGTCGAAGACCCACTATGGCCAGCCGTCATATAATGCCTCATCCCACTCGAATGCGAAGGTGCGGACGAAGGCCACCCACGACTATTCACACCACTATTAATCTGCCCCACCTCCGGATCCACGACAGACCCAGAACCAGAGCCCGACGCCGACCTCGGATGTGACCTCGTATGTGTCGAGGGTCTCACAGCCGGCGCAGGAGCAGCGACCGTGACCTGGACAGGCGCAGGAGCGGGAACGGGAACGGATACCGCACGAGACGTCCGAGGGTAGTTCGGAGTTGAGCTTGAGCCATACCCCGATCCGATCCCTGCGAACCCTACCTTCGTGGGTGAAGTCTGTGAGGGACTGGGCGGTGTGGCAGCGGCAACGGCGGCGGCGTTGGCGGAGTGTCGTCTGGGTGGGAGGGGCTCTTTACCGGGTGATGGAAGGGTGGACGACGGTGCCCTGATAGTCTCCATGGACGAAGGCGAGTACGAAGGATCCGACTTTGAATGGTGTCGTCTGTGTGAGGGCGTGCTGGGCGTCGTAGGCGTAGGCGGCAGAAGTTTCGACTTGTTCAAGGGAAGCGACGGAGACGACGCGGGTGCGGAAGCTGACGGGGTTGTCGCTAGCGATGCGGAGGCGGCGGCTGACAGTGACGAGAATGACGAACCTGAGCCGGCGGAGGAACATGAGGGTGGTGTGACGTTGATCCCCAGTCCAGTCGCAGTGACGATGTTCGAGGGTACCGCAGAGATGATGATCTCGCTCGCGCCGGCCACCCAAGCTCTCTGCTTGCTCATCATCCTCACCTCCTGCTTCGCCACAAACCCGCTTGTCCCTGCAGTGCCGCCACCACCGCCACCTTCTACCGCCTTGCGCTGTTCCCTCGCCTTCTCCTCGTCAACATCCAAGCACCCGCTCAACACCAAATTCGCCACCGTCCATTTCGCTTCCTGCATCGGACCCGAACCACCGACGCTAGGCCCCGCCATCTGCGAATCGATGACCTCGCGGAACGCAGATGTCTCCATCAAATACGCCTTCGCATGTTCCATCCCATCGCCCCCACTCCCCGCGCCCATCCCGCCCTGTCCCATCCCCATCCCCGACCCACTCCCGATCGAAAACCCACTGTTACCACCGCTTCCGCCAGTCGGTGCAGGATACGAGAACGACAACAGGAAGGACTCGATGCTCTGTGCGATTCGCTGTGCTCCTGAACCCGTAGTGGTGGGAGTTGGTGCGCCATTCGCTTTGGACTTGCCTTTGGACGAGGGTAGGAGATGTACGAGGTGGGCTTTGACGTCCCGTGGACCTGGGGCGGCAGCCTGAGCCTGCTGCAAACTGTTCAGCGAATCGCCGCTGCTCATGGGTGGCGTCGGTGGCATCGAATACATCGAAAGAATCGGCGGTCTTCTCAACACAGACCGCCTCTTCTCCACGCTCCCATTCCCAGCAGTGGACCGTACGCTAGGCACAGGGCTCGGAAGTGCAGAAGTAGGTGTAGAAGGTGTAGGACCAGAGGAAGATGAGGAAGAGGGTACCGCAGCGACGAGGAAAGGACGGGAGATGGTGGTGACGAGTATCGCGTGTTTGAGCATCGACTTTTCGGGTATATCGTGTGGTAAGAAATTGAGAATCGCATCGAATGGTCGTTGTGTCGGGTCAGGCCCCTGTGACTGCAGCGGCGTGAGTTTCGATTCCCGTCTTGCCCGGGGCGCAGTCGTGTTACGTGCGCTCGAAGAGTCGAAAGAAGTGAGACGAAGAGACGACGAAACACGTGAAGGGAGGTTCGGTTGAGAAAGCGAGTTGCTGCTCGCGCTGGGCGTCGTGTTCGACCTATATGTGAAGCCGGAAAGTTTGAGAGCCGAGGGATATTCAAGGATACCGTCTGATTCTGGGAGCTCTTGGATCGGTATGCCGCCGTCGCCACATCTACGCCAAAATCGCGCCAGCCGTTCGGCGGACTCGAGGATGTGAACGAAGCGGACTGCTCCAGAGTTTTCGAGCGCGAGGGGGGAGTGTAGGCGGAGGATGCGGATTACGGGATAGACGTCCTGTTGGATGCTTTGGATGGTCGGCGGTTGGTGGGTCGCGAGGATGAGGAGAGAGGATGAGAATTGCTCTGATTGGAGGAGTGGTTCCAAGTCCCGCACTTCAGGCGCTGAAAACAGACAGAGGTTAGCCAATTTGATGATAAATTTAGCCTCGATGCATGGAAAAAGACTAAAAAATGATTTGTAGGACCAAAGAATGCGGTGCCAGGTTTGACAGCAATTAAAAGATAACATGATCATGATAGGGTTATTTGACCAGAGGCAGCATATAGTAAGCGTATATTCTCTCCCTGATCAGAACACGATTGTCATCGTACCATACAAACAAAATGGGTACAGTGGGCATCGTTGCCAACGAATCAACGGTAAAGGCTATTTTCCGAGGATATCAGGTTCCGGTTTAGCAAGTGCCGCTATTCGGTTCCATGTCATGTCTACGAGGCTAATGCACCTCCAGAAACTCTGGTCGTGCTGAGGGTATGTTCATGCATACCCTCGACCATACCCTCTGTGTGCCGGGTGCGAGCCACATACCTACGATCGGGTGCCACTAGGTGCCACCCAACGCAAGGCAACAAAAATAGATGGATGCAGCAAGGAATTGGTTAAAACAACAAGCAGGCGAATGTAGCTGCCGGACCAAAGATGATATCTCTATCGCAGCCGACGATACGCGACAATCGAAGACACAGTGGATAGCAAAATTATGCCGAAAGCCGACGTTGTGTCAGCACCGATACCATGTTCACCGTGAAACGCATTCGCCATTGCGGTCGTTGTCACCCAGATACCGAGCCTGATGGACTTTCCGATGCCCAAATACCCCCCCACCCAGAGTCCAAACCCAAGCATGCCGAAGCCCTAGAAAGAATAATGCGACATACCTCCGAGGATGAGAATAGCATCGCGTCTTGGCTCTGCGGCGGCCGCACTGTAAAGTTTCTCGGCGGGTATGACGATAGGATTGTGTCTTCGATGGTCAATAGAAGAGAATGGGTCGAGAGGCAGTCTTGGCCTGAAGACGTCTGAACGAGCTGATACCCGGGGAGGGATGGGAGAGCGAAGGGGTTGGGCGATGGACGGTGAGCTCATGCTGCGCCGGGTGGTAGTCGTGGTAGACATGAAAACCCGAGGGTCGCGGCGGCTCTTCAACGTCGGGGATGACGACGACGAGGAGGATAGGGAGATGGTGGTGGAGAGGTACAAAGAGGGCCGGATGAGGTGGTGGGTTGAGACTAAGCCATCGTTTATTGATATTGTCTTATGCGTGGCGCAGCAGAGCGCTACATGTCGGAATTTCGAATCTCGGAAGCCTCACAGAACTCCACCCCTGGAAGCGGCCTGCCCCTTTCATTTACGCTTTCTTTCCTTCCGCACATCCATGCATCCGCCCTTACCGTCTCACCGCTCCCCTCCCCATTTTTACCGCTTTTATCTCGTATTTTGTACGAGAGCGCTGCCGAGATGCTCGCCCAGGTGTTACGTCATCCGCCCAGAAACGTTCGAACCTGGACGACAGTCATGCTCGGTCCACGTCTTCGTCAACGACATCTTCCCTTGCTCCCATGAGTACTACCCTTCTGTCGGTCACTTCTGGGCAACACCCCCACCGCTCGCCGTCGATTCTCTTGACTTTCTGCGACTCTGCTCTTGCAGTTCACTCAGCCGTTCACTATGCGTATCCATCGTGCCGCCGACTTGGACCCCTCTTGTTCCGTGCTTACACAATCCGATCAACGACAAACCCAACAGGACTCAGGGGGAGGCACAAACTCTTTCATCAACTTCCTCTTCTGGCCTTGCCGCTCCCTGCCGGCCGCGTCGACACGACCCGCCAAACCTTCTCTATCTTTGGACGCTCGCAACGGTTTTGTATCTCCTTCTGCCTTGCTGGTCGTGCACAACGAACAAGCGACTCTTGGCTATTACGCCATGATTGGTTTCGATGCTCCGGCCAGCCCGCTCGTACGACATGCCGGACGAGAACGGTCCCACCTCGCTTCACGCCTCCTCTTGCTCAACAGACGACCTTGCATATGCCCTCATGTCCTCGATGCATCCGCCGATGGACGGTTCATAATCTGAATCTATTCTTCATATTAGGGAATGATATTGATAGCGACCTATTCTTATCGACGCATGCTTGTGGTAGCCTCGTGCTCAGCGCCAGCGCTAAGCCGTTTATTAGTGCAAGCCGCAGGATCGCTGGAATTCGCAATCTTTAACCTATCATTCCCATCATCATCAACAATACTCTGTATCCGCAGTCATCATGCATCAAGGACGACGAGGTGATTTCTGGAAACGAGGGAAGTCCCGGGAAACGGATAAGAATTGCGGGCTAGTTGGGAGGCCTTGCTAATCTCTCTTGTTTTGCGATTGCAGTCTCCAGTTTCTACCCATTCGACATACAGAGACATGACGAGCCCTTGGTCCTTTTTGCCTTTCAATCTCATGGTCGCGTTTCTGATAGGTTCGCTTGAGAAGTAACGAGACGAAGCCAATATCACCGATACCAGCGCAATATGTTTGGACTTCCGCCCGACCTTTCTCATGGATGCTTCGGGTACGGGTTGTATACAGTCGCTAACAAGCTGTCGTGAGGCTCTCACCTCCAGGGAGCAACATCACCTCGCATGTCTTTGCGTCGTCTTGCTTTCGCGTACTCTGGTTGCACGACGTACGCGGGTTTTTCACGTTACTGTCGTAACATTTCTGGTTCGCCCCCTGGACCTGGGTAGGCATCATCCTCTTGCGCTACTGTATACTCACGCTCACGCCGCCGACGTTCGAATGATTGTCGGCGTGTTACGACACTACGACGGCAAACGGCAAATTTCCGGTCCTCATTCTCCTCTGCCCAAGCCTGCTCTCGGATCCCCGCCGTCTTCGTCGAAAATACTGTCGAGGATCTCCTTCAGGAGAGCACTGCTCGGCTCAAGGGTCGCTTGCTCTAGCTTTGCTTGCAGACCGCCCGCGGCTTTCGCCTCGACATGTAGTTCACGCATCCAGAGGACGTGTATCGGCTGGGATTCACTCAGAGCCCTTGCCTGGCCCACCCACCAAGGAACTCTGCCCGTTCTCCTCGGCTTTCTTTCAGATGGCTAGGCTCTAGCGATTGTACATAATGCAGCTTGCGCGCTACACAAGTTCGATCTGATGCTTTCAACTTTACGAGCATCCACAAATCCACACCTGGACCCCCATTTGGTTGTTCGTCTACTCTGCGGCCAAAAAGGAATCCGACCAAGCTCCCCTGCTAAGAACATTACTATGCTGCTAAGAGTATTACTATGCTGCTAAGAACATTATTATCCCGCCAAGCCTTCAACAGGCCCTCACATTCTATCTTCTGTCTATCGCTCCCTCCTGGTTGTTCGTCTCCTCTACGGCGAAAACCAAGTCCGACCAGGCAGTTCACTCTAAGAACATTACTATCCTGCCAAGCCCTCACACAGTCTGTCTTCCGTCTGCGTATCACTCCCTTATGCCGCTTCTCGTCCATTGAACTTACACGGCGTATGTCGGGACTCCAAGCCAGGCTCCATGGGGAGCGGTTATGTGACGAATATAGAAACCCCCGTTCTGATTTCGTACATCCAGTGGGACACAGTCGCCCGAAATACTGCCGTATTTACGACACTGGACGACACCTTTCGTCTGCCTACGGCGTGCATGTCGTTTTTTCACATAATATCAGGTAAGAGGATTGTTCTCATCGAGTCGCTGTCACTGATCTTCGAGCTTCAGTTCGAGTACTAAAACCACAATAAGAGCTCAATTTTCCTTCCTTTTCTCTGTCTTTCCCACTTGTGTTTCAGTCAGCGAACATCACTGTGTTGTTCGCCGAGTACGGCGAAGCTAAGCCAGCGCTCTGATGCCATTATTAGTAGGTGCCAGTGGCAGCATAATCGAGCTAGGGTCCAGCATTTGACTACGTGAAACTTCGTGGTGTAGTACTAACGGCGGGATATTCGTAATCTAGGCTGGGCTTTCCGTAGTAATATCTCCGCTCTGCAGTCTGTGCCCAAAGGCTTACCGGCGAACGCCCCTAGGGATCCTCAACTATGTGAGCTAATCTGCCTGACCATTCCTCTGCGGAGTTATACAGTGCACAACACTGGGATTCGACCTACCCGATAACTTCATCATTTACCTTGAAGATCCGGTACGTCGTATCGCTGAGTTACTGAAGCATTTGGCGTAGGCTCACTATCGACTATCACGTATGAAACCAGCTCGATTCAAGACAACGCCAAGGAGTGCGGTATCTGTGTTCAGTCGCTGACTGGAATGAAGAACGTTTGTAACGTTTATTGCTTGTCATCGTCCACCGTCAAAGTCAAAGTTCTTCATTCGTTGATTACAGCTGTATACATCGACCGCCGCTCTGCTATCTTCGCCTAGGGACTTGTCATTACGATCTATCCCATATCGCAACATGCTCCGACTAGTACATCTTCGATATTGCCGCTATCTTAACTTCAAAGCTAGGTCGCGCCATCGATTATAGCTCGTCTTCGTAAGGCCTTGGACTTGATGTCAATGTCAGCTATGCTTGTACCTATTAAATCACTTATGAAGCTGATGCTGGTTGTTGGTGGACTGTATACTTACTCTACATTCTCGTCGGCTTGGACTTGTGTTCTAGTTTCGAGCCCTGTATTCAGATATGTCTGGACACCAACACTGACTGAGCAGCCTGTTACTTCTCATGGGTCTTCGAGTCTTTGAGTCGTCTCAATCAACGATATAGTAATATTTTTCAGCCCCAAAATATGCTTCGTCTGTCCCTGCTTCTGCTCAGTGGTGGCCAGAGGGTTTGGGCCACAGTGGCGACGATTCAAGAAAACGTTCGGTGAGCGAGCAATCTCAGACTATGGATGTTGAGTTAATGCGATGCGTATCGTTTCCTCAGGCTGCCTCTATTTCTAATCATAGGTACCTATGACGGTTGTTGTTGGGTTTGCTGAACGTCCAACGACAGCGAATTGACAGTGAACGACGCGTAGCGCCCAACGTGACTTTGTTGAATGGGTCACGTGGCCCTGGGCACGATACAACCCGAGTCGGAGACAAGCTTAGCTCTCAGAGCTTTCTCGACACCACCAAGATCCAGCCGCATTCTATCGAAGATGGAACACTCAACGGAATATTGGAAGGCGTTGATTGAATACGATGACTATTTCCTGAGGCGTAAAATCTGGAGAATGAGCCGGATGATGGCAAACGTTCGGGGAGATCTGACTGTGGTGAGTCCTGCCAGTGGCTGAGTCTTCTTGACTGCATGACCAACGCCTGATATTCCGTATCAAGGACGAAGCTATGCGTCCAATAACTGAGGTGTTGACCGGCGCGACGATGGGCGAATGGGCCGAGCTGATGGAGAATGGATTGTTGTCTATTGCTTGCCAAGGTGTTGCAGAGTGCAGGAGGACTATATACAATGACCATCCTGCGGTTCGTCCTTCTTTCCCCATCTTCTCGCTCAATCCTTGACTAGTTGTTGGCCTCTGTGCAGTCGGCTTGGTGGGGCTGCATCGCCTTCTTACTCTCATTAATAACGGTTTTCAACTCGCCGGGGCATTTCCGCAGAAGCTCGGGCCTCGATTCCAAGGTGTTCTGATAGAGTGGTGGCCACTAATGGTCAAAAATGTGGGTGTGGGATACCTTATTATTTTACAAGAATCGGCGAGAGCATTATATTGACACGGTATTTAGCTCTGGGATGCTCGCGATTGTATCCTACTCCATCCAGGGGCTGTCTTAGAACGAGATGCATTCGCCAAACTTGTCAGCAACTTCCGGAAGTCCTTCGTGACACGTCCGTTGCATGCATGGTACGCCCTCGCGTTTCTCCTTCTCGACACAAGAAATCAAAGGATCACGCTGACAGGCTGTTGTCTGACAGCCTTGCTGCTTCAGACGGCCTCTCGGTTGCCCTCTTGACAAGCTGTCTCATGCACTCGTACGCAGAAGATTTCGACGTATGCGCGACAGCCTTCTCGGTAGTAGTAAGCTCCCTACCCCAGCCGATGTTGTCCTCGAACGCCCACTACGAACCTGACTCAAATACGGGGAGCCCCTTGTTTGACATGAGGCTTGGGATCACCGACGGCTCCTTTGACACATTTCTCACTCACATCGTCGATCAGATGACTTCACGTCGCGACCACTCGGTACAGATTACCAGCATCGCGTCTTGCCTCTCTGATCTTATTCTACGGGTCTTGAGTGCTTGTTCTGCGGATAAGGACTTCATTCTGGCATTACTCAACCACAGGCCGCTGTTTAAATATCTAACGTCCCTCCTCAAGGACCCTCAGCTCCTTAGTATGGGCTCGGACCGGCCGTTCGGACCCTCGCCAGTTGGCGCTGTTCTCAAGGTTATATACGAGTGCACAGCCAGTGTCTGGACTGGTTTTCGCCAAGACATTGTTCCCTACCTAATAGCATTAAATAGCGCCGATATCTTCGGCGCATTGGAGATCGTATTCCTCCAGTATGGGAACCTGCGACACGACGAGGCTTGTGAGTCATTACCATCATTGGTGCGAGATCTGAACTGACGGGTTTCGCAGATACGGCAGTAGGCATTTTGGAAGATCTTGCCTGCGTTATCAAAAACGAACACCGCCTGTTGCCGTTTATACGACGCCAGTTTCCGCGTCCGCGGTTGTTGAGAGTACTTCTCGATATCAGTTATGGGGAAAAACAGGATCTTGTTCCCAGAGAGAGTGGCAATCCATCCTTCGTGTCAACACTTCGGTGGGCGTGGGCTCTTGTGGACGGACTAAGTCATATTTCTGGTCGCGACCGCTATTGCTCCAGGCGGAATTGCAGGAATCGGGCCACTCGGGAGTGCAAAGCCTGCAGAACCGTTTGATACTGTGATCGCGCCTGTCAGAAAAGGTATGTCATGACCCACCTCTTCCGTGTCACAAAACCTGACTGCGGCATTTCGTTGGATGGATGTTTCGGGGTGTGATCCTCTCAGAGATTGGCCCGAACACCGCGAATGCTGTGGTTTCAGGGATATGGAGTCCAGAGGGTCGGACGGCTTTGGGGGCTATTTCAAAGAAATGCCGCCAGAGAGGTTTCCCTTTCGGATGAGTTTAGTGCCGCTGACGACAACATGAGCTCAAGATTAGCTGTTCAAGCATCCTGCCGGAACGTTGGCCGACCATGGCCCTGTTCTGGACCCACTTCTCGCACATCCCTGTATTCTCGTTGTATGTATGTACTATTCACCGCTCAAAGCATATGTCATGCCTGTATTCTCGAAATATTTCTGCGCGATACGGTACGCTGAGACATTACAGATGATGTGGCAACGTCAATAGAGGCGTAGTAGTAATGTAGACTGAAGTCCTCAGCATTGCGAGTCCCGTAAGGTAAAGGTCAAATTCCTATACGCTTTTTGACAAACAAGACCACAATCCGATACAGTCTCTCCCGGTTTGGATCTTCTAGACTTCTTCAAACCACCTACTGGCCTTTTATCCTGCAAGTCACAAACATATCGCAGCGCTCCTGCCCGCGCTGCTGGTTCTCATATATTGGCGACACAGAGACGAGACATGGAGAACTGAAATCAAAGCGGTCTTCATATCCTCGGTTGCTTTCGTAGACATCAATTAAAGAGTATTTGATCATGCCAAAAATGAGTGTCACGACAGACACTCGGAGCTGATGAAGCAGTCGCTATGCGTGATGAGATATGCGGGTCAAGAATTATCGACCGGGAAGAAGCATGAAGCAAAGACCATATCGCGTCGATGCGCGTTCACTCAGCTCAAGCTTCGTCCACACTCGGTTCTATGACGCCTCCAATCCCTAAGAGGATACCGTGGAGAATTAAGTGAATCTGGTTGAGCAATATAATGAGAAGGCGATACACGTACGCTTTCTGACATGCTTGCCCATGGTAATACACCGCATCGTCTGAGCCGCAAGCATTGCACTTCTTCATACTCTCTACCCGTTCTTGTTCTCGCACCTCACACAACGGATTACAACATTCATGAGAGTCCCTCCACTTCTTCTGAAGCTTCTCTTCCGTGACGGAAAGCAAACCCGAAAACCTCTCGAAAACCTCTAAACCTTGTACTCCTAGTGGCCCGAGACGACAAAGCGCGCTACGAGTGCGGAAGTAGATCGGCTCCAACTTTTGGCGGCAGGCTTTAACGAAGCCGGGAGGTTGCTGCCACGGGCATACCGGCTCGGGACAACCTCCGATGACATGAGAGAGTCTTTCGAAGAAAAAAAGCCATTCGTCTGCAATGAGAAAGGTAGAACGTGAATGAGGCTGGACATCATTAGCGTGATACCATAAAAGCACTGACCGCTCTCTCTATGCTGGGCGATGACCAACCCTTGCGCGGCAACGGCGAGGACGTCGGTTCCCTGTATCATCGCAGTGTAGTACGGAGGCGAGATCTTGGGTGCACCAAACATTTGACTAATAGTATTGAGCGAATCGTGCCTTCAATATCAAAGCAATTTATGACCATGCAGTTGACAATACGCACTCCATCAGATATGCAGCAGCCTTGTTGACAGCCGCACTCTGTTTTCTTTTCCCTGACTTGAACTGGCGACGAACGGCCTTGGACAACGAGTCATAGAACCGCGCATCCAAAAAGGTGACGAAGGCGGGATGGCCAGCCATGAGGAACGAGACCACAATATTCAGTTCCTCAACGAGTGTCGTGTTGATCATCGTGGGGTCGGCAAGAGCAGCGGAAACATGGTGGAGTAGCGAGGTGGCAGGGAAGACGTCCACGACGCGGTCGACGGCATCTCGAGAGTATTGACTCAATTCCTCCGTAAGCAAGCGGCGGAGGAGGACCTGAGCCCTACGGCGTTGAGAACAGGCGACTGGTGATATATTCAGCCAACAGTGTATGGCGACAAATATTGATTCCTCATTGCGCATGTAGCTGAACTCGCCCGTCCTATGTAAGATTCGAGCCAGCGAGAAGAGTATTGCTGGATAACACATGCGCGAAACATGGACTCTCATTGGGCCTGCCTGACACCATGGCTCGCCTGGCTACCAAGGTGCTCAGGATGATATGCCCAGGGAAAGGAAAGGTCAATAAACGTCTGATACATAAGTGATCCTGTCAGCGATACGGCCGTACTGGGTAGCCTAAGTAACTTAGGCGTCGGATCGTTCACTAGGAAGGTATCATACCAATATTATTTGGCTCCGATTGTCCAGCACATCAAGTCCGAGAGCGAACAATGCTGTGAGATCAAAGCGTTATATATATCTGTGGCTGCTGTTGTAAAAATCATTTGAACTGCAGTTGGTCATGCCTAAGATAGGTATCACAACGCACACCCGGAGCTGGTGAAGTAGTTGCTGTGTATGATGAAACAGGCTGGTCAAGAAACCCAGAGTCAACTGGGAAGAAATACGAAGCAAAAACCATATCGCGTCGACGCGCGTCCATTCAGCTCGAGCTTTGTCCACACTCAGTCCTATGACGCCTCCAATCCCTAAGAGGACATCGCGGAGAATTAAGTGAGTTTGGTTATTTCATATGATGAGGAGTCAACAGACGTACGCTTTCTGGCACGCCTCCCCATGGTAATACACCACAATACCTGGGCCGCAAGCCTTGCACTTCTTGATACTCTCTGTCCGTTCCTGCTCTCGCAGCTCGCACAACGGATTACAACATTCATGGAAGTGCCTCCACTTCATCTGAAGCGTCTCTTCCGTGACGGAAAGCAAACCCGAAAACGTCTCGAAAACTTCTAAGCCTTGTACACCTAGTGGCCCGAGACGACGAAGCGCTCTACGAGTGCGGAAGTAGATCGGTTCCATTTTTTGGCGGCAGGCTGCAACGAAGCCGGGAGGTTGCTGCCATGGGCATAGCGGTTCGGTACAGCCTCCGATGACATGAGAGAGTCTTCCGAAGAAAGAAAGCCATTCGTCTGCAATGAGAAAGATAAAACGTGGATGAGGCTGGACATCACTAGGGTGATACCATAGAAGCACTGACTGCTCTCTTTATGTTGGGCGAGGACCAGCCCCTGCGCGGCAACGGCGAGGACGTCGGTTCCCTGTATCATCGCGGTGTAGTTCGGAGGCGAGATCTTGGACGCACCAAACATCTGACTAACAGTATTGAGCGAATCGAGGCTTCAGTATCAAAGCAATGGATGATCCTGCAGTTGAAAAGACGCACTCCATCAGATGTGCAGCAGCCTTGTTGACAGCCGCACACTGTTCTATTTTTCCTGATTTGAACTGGCGACAAACGGCCTGAGACAACGAGTCATAAAACCGCATATCCAGAAAGGTGACGAAGTCGGGATGACCAGCCGTGAGGAACACCCCCACGATATTAAGTTCATCGATGAGTGTCGTGTTGATCATCTTGGGGTCGGCAAGAGCGGCAGAAACATGGTGGACGAGCGAGGAGATAGGAAAGATGTTCACGACGCGGTCGACGGCATCTCGAGAAACTTGGTCGTGACTCAATTCCTCAGTAAGCAGGTGGCGGACGAGGACCTGAGCCCTACAGCGATGACGATCGGCGACTGGTGACATGTTCAGCCAGCATTGTATGGCGACAAATATTGATGCCTCCGAATGGCGTATGTACCTGGACTCGCCCATCACATATCAGTTTCCAACGAGTAAGATGGGGATTCAGGGAACTCACTTCGGACCTTCAGGTATGATGTCGTAGAAGGCAGTCATGAAGTAGCAGATAGTATCTCGAAAGCGGTTCGCGATTGATGCCGCGGACGTCAGGAAGGGCAATGCGCGAAGAATGGCGGCGGAAACGAAACGAAGATTGTCACGAATCTCCACCAAAGTAGTATCGTCGCGATCAAAAAGGTCTTTGTCTCTGATACAAAGCAGAACGTTGAGCAGGCCCACTAGAGGCAGGTCCCAGGTCTGGCTCGGTTCGGAGGTCGTATTGTAGGTGCGCAGGGCGAGCCTGATGTACGCCCTGTGAACACCAGCACGATGTAGGCGAGGTTCCTTCAGCGTCAGCTTCGCCATTATCTGCAGTAGTCCCCGCGCGGTATCGAATTTGGGATGAGAGAGCTCATACACAGCGCCAGCTATATCGCGACGAATATTACGCGTGAGGCGTGTCGCCTCTCGAAGATTGGCCTCTGTTTCGCATTTCCAGTCGGAATCATCGTGAACATGATTTGAGGAGGGTTCCATGAGGATGTAAGAGTCGGCTGTGTATTTTTCAGAGCTGTAGTGACCGCGCGAACATGCGACGCACTCTGTAGCACGATGGTGGCACGGTGAAGAAATGGTCTCAACGTGCGGTCATTGCCGGTCAAGGTCCTGGAGGCCACATAAAGTCCGACTCAAAGTCCGACTGACAAGGCGTTGACGCCACGTTGGCGATTGCCCGCAGCTCATGGAAGAAAAACCCAGATTTCTGTATCAATATAATAAGCAGATGTGTTCCCAGGTTTCGCAGATACTTACTACGACGAATTCAGATGGGACAAAACTCTGAAGATGGACAAGGAATATTTGACTACATAGGTAACCTGTAATCTCAAGCTTGTGTGGCGACGAATGGCAGATCGTGGAAAAGCCCCTGTCCGGACAACCACCTGTCGTTTTTGGAGTTCCTGACGTCATCGCATGTTCAAAGCTTGCTCTCACCGGACTTCCACACCAGTCTTATACCTCACGGTCATACACATACCTTCCAATACTCCCCATATCCAAAGTTCACCTCAACCTCAAGGGTCAATTGGAAGATGACTGCCTCCGTCGAAATCGTCGTGTGGCCTGCCACTCAGGCCTACATCAAGGACCATACCCTCATCGACCCCGCTGCGGTCAATATTGGCAAGAGCGAAGGTGTCCTGAAGTAAGTCTCACAGTGTTTGCACATTCTTGAACGACGGGAACAACTTCGTCAAGGACTTCGTTGTCCTGTCTGATGAGCTGTTGACCTCGTATCTCTATCGTAGGATGTATACTGGTGTGCAGACAGAGGAGCCCAATGCTTACATGGTCACCGGTATGCCCGTCTAATTTCTATCGATACCTCCTACAATCGATTAAACCTAGAATGTAGTTTGGGATGACATAAAATCACACCAAAAGGTCATCGCCAATCAAGAGCTTTTCGCCTCCCAAATCGCCAGCTTACAACCGACCATGTCCTCCCCACCCACATCCATCATTCATGCCAACTTCCAATCCGATTACACACCTGTCTTTGCTGCGCCCGTAACCGAGTTCGCTCTTGTCACTCCCAAGCCTGGAGTCGACCGCAAGGTCACGGAGGCGAAAGTGCACGCGATCGCTGTTATGGCGGGAATAACGCCGGGGTGTAAGGCGATTAGTGGTACGTGGGGGCCAGTGGTGGAGAAGGATGAGACCTATTTGTTGATGCTTGGGTGGCTGACTGTTGAGGTGAGTTTTGTTTGACTCGGTTTTGATGGTTCTACGCGTATAAATATTGATACGGGCTGGGTCGACGTGCCACAGGATCATTGGGAGGAAATCAAGACAGGACCGCTGACGGAACCAGTAAAGGAGCTACTTGCAGAGAACGATATTGTCCTGACGCACGCGAAGCTCCGTACCCAGGTCATCTGAGAAGCCTTGAAACCGTACGGCACTCTGAGTGAGCAGAGAAGTGTATGATTATTGTAACACTACTCCTTGCTTTATGGTCCTTCTATTGTGTATGATAGCCGATTTGTTCCAATTACATTCTGCGAATAAGAGGGCGTTCCCCGTCGTGACTGTCTCGCATCTGGACGTTTTGCGCAACTTACATTCATAACTCCACAAACCAAAAATAAAGTGGTTATCAGAACCTTCGTATCATACAACTTGACAATGAAAACACAGCCGAGTCGTGCATTATACTACGACAGTCTAATTTTGCGACTCGTACTAACATCAATGAGTCGTAGTCACGTTAATCCGTGTGGCGCCTGTCCCAACGCCGGAGAGTCAGCATGAATAGAATGACACCACATTGAGCTCTAACTTGAAGCTTACCCTGATCTTTACTTCCACCCGCCCTCGCCTCACTCGTCTTCTTATCCATCATATTCTTTGTCGGCACCTCCCTATCTGACCCGCCACCCTGATTCTTGGTCTGACTCGCTCCTGCTGCAGCGGGAGCACTGGAGAAGGAGGCGAAGGCGACGTAGGCGAGGCCGACGGCTGCTGTGGCGGCTGCGATCTAGGAACAAAATACAAACGACTAATTAGAGTGGGTTCAAGTGGGTAAAGGAGAATGAGGCCTACTGCTATGTTGGTACGCGACGATGCAGCTGTAGCTCTGGACAAAGATGGGTTGCCCATTGTTACGGGCTGCTAGTGGAACTTGACAAGGTCAAGAGTCTTTGGTGAAAAGGGGAGCTTGGCGTGTGGCGGGAAGGATAAGGTGAGAAGGCTGTTTACTACAGTCGAACACAGTCGTGATATAGGACGGGTATACCGACGTCATCGACTTGAAGCGGTGAGGTTGTGGCGATCTTAGATGCAGTGTGGCGCATTGAATGTCGTGGATCGTCCGCGCCATTCTGCAGCCCTCTTGGAAGATATCGAAAACATACGCGCGATACACGCATGACAGTTCGAGTATTTATGTGGCCCGAGGCTGAGTTTCTGTGGCAATTACGAGATATCTCGGATCGGAGAAAAGGGAAGAGGAAGGCAGAAGTAATAAAATGCAGTGAACGTGATATACAAATAAAATGAGCAGCTGCTTCTTCAAGACATTAGACAACACGAATCGTGAGCCACGACCCATCAAGTCGTTTATCGTACACACATCGCCCAAGAAGAAATTCAGATGGCTACTTCATCAGTTCGCGTCTTTCGACTACGCCTCCGCAGCGTTCTGCCCCTTCATCTTTGGGCTGTTCTCAGCCAAGGGTACCGGTCCATCAGCCTGCCGAAACAAAAGCGCAAAGCCGTGCAAGGCTGTCAGTATCTCTAGCCTTCACCATAACCGACAAGAGACATACCTTTTTCTCGGAATCGTTACGAAGGAAGGACTGTGCACCTTGATAGCGGTTCGGAGCAGCCACTTGAGCGTATCGATCTCGCCCTGTCATTCACGGGAGGGACCCAATATCGTGACACATGGAGAGAGACAGAGCACGTTGACGAGGGAGAATTGGAGAATAGAAGAGTCAGAGCTGGAGCGGAAGGGTCAGGATTTATGAGATGCAACTTACAGGCCGGGATAGCCCCGGGGTGCGTGGGATACCGTTCAAGCTTGCGTTTCTCGGACCAGTTCATGTAGGCCCACGTCGCGAGGAAAAGACTGCCGCAGATTCCAGCCGCCCCTGCAAGAATCTACGCACGCGAAATTCACCGGTCAAAGAAGGCACTTCAAAGCCAGAGCTCAAGATGTGGTGGGGACTGACCCTGCCAGGACGAGCAGGTAGGTTGGCCTCTACGATGCGAGAATAGGGGCTGGCGCCTTGAGAGTGGCTTCCACTTCCAGCCGACATGGTGATTTGGATGGAATAGTGGACTACAGAAGAACTTGAACCTGAATACTCAGGTCTGAGAGTGTCGTGTGTCTCGTTCGGAAGTATAGAGGCAGAGAGTCCAGGACGCTTTACGATGACAAAGGGTGTGGGTAGAGTCAGGAAACGGTGAGGAGAGTGACGGCGAGCCAGCGTGAGACCTCCTTATATTAGGAGCAGGCGGCATGACGAAACGATCATCTGCCCACTACGTTCAGTATTGGTTCAGTTTCGTGTTGGTCTCGAGTGCGAATGGTGCAAAAGAGACTCTGTTTGGGAAACCTGGATGCGCCGACTACTAGATAGTGCGAGGTGGCTAGACCGACGGCCTCTGCCATAAATTATCAAGGCTGCGGGCATGAGCGCTCAAGCAGTCCAAAAAATATGGTCGTGTGCGCGCAATCATTCCAACACGAAGGAAAATGAGAGCTTTGGTAGGGGGTGAAAGATGATGGTGATGGTCTAAGCACGAGCTGCACTAAACAAGCACTAGATTCAGTCAAAATTTAATTAATTTTGTCCAGCACGTGTTAGCAAGCGTATTCCCACGCCACATCGCGAACTGATCAACAAACGCCAGCTCATTCGCACCTTTGGCACATACCTTTACCTGGTTTCACGACGACACTCTATTCACGCTCACTACGTACTTCTCAGCTTCTGCATAAGGATCCCTTACCCTCGTCTTTCATGTTGTTTTCATGACTGCAGCTGTGACACGTCTTCAACGCTGTTTGGACCCCGTTGTCCAGGCCTGTCGACGCCCATGTTTCTACTATCACGTCACCTGCCTTGATCCCCAAGCCACCCACCGTAAGCCTTGATGCGCCCTCCTCGTCATCGGTTGGCGTCCTCCACTCGTATCCCCATCAATATTGGGCTCGGTCCTTTATCGCGTCGTTTCTGTGACCAATATCGGGTCCGACTGCAACTCCACCCACAGCAGGGCCAGAGTTTTCTAGCAGAGTGTTCTCCTTCGCCGATCTTGTCATCACTCTGACATTTTCTGGTTTGCTCACTCGGACGCTCTGAGGTTTTACTCAGCTATTGTGGGTTCCACCGATTCTAGGGACAGCAGCCTCACTCATTCGTCCTCCACATAATACACCGTATGTCATATGACTGCTGTCTAATATAGTTTCCGACGGATACAGCAAGCAGAAGCCTTGACTAATGGTTCCCTTCACAGCGTCACCGCACCTACCTCTGGCATAATTATTGTTACCATTTAGATGGGCACTCTTCGAGTCTTCTCTGAGGCTTACTCACTTTCGCCAACATATTTATTCCCGCTGCCACGGGAGCCTGCTATGTCCTCGACCTACCCTTCCCATGGTACGGCCGATCTTCCGTGGAACTCGAGAAAACTAACCCCATCCCCGGCTGAGGCCCAATGCGAGTATCGTGGCACCTCCTCTCCTGAGCTGATGCGTTGATGCTTATTCTGAGAGGCATGCAAGACAATGCTCCATTCAGCATATACCCCACGGACTTTTCCTCTATATTTTCCGGATCCTCTCCAGGTAAACTGAGGAATCGAGACTTACAATTGTATATTTTTTGTTCCTCCTCCACGCTATCTCGGAATAATCAACGGTAATCGACTTACACATCTTATGACGAGGAAAACGCCGCCTTCTTCGAGTCGAAGAGCTATCGCCACTGGGGATACAATCATCCCTCGTCCAGGTTCTCACCGGACGGCTCTATTTGATCGTGAATGTATGTGACGGTCTCACACTTTGGTACTTCTACGACCTTGACACCGTACGGTATCTTCCCTGCGGCGAGGTGACTTTGTCGAAATCCTATTATTATCACCATCGAGGCCCACCGATGCCATGTCTATGCCCGAGTATCACAGTGTACTCAGGTTATTGAGAAGAGGTTCACCTGTCAATTGGTACCGATGCCCGTGCATGCACTGGTATAGCTGTCATTCCCGAGGGTCGAAGCACTCAAGTTTCTCGTGGTGTAGTTATCTTCTCAAAGTCATGAAATCCAGAGCTTGGTTGATCTGTTCTTGAAGCTCGTGCTACCGGGATATCGAGGAAGAACAGAGCTTCTACGAGGAGAGACATGTGTTTGTCATCCCAGCTATCGACTGATCGTCATGCGTGTCTACTCCCGTGTCTTCGAGGTTGTCTTCTTTGTTCTCATGTGCCTGCGTCGCCACCCATTTGCCAAAGCTTGACCCTGGTTTCTGCGCACCGTGGTCTTTCACATCTCGTCATAAACGAAGCCGGGATGCCCCCTCCTGCAACATGACCGACGATATCCCGGGACACATTCCAATGCCGTGACAGTAAGTTATTTCCTGCATTCTGTTCACAAAGTAAACACCACTCACACCATGAATATCTTCTCTTCTTATCGGGTTCATTATCCTTCTAATAATAAAATTAAATGGCAGAAACTCTCCCATGACGCCCTTTCCGTCGGTCCTGTGAACACGCTGCCAAACTGTACCTCCTCGTTCCTTGGACACGGGTCATCGAGCAAGAATAGCGGATGTCAACCCAAGGAAATGCTTGCTGCAAGTCTTTCTCCACAATTCTCTAACTCGTGTATCTGATTCATGCCTCTCAAAGTTATCTCCAGTATTTTCCACTGATCCGCCGGACGGAACCAACGTTTGTTCGTAAAACCCAGTAAAAACTGCTCTTCGTGTCATCGCCTACTTATTCGCCGTCTTCATCTAGGCATGCAATTGTGCTCATCTCGGATCTTGAGGCCTAAGGCTCCGCACTTCCGAAACCTCCAATGGCTTCGTGCCACACCCCACTACGACCGTCTTTCCGGTGGTGTTTGTGGAGAAACTCTCGGGTGCTCATTAAGCCTGTGAAGCGTCGTATGTCCCTTCAGCTCTTGGCCACCGTCGTCATTGCAAGAGCTCATCCTCAGTCGCAGTTTCTCTCCATTCGGCGACCGGAACGGTCTGTCTCTAATCATCAAACCTTGTACGCTGTCGAGCACTTGATGGGTGACGAAACGACCCACGCAATATCACGCACCTCCACAGCCGAGGCTCTCACTCCACAAGAATTCAGGCGTGTCGTTTGGCCGTGGTACGTGTGCTCCAGCCCTATCTTTCTGAGGTCGTCACAGTGGCACTTCTTTGACAGTGGCGTTGCGAGGAACATGTGAGGTGCTTAGAGGCAGACTAGCGTCACCGGGTATCTCCTGTCGTGGCGGCACATTCGTCTTTTCAACGACGAGGACGTGAGCCAAGTTTTCTGGCTGGTATTCGTGGCTTTCATGTGCTTATGCCTGTAAACCAAAGACTCGTATCTTCTTCAAACCGCTTTCAAATAATTTTTGTACGTATTCTGGCGAGTGCCTACCGCGCTTTGACTGGAACTGATTCGAGAAGCCTAACTAGTTCCACCAAGCGTTCCACTCGGAGTCCACGTTTCTCCGAAAGGCGTTCCCGGAACATTCTTTTCAGTCGAATTACTCTGAAGAACAAGCAGGCGTCGGGTCTTCCCGTGTTCGTGCTCTCGACTGGGCCCAATTCGTGTTTGTGGAGCTTTTTGGTACGGCGATCCTTTCAATCTTGACGCCACGACTGCAGGCAGGTTTCCATCTTGAAGAATCTAACCTTGTCGGACAGCGTGTCATGATCAGATTCTGTGCTGCGCCTCGTGAGTGTCACAATCCATTCAGAGAACCGATCTAAGAACTGGACCACATTCGTGTCCTGACACCCTGCGTCGGATATAGCGCGATATTGGAGACATGCACGGGACCGTCGCTTCAGGATCCGGATTGGTTCTTGTGGTCGGAAGACAATCTTAGTCGATAGTCCTTCGATTCAGCTGAGTTTAACTGTCAAGGTCAATTTGGAAGGTGACTCCAACCCGGGCCGCCGAAAACCAAGCCACAGTAGGGGTTCTGGCTCTGTATGGCTCACACGCACGGCAATCTATCGAGCTGGCTCTAATGCTTAGTTCTGTCTTCACGAGCGTCCAGAATTCGATAATGTCAGATCGGGGAGGAAGGTCGAGCTGAATGGACCCTGAACGCCTGACTGCCCATAGTTGGCACAGACGGAATAAGAATACGCAGGTAAATGTTAATACTCTATCTCTGTCTTGAGATCCTCTCCGGAAGCTCGCTGATATCTATCTATACCATTTATCTTTCGCCGCAGAGAAGTCGTGTCATCATTCAACGGAGCGTGATGGAATGCGTAAGGTGAAATGTCTGACCTTTGGAATAATCTAGCTCCAGGTTGACACGATCATCATCATTTTCTTCCGGAGATTTCTCCTTGATTGATCGCAGAAGAGTGCGTCTGTCCACAGCAATGCTTCCAGTACGATGGGTGACTGTAGGCTGTCTGGGAATGTGTCCGACTCATTCTAGCCCCCTCTGCAAAGTTGTTACAAGTCAGAGACTAGTATACAATCAGAAGTAGGTTTAATTAGCTCTCCCAATATTTTTATGTTCATCGGTACAGGTACAGACAGAGCGCAACTTGGCGCTGCAGGAAGAGTGCCGCCACGAAGTCGGCGACTGTGTGGAATAAGAGGACCAGATCTTTCCCCGTCATCATTCAGGCAATTTTACCTGCCAAGCACGTTGCTTCTACGGTTGTTTGCTTCCGTCCCTCTCGCAGGAACTAGCTGAATGTGGCATAGCCGTTCAATGCGGACTTCAATTTATTCTTGTGGTTTTGCTTCCGATTAGAAGGAATACCTATCCCCACGAACGCCTTCCGGTGACCGAGCTGAATCACCCGATCGCGATGCATTACCCTCTTTACTCATCTTCGCCGAGGTGCTGCAGTGAGAGTGTAGGATTCCCTTTGTTCGCTCTGCTTACATCGGGCTTTAAAATTTAGGTTGGATGGCGCTACTCCGAGCCCGATACGTTCGCTCTCGTGGTTCCTTTCAATTGATAATTGCTCTTCAGTCATTTGTGGAAATCTCGATGTTAATGTGTCTGGGTGCGTTCTGATGTCACGTTCTGGATAGTTCGCTCAATATTTGAATTTATAGGTACCAGTCTTCGCCAAGGGGCTCCACCGGCAAGTCTGTGTACTAGATCGGTCCCTCGCAGTGACCGATGATTAAAATAATGACATTTCAGTGTAACTTACAGTTAGTCCTACATTCAACCATCAGTCTGTATGTCCCTCGTGGATGTTGTCTCTGTCTCACAAACAGAGTTTTATTGACGGGGCCGGTTACGACCGTGAATCTCTCCGAGCATAGGCAGGCATTCGACCACATCGGCTGCCAGTGAATAGGGAGTACTCATTGGGACTCTCGGATCTTGGAACGATAGGCCTGGACAATTGAAGGCCCAAGCGCCCAAATTCGTTCACATACAGTCTGTCCCTGCGATCCCTTCGAATTCACCATTCCATCGAACTACTTCGCGGCTGCATGGGAGAAGTCCTTCTATCGACTCAAGCGCGGGGACATCAGACATTCCAGCCACTTCCTCAGTCTCACCCCGCATTCGGACATAGCGCATGTATCGACCGTTGACAAACCTCGGAGAGAAGTCGCTGACGTATGTCGACGTCCTCGAGGAAACCGAGTCCTTTCAGGTCCTTTCGAACACGCACAATCGTCGGTTGGGAAGGCACACACACGGTCTCTAACCCGATCTTGGACCCTCAGTAGCTTGTGAAATTCCGTGGTATATCCGGGAAGGTAATTATGCTTGATATAGCAATGTTCATGTTTCTCTGGCCACGCAGTCGAGGTTCTTTGAACTTTAGGCCTTCTTCCCTTTTCATCGAAGGCTGAAGATGGTGATGCAATGGCAACCAGGGGCTCCAATACGGGCTGCTGAAGCTATCACTCACAACGCTCTGAGAAACACCGCTCTCTTGTTAGCTCGAGTGAGCATGAAGTTCCTGGGAAATACTCGCTCAAGATCTCGCAGTTTACTCAGGGTTGATTCTCGGATGTGGGAGGGTCTTGACATACGGAGATGTGACTAGTGAGCCTGTTCTGTCATCTGCACCATTCCAGTTGCGACGCTCTCTGATGTTCTTCACAGCAATTCATCCACAATCGGGAAAGAAACGCCTAGTGCGCCGCGCTAGCTATAGTATGTCAGGGCTCCAGACATATCCGGCAGGTATCGCCAGGGTCTGCTCCGAGAACTGCGCGATCTGGTGGCGCAGGGTTACGTGCAGAGCTTTGAATCCTGCGTGAGAACCATCCAACCTATCAGTTATGTGCGTCTTTGCTTCCTCTTCTCCTTGCATCACCGAGAGCGGTCGTCATCTGGTTGGAGGCTCGTCATCGGGATGGGGCCATATCACGCACAACTGTACATGTGTGTGCACATGTATCGTCTATGATGAGCCTGGATTCTGTCTGGAGCGAGAACGTTGCCTCACATTGACCGCATATCAGGTTCCACCGCCGGATACATAGCAGTACCATCCGAATTGAGGCCATCCGTGTTGTCTTCTGTTCGGATCGTCGCATTGTCGCAGTATGTATCTAAGCTCCACAGACTCTCGTCATGCTCGCATGATTCTGTCTATGAAGGATCGAAGGACCAGTCCGGTGCACAGTGTTGTGTCCAGAGGGGACGAGATCGTCCCAAAGCGCATGTTCACCGTTAAAGAAAAGGTGTGGTAGCTGTCTGCCCTCTGGATCCCGTCGAGAGCTCCCCGAGAACATGGCAGTATTCATACCTTACTGTTTTCGCTCGAGTGCGCAGCAATGCGATGTATGGGTGTGGCTTTAGGGGACGGTTTCGCTACCTCTCTCCTATGTCCAACCTCGACGTTTTAGTCCAAAGAGAAACGCCGATGAGGATCTAGATCGTACAGCAGAGCGAAGCTCTCGGCCACGCTGACTGAACGACAAGAACAGTGCTAGCAGCTTGGGTCTTGGCTTCCTCTCCCTCCGGACGCAGCATATACCGGCGGTATCGCACTGTGCGTCTTGTTCTGGCAGACCGGGCACAACACTCCATAGCGGGTATCTGACGGCTGCGCGAGTGCATCTCGCTCGTATACGCGTATGCATCGCACCATCCTCGCTGGTCGTCGAGCCCCTAATGGTCTGAATTTTCTTCTCTAGCGCTTTCGCGACTATCGTCCACTCGCCTGTACTCACTGCAAATATAATTGTTGCTTGGAAGTAAGAAGGCATCACCGGGAGAAAAAATTGGCCTCCCGCGCTCCTCGTACTCCCAACGCCATTGGACAACGGACATTACAAATTCGGAGACAGACGCTCGCCCACATCTCTGACCATATTATAGCAGGACACACCTGATAGAGTTTCACATGCTGAAATTTGGGCCGTGCTTACCGTGCACTCTTCTCTTCTCTGCCAGGCTTCTTCTTGTGTGTATGAGATTTAGCAGAGGGAGGGCTGTGGGTCTCGTCCATACGGCGCCCAATCGCGAGGCTCCTCGACCATTACTAGTATGGGGCGGACCATCACACCACGTAAATTGAAGAATGGTCAGGAGTGAACATCAGGGGTGCTCACTAAGATCTGAAGTGATTGGACGCCTGGGAAGCGCCCGGGGCGTATAAGCTAGAGTCCGCACGCGCACGCCGGGAGAAAAACATGGAGAAAGTCCAGAGATCTGATTTTGGGGACTTGAAGATGTCGGGATGCGTAAGGCTGCGGCGAAGATTTTGCAACCTTGGTCAGTGCACAGATGGACACGAATACAAATACGAACACGAGCAGGCTCATTAGCATGCTGTGTAGGTGTTATCAATTGAAGTTGCAGAACCCTGTGTGTCTTGGGAATTGATATGTATGGTTCTGGTGAAAGAGAGAACAAAAAATTGAAGTCAAAGACAGAGCCAGCGGCTTTCAAGACGCCTCGGACTCGGATGCGAGCAGAGAAGGATCAAACAAACGGGGATAATAATTAAGTTATGAGTGCATATGTATGTACGCACCGGCATGCCACTGTCAACGCTCGAACGTGTAAGAACGGACATCCCGCCGGTCGGAAGCTGACATCTGAGTCCTAGATATCTTCCCCCGATCTCGCATCTCACTGACAGCTGCCTCGAGCATGCGCACCTGCCCAACAGACTACGAGCTGTGTGAGCTGCGATGCGCAATGATCTGAATCATGATGATCCACGTAAGTAGGTGCCAGAGTGGAGCAAGCGACAGAGATACGATATGAGAACTATACATATCTTTATCTCCTTCGAGTTCTCGTCCTTCTATCTGACTCCATCCATGACCCATCCATCGCAGCGACTGGGTCATCTGAAACCACATCCACCAAACGAATTACAGAGGAGCGCTATTCTCGGTCTTGGCCAATAGGGGCGGCTGCTCGAAGTTTGTTTGTTGTCGATATCTTTGAATTCGAAGTCGAGAGTCGGATGCGCTGGACTGCGATGCGCTGCGAGAGAAGTGAAATGGTACATGATCATCCATCAGCGTGACAAAACTTTGCAAGCCATTTGAACCTACGACGATGGATGAGTTAGACCAATAAGGAGCAGAGTCGTTAAAGCTCGTACAGACCCTACCCTGAACTTCAACAAAGGAATCACTACACCCGTAAGTAATGGAAGACTGTAGACGCCTCTCAGGCAAGATCCTCCACAGTGTTTGTCAAACATTATACCACAGTCAGTGTCAAAATAGATACCCTTCCATACAAAGAGGCCTCAGGATCAGAGAGGCCCCGACTCCCCGATCCTTCCTCTTCGAGCGACAACTGAATGGTCACTCTTCTTTAGTCTAAGACTGAGACTCAACATCAGGATCGCAGTGATAATCCCGCAGAGTGCACATGCGCGACGCTGAGAAATAATATCAGCTGTGACCCGTCGGGGATACGCTGCACGCCCTGGCCAGGGCAGACACTCCGAGCATAGCACTTATTCATAGCCATGCCATCCTGTACCCGCGACAATTTTTGACTCTCCAGCCGCTGAGTACTCAGCGGCTGGCGAGGGTCGAGAACGTTTTGTTCTCATCCGTCCTTCCTGATACGAACACACCACCACCACCACCACCACTCACCCGCGAGGCCCGTCAGATGCCCCATCCAGGCATCCATCGAACGGGAATGAGGAGATGCGGGAAGAAAAAAGCAAGGCTCGACTTTGAGATTCTGAAAGACGCCGAGAAGGGAAGCGGTCTGAGATCTGAATCCCGAGAAAAAGAACAGTTAGCGCAAGAGTGTAGTAGTCGCTGCCAGTGACCGACCGACGCCGCCGTAGGTCCAGGAAAAGACGCTGTCGACATCCGGGGATGGACCCACATCCAAGTTCGCATCCACATCCATATCCATATCCGTATTCATACTCAGATCCAGCTGTATCGCTTCATATAACTCTACCTGAGATAAAGATAGGGTAGCCGCTGCCAGTGAGGCTGAGCGAGGGTGGGCCCACCTTCATTTTCTGTGCGATGTCAATGTGATATGAATATGGGAAAATCCAGCTGTATGTATGTGTGGGCGATGATGAGATGAGCCTGAGATGCTGCCACTGGATACGGCGTACATACAACACGGACGGGTCGCTGAGATGCAGAGCAGGAATCGCAGATGCAGAGATGCAGATGCGTACAAGTCGCACATGAACTGAGATGAACGCACCTCGAATCATCAACTTGCATGGCATCCATGCCCAGATCCATTGACACCACGAAATCTTCAAGCCGATGCATGATCATCCTTCCACGTTCCCAGCCAACCCGCCACCACGATTCTATTCCTGCCATGGTCATGAACTGAATTCGAAATCCTCGATCACAGGACTCTGAATCTCGAGCGTTACTTACAGTTGTATAGAGTCGAAAACTGGGGCAGAGATCCCGTCATTCTTCACCATGAGAGAACCACCACCTCAGGCTGGCGGCAGGCTGTCTTCGTTTATGTACTACTTACTCGCTTCATGAAATCAAAGCGGCGCCCTGGACCTGAGTTAAAGTTACAGCCCTTACAGCACTCGAGGAAATAATGAACGAGTCGTAAGATTAAAGAAGAATTCGAAGGGCCTTAGTAGTAGTACGCTTCGGATTCCCTGCCAGTGCGTCGTCCAAATGCGGCACAATGGGAAAGATGACCATGACACGAACATGAAACTCATGTATGGACAAGGGCCCGATCGTACCATGTTGAAGTTGCCCCTGTAGCCTTAGGTCGCTGTGGACACTCGGGCGGCGTTTCGAGATGTAACTTACAATGTTTTTGGTACTGGCCCATACGCAACTTCCAGCTCTGACTGTGTCTGGCCCGGTGAAGCGACAAAAATAACACCTGACAGTGTATGTGGGTGTGGAAATTTCATGCAAGTCATAGCAGCATTATCATAGATACGAGAGATACCGGAAGCACCGAAGCGAAGCTCGATGGACCATGCCAGTTGGTGATACGGATATAGTCAGCAACTGTGGCGTGTAAGTGTGACGGAACGAAATGCATATGACGATGGACGACGGGGATAAATGTGGGTACGACCGGGTCCAAGTGACCTAGAGCCGCTGCGAATGAAGTGGAAAGACGGCGAATGGAGATGATTGGTGCGAAGTTGCGAATCAGGCAATCTCTCGTAGGATCCAGGAAGCGATTGTATGTATAGAGCTTGTAGTGTAACTGTAGTGTAACTGTAGTGTAGGGTAGGAAAAACAAAGAGACCAGCGAATGGTTCGACACGAGAGGAGATGAGAAAGGCCAAAGGTGTTATACAAGGACGAGACAAGTGCGGCAGGAAAGGAGCCCAAGATAGATGAGAAGAAAAAGAAACCGAGGACGGGGCCTAAGAGAAGAAACGCCCGCGTTCCCAATAATGATACCACGTGAACCCAGACCTAAAAATGAAACGGAAGAGCGAAATGAAACCCTATGACCGAACCGATAGACTATGAGGAAATAATGTATGCGAGAAACTATGGCACACGGAAAGCGGCGATGGGTGATGAGGCAGACCAACACAGAGCAAGAGGAACGGAAAGCAAGAAGAATGACAGTGTGAGAACGCAACCTGGGCACGAACAACCTCCAACTCCGCCCTCATTCCATCTCTGCCCACCCGCAGAGAAAGCGCCAGGTCCCTGACGACCTCGAACGCACTGATCCCCAGCATCATTGCCCCAGTTGGACCTGGCCTGATGCCTTCAACACCTCCCGTCGAGCTTCTCATCCTTCATCAAGAAGCCAGGACGTCGGACCGGACGGTGCCGTAAGGATGACGACGATGGGCTATGGAAGGCCAGAACATATGGAGTGCAGGTCCATGGTTCGCGAAGTTGCATGTAGTTTGTGTGGGGAAGTATGCGTGGCGAGGATGAGAGGGTGTGAGTGTTGACGGCATGTGCAGCGGTGGACGAAGGGCGGTAGAGATTGCCCTCTACAGGCATACGTGTTTCACCGAAAGGTGAGGAATCGCCAGTAGTTGGGATTTGGGGGCTGCATGATGGAAAGGGGCGCAGGTCAGCCAAGAGAAGAATTGGACGGGGTAAGGAAAAAGAGAGTGGTACGAACGCTAGTGGTAGGCGTTGTGCGGTCTGTAGAATCGGGGGATTAGTTGGGCCACAGAATAGCGGCAGAAAAGGGAACGTACGGGCTCGGATGCACTGATAGATTTCTACTCTGTTGAGTTGTACGTTCCACCGGCCACACTGGTCGTAGAGGGGCCAGTATTCGATGGAGGGATCCCAGATGAGGGTCTGTGCCGCAATGGGGACTTGTACTGCGACGGTGGTCATTGGAGTGGCGCGGAGGAGAGTACGGGCGAGTGCGGGGGAGGGGCAGAGAGGTGGTGCGGACGCGGTGGGGAGCTTGCATTTATAGACTTGTGCGGTGCCGGACGGCCGGGCCAAGTCTCTTGAGTTGCAGTCTGTCATATTTTCGGCATCTGGGCCTCACCTGCCATATGCGGCTGCGACCAATCGCGGGCCAGACCCAGATGCCCCATCGTCGAGACTCCCGGCCCAAAGGAGACTGCTGACGGGCAGCCAATCGCGTTCCAGATCCAGCGCTGTCCTCGACAGCTCCCTTCGCCATCGCTCCCTCCCGCCACTGCTCGCCACCTCGCGATACGTCCTGCCACCCCCGTTTCAACCGCCTTCATATCCTCCTTCCCCGCCGGTACAGGCCATCACAATGAATCCGATTTCCTTACCCAACAACGATCCTTATCTCTCTTCCACGTGCATCCCCACTGACCTCGCTCGACGCTCCACAACGCTTCCAGTCACCACGTCACCGCTTCCACTTTCTCTCGAATACGCCCATATCAGGCAGCTATCCGTCGACACGAACATGCTCCTACGATCTCATCCGGCCGTCCGCTCTCTTCACCGTCCCTGCAGATCCTGCGTGCACCATCGCTTCTCTTGAGCCACCCGTGTCTTTTTCCGTTCTTTCCTTTGTGTCTCACCTCCGTCTGCTCATTTCGGTCCGGCGTTTTCTCTTGTTCTTCACGTATCGCGGAATGCATCGCGGCTGCTCTATGGATGTTCCACCTGTCCCGCACCCTTGAGCCACCGCCGCAGAGCGACGCTCTTTTGTTCCATTCACAGCCCTCTCGTTTCATCTTCTCGCGGAAACGCCTGCAGGCGCGCCCGCATCAGCTCCCAATATAATTCCCCTTCATCCTCCTAACTTCCTTTGTCTCTCTTATGTATTTGTCCCCGCGACTGCTACATCTTCTGCCTTCTGCGTCTTCTTGTTCATACCCAGACACCCGGCCAGCGATATCAGCGTCCCTCCTGTCTTCGTCTTCTTTACGGCGTTTAGGATGCGATCAATTTTCTTTCCGTGGCGGCTTATGTTACTTAATGTCGCCGAGCCTGGACCCACACATGTTGCACCGCAACTGAGGCTCAACATCAACTTTCACTGACTCGTTGCTCCCTCTCGAGCCTCGAACTCCGACGCTCGGCTGTGGTGGTAGCATACCAGCCCCTCGTTATGTTACACATATGTCTGGACCTTAACATATATGGGTCCATCTTTTTTTTCTCCTTACTCCTTCGTGTTGCGTTGCTGATCTAAATCGTCTGGTCTGGATCCTGGATCGTACCATTAAATTTGACGCCTGCCGCGGTGTGTATTACTGGATGTATGTACACAGGTTCTCTCGGTACCCGGGCGGTTACAGGTTACGCTAAGCCACTGAGCTAAGCTCTAGTCCATGGCCACAGATCCTGTTGCACCGGCCGTACTGGTACATACGTGTCGTGGATGGACCCAGGCGCGGCGAATGAGGGTACGAAGTTTACTTTCCCTCCCTCGAACCCGCGGCGCTGTTTCATTCTGACGCCCACAGTCGTACACACATCCACGCCGATGTGAATGCCGTCGTGCGGTTCCCAGCCCATGTATCGGGCTTTGCGTCGCGCCTGTATACATACTGGTACATACGTGATTCATGTTATTTGCCGCCATCTCCTCGCTGCTCCTTGCCACTGGACATTCATTCTCTATATTACTTCCCCTTGGAACTCGATACGCAGCGGTTTGGGTTCAGATACGTCCAGCGTCATGCCACCCCCGTCGACACAGACATACGGAGACACGGAGACAATACTGTGTATACAGACCAGACCGGCCGGAGCAGACCAATACCAGACCGGACCTCCCTGCTGCGATCTGATCAAGGACTACGGGGGTGCGTACAGTCCCAATGTAAGTCTATCATTTCAACCTCACCTATTCTATTCTGAGCGAGCCTGACCGCTGTACTCCTCCCTGCCCTCGCTGTATGTTATTCGAGTTACACCCCTTGCCTCATGATATTGCGTTTGTTGTTGCTTGCTCGAGATCGAGGAATTGATCGTATGCGCGCCCACTGCCGTCTGTATGCGTTATGTATTAGTCCTCGGATCGCATTGCACCGTATACCGACGATCCACCACCACCACCACCTCCTCCTCGTAGAGACTTCAGGATCATGACGATGATCGGGCGATGAACAACAATCGAGTCGTCAACGCGTCAGGCCCAGTACCTGGTCCTGGTCCTCGCGGATTCGTGGAGCTGAGAGGGGACTGGGTCTAGAGCGTATGTGCCTCTGCTCTGTTTTGCTCTGATCATGATCATGAGCCTTGGCGTATGTTATGTGCATACGTCGTCCTGGGTAGTCGCAGTCATATCAGCCCGCCTGCTCATAGTGTGTGTGGTCTGTGTGGGTCCCGGCTGGCGATGACGATGACGCGACGACTTGGGAGCTCAACACTAGGGCTTGCCTCGAGGCTCTCCCTCCATTTTGCATTTCGATCTACGTAACAAAGTTTCCACTCAGGTCTCTACTTCAACACTTGTCTCGATCCCCCTCCCTCAGGCCTCCATTTCGATCTACGTAACACGGGCATGCATACGAAAGCTCCACGGCCGAGGCTCGATGCTGGACGTTGGATGCTGTTTCGTTCTGAGACTTTCCATCGGTTTCCAACCAGGACCGTCGTGCAACACTTGTGTCGAGCCTCGACGCTCTCCCTCCTCAGGCCAGCATTTCGATCTACGAGAAATCCATTGGCCGAGGCTCGATGTTTGACTCGTCGTTTCGTTCTTCGAGTTTCTATGGGTTACCAACCAGGTCCGCCGAGCTGTACATACTCGCATGGCTCCCTCCTCCCTCCTCGATCCAGACCTCGGCCCCCAGGTCCCAGAAGCATCAGGAGTGCTAGAAACTAGTATGGATGTATGGCTATGGCTGTGCAAGAGAAAAAAAAGAGAAGACATATCGCATTGAATGTCTTCTCTCTCTCGCTATCGGCTTTCAGCTTCTGATCGTCGTCGGGGATCGAATTTCACTCCAGAATTTCAGAGCCGCGTTATGGCCGACGAGACGTGCGTGGTCATGGATGTCTGTTTCTGCGCTTTGAACGTCGCGTTGCCATTGGACACATGTTTAGGCATTTAGACGGTGTGTCCTCGGCCTTCAAAGCGTAAAGGTGGATTTGTATTGTGGATGATCTACGCGTCGACAACGATCGAGTCGACGTCTGTCTGCTCATGTTCGTGTTCGTGTACCGACATATACTTTGATCTCTGTGGGCAGTACATACACACAATACGCAGACCGCATATCTGATAAGCCCCTTGGATCATGGTCCATGGATGCCTGGCAGTCTGGACCCAAGAACCACATTCTCCGCAAATCTTTTGCTGACTTTGTGAACATGACGAGTGCGATACGACACGACATGACAATCGATGGATCCTTGGCACGTCCTCCGTGCTCTCGGGCTCGATTCGATCATGATGCATAGTATGCATGATCCGCCCCTTCTGACTTCACGTTTTCTCGAATTTCGCATCGGAGTTCGAGACTCGAGACTCGAGTTGTTGTTGAAGGAAGGAAGGAAGGATGATGGGTCACGGGCTCTATACGGGTATGGTAGCGAGGATCCTGCGGTCTGTCTGAATCGTATGTCGACCGTCGACGATGTGAACGCTCTGAGGGTCGAGAACTGGCACGAATCTTTCCATCTGATATATCATATCATATGGAGGGCGAGACGTGTCATGGTTCATGGTGCCAGTGTGGGGAGAGGTGCTGCGAGCCTTGGCCAGCCTGAGAATATGGCTTAGGCTGGTTGCGAGTATGAGGAGCGATGCTTTGCATTCTGGAATTTGTATACTTATCTTCTTGCTCGCGAAGGGTTGCGGATGAGCGATATGCGATATACGATCATCGCGACTCCTCGCTGCGATCTGCCAGTGTTGCCCATTATGGATTTGAGTTGGCGAGGGGTCGAGGTGGCATAGGAGAGCTTCAGCCTGCTGCCCGTCCGTCTACAAATTTCTCAATTCCAATTGTCAATGACCTTCGTGGACAGGTAATGGAGGGGTTGCTTGGTTGATGCTGTGATTGATGGTAGGGAGGAGGACCTTGAAGGTCCGGTCTGACTTGGCCGTTGTGATATGTAGTTTGGCCGAACGTATAGGACCGGGTAGATGGAGAGATGGAGAGATGAGGATGGAGATGTTATCGATGCTCGAGGAGTTTGAAAACTTTATAGTTTACTTTTTGAACCGCAGCTTGAGCTCGTTGGACGACTTGGCGGTGCTCTGGAATGGAGAGGCACGTTGTTCTTGTTCTCGAGATATCGTGCAGTGGATTGATTTGGCTGATCTAGGGAGCTGACTCTGACAGGCGGCCGAGCTGACGAAGTAAGCACGTCTCTCACAGCCTTTCTCTCTGCGTCCGAACCGAATGTCTGAGTCTAAAGCTAATGCTAATTTGTAGGCTCGACCTACTAGCATGACCTGCGCAGCCCTTTCGTCAACGCCCCGTGGAAGCTTGGAGATATCACGGGCTACTACCGCCACGATGTGCACGTCTATTTGTACCTCAGGCTGTGGAGTTCCATTCTACCTAGTCTCCGAAGCAGATCTCACCCAAGTACATCCTACCCTCGCGCGTCCCTGCGCACTCCGTCCTTCGGCCAAAATTCGAAGGCCCTGTCCTCTCTCTTCCCGCGTCTTCGACTTCTTCTCCGCCTCTCGGTCTCACGGAGCACGGAGTCCTTTCTCTTACAAATTTAACCTTTGCATATCAAATCTTGGAATGTCGAAATCTCAGCGCAACCACGACGGTTGCCCTCCGAATATCGCTCTCGAGCTCGGATCAACAAGAGCTCTGTCTCCCCGTCTTTCTCTATTGCTTTGATGATGTGATCGGTAGGGATGGGGGCGTAACTGGACGGAAGCAAAGCGTTGACAGCTATGCGGCGTGTCCTGCCGTGTCTCGACTGGCCCGTGGCGGGAGGCGGAAGCAAAATTAAGGGGCCCTCGGCGGATGGACCGGCCACGACGCGCGGTTGGCTGAGGTCGTGGATATGACCGTAGCGGGGCCATTAATATTAAAGTCGTACTGAGTTGTGCTCAGCTATTTTACTAGAGGTGTGTTCTCGTCCTATATCGTCCATATCTTCATGTCTTCATGATGTACCTCGCTGACTCGGGCATGTTTAGGTTTGCAGGCTAGCCAAGTATACTCACGCACGCACGCACGCACGCATGTGAACGTCAGCCCCTGTAACTCTCCTCGAGCTCCTCTTGTCAATGAGACGAGACAATCGTTCTGGATTGTGAGTCGAGAGCATCCATCACACTGGAGCGGATTTTTTACGGTCGTCACCGCGGCAGTTCCGTCTCGAGGAGGCAGTGACCAATTTGCGGCTTGACATGATCATTTTCATTCTTGGACGGCTTGAACGGCGTCCGGCGGATGCACGGCTTGCTGACGATGGCGGGGGCAGTCGGCAGGACTTAGAAGAGGTGCGGTAAGGTAAGGTAAGGTAAGGAATTACCTTCGAGGTTGAACGGATCTTGTCTGACGTTTGGATCTCACTGCTCTACAGGTTTACCCGCGAACCCTGAGGATGCATTAGTGCTGCCTGTGTCTCGCGGTTGTACTGCTTCGAACGGTAGCACTGGTAGGTACACCAGCTTTCACGCTGTGCTACTGCGGCTTGTAAGGTTTTATTTTCAGGACTCATGCTGATTGCGCCTCGGGCCCCTGCATCGGCGTAACAGATCGTAGCTTTATCCATCCTTCAGGTTGCTTCTGTGCGCGTGCGCTTCCTCGGCCCACGCCTGGTACATTCTGGCTCTCTATGCTGGACAGCTGACCGTGATGCATACAGTATGAACGATCATCTTACAAACGTGGACGACGGTGTTAAAGGAAATATGTCCGTTCGTGTCTCTATTTTAATTTCTCCGACTCTCCTCCTATTAACACGTGACTCCTTTCGGGCCCTTTAGGTGGCAGGGATCAGCCAGTCGTGCTTCACAGTTTTAATCTGCCTTTTCAATCTCGTGGTCCCCAACTCCCATAGTGAATTGTGTACTGTGAGATCGTTCTCGCTTGCGTGCACGATCGACCTCTCAGCGCTCTAAATCGGACCGTATCGCATGCGATACACACGCTAACCTTTCGCTCTCGGTGAAGGACCGACCACAAACTAGTCAAGAGGTTAGCGCATGGTCACCAGGCCCGCATACTCTGCTATGTGCAACCACGAGTACTAACACACAAGGAACAAGACATTCCATCCCAGCGAGCTTTCGTACCGCATTCGTGCCACGATCACACCCATTTGGATTAACCTTTGCTTCGTGGGCGTATTCTAGACTGGTAGCGCGACTTACAAAAAACTCTAATGGTATAACCAAGGTCTTTAGTCGGATCTGGCGCCGGTCGTGCTCTTCTCTTGAAACATGAGCGATGCTACCTCACACGTATTCGCTTAGCAGGTTTGAAGCCTGATGCAGCTTCTGTAGTTGATGCGGAATCCGTACCGTTGTTCCATCGTCGAAAATACAGCCCTCATGAACTACAGTGCCTCGTTGGGGATACTTAGCGAGGCACCTTACCGCACTACTCACCCACTAATACACCGTACTCTTGTGACTCGACACCGAGAACGGCCGAGCAGACTTATCTCCCTCAAACCATCGGTGTACAAGGGCGTCGACGTCTTCTTCGCTTCTGCGAGTCTTGCACCTGTACGATATAAGACGGCTTGCTCGGACGATGTGCTGGTGGATTCATTACGACGCCTGGCCACGGTCTGTCGCGCTGGGTTGCATTCACTCGGCGGGGCCTATGCGGATTACCTCTCCACTGGATATGTGTCTTCAACTTGGGAATCGCATTTGCCATTTGCATCACGCTGAGCTTCCATGCTGTTTCACGCGACTGCTTGAATTACTAGCACCAAGGTGCCTGCAGACGAGCTCGTAGTATGGTGGAGATTAAGATGACACCCGACACTTTCGCTGGATCTCCTCGGCAGCGTGGCCGATCTTCTGTTTTTCGCACAGGACATTTCGAGCCTAGGTCTACTTTGGCTTTCTTCGTTCGTTTTGACTTTTTCCCTTATGAGCTGTAAATGTCGAGGACAATCGGTTCAACATTCTGCTCAACCCCTCGATTCCAACGTCTTCTCTATGAGAAATATTCTGGATCGATTGCATGCTTTTCAGGCTCAGTTGCTTCCAACGACGTCTTCTCCACAGAAGGATGAATCGCTGTCTGTCTTGTAGTGCGGCGTTCCTACATCTCCCGCGCAGATATAGGGTGCGTAGTTTGTACGCTTGTCATTTGGACAGGGCGATCCCATCGACATCTCAAATGATCCTGAGAATCGACCGCCACTCTGAACACCCCGCTTCACATCGTTTGTTTCTGTCGATTCTGGAGTGTCTTGTAAGAAGATCGACCTTCCTTCCTTCCTTCCACAAATTCTAAGGAAAACACTTTTTTTGGTGCCAACAACGTTGCTCTTGCCGCCTCACCAAAGCATATAGGCAACATCGTAAAGGTCAGCTGCTGCGCGCTAAGTGCTGCGTCGTGCTGGTTTGGATCCTACATATCAGTGACGACGACATCATGAGACCGACACCACCCAGCTCTCTCTCGTCACTCTCTGACGATGACTCTGAAGACACCAACGACTCCTCTCTGTCTTCCACCGATAGCAGTGTCACTGATTGGTCCAGCATCCTTAGGACAAGCTGGTGTGGCTCGGGCTCTTCATCTTCATCTTCGGCATTCTCGTTCTCTATCTCATCTTTCTCCGACCTTCAAGTCCCCGCCCTTGAATCCATCGGCTCTGATTCTGATGACTCCGATAACTGGGAGGACTCAGAGGACTGGGAGGATGATGACTGGTGGATAACAGCCAACGGTGGATCAGAGGCTGATGATGAGGATAATGATATGGCTTATGGCGTGCCCCTCTCTCTTCTCGATGACTGTTGGCTCTTCATCTGACTGACTGATCTCTTCTCTTTTAATTCATCAATAGGATATTCCCTCCCCCGGACTCGCACGCGCTGTCCATCGCACCGTAGAGGGCATGTACGAACATCGGTATGAAGCGCCTCGGACAAACCACAACCCGCACACACCTCCAGGACTAGATTATCGACATCATCTATACCTGGATGCCAAACACCCTCCCCATAATATTATTCCTTCAACCCCAAGTCACTCGCATTGGTCTCCTTATTGACAAACCCTTCGTTGGGACTGATTACTTTATCGGGCTGGAGTGACTAGTTGTGCGCGAGAGGACGCTGTCGTACCCCATACTACGTCAGGGCATCTTGTTCGACTTTCGCTTCTCAAGCTCTTTCGAAGCTCGATCACCAGGAACAGATGTACACTTTGCGCCGAACACGCAAGGCCTTCCTCCCTGACTTCTTGTATGTTTTTATAGAATTAGGGTTGAAAAGGTGTGTCGAGGGAGCTCCGCAACTGCAGGGCAACTACTGATCTCGGTTCGGGCGTGTGTTTCTTATCACTGATACCTGGATTGTACCATCATCTGAGGTCATATTCGTCAGATGTCCGGATTGAGGAAGGAAAATATCTTCGCGCAGCCAACCTTGAATGGCATTGCTATACTTATTCTGGGCCGCACCTCAGCGGGAGCCCGCTCGACAGTATGGAATTGCTTTACCAGGGGGACCGGGTGGCGTCAGAATTCAGCGCTCTTATCTCATACCCTGCTTTTCTAGAGGAAACCCCACAGCACTAAGGTAGGAAATGCACATTCTCTATCCGCTACATGAGCTCGTACCCAAAACACACACACCCTATCTTCGACCGCACCTCATCATGTTCTCGTGAATTCGAAGCAGATATGGATTTAGTGTGACCCGGTCGATGTGATTCTCCTCGGAGTGCCCACCTGAAGTCCATGAATAAGAGGCTCAGCTTGCGCCTTTCTTTGAGATAAAACCGAAATCATGGCTTGATATCGATGTCGCATCGAGTCGACGCTAGGAGGGATCGCCTCACGTCATCTACAGCTCGTACGTATGTCATTATAGTCACTGATATCATGAGTGCTCTCAAAGACCTCACGATTTCCTTGGGCTCTCACTAAAGCTCGAATTTGCGCTACCGCCACTGTGGCACTGAACTATTTTTACCAACCTGTCGGAGCTTGAAGCGGAGTTGACACGCTTGACACAGTGTACGGCAAATGTACGGACACCCCGTTCCTTCACACCGCGAACTCTACCACGTAGTCTTCGCCGTCACGAAGCCCTTCACCTAACACTATCATGGGAATGATTCTGGTTATGACAAGGAAGTGGCCATGCGAGAGAGCTTTTGTCTTATGGATAGAGTCCGACATGAACATGTCGGCGCCGTTCGCGAAATACGATCGGTTCTCTCATAAGCAGCTGCCAACCTCGCCCCAAAGCAGGCGCACATTGAGATTTGATTAGACTCGCCCGAGATGGATATGTCCGCAATATCAAATCCCACCTGACACCCAATACTTAAACTCCACCATCACCCCGCCGAGTCATACAGGTACACATCTGTTTTCGAAACAATAACTTTCCGGCTTGTAACGCATCTGCAATCGATATCGCAGAAATTCGCGGCTCTCCAGTGCTATCTATATCTGCTTCGATATGACGCGACATTCCCCGTCTTCTGCCACTAGGACATGTTGTCAATCATCGTAGGGGCACGCTTTGTCACTTCCTGAACGTCTTTATCTTCCAGGTGGTAGTACAGCCGATGATGCCAACTCGAGTCAATAGTGCTAGGGCCATGTGGAGGCCACAATACTTATCTCTCGTCATGTACTTTTGGTTATACCGTATGTCGCCAGTCGACGTCTTCCTCGTCGAACTTAGGCCGAAGCCCTCGTCTATCGTAGGTTCAAGTTTACGCTAGACCCAAAAATACCGCCATGCCTCAGGACACTGCTGATCGTGCTGTACGGTTGTGACAATCGACTCTATCATCTCAACGTCGAAGCCGCCCTCGCCGATCCCAAGATACTAGTACTCAATCAGAAGCTTGCGGATGAGTTGGACGCCGTTGAGTCTCCGTACGCGGTCGCTTTCCTGCGTGGTCTTTTTTCTGAGGCTATGTTATCGGCCATGCGACGCTAGGGTAAGTTTGGAAAACAGGAGGCTGACTCTGAAGTCACGCCGCAAGTCCGAGTGAGAAGAAATTCAAGGGCACTATTGTTGGTCGCATGAATCCTTCTTTAGGGGTCTTATGTCTTGCTTGTATCGATGGTCCCATTTAAGTACTAGTATCCGAGTACGTATGGTGCGGTATTGGCCTTTGGCGCTTGAGTATTATCTGTATATACACGGACACTTTATTTCCGTTGTCTCAGACGGTCATTGTCCGCAAAATATTATATTTTACCATGTCGAATACATTCACGCTGAGTGGCAGCATCCGGGGGATGGCAGTCGTCCAGGATGTCGTGTAGCATTTTGGAGGCGGTGGCTGCCAACATTTTACAGAAAGTTTGTCGATATCGAAGCATCACCCAAACGAGAAAACAATGACGCGCGAGAACAAGACGCAGAATGAATGATCTTACACATCGCCACGCAAAGAGAGGCAGTGTGGCGGCCAATCACTCCATCGCAATCGAGGAAGCGCGGCCACTTGAACTCTCGCCTCGTTCATCCAAACATCCTCACAACTTCCACGCTCGTGGGCTGGTTCCACCTCTATCCGGTATCCTCTCTCCCTTAAGCTATATCCCTTCCGCCTTTTCCTCTCCTGACTGCGCTGGCGCCACTGCTCTCCACATCGAGCGTATAAAGTAGTATAAATAATACGTCGTACGACTCAGCCGGGCTGCCCGTTGTCCCCGAAACCGCATCACTTCGCGACTTGAAGCTAGAACTGGAAGTGGGATTGATATATTAGGACTGACTGCGACTGGCGGTCGTGTGGTTCTCCATTCTTCGAAGTCCTTCTTTCACGACGTCCACCGAGTAACTCTTCCCGAACGCGAACTTGGAATTTAAACGCCAGAGTAACCGACCCATCATCCCGCTGCAATACCCAACACGCATCACACATCTAACCAATACCCGCCATCGTTCACTCAAAAAACCATCACATACGACCGACAGAAAATCATGCCCCGTCTCCGCGTCCTCGCCGGTCCCAGCCCGGACTCCATGGTTCCCATCTCTCACACCGTCAACTCCGGAACGGCACATCCCATCTCGTCAGACCTGTTCGAAGGACACGTCGTGGCGCATATACAGGGCTTCACGGACGAGCAAGGAAATGTGAGGGAGAGCGAGTATTTTGGGAGAGAGGAGAGGAAGGGCGTTACGTGGAGTATTCAGGTGCAGGGTGAGTGCTTGTTGCCTTTTCTCTTGTTTCTTGTGGGCTTTTGTGCTTGTGCGGGATGCAAAGGATGTATATTCAATGTTGGCGGGGAAAGAAGCTGACGTTATGGTCACGGTTCATGTAGGCAGGTTCTTGCAGACTTATTCGGCGGACGATATTTTGTTCGGGAATACGTTCGATAGGCCTCTCAGACTTCCATGGGGTTCTGGCGCCGCTTTGAAGTTCATGAAGTACGTTTGCCCTTCCCCAATCTACTTCCCACTTCCCCAGCCTCACCATTCTTTAATTCATTCACCCTCGTTCGCGCAGATACGTCGACCCCACACTAGACCACGACCTCTCCTCATCCACAAAGCCCTGGGCTCTCTCCCCTCTCATCTCCACCATGCCCTACTTCGCACACCATCGCGTCGACTCCTCCACTTCTTCCACACCTCGCTTCCCACCTGCACATTCAATCAAAGACGACACCTCACAACTCCACCTCGCACTCAACCCATCCGCTCTCAGCTCTTCGTCGTCGTCTTCTTCTTCCTCGAGTTCAGGCTCATCCGCAGATGGTTCGATATCGGGTTCGCCGCCCGACTCCCGACTCGAAGTTCCTCATCCCCCGCGATGCGGTCGTAACGGGAGCAGCTCTTCGCTTTCGAGCGTTGGTTCTTCTGCGTCCTCTGTCGGCCGTGGTTCCATCCTGTCTTCGCTCAGTGGAAGTGGAACTACGAACAACAAAGCGAGTGAGAAGAAAGGAGCGGAGAAGAAGGAACGGAAGGTCGCGAAGAAGAGGGAGGAGAATGAGAAGAGGTTGAGGGGGCTGGAGGGCGCGGAGCAGAGAAGGGGGTATTTTAGGGAGAGGGAGAGGAGGAGGGAGGTTTTGTTTGGGCCGGAGGTGTGTTTTCCCTTCTCTTCCCTTCCCTTTCCCACCGCGTGCTTCCTGCTCTTAATCTGAATACGAATACGAATACGAATACTGATATGTGGATGGATGAACGCAGGACGTAATCACGACAGACTTCTGCTACGGATTCCTGCAGTTCAGCCCGGCATTGTCACTACGCCTGCCCGGGGGCGTGTCGTTCGATCTGATGCACTATTGGGACGGGCAGCCGGTTAGGTTCGTTTGTTGTAGGCGGAAGGGAGCCACCGCGTATTCGGGTTCTGGTTCTGAGGACGGTGGAGCCGATGAGGCAGATGACGGAGACGACCCGTGGGGAAGGGTGTTTTGGTGTGTGGCGATTGAGCTGGCTGACGACGAGGAGGGTGATGGGGATGGGAACGGGCAGGTGGTTGTGAGGGGAGGAGTGGACGAGGGGAAGGAGATGAGTGTGGGAGTTGCGGATGAGGATGTTGATTGAGTGAGTGGTGAGGCTTGAGACTCGAGATCCATGTTGTTCTGCAGCATACAGACATACAGACATACATACATACCCCTTCTGTTTCTTTTCTTCGCCATGTTCCGTTTTGTTGATGTGTACCTCTGGCTCGCCTGTGCGGGCTTGGGTTTCGATTCGGATTTCTATAGCATAGCGTATTACCGTCCTCGTCTCATCAATCATCCTCTCACAGTTGTCCGCGATACACATGTTATACACATACGTGTACTGTACCATTTCACGCGTATTCTTCGTTTGTTGGACTTGCAATTGTTCGAATCCATAGTCGGCATGTCGGAGTCCCGTTTCATTGTGGTCCAGGCCACGTACTTACCTGTATTTGTAGGTCCAGGATATTCCGATATGGTAGTTACTCACTACATGTATACACGCACTGGTAGTTTCAGTCGTGTTCGACGATAGAGCGTCGTATACATACGCAGAGTACTAGTGATACAATATTTGGTGTGTTTGAGCACACCCATGCGACTGATTTAGATGATTTGCGCGGAGGCGCCGGGTACTTACTAGGAGAGAAACAGGAGGATCGTTGGTCCAGCAGCACGCAACCTCAATCAGAGGAAGACTCTCGAGCTCTCGTTCAAACATCTATTCTATTCTACGTAGAGTAAGTTGGGGAGAAATTCGACAGCGAATGTGGCCCACACGGCCTGTGGCCAATCCAAGTTCGTGATGGCAGGGCCAAGCTGTCGGAGGCGGTGGAAGAAAGAAGCGCGTTGCCGGACGGGGCCGAAGGACTAAATCCGTGTCGCGAAGCTGTCGTTGGCTGTGGTCTGTTCCTGTCCCTTTTGCGGTCTTTGCACGAACGATAGTACTTCAAGCTGCTCAGTCTCCAGCGTTCTCGTTCTCGTCGGGCTACTAGTAACATGTATCGAATGCCTCGGATGATGCATACATACGCGGTGTGATGGGACTGAAGCAGCTGAGCGGACGGCTGGCCGATTTTGTGATTCTCGAATGAGAGAAGGGCCGCACCAACGGCGCCAGGCCCAGACTGTGTTTCTCCTTTGAATTCGCGTTCCTATACTTCCTCAATATCCCCACGCAACTGACGCCCATCTACAGGCGATCTCGCCCCTTCCCTTTTTGCTGCTCGCTCTTCCCTTCCTGCTCTCACTCGCACTCACCGCAGTCGCCGTATCCATCTACGCATTTCGCTCGCATTTACTAGGAATATTATTGCTTGAGCTGTTGTCTAAGGTGTCGAATGCGTCTGGAGGCTGTTGAAGTAGTTGAATATACCCGGTGCGTATCTTGCCTTCTTGGCTTGACCGCGAACAGTTGGCCTGACCTACCAACTGATCACAGAGAGTGAGAGCTTGAAGAGACTCTGACCGACTCGGATCCGGACCCACCCTCATTTGCACCCTCCCATTCCTTTTCACGAATTGACCGCCCACTAGCAATCAACAACCAACAATGTTCGCTCGTCCGGCTTCCCCGCTTCCGCAACCTGTCCAGGCCTCATCATCAGATCCGACCTCCACATCCCACTTCAACCTTTCACGCACCCCCTCTCCATCCTCATATCCATCGCCAAAACCCTCCCCAACATCCGCCACATCCGACTCCTCTTCATCCTTCCTCAGCCTCCCGTACACCCCGTCCATCCCCTCAGGCTTGACGCCACCCCCTTCGCCCTCCAAACAACGTCCGAAACCACACCAATCGACGTTCAGCATCGCGCAAGCCGAAGCCCTCGCCGCCGTCGAGGCCCAGAAGAACCACCACTTCCGCTTCCGTTTCCTCGGCCATAAAACGATATCCCGAACACGCCTCGTCGTCCTGGCCGTTCCGCTGCTCCTCATCGTACTCATCACGCTATGCACGCGGTACCTCTCTCATCCTGCCTTCTTTGACATTGTATTGGGATCGCCGGCAGGACATATGGAGATGGAGATGGATCAACGTCTATTATGGTCCTCGACACATTCGCCGCACCAGCACATCCGTCGACAAGACTCCGGTTCTGGTTCAGATTCATCCTCGGACGGCAGCGACGACACCACAACGACCGCCTCCGCAATAACCGCCGCCTCCACAATCGCCTTCCCCACCTCTCTCTCCGTTTCTTCTGCCTCTTCCACCACCGGCACCTCTGCCTCCACATCCACAGGACTGCCCACGGTACCAACAGCAACCCCAGTCCTGCCGAGCCCGTTCCCGCAGCCGTGGGACACGACGAGCAATAATAATTTCTCGACGGTCGCGTGTTTGACGTTCGTGAGCAATATGACGAATAGCGAGCCGTTTAGGCAGTGTAGGCCTTTCTCGCTGTTGAGTCAGACGAGTAGTGCGTTTTTGGAGGTGAGTTCGCTTTTGCCTTCTGTTCGAATTTTTTGGTTTTTGCTTGAGTGTTTTTGGTTTCTTTTCGTTTACCTTTGGTGGCGGTTTTGCACGGGTTTTTTGTCCCCCGCGCGCGAGTCCCTGTGCCTGTTCGGGCGTGAACACTGCCTGCGCGAGAACCTGAACCTGAACCTGATTCTGACGTCGTTCGGATTCGGATTCGGATTCGTACCCTCGTACCTCGCGCCTCGCACCTCACATCCTGTTCACGCATCTTGCATCGCCTTCGAAGCCACTCACTCACTCACTCCTCGAACCCTGTCTGAGTATTCTCTATTCTGCATCTGTGTCAGAATAAGATGTAAGATTTGTACGATGCGGATCGGCTCGCGAACTTGATGCGGATGTGACGAATGATGTGGACGTTTGATTGTTTGACGTTCCTGTCACGTCTGACTTCGCCGTGTTCACCGTGCGCTGGTCCGTCACTACGTATACTGCGCGATGTGCGCCGTCGTGACTGGCTCCGAGGACTTCCGGAGCAGGGTGCTATCATGCGAATCTCGTTGAGGATCTGCATGTGGAGTTCGTTTCGTCCAGATCCCTTTTTGACTCAAACGAGGGACATGATCTGTGTATGTAGGAGTTGTCGTTTTGGTTTCGGTCCTTGTCGTTTTCGTTCTTCGTCTCCCCTCGGTCTCGCTGCGTCACGGGTGGGTCCAGGGGTCCCATTCCTAGTCATCTCCGCGACGGCATTTTACAGCGCTGCAGAGATGGCGACGGAGAAGTTTCATTTCGTGATTGTGACTGTTCTTGGGGATCCTTGATTTCGTTTTGTTTTAATTCTTGGGAGTCTTTGAGGCCCGAGGTCCAGACGAGAGATATGATGGGACGGGCGAGCTAAGTACATGCTCGCTATTCGAGTCTGATGATGCGTGGAACGGATGTGGATGGAGATGAGGGTGTAAATGTGAATGCGAATGTGACAAGGTTTCGAGGGTGGTCGTACGACCGATTCGCCACCGGGAGTCGAAGGAAGGGGATGACTGGGGATACGGCTTGCCTCGTTCCCGCTCTGTCTGCCTGCCTACTTGTCTCCCCTTGTTCTGTCGTGTCTGTCTGTTCTTGTCCTTCCTCTTTCGTTCTCCCTCCGCCCTGGTCTAGAGCCGCACCCGGATGTATGACAGAAAGATGATAGACACCGGGATAGGCTGCTCGCGGTGAAGAATGGTGTTTCGGGTTCTCGGTCGTGTGTTGTCACCCCAGCATCTGTATGTGCCGTACATTCATGGTGGGTGGATATGATCGTGAAGAAATCACGGCATGGTCTGGGCTCTTGACCGCTTTCACACTTGTTCGCCGTTTCTTCTTCTCACACATGGACATGTTCTCTTTTGTTCTTGTCTTTTCGTTCGGTTCATGGCCATCTGCCTTTTTCTGTCGCGTCTCGCATCTTGATTCCCTCAATGTCGAACGACAGCATCTGACCATTCATTTCTTCGTGTCTGCGCTACACAGGCCCAAGACAACAGCACGCTGCTCAACGTCGATGTCTGGGGCACATGCAACACCCCGGTCGATAATGCGACCTGCGTGGCGAACATGGCCTGGTTCGAGGGACAGCTGAAGAGTGTGTGTGGACAGGAATTGACGGATCAGGTGCCGGTCGTCGTGCAGGCTCTGACTGGTACGTCCTTCCTACGTCCGACTTGCGAATCCAGTTCCTAATAAAAACATACATTCGTGCGTGGACGACAAACAGGCCTCGAAACATACACCCTCCTCCGAACGACAGGCTGCCTCACCGATCCCACCACAAACACCTACTGCTACCTCTCCGCCTCCTTCTCCTCCAACCCCTCAGACTTGTACTTCTACTCTCTTCCCTGGGGTAAATCGCTGCCCAACTCGACCCAGCCGACGTGTTCGAGCTGCACGAAGAGCGTTATGGCGGTTTATGAGGCCGCGCTGACCAGCGCGGGTGGGGATGGCGAGGGTGTGCAGGGGTTGAAGAAGACGTATGAGGATGCGGCGGGGTTGGCGCAGCAGGCTTGTGGGACGGGATATGTGCAGAATGCGGAGAGTAGTACGAGTGGGGCGCGGGGCGGCAGAGAGAGGTGGAGGGGGTTGAGCGTCGGGGTGATGGTGGCGGCGGCGGTCGTGGGTATGGGGTTGCTCTGATGTTTGATGCTGGACTGGGTGATTGGGGTGAGGCGGCGGGCGTGGGGTGAAGAGGAAAGAGATTTCGTTCCCGGTGTTTATGTTTGGGCTTTGGGCTGTTTGGATATTTACCTTTACCCATTTTGGTTTTGATTTGACTTCTTTCTCTCAAAAAACGACTGTTTGGTTGTTGGTTGTTGGTTTCTGGTTATGATTTTCGTAGGCTTGTTGTGTTCTTATACCTCCCCCTCCCCCATCCCTCACCGACCCATATTCGGGAAACGTGTCTGCTTCTCTGCCATTGTTCCCCTCCCCCTCTTGTCTCTCTTCAGGTTGTTTCGTCTAAGCATCCACGGTCTTTTCTTCGGTGGGACACTCCTCTGCTACTTACTTACTGTTGTGATCAAACGAGTACTTTAATTAAACGCTAAACGTTCTTACTCACCTGCACCCTTTTTGGCCTTTCCTACATGTGCTTCGAACCAGTCGATACACAGATATGGATACGGACATGGACAACTTGAACATGATCGGACTGTTCGTCACCCCCCTCGCCAGCCCACCCAACTTTCCACCCTCCCGCCTTGCACATCTCTAAGATTCTTCTCCGTTACCTCCCACTCCTCATCGTTCCCCACTCCTCAACACCCCCACCCCATCCCCCTCGGGTTATGGAGACCTTCACTTATCCGCTTCTTCATTCCCTCCAACCCAAACTCGAACCCTTCCGGTACATTAATTTGACATACACACCTTCCGCTCGATGCCCCCGCCAGCGAATGTCATAGTTACTACCACTTACTCCCTTCTTCCAGCGTTCGAATCACGCACTATCATTATTATTTCATCCATTCTAATTCGTAGGATCTTTTTCTTCTTCTTTGAACTTTTGTTTGTTTGCAATTGTTCACTTTATGCAGCACACGTGCGACGCTCTTTTTCTATGGATGCGTTTTGTTTTCGTCTTCTTTCCTCTGAGTATGCTCAGAGTTCGTACGTTCGATGTTACGATCTATGCACCCTTTCATTGTTGTTCAGTCCTACGTACTACGTGCGCACATGTCAGTTTCTTTCTCATTCTCGATCCACATACAGGGGCTTTGAACGCGTTGGCTTTTCGAGCCTGGGTGCTCTTCTTATTCTTCGTCGCTTGGTTGAATGTTTCTCTATTCGAGTCCGAACGTTCAGTGAATCGATGTCGGACAGGTTTCATGTTCGTATTGTGGTTGTGGTCGTCGGGGGATATTTGGAATGTATCTTTACTTGGGAATTGCCGGCTGCTGCCGGCGGAAACCTTGCTTAGTTTTTAGATGTTATCTGCAGCCTGAAAAACGGGAGGTTCTGTGAGCTTCAGATCGGCTACTTTGCAGTTCGCAAACGTCAATTTTCAAGTAATATTTCGCTTCTTACCATCGGTAAGTGCCAGACGCAGGCCAAAAGAGGGTGATCAGCCAATCACGGCCGGCCTACATATTCCCCTTCAAAATGAAAATTCGCTTGAAATTCTCGCTTTTACATTTCGCATCACCTTGCAACCCAAAAGTCCACTTTTCAGGCTGCAGATAACATTTTCTTTTAGAGAACACTTGTTCGAGCAGGTAATCATCATGAAAAAGCTTTCTGGTATTCATTCTCTAGTTGGCTTCGATTGGGATGACTGCTAGTTAGTGAAGTGTTCGTCAGTGGGCATGGCTCGTGAGTATCGTCTTCACTACACAGGGAACTTTCGAGATTTGGACAAGGCGCAGGTTCGTGACGGCCAAAGCCAACACTAGTGGCAATGCATACTGTACGTCTCTGCAGTTAGGCGACGTCCCCTGTCCCCTGGCCTCTGTCGCGTCGCCTATTTTGAGTTTTGTCCCCACGCCACACAGACATGTCGTCTAAGTTCCCCCAAAGTGATACCGCGCCGTAAAAAAATCAAAACAAATCGAACTATATTCATTTACTCAGAGACTGCTTGGAAGGTCGAAAGAACAACGAGAATGTAGGTAAAAATACCGCAGACAACTCATTTGCGGGCTGGGATACGGATCGTCAACTTTGGTGCAACCTCCATCACGTCGTCGCTACCACCGTTTGTCCCCTCTGTTCCGTTCCTAGCCACCGTGGCTTTGCGTTTCTTCGTCGCGGGCTTTTTGGTCGAAGGTTCGACGGGCCCCATCTTCGTTGGCCGTTTCCTTTTACCGCCTGCTTTACCCCTCGCTCGTCTGCTGTTTGGGAGACTGCCGGGATTCGTACCTCTCGGATAGCGATGTCTAAAAGAACAGGG